CTCCTGGATACTCCTGGAAGCTCCTGGGAGGGTCCAGGAGCAGCTAATGGAAAATACTTTTGGAGACCCAAGAAATAATGAGAACTGAATTGATGGGAAAGTCTGAAAATTGAATAGGAAAGTGAGGGGAACCCTTGTAGCATTGTTATTTTCTGCTGTTCTGGTTTTTCCCGATTCTTCTTGGTCTCATTCCCAGCTGCTCCTCAATACTCTGTTGGAATTTGTACACATGGTCTTGGGAACCTTAATGCTAAAATATGGACATTCTGGGAGTCGAACTGCAGAACCCTGCATAGGTACCAAGAGTGTGTTACCATTACACTAAATGCCCTCATTAGGCGGTGGTTTCTAACATACTCCTGGAAGCTCCTGGGAGGGCCCAGGAGCAGCTGGGAGTGAGACCAAGAACAATCAGGAAAAATCAGAACAGCAGAAAATAACAATGCTACAAGGCTTCCCCTCACTTTCCTATTCAATTTTCAGACTTTCCCATCAATTCTGTTAGACACTGGTCCGGGGTCGGCACCGAGGGTCGCCGAGGCGGGCCGCTATAGGCTGCGATGGCTGTGATGCCACGAACAAGGCCCGGGGGTAGGGCATTTGGCCTCAGCAACTCTAAAGGGAGTGCTGTGCCCCCTAGCTGTCTCTTGGCCCTCATTTCAGACTCACTGGGGTTGCCTTGTTGGGGTCAGGACTTAGGGGTCGTGGTCACATCAATATTAGAGCTGAGGTACTATAATGTAGTATACAGGATATATATATGAAGATAGAATGAATAGAAGCGGACCCGGGCTGAAGGCCGAAGGGTCCGGAAGCAAACAAGAAGAAGGAGTGGGGTTGGCCGCATAGCGGCCAGCAATGACCAAGGGTCAAAACAAACAATAACAGATAAATAAAGGAAAGAGTGTAGAGCCGCGATAGCGGCGCTGGACTCGGAGTTGGGCTGGAGTCAGGCGTGGGGATGATAGCGGCCCTGTAGGGGCCAAGTGGGCGGGGTAGGGGAGTCGCGCTGGGCACGGTGCCAGAGGCAGACTCAGGATGGGAAGGTTGGTGTGGCTGTGGGGGAGTTGGCCAGGTGCAGGGGAGCCTAGGGGCAAGCGGGGGAGTGAGCAGGGAGTCCTCATGGAGAATAGGGCTGAGGTCGGGGCTCACGCTCGCATAGTGGTAACGGGCTCGGGCAGCATCGGGACGGGCGGGGAACGGGCCAGAATGCACAGCTGTGACAAATTCAGTTCTCACTATTTCTCAGGTCTCCGAAAGTATTTTCCATTTTTCTCCATCATTTCTTCCTCAATTTCGCAAATAATTATATGTCCTGAAAGCACTTTAAATATAGTTCCTGATTTTTTTTTTTGATTTTTTCCCTAAATTTTTTTTTTCAACTTTTTAAAAACCCAAATTTTCCTCCCACTACTCCTAGCACATTGCATACTCCTCACCACTCCCAGCTGCTCCTGAACCCCCTCCCAGGAGAACACTATTGGCTCCAGGAGTGCCCAATCTGCTGTTTTGTCTCCCACATGCTCCAGCCACTCTTGATGCTCTGGAGCATAACGGACTTTTGCTGATGATCAACACAGCAGTGTACTAAGTGTAGCTGCAGGTGGCACAAACTGTCTTCAATACATTATGGTGATAGGGATCATAAGTACGCACATCTGGCGCGATTGAACCCGTTGAATGCTAAATCGCTTTCCATCCGTGGCTGTCCAGCTGGAACTCGAACGGTCATGGGCCACTGGACTTGAGCGCGAAAAAAAAAGAAAGAAAGGAAAACACGAAAACGAAAACAAACCAACGGCACGTGCGATTCCCATGCTGGGCTTTGACAGCCGACAGCAAGTGGACGCCCCGTTCGTGCCTCGGTCGGACGTCGTGCTCGACGGTGCTGGTGCATCGACTTCAGGCGTGGCTCGTCGGTTCGGGCCTCAACATTGATGGAGGCGGTTGCAGTTTGGCGGTTTTTGCGAGTGGTCCAACGCACCATGCTCGACGCCCACAGGCCAGCGTCACACGTCTCGGCGCGCTGCCTTGTGTCCTGCCAGCGTAGACATGGATTTCGACCGTACTTCAGGCCAAGACAAAAGCCGTCCCCATTGCGGGCAAGTGCTTCGCCCCCCCCCCCTCTCCCGAGCTGGTGCGTTTGACCCTCTTCTTACCTTATCGCCTCTGCCGACGTTCTGATGTTCTGATGTCTACTCATTCAGACTTGACTCATGTGCGGTGAAATTTCTCGATATCGGCAGCATTCATCGCTCGCCTCTCTGCTCGCTTCGACACAGCCTGCCCAATTCCCCCTTCATTGTCGCTTCCACCGGCCAATATCGTTGCGATGAAATCGCCACATGTCAGCAGCCTTCATCTCGCCTCTTTTCTCGCTCCACACACCAGCCTCCATCCCATCATTTTGGCTCCATGCACCTTCGGTGGCTCTCGCCACCTGCCCATCCTGGCACACCTCGCTTCCAACACCCTCATTTTTGCGAGCTCCTCCCAACATCGTCATTTCTGCCAGCGGTCCCAGTCTTTTTTTTCTCATGTACAATATTAATATTCAACACTCCCTAAATACAATCGAAACAAAAGTCAACATGAGTTTGAGAAGAAAAAGAAATGGAATGAAAATTTTTTTCAGTGAACCTCGTTGTGTATGTGTAAGAGCGATCACGAGGACTGGGTGCGTAAATTCGAGGGAAATATTGTATGAACGGTATTCAACGATCCCAATTCCGTGAGCCTGTTATTTGTAAAAGAAATAATTAATATGTGCGTTGTACATTACGGTGCGAATATTCAATAATATCAATTCAGTGAACCCTAGTTGTCTCAATTGTGGGACGTTGATGGCAGAAAACTTTGGCTTGCTTACCTGGCGAGAGAGAGTGGTTGATTTTTGGCTGGAAGACGGCAGCCTAGGTGGTGTGATCCTATCTCTGTCGAAGTCAGCCCCAAATATGCCACATTCAAGCCTATGGACAGTGTGCAAGAATAAACTCAATACAATAGCTGGACGGGGGCACGACTATTTGAGTGTAAGAAATTCATGTCAATTTTTGGCTGCCTGATAATTTACAGGAGGATGCAAGGTAGGAATATCTATCCTACATAATCGGTCTGCAAGGAATTGCATGGCCCCGTTGTCCTCAATAGAAGTGATAAGTACATATAAGTATTGTATAAGTGGATTATAAGCATCGATAGAAGGCCGATAGAAGGAGGATTTAATAATACATTCAAACGAATCAATGGTGGATTATTTGGGGGGAAAAAGAAAAGGTGGAAAGAACTATCGGACATTGCCGGGTTTGTCGCTCAACAACTCTCTGCCATGTGGCTGTCGTGCTATGGTCTCATCGTCTTGCGTGCCCCAGCAACCATGCAGCTCTGGGCTTGAGGAATCAGTCGTATCACCCTGAACCATTTTCTCTCCACTTCACGATGTCCGTCACACCTTCCTTGCTTCCCTAGTCTCGTGAGCGAATTTCAGTCAGATCAAGCATCTCCAAACAAAGCCTGGGCCAAGCTTTCTGGGTTGCCAGCACAAGAACTCACGCGCTGTGAAATGTCTTCGGCTATGCACTCCAATGGAGACTGTGGGTTGGCCACGATATTTGGGTCGCCATGACCAACCTCCATCCAATTCCCACTGTCCTGTTATGGGAGTGTCTGGCATTGTATCAAGCAGGCGCTGTCTTAGCCCTCCAACATGAAACGTATTTGCAGATATGCTCAAAATGGAAGGGACTTCTCGCGCAGGGCATCCACAGTGCACACGGTCCTAACGGGATACCCGGAGAGGCCGACATGATTGCCACTCGTTTCGTTGCTGTTGTCCAAGCAGAGGGGGCATCACTCCGTCCCAACCTTATCGACTTCTCCACGCATGTAGCTGGCCCTTACCCTGTGAGTCACTGATGAATGTTTTGGGGATATTGATGTTATAGCCAAGTCTGTGCTAACCCCTATCCCCAACTCTTTTCGCCTTGTTCATAGTTCATCCCCATGTCTGAGACCCCTCTCATCTTATTTGGCCCGCTTGAACAATATACCCCCACTGCAAGGAGCAGAAAATCACTCGCCAAGGCCACAAAATAATACCCTCATTAAATGTAAGTGTTTGTGTGTTAAGTTACATTTGACACCCATTGAGAAAGCCCACCAGTTCAACGAATCCAATTCTGAAGATGCTTACGTGTGTTTTCGTCGACGAGATGTCAAGTCAGTCCATAAGACCCATCGGATGGATACAACACCTGCCGAAAAGGTCTCATGGCTACGGCAGGAGCTTATCAAGGCGAAAGATCTCGCTAACTTAACCGTTTTGCGTGAGGTCGAAGCATCCACAGTTCTCATTGAGGACAGATGACCAACTACTCGTGGACCCTGAACGCGTGTTGGCCAAGCGGCTGAAGATGATGTTGGAGCAGAAGTAAGTCGACAAGGATGGAACTGAGGGTATTTAATTTGCTAACATGAAAAAGCGCCATGTCGCTGAAAATACCGTGACGAAGTAAGGATCCTACAGACTTAAATTCGCCCTATCTGGCCCTTGAAGAGCAAGTGCATCCACATGAGCGTGCCGAGTCATTCGCTAAGGAGATCGAGCGCCAATGCGAAGAACTCGGGCTGGGAGGATTATTTAGATGTCAGAGTCAAGATTCACATATTAATTGTCTTCTTTCTGATTGTCTGCCTATTTTAGCTCCCGATGAGTTTACCCATCTCAGCTCACTTTTTTCACGCTCTTTCCTTCGCTGTATCACCATCAAAGCCCTCGGTAGAGCACACAGGACGTTCACCATTCTCGATCCGAATACGTACAGGGCGAGGCAGGCCGTCATTCATCGATCGTTGCCCGTTCCACGGAAGAAGAAGAGGAGATCCTCAGAATACCCCACCCCCAGTTCCGCAATTATTTTCATCAACTCTCTCATCTGAGGGTGGACTTTGGTCCCACTCACCGAAAGAGTTGACCGTTCATATCAAGTCGGATGAGGGCGATGAAGGATGAGTATGTGCGGAAGATCAATGAGCAGTGGAGGTTCGACGATGATGTGGTAGTGATGGAAGAGGAGCAATGGGTATTGATTGATGACTTTGACGCTCAGTACGGTGTTTATTTGCATGCATAGGTCTTCGGGACTCATCTGCCATGATAGGTATATTCCCTCGCGTCTTTCTCTATTTGGGGAATTGGAACTCATTGGGTTATCGGTGGACAAAGGCCACATCCGCAACGCTGAACTGTATGCCAACGCTAAACAGGAGTCTGGTCAATGGGCACTTATGGCAGCGTGGCACCAGACAACATCAGCTTCATCGCAACCCCAAACCTCTGCAGGCCCAGCGCCTCCACAACCTACTCCGTCATACAATCCCTCCCCTCATTTATCCCCAACTTCCATGCGTCCACCCACTCCCTCCGTTTCACCCATAGATCTTAACTCGGGTCTTACGCAAACTCTCCTACATGTCCGCCTTCTCAGATCATGCAGTAGTCCCCCGTGGTCGTGCCTCAAATCACTGGCATGCCATTCCACAGCACATTACCGTTCAACTATACGCCGGGCCCCCAAGGTGTGCCGCAATATCCCATCCCAAATGGAACATCCCAACCATCTCAGCCATCTCAGATATCCGTGGCGCAACAGTATTACCGCAGCACCAAGTATTACGGTGTACCTCGCAACAGCATGATGATGATGCCACCACCTCAAGCTTATCACGGCCTCCATATGGCGAACAATGCTGCGAATGGGGCGCCGCCAGTGATGAACATGTCCACCATGGGCATGCCGTTGGAGTTGCCTCCTGCGAGACAATGGCCACGTCATAGCGGTGGTCAGGCAGATATAAATGGCAACACTCCAAACGGTAATCCAGCAGGTCCTCCTGTCATGCAGCATCACGTCAACTCGCCAAATCTTGGCTCACCCATACATATGAACGGGGAGTATGAACCCTCATCCATCCCTGCAACAGTTGCCATAACATCAACCCTCGCTGCTGATGGATGTACACCATGGGACGCCTCGAATTCTTTATTGCGCCACCGCTCCTCCTCGTTCTGCCCTGTCAGTATCTGACATCGCGATGTTTCAATAACATCGCCAGCCACAATCACCTCACTTCGCAATGCCGAGCCCTGCCCACCAGCATCAGTGTTTCATTCTCATCAGCATCTAACCCTGGGGTAGCAGCGACGGCGACATCACACGGACGTCTCTCATCCATCACCTGCTCATTCAAGACAGCATGGCCCTCATCCCGACTTTCGTCATCATGCTGAAAATGCGTTCACGAACAACTTTACGTCTTTCTCTCAATTCTCCACACACGTCCCCGAGCTGGATCAACAGGTTCGTTATCGAAGCCTTCCAGGAAACTCGACACCTCTGCTTCAGCACTCTCCCATTCTAACTCACTCGCACCACCATCAACTCCTTCAACGCCCACTTGTTCATCACCTCAATCTCCCTCGTCTCAACAAGCTGCTTCGAAGCCGTTCAAATCGGTGACGGGTATGAGCCCAGGGATGCCTTCGAATACCGTTTCGAGTGCGATGATGACGACGATGTTAGCGAATACATTGAAGAATACCCATATCAAGAGTGGGAATACAATGCCTGTCACTTCAAGGGCCGCCACACCGTTGGGGTCGGCCACTTCATCGCCTCGTTCACGCTCTCATCATGGACACCCATTACCTTCCACATCAATTTCTTCTTCTTCCCGTTCACCTGTTGGCCCTCAGCTCGCCATGAATACATCTTTCTCTTCACCCACATCCTCCACCTCATCAACTCCCAATTCCACACTACTCTCAAAGTCACCCACTCCTATCTCCACCCACACCCACCCTACAACTAACTCAACTTCGATGACAGCATCGTCGCCATCATCATTAACAATGATGTCGCCGTGTCCCGCACCCGTAACGGGTTCCGTACCACCAGCGAAGATGGGACAGTCACCGCAAACAAAACATTACTTGCCGAAGCAGCAGACGCCTCCACAACTGTATGTTCAGGCTCAACCTCAGTATGTTACTAATGTGTACCGCCAGGGTGGAGTGCAAGTTGCGTGTCAATGTATGGACAGAGGATCGGTGGACTCGCGATGACGACGACATCAAATTGAGCTCGAGTTGAGTGGATGCAAACGAACCATTAATGAAGCCGAAAAAAGTACCATACTTCCGAAAAAAAATTTGGTGTTGCACGTCATACATCTGTGCATCTGTTCCGGGGGCGCGGGGGAGCACCCTGTGCTGGTATGGCATATCATAAAAAACACAAAGGTGCTTGCGATCACTGTCCGTTTGCCCCATTATCTTATCAATGGGGATGAGGGCAATCGAGATTACTCTCCAACTTGCCATCCGCTATCGATTGACCTGCAGCGGTGGGCAGTATCCAAAATTGTATGAGTATTGTATCTGATGTCCTTGCCGACTTTGTAAATATAGTTAGATAATTCAATCTGCAGTGGAAGACTCGGAATGGGGGGAGAGCCATAGGGTGTTGAGGAAGACCGCGCATCCTACTTTCTGTGCACAGACGCTTGATGCTTGTGACCCGGTACCGAGAACAGTTGGGCATTCAGTTTGTTTCTTGCTGCCTCTCCCCTCGCTATGCCGAAAGCTAAATCTGCACGCCCAGCTACAGCAAAGGCAACAAAACTTCGGAAGAAGCTGATTCCTTATGCTCAGCCGGAGTCAGGCCCAAGTACAGCTAGCGCATACATCCAGGCTCACCTTCGGTCGGCCTCTACCATTCGTAATTACAACTCCGCAATTAATGGAGCTCGAACCTGGCTCGAACTTAAGTGCATTAAGTACACAAGCCTGACTGAGGACCGAGTTGATGAGTCGGAGCTGGGTCTGTTCCGACACAAGGATGCGTGCATAGCCTTTGAGAAACCTGTTGAGGTCACAGCGCATCTGCTAGCAAAATATATTATGTTCCGGGTTGCAGAAGAAGACAGGTCGGTCTCCGTTGTGGACACCTTGCGCTCTGCCTTCAAGTGGCACTTCCGTAACCTGTCAGTGTTCGCTTCCGTGAGCAGTTTTTCTGGAATCCCACATCTGTCGCTTGTTATAGAGGATTTGAAGGCCCTTGGTATCCACGACCCGACCCTCAGGAGTGCAGGGGCAACCCATGCGACTCCCAGCTGATTATTGACCTTGTTAAGTCAGTGAAGAACCACCGCGCATCTGAGGGCACAGTCCGGAATCATGCAAGGGCCATACGGATCAACGACATAAAGGCAATGCAGAGCATCACAGCTGCTTACTGCTCTCCGAGCCTTATCGTGGATGCGCTGAATCCAGAAATCCCCGATGATTTCTTTACTCTCAAACAGCGTGATGACATCCGTTCACACCTCATGCTTTGTGCCCTAACCTCATTGGGCTGGACGCTGTGGACAAGGCATCTTCACCTTGTGCTTATGGCTCGCTAGTCGGCGCTGACTACTACTTGTATTTCTAAATCTAGAAATGAAGAACTCACGTCCATCCTCATCCGGCACCTTGACTGGGGACATGAGGAGACTGCCCACAATCTTCGACACCTCCGCGTCACTTTGGTCAACCGAAAGGGTTGGCAGAAACGGAATCAGGATGGCGAGCAAGGTAGCCAAGGTAATCCATCCCAAGTATCGGGTCGCTGCATTGCCGTACTAAGATCAGGTTTCAGGGAGCCAGTACAACATCTATCCACTCTATGGCCGTGATACGTTTTCCCATCACCATGATCCTCACACGATCCCGCAGCTGGACACGTACGTTCATGTGATGCACTGGATTCAATTCCTCTCCACTCGGTATTGCGGCCGAACACCTTTAAAGGCTCACTATCCCCTCTTCCCCTCATGCTCGCCCCGTTCTCACGATATCCGCTGGGATACCACTCTTTCCACCACTGCCGTCAACGATCTCTTGGCGTCCTATGGAAAGCAAGCGCATCTGGAGACTGACCGGCTCACATCCCACTGCTTCAGACGTGGCGGACTCCAATACTGGTTCATTCTCGCACCAGTCTTCAGACGGTGGCCGCTTAATCACTGCCAGTGGTGGGGGGGTTGGGCTCCAGGAGAAAGTGTAGGCCGCTGTCCCTGGTTTTGGTTTTATGCACTCACATCTCCATTTTTAGGCGTCAACCCTCCTCAAGTACGCTACTGACATGCTGGCAGATGTTGAGCATAACTACAGTGATGCCCTTGCACCAGTCCACATTGACTACTCCGAATCTCAGAACGGAGCGAAGTCACACCTCAATCCCATGACCGCGGAGGAGACCCGTTCTCAATTCGGTCACCTTGGCACGCGCATAGGCTATGTCGAGTCTCAGCTCCGAAGGCTTGATCAGATCGAAGCTGGATTCAATACCATTCAAGCATCTCTAGATGAACTCAAGTACTATGCAATGGGGATGCTCGTCCCTCACTATCACCCACTCACCACCCGGCACCGCTCTCCAGGTGAGCCCATTCCATATGGAATTGGTAGGCGGTTTGGTTTGGTACGCTTACAACTTTGATTCAAACAGTAACAGTAACGCCAGTGCCTCGAACGTTCCCATTCCCACCTCCTCACATCATACCTCCTCATCCAGCCCCGCGTCCACTTAACCCACACCCTCCCAGTCCCAGGCAACCTCAGGAACGTCGCGACGACGGTCGGCCAGCTCCAGGGGCTGGCCACATCACCATCCCACACGTCTCCACACTCGAAGATGCGATAAAGCAGTGGCTATGTGGGGATGGAAATGAGCTTAAAGTCCCTCTGAAGAAGTGGGAGAAGGGATGGTATACTGGCCGATACTCGGGCGTGCACGGGACGAAATACAACAACCGCCGACGGGTTGGCCAGAAATACGACGAGTTTGTGTAGGCTATTCTGGTCACTGGGCACTTGCTGATGTCGCTTTCCTGACCGTGTAGGATGGGCGAAGCGAAGTTCCTCAGGCACTACGGACTCAAGATGACCGACAATTTCGGTACGGCCCTCAAGGCGATCACGGAGGAAGGGAAGAGGGACGGGTTCATTCAGAGTCGTAACGGCAAAAAATCACACCGAGCATGAACTCTTTCTTTCTTTTTTCTCATTTTCATGTGGACTTACAATTACAATACAACTGCTTGTTTGTCGATCGTCGGCATTCAGAGTCGTAAGTCGTAACGGCAAAAAATCACGCCAACGAGCGTGAACTCTAGATCGGACATGTGTATAGGGGGGGGGGATGATTACAATGAATTTATTCATGTGGACTTACAACCGCTTGTCGATTATCGACATGCAGAACGACTTGGTTTGGAAAACCCCATCACCCATCTCCATCTCCTCTCTCTCTCTCCCTCAAATCTTCACGGTTCCGGGTGAGATCAACGGCGTTCGAATGTGCTCGAGGGGAAGGATCCAACGGACATTTTTCCGATTTTCTTAAGCCGTTTCTTGCAGCTGGGACAAAGAAGATCGCGAAAAAATCGAGGGAATAAGGCGAGCGAGTTCAGAAAATCTCACAGCCCATATCTCCGTCGCATCCCAACCATTCGACACGAGACCGACAGCGTTCGAAAGCCCCCGGGTGGGCGAATCCAACGCCACCTGTGTCGTTCCAAATGGTGGAGATCCGGTGGAGACACGATGGGAGTGCATCGGGCTGTTCCAGAACGAAACGCTGACGGCAGCGGCGGTACTGTATACTGCAAGCAATCCAGATGGATGCCGGGGGCCCATGGGGTGGGGTGGGGTGGACGGACGAGGACCACAACGTGATGACTGGGTGATGTGAACGAATGAATGAAATGATCAAAATATATATATATATCCAAACCAACCAGGCTCACCAAACCAAAGCGCAAAGCGCACCGAAATCCAAGCGTAAAACCGTGACACTCCAGGCCCAGCCACACACACACACACACACACGTTCACAAACGACGGAAGGACACGGACGGATGCAAAAAGCGACACCCCCTTCCCGATCGGGACGACTGAATGCGCGCGCCCTCAGGTTTGGATCCGGAGCGCTAAATCCCAGGATATAAGTATATATTAACGGAATAACCACTTGCTGATGCTAAAGCTCAGTCTCAAGCTAATGCGCGAGAACTATAATATTACCTAATGCTAAAGCTATAAGGTAATATACAATGAGTTACAATGTATAAGAAATAAGAGTAAAAGAATGTTGTAACTAACCCTAACCTCAGTCTCAAGCTAATGCGCGAGAACTGAGGGAAAAAGGAAACTAATCCAAATGAATGAATATAGTTTGTGGACTTTGCGGATAAGTCCGAAGTGACCAAAATAAGTAAGAAGAAAAGGTGTTGTGACCAAGTAGTCACGCTACCGCGGGAATGTGGCTGTACGAAAACTCGTCCGGCCTCCCATAGCACACGGTTCCTCCAACATATATTACTCCTAGTAAAAAAAAAAATCGAGTCTGGATCGAGACCATGGGGTTTAGTTTGCCCGATTTGCACGGAGTCATGAGTCCGTTCGTTCTCAATGACTCTTCGCACATCGAGGATACTTAATCGAATGTGCAAAATCAGGGTGCAGGGACGGGAAATCCTTCGTTCCGTTTCGATTGTTATGAAATTATGTCAGGCTGATCGATTAGAGTGCATGTATTAAGATATCAACAACATCATTGTGAAGCGGGGATGGACTGTAGGTTCGCGTCCATGAGTGGTAGGTCTGTGCGGATAGTAGTCTCCTTGGCTTGGCTGTTACCATGCCCATTGGAGTTGGGACCGGACTTGGGGACGGTCGGTGGTCTTCCAGGGCCTCTCTGATTGCTTTTCGCAGGTGACCCGCCACCAAATAACCCTCGGGTACCTCCCGAACGAAGGTGCTTCCCGAAGCCGGACACTGGCACTCAGACCAGTTGTGAGCCAATTGCTGCTCTGCTCCTTCAGAGACTCCAATGTCGACTCTTGCTCATGCGTTGAAGCGGATGAAATCACAACATCTGCCAAGCCATCAAGAGGCGGAGGCACTGACTCAGGAAACCCTTCCGTTTCCACGGTCGCACCTTCAGAGGCATCCGGACCTGTGTCCGTTGACTGTACTCCAGAAGGCTCTGGTGGGTGTCTGTCAACATGATCCAATTCACCAGAGGATTATTGCCCTTGATTAACGGAATCCCCCCACTTTCGAGAGGTGCAGTGAGCGCACTGTGGCACTGTTGCTCCCCACGTCTGCAGGTATGTCCACGTCTTCTGACATGGCAGGTAGAGTGGACTTAACAAACGTCGAAACTGGCCGCATATTACGGGTTTTCCAAAATCTGGGGAGGGTGATTGGGGGAAAGGATGTCCGTCTTGGTGTAGGGGATTCAGCTCCATATGATGTTGATGCAGGGACAGGGTTGCTGACGTCGATGCTTCCAGCTATTGCTTGTATCGACCGTAAATTTCGGGATGGTCCCGTTTGCTGCCTTCTAAAAACGCTGCTATGATATATGCAACGAAAGCTCGAGCACGCACACTGTCTGCAGGGTGGAGTTGCCTTCCCCAGCGTTGGTGGTAGTGGTGAGGGTCAAAAGAAGGTTTTTGAGATTTGGCAGCGTGTGTCGCATGTTCAGGGCTTACAAGTTGTGCTCTGTCATGAGCTTGCCAGCTGAGGTCGGTAACGCATCCACAGCCTGAACCTGACGAACCTTACCTTTTCAATGACCTTGTTCGGAAGGAACACGGCGTACTCAGTATATGTCCACACCTTTGGAAAAGAGAGGGAACCTACCGTCGGGGTAGGTGGTGAGTAAAAGTTAATCATGGAAATTGGGTATAGCACACACCCGAGGCCCATGCAAGCTAGGAATTGGGTCTTTAACCAGGCTGCGGCCCCAGTACGTGTTGTTAGATGTGACAGCATATGACCCCAATAGAATACTAGGAGGCTGACCACCTGTGCGGCGTAGTCTAACGCAATTGCCGTAGTGTCTTCGTTTACATCTGGGCTAGAGGGAGTTGGTAATGGTACGTCTACTATGGTGAACAAGAGATCTGTTGGAGGGGAAGATACACTCCAGCGACCCCTTTATACTTGGCGGTGGTCTGCAACGGGATGGCCGACGACCCCAAACAGTCGGTTCAAATCTGGTTCCGCTGAGATTCGCGCCTGGGGAAAATTCATCCTTGGGCATCAATGGGGTCCATGATGGATTGGTCGACGATGGATGAGTGGATGAAATGAAGCCTGGAGTTTTGTCATAGTCTCGCTCCGAACTGGATGAGGAAGGGAACGACGAGAACAATGTAGGGAGCGCGAGCGAGCTCCTCCACGACCTCAGCTGGGGCTCAAACCCCAGCCTTGTTGGACTATGGGATGAGGACGAAGAAGGCCTAGATATCGTGTTACGTGTATTTCGATGGGTGGGGCGCTTAGGTGTGTCCTGAGACGGAGGGGCATGAGGTCAGAGATCATTTTGCTTCACTTTCATCCGTGGTGGCAAGCAAATGGTCTGGAAGGTCTCGAACAAGCGAGATGAAACAATAGCTTCCAAATCACTCTGCGTTGACAAAGACGAAATAGCATTCAAGTTTGAGGAACAAAGAGAGGATGCAGCTCGACCTCTCTTGTGCGATGTAGTAGGCCAAACCACTGAAGTTGGTTATTGGCTTTGTGGAGAATCTCTTCCCCAATCACGTGACGGCACTATCAGAGGGCACAGTCCTGAGAGTCGCTGTAGATGCTGACGACACACATCTAGTACGATGGCGTGCCAGAGCGATATCCGGATCGCCAAGTCCATGGCCATCATTCCGCAAAAGGTAGGTCTAAAAATGACGTTATCTCTCGAAAATGGGGACAGATTCCTAATAAAAATCCCATCAATGCTGGATATAGAGCCTTTATTGCATGTTAGAGTAAACCTTGGCGCATTAAACCGACAAGCATTGGGGGCGTGCCTCATTGAAAGGGGGTAATAAGCTTGATGATTCTGTATCCAATCCAGCACCTTGAGGCATTGGTCTCCAAAATCCTTTTCGGCGGTCCAAAGGCAGCGGAATGTGACGGGGATAAACTACTCGGCTCACAGGAAGGGTTGCGAAGAGTTGGAGAAAGGGCCAGCGGAATTTCGATGACATAGCGGACATAGGTCTCGAGAAGTTAGGCGCAGTCAAGGGGGTAAGTCCCGCTCTCTCACTTGACACGTCTATTTCAGTAGCGACTGAGCTCGTGGCATCCGTCGGACGCAACGTCGGAGAAACTGCCAAATCAGACACGGCAGCGGTCGTCAGCATAGCCATAGGCTCCTCAACAGAAGAAACTAGGCTTTTGGGCAATGGTGTAGGGGATTCAGGGCGCAACGATTGTGATCTCCTTGGGAGACTGAGCGGTTCTCCAGTTATTTGAGGAGATACCAGTCCGCGTTCCAAAGGACTACGTGCAGAGAGAACCGATGGTGGACGAGCTTTTATCGTTTCAAAGGGATGCGGCTCAGATGGAGAAGTGGGTTGTTCTTCGGGTGGTTCCCTTGAAAAGCGGTTTGATGTGGTCCGAGTCAGCTTGGCATCAGTAGCTAACTGTTTGTGAATGACTCGTATTTCGGGGAATTGGCACGGGAGAAAGCGGAGATCCTAATCCAAAGCCACTTCTCGGCAGAGGTGCCCTGCCAAGTTTGTCGAAACGCGCTATTTTGTCGCTCAAGCGATTCGCAGGCACCTTTTCCGACGGCGAGTGCTGCGGGCCTGGAGATGGAGTCGAAAATCGTGACGATCCGTTCCCAGGAGGTGTAAGTCCACTGTTGGCTTGCAGCGCAGCAATACGTTCCTTGAGAGTGGACCTGCCCGGTGCGTGTTAAGGACGTTTGGATTGATGATTTACAACAGTGTGCACGCACATATTGAAATTTAACCCAGCCTTCGCAGGTGCACTTTCATCTCACGTCTGAGTACACAATCTGTCCGCGTTAAAGTGGACAACCGTTGAAACCAGCAAAAAATGCATTGCGACTTCAGGACACCAGAATTCTATTGAAATAATTTCAGCATCCTCCGTCACCCTGCCTCCTTTAAGCCTAAGGAGATCGCGAACTCTGCTCTCCTGGGACTCCAGGATTTGGTACTTACTGTAAGAAGCGATATAAAATACTATGCCTACTTCTCCTTTCGGGGGACCATGCTTCCGTTGTTCGCTTTCGGCTCTATGGCCTCAATACTCCCAGAATTTTCCTCGGACTTAATATGGGTGTGTCTCTCTATAATTGTCAGCCCTCCCACCTTCCCTATGTGTCGTTTTTCGCGAGTGGAATCAGCGTATTCCCGTCCTGTTAGTTTCCGGAAAATCAGTAGGAATTGTGGAGCTCACCTCTCTCCATCATCGCTTCCTTCAAAGGCTCCTGCCAAATATATATACCAGATGATACTCCCTCATTGTGTATTTGTCAGCATCGGGTCCTGCTTGCATCCCAAGCCATGACGGAGCTGTAGAACAAGCCCACCTGTCGTTATTGCCACCAGATAGGGAAAGAGCCGGTTCAGCCTCGGCATTCCATTATCTTGATGTACCCGTGTGCTAACTGCTCTGAAATTTACCACGCGGGGAGCTAGACCTGCACAAGACCTACAAGGATCCAACAGGATGACAAAAATGAGCTCAGAATATTCCCAAGCGAGACCTCAATACAGTACGATTTGCTTCGGCCAGCTCCGCGCGGCGAGTGAGCTGATCTGGGCAAGGGAAGTGGTAAACTCGGCAATGAAGAGAAGGAATCATCGAACTAATCATTGTGCGTAGCTAGTGTCCCCAAATGAAAATATCGACCCCGGATATTGTACAGGAGAAGGACGCCAGTCTGGAACTCCGAACTTCACGCAAGTCGAGATCTCAATCTCGCATTTCTTCTCATTCATGTCGTCCGATTCCCCGCCTGTCTCGACCATCTTTCTACCGGTTACAGGGAGGTCTGCAATATCATTTAATCCGGATTGTATCTGTCGAGGACTCAATCTGTAAATATGGCCAGCATACGACTATGCCTTTTTCGCGTGTCAGTGCAAATACGGGACTTTGTCTGCTTATATGCTAGCCCGTCCGCCATGGTCCACATCATAAAGGGCCCCTGGAAGAACCTCTTCGGTGGCACTTTCGTCGGGAATGCCTTGTATGAATGCTACTTAAACCATTTACACGCGCACAAGTCTTTTCGGGATACTCGCAATGCCCGTCGTCCTTTGTTACAAGCGTTTCCGTCGGGATGATGAGTGGGCGTACTCGGCAGCAACACGTCCCGGGCCCACTATGGCGCATTGCCACCTAACCTTAACTTCGAACTGCCTCTAAGATGTCTCAACCATGATGTTGGTCACCATCGCACTTAAGGAATCCTTTCAACCGCGCCTTTTTACTGTTTCTACCGTACTCCATTTCTGGAAGTGTTCAAAGAACACAAGCTACGCATGTCAAGCGCCTCTACGCAATAGGGGCCTGTAAAGCGGGAAAGAGCAAGTCAATGCACCGAGCGAACTTTCGGACGTTGCGGCTCTGCAATTTCCCAAACGAAGTAAGTTTGACAGCACTTACTTTATTGAGTCCTGTGCAACCAATTGATTTACGATTGAACCAGCTTCCTTCTATGAAAGCATTTTCATACGCATCATGTGCATGCGGCGCGCAATTGCGCTGGTACTGTCCTTCGTTCACCCCTTCCACGCGATCGCTATCGCACTGGCGCAATGTCCGAAAAAAATACATCCAAGATTATTCGTCCCCGTAACAAAGGAAAGCGTCCCACTCCCGGCTCGTCTTTGCAAGCATCGCATCCCTTGACCCCTTCGGAGTCCCCTGTTTCGCAGGTCCATGTCACTAGTCCCAATGTATCTTCTGATCACGACAACACCCATCGCTATCAGTTCAGAGGGTCGACGGGACCTTCATATCTTGAGCCCGCAGTGGCTGCTCAGCCTGTACCTTCCGGTGGTCGCCGCGCTGATCCGACGGAACCAGCCTCTTCCACGGGCCGCAGATTGTGGAAGATCTGGGGGAAATTTGCTCTCAATCGTAGCAAGCCCAGCACTCCCGATCCTGTTGAACAGTCGAGAACATCCGCACCCCCTCACCAGCCATCCGCTGATGATAGAGTGCTTCCTCCATCTCCCCTCACCCCTACCGGCAATATTGATGATCTCCTTGAGGCATCTGGGTCGCATGCCACATCCGGCGATCACCTGAACGTCCACGCACAATTGGATTGTGAGGGTATCAACATTTCTGGCCTATCGGAACCCACGATCGCGCCATCGGCTGGCTTAAAGAGTGATCGGAAAAATGTAATCGTTGGTGGTATAACGCTGGTTCTACAAACTGCAGCCGTGGCTCTTAAGTTGGCCCCGGTTCCGGGTCTTGACGCAATCCCGAATTTACTTCTGACGTGGCTCCAGGTTTACGAGGTTAGCTAATATTTCTGTTTCCGTGATAGAAGGGGACGTGTCATTCACGTTTGTGTGGTGTGCGCAGACTGTTGGTGGAAACGATGATGATCTTAAAGGATTGGATGACGACATCCGAAGGGCTTATGTCACCATTCTGCAGCCACTCGAGCTGTTGACGGACCAAATCCCTCCCGAAGTAATTCAGTTGATCAAAAGATTTCACTTGTACGTCCACCTACTCCCGCAGCCGCTGCTCTTCCAATCCAAGAATCCTATTTTCAGGGCCCTGGAACAGCAGATAAACGAGATCAAGTTGTTCAAAAGTCAAAGTCGGGCGAAGAGGATGTTCTTAGCGCGTGAAATCCCCGGGAGGATAAACGGTGTGAAGGCGTGTATAAATGACGCCCTTAACTCATTTGCGGTCTGTCTCCATCAGGACTCCCAAGCCCTTGATTTGACTGATTGATGTGCGTTTTGCAATAGACGCAGGCAACTACTTTGACGCTTCTTCGCACAATTGAAGCATCAGTGCAATGTATGTTATTCCGCTCTTTCCAATATTCGGATTCTTCATCATCTTTCAGCAAAACTTGAACAACTCCCTCGAGTTGCAGCCGAGCATACCTATGTGAAGAGCAAGTCAAAGTGTCTTCCAAGCACCCGAGTTCAAATACAAACATCCCTTCTCAATCATCTGAAGGGGACCGGAAACCGGTTTGTCTGGCTCTGCGGGTCTCCGGGCACCGGGAAGACGGCGGTATGTATGAGCATCGCATCGATGCTTGAGATGGAAGGTACTCTTGCAGCCTCTTTCTTTTGGGACAAAAATCAAAAGGGAACGGGCCTCGATTCTTTGGAGAAGTTTCCTTCTACACTGGCACGTCAACTTGCGATCTTTAATGGAGACTTCAAGGTCTCGCTCGTCAAACGTCTTCGAGAGCCGAATTCGGAGATGGTTCTGAGTCTCCCTCTGGAGAAGCAAATGAGGACTTTGATTCTTGAGCCGATGAATGGTCTCAAGGGCATATTGTCTGCAAGCGAGAAACGTTTTACCATCATCTTGGATGGTTTAGATGAATGTGGGGATTCAGAGACACTTGGGACTCTGATGAACCTCGTGCTTGCGCTTGACGAGTTGCCATCAGCATTTTCCATACTGGTCAGTTCTCGACCTGAATCTCAAGTTGTTTCAGCTTGGGATGAATCTCGGGATCAGGGCTTTGTCATCCCATGTGAAGACATGGATAAGGTTGCACGAGACGAGACTTTTGACACGATCCGGCTTATGGTAACGGATGGGCTTAAGGACTGCATCAGAAAGTCACAGTGGAAACCATTGATGGACGATCTTGATGCCTTCACTCTGGCTTGCCGTGGTTTGCCTGTCATGGCCTCGATCCGGATACGGGAAGTTCGGTTTCGGACTCAAGGGGGTTCTGTGCTCAAATTAGAGTTTCGATACTTCCTTGACCTCCAAGATGCGCCCAAGGATCTCAATGAGGAGTACTTGCGAATAATGCGGCGAGCCTTTAGGCCCAACATGGCAAGCATCCCTTCACATGTAGTGAATAATTATCGCCAAGTAGTTGGGATGGTCGTTGTTGCGCATGATCCACTCAGTGTTTACAGCATGTCGCGTCTCTTGGGAATTGCGGAGGATGAGATCTATGCGATACTGAATCCTATTGGTTCGATCATTGACATCCCCTCAAACAATATGAATGTCAAATTCTATCATGCGACGGCAAAGGAATTTATCACGGGAGACCCCATTGGCGAGGAAGAGGACAAGGTGTTCTTTATCGATGATCCAAAAGGATATTTTCTTGGATTACGACTCCTTCGACTTGTGAATGATGTCGTTGAAAGGAACGAGGTTGGGATTCCCACTGAACTCCCTTTGGGGGATAGAAAGAAGTGGGATGATTTTTGGGTACCCGACTACATCCAGTATTCATTCGAGTGGTCCCTTTACCACTTGGATCCTTCATCACTCTTTTCAGAAAAGTCTAATGAATTGCAAAGAGAGTTTGAACGACTCCTGACACAAAACTTGTTGCCATTCTTAGCAATTTCTGAATGGTGGACGAAATGGGCGGCTTGGGATAAGTGGCATGATTTGGATGAATTCTCCGTGAGTTTCCACATATATTTCATGTATTTGAATGATATGACATCACTTGATGCTGTATAGAATCACAAATCAATGAAGCTGGTGAAGGAAGCTTTCGGAACCACTTTGTGGCGTAGTCCCGAATTCAATCCTTGGCATGTTTATCGATCATTCCTTCCATTCACCTCATCGTCACTCTATGAATTGTATGGTCGTCTCTCCGATCCCGTTCAAGTGTTTTCCATATCCGGCGAGTTTTCCGGTGGCTTTATTCCTTTGAGTGAGGATGTACGGAATGCTCAGGAGGTTGCCGAGGCAAAACTGAGCAACCTGCCAAAGAAGTTTGATAAATATGGCAAGGAAGTAACTAATTACGAAGCCGAGTTCACTGAACATGATGTTCGCAATGGAGTTGTGACCTGTGCAGCGATATCTCAAGATGGTTCTCATGTCGCCCTCGGTTTTGGGAATGGGTTCATCGAAGTTGCAGACATCAACCATCAGCGTACAATCTCTCGCTTCCAGTCTGATCCCCCCAACCATCCAGTTTGGATAGAGTTTATCCTTGGTGCCAATGCTCAGATTGCCACCGAGGACACTCATGGAAACATCTCCGTTCTCAGTCATGGCACACGTTTGGTGCCATGTGGCGCTCTTCCTAGTGGTCATCACCCTGCTATCACGGCATTGTCGAGCAATGGATGCTTTATCGTCCGAGTTCCTCGAACTCAGAATTGGTACAACAACGTGGCACTCCTATATTTTTCAGGAGAGCCATCCATTCGGCTCCTCGCATCTCCTTCGGCTCTCTTCATTCCTTCCGATCCTCAACTTTCATCTACTCCTCTATGTCACACAGTTGGATTCTCTCCTGGAGGCCGATATGCAGGCGCTTACGATGCGAACTGCGCTTTCGTCTGGTCAACGAATACATCGGAGTTGGTTGCTCGATATTGGGTGCAAAATTCTGAATTCTGGATTTTCAATCCCGGTTATGTTCTTCCTCTCCCGTATCTCGTTCCTACACCGGTATTTGGTGACCACGCCATTCATTTGACCCTGGAAGAGGCTGCAACCCATGTACAAAGTTCCGAGCCAGATTCAAGAGACAATGCAGACGAATCCTGGCTGAAATGCCCTTTTTATAACCTCTCGCCGAACATGACCAGGTTGGATGGGCACGATAAAGCCTCTGCCTATTCCTCAGTGATAGGGCGGGTTCCATTTCTTTCTATCCAGTCCAAATTCTCGATACCTCTGGTCTTCTTTAATGGACAAGTCGAACTCATTGTCGAATTCAAGTACCGCCCAGTCTTTAGAAACCTGAATCCCTCCCCCAGCGAGAATAAATCCTGGTACGGTGATCTGCTGTTCCAGGATGAGAGCAGAGTTACCCTATATCACTTTCCTCGGGCTAGCAAGGACGGGACCCGATTTCTGCTCCAGGGAAAACTGAGAGCCCCGGTGGTCGTCGATATCAGCCAAGTTGTCGTTTAGTGATGTACATCCCTACTCCTTAACTGCTAAGTTGACTGTTTTCCGATTATTTGGAGAGTATTGAAATTAAGAATTATGTTACTTGATGAGTGTGGTTGTACATAACAACGTCATGTAAGAAAACGCTCTAACGTCTTGTTCCCGTCAACACTACAATTGGTGCATGGTATTATATGCAAATTTTTTCACGAAGGCTTTCGGCACCCAGCACTCGAGTTTGGCAAGAGCTGATCAAATCCCTGACGTCGCCAACGATTGGTTGGGGATAACTTTCGGCACCCCCGGCCCCCTAGGGGATATTGTCGTTGTGTTTTAAACGTGTGAGTGGTATCGATTAGCTTTAAAATGTGGCTTGTCTTGACGGGACTTGTGGCTTTTGCTTTCAAGGATATTTTCATGACCATGCAAGGCGCTAGTTTGCCAGTATGTACATGCATGATTTGGCGATGGCCTTCCCCACCCCAACTCAACGCGTTTCGAAGGGGAGTTTTCCCTCATACAAAACTGCTGCACGCAACAGTAGCATCATATCCCTTATATATAGTCCAATCTTTCTTTCTTTGCGTCCCGAATTTTGGAGCTGTGAGTTCTTCTGGGAATTAAATGAATTTCACTGTTCAGAGTTAACCCCGTCTGCTACGTAGTTCCTTCATGCGCCCGCGGCCGGTACGTACGTTGATTGGTGCTTTCTTAAAATTAGCTGCAATGATACTTACCCGCGCGGCCGCTACATAATCATAATCACAGCAAGCCCTTGTTGTCGCTCGGTTCCGCAGGCCAGAATGTCCTTACGCTCATAAACTGAGGTTTGGGTTGTCAACAACATAGGTGAGTTCAGAGTCCCCACTTTTAGAGTTCTCATTAGTCGCGATATCATTGTGGCGTCCGTGCGTGTTGGCATGATGCCTAACGATCGGATCTTGCCATTGCGATCCGATAATGACAACATATCGATGAAACTCGCGTCCATAAGTGGAAGCGGACAGCTGCAGCTTGACTGGCGATACAGTGTAGTTTTCATCTTGAATACCTCGGCCCATCGGTTCTATGTAAATTATAAAACTGCCATGCAGCATATGACGCCGGCGGCTTAATGTTGGCACAACCAAGGTCTAGACCGCGATATCGAACGTTGTTAGACATCGCGCCCTCCGAGTCTGCCAAACTTGCTATATCTCAACGCGTGTGGTGTTGCGGCAATATTGGTATCGCGTACAACAAAAGACATTCTGAAATGAAACTTCATGCTTTCGAGCTTTGTGTGACTCCAATGTCGACTCTTGTTCATGCGTTGGAGCGGATAAAATCACAACATCTGCCAAGCCATCAAGAGGTGGAGGCACTGACTCAGGAGACCCCTCAGGTTCCGCGGCCGCACCTTCAGAGGCATCCGGACCTGTGTCCTTTGACTGTACTCCAGAAGGCTCTGGTGGGTGCCTGTCAACATGATCCAATTCACCCCGCCTCTTCCGACTTTGCGGGTGGGGTGGACTTAACGGACGTTGAAACTGGTCGCACGTCACGGGTTTGCCAAAACCCGGGGAGGGTGATTGGGGGAAAGAATGTCCGTCTGTGTGTAGGAGATTCGGCTCCATATGTTGATGCAGAGACCGGGTTGCAGGCATCGATGTCTTCACCTGTGGTTTGGATCGACCGTAAATTTCGGGATTCCCGGTTGCTGCCTTTTAAAAAACGTTGCTATGAGAATGATATATATAACAAAAGCTCGAGCATGCGCACTGTCTGCAGATTGGAGTCGCCTTCCGCAGCGTTGGCGGTGAGGGCCAAAAGAAGGCTTTTGTGATTTGGCAGCGTGTGTCACATGTCCAGGGCTTGCAAGTTGTGCCAGCTGAAGTCGGTAACGTGTTCACAGCCTGAATCTGACGAACCTTACCTTTTCAATGTCCTTGTTGGGAAGGAACACGGCGTACTCAAATCTATACATCACACCTTTGGAAAAGGGAGGGAACCTATCGTCAGGGTAGGTGGTGAGTAAAAGTTAATTGTGGAAATTGGGCAGAACATGCATTCGGGTCCATGCAAGCTAGAAATTGGGTCTTTGATCAGGCTGCGGCTCCCAACAAGCGATCTGTTGGGGGAGATGTTGGCTCTATGGGGGAGATACACTCCAGCGACCGCACCACAGTTGCCCGCCTGGCCTGAAGCATTGCCTCCTGGGATGAGAAGCGCACCCTAGAAGAACAATGTCCAGTTTTCAAGGGATAGCTGTCTGTACTCTTGCGAGATGTAAACAAGCCCAGTTCAGCAAGAAGGTCCCTGTTCGAAGTATCGCTCGCGCAGCACGAAGATTGGTTCTTCCTCCGTCTAACTGCTTACGGCGGCGCTGGATGGTTGAATGGGTTGAGGATGACGGCAGAATCGGGGTTTCATGTTTAATTTCGCGCTCACGTCAATTGAACTCACTTTCCAACACTCCTAAACCAATCAATGACTGTTGACTCATGTACTCGTCAAGTTGGCATTGAAAGACCGTGCCTACCAGTCGCATTAGTAAAGGGACCTTGGTTACAAGTGTAGTATCTACCTTGGTGGTCGTGCTATCCCCAGCAAGCATAAAATTCACTATATCCATCCCGTTGCACAAAGATCTTAATTCTACATCCACCGAGTAATTTGCGTCAAGGAGTCTAGGATATATCAATTTTCAATCCCAGTAACATACGAAACGGAAAGTACTTTAACGTATCTGCAAGAGACGCGCCATGCTTCGCCATAGCCTCTCCTCACACTTAACACCCCCCGCATTCGGTTCTACGTCACTGTGTCTAGATCCATGATGCACCCGGCGATTAATGACCGTTGGTCCCAGAGCATCAATTCCACTGTCCGAAACTTTCTGGTGTTCTAGAGACGGCGAGCATTCAGGAATGATGTCACTTGACAACCCAAGGTACAGTTTTCCGGTAGCACCCAGGCTAAATACTAGGAAGTTAGGCAGCAGATATTCCGTCGTCGACTGAAACTGGAGGATGAATTTCGCATGGCAATTTCAATGCGAAATCTCATGAACATCAGAAGCGTACATCCGGGGCAAAAGGCTTCGAACGCCGGAGGTCAACACGCCACATGGCGAGAGGATCCCAGAAGGCCCTTCCGTGGCGTAGTCGTCCTACTTTCCCCTTTATACTCGGCGGTGGTCTGCGACCGGATGGCCGACGACCCCAAACAGTCGGTTCAAATCTGGTTACACTGAGATTCGCGCCTGGGGAACATTCATCCTTGGGCATCAATGGGGTCCATGATGGATTGGTCGACGATGGATGAGTGGATGAAATGAAGCCTGGGATTTTGTCATAGTCTCGCTCCGAGCTGGATGAGGAAGGGAACGACGAGAACAATGCAGGGAGCGCTCGCGAGCTCCTCCGCGACCTCAGCTGGGGCTCAAACCCCAGCCTTGTTGGACAATGGGATGAGGACGAAGAAGGCCTAGATATCGTGTTACGTGTATTTCGATAGGTGGGGCGCTTAGGTGTGTCCTGAGACGGAGGGGCATGAGGTTGGAGATCATTCATCCGTGGTGGCAAGCAAATGGTCTGGAAGGTCTCGAACAAGCGAGATGAAACAATAACCTCCAAATCACTCTGCGTTGACAAAGACGAAATAGCATTCAAGTTTGAGGAACAAAGAGAGGATGCAGCTCGACCTCTCTTGCGCGACGTAGTAGGCCAAACCACTGAAAGTTGGTTATTGATGAAGCCAGCTTTGTGGAGAATCTCTTCCCCAATCGCGTGACGACACCATCAGTGGGCACAGTCCTGAGAGTCGCTGTAGATGCTGACGACACACATCTAGTACGATGGCGTGCCAGAGCGATATCCGGATCGCCAAGTCATTCCGCAAAAGGTAGCTGGGAAAAGGTCTAAAAATGACCTTATCTCTCGAAAATGGGGACAGATTCCTAATAAAAATACCATCAATGCTAGATATAGAGGCTTTATTGCATGTCAGAGTAAACCTTGGCGCATAAAACCGACAAGAATTGGGCGTGCCGCATTGAAGGGGGGTAATAAGCTTGATGGTTCTGTATCCAAGCACCTTGAGGCATTGGTCTCCAAAATCCTTTTCGGCGGTCCGAAGGCAGCGGAACGTGACGGGGACTCACAGGAAGGGTTGCGAGGAGTTGGAGAAAGAGACCGTATAGACGAGGGACCCGGAAAATGTGGCTCTGTCGGTTTGGATTTCGGGCAGGCGGAAAATACGCTGCCGCTTGAGCGAGATAGGAAGGTGTGGATGGCCGGGGCCCACTTTCGACAGGGGTGCGTATCAGAGCAGGCATCAATGGTTGTGCTGGTGAAGACGATATCGACGCTGGCAGCGGGGTCGATTCGGTTTTTGGAGAGGTATCTTTGGGGGACAAGCTCTCTGATCGGGCCTTCACTGGAGTGCTTTCTAAGGATACAACATCCCTGGATGCGATCCTCGACACCGCACGAGTAGACGTTACAGAAGAAAGGGCCAGCAGAATTTCGGTGACATAGCGGACACAGGTCTCGAGAAGTTAGGCGTAGTCAAGGGGGTAAGTCCCGCTCTCTCACTTGGCACGTCTATTTCAGTAGCAACTGAGCTCGTGGCATCCGTCGGACGCAGGGTCGGAGAAGCTGGAAAATTAGACACGGTGGTCGTCAGCATAGCCATAGGTTCCTCAACAGAAGAAACTAGGCTTTTGGGCAATGGTGTAGGGGATTCAGGGCGCAACGATTGTGATCTCCTTGGGAGACTAAGCGGTTCTCCAGTTATTTGAGGAGATATCAGTCCGCGTTCCAAAAGACTATGTGCAGAGAGAATCGACGGTGGACGAGCTTTTATTGTTTCAAAGGGACGCGGCTCAGATGGAGAGGTGGGTTGTTCTTCAGATCGTTCCCTTGAAAAGCGGCTTGATGTGCTCCGAGTCAGCTTGGCATCAGTGGCTAACTGTTTACTCCATAAATCGCTTGAATGACTCGTATTTCACGGAATTGGCACGGGAGGAGGCGGAGATCCTAATCCAAAGCCACTTCTCCGCACAGGTGCCCTGCTGAGTTTGTCGAAACGCGCTGTTTTGTCGCTCAAGCGATTCGCAGGCACCTTTTCCGACGGCGAGCGCTGCGGGCCTGGAGATGGAGTCGAAAATCGTGACGATCCGTTCCCAGGAGGTGTAAGTCCACTGTTGGCTTGCAGCGCAGCAATACGTTCCTTGGGAGTGGACCTGACGGGTGCGTGTTAAGGACGTTTGGATTGATGACTTACAACAGTGTGCACGCACATATTGAAATTTAACCCAGCCTTCGCAGGTGCACTTTCATCTCACGTCTCAGTACACAATCTGTCCGCGTTAAAGTGGACAACCGTTGAAATCAGCAAAAAATGCGTTGCGACTTCAGGACACCAGAATTCTATTGAAATAATTTCAGCATCCTCCGTCACCCTGCCTCCTTTAAGCCTAAGGAGATCGCGAACTCTGCTCTCCTGGGACTCCAGGATTTGGTACTTACTGTAAGAAGCAATATAAAATACTATGCCTACTTCTCCTTTCGGGGACCATGCTTCCGTTGTTCGCTTTCGGCTCTATGGCCTCAATACTCTTCCTCCTTGGACTTAATATGGGCTGGCCTCTCTATAATTGTCGGCTCTCCCACCTTCCCTACGTGTCGTTTTTCGCGAGTGGAATCAGCGTATTCCCGTCCTGTTAGTTTGCTGGCAAATCAGTAGGAATTGTGGAGCTCACCTCTCTCCATCATCGCTTCCTTCAAAGGCTCCTGCCAAATATATATACTAGATGATACTCCTTCATCATGTATTTGTCAGCACCCGGACCTGCTTGCATCCCAAGCCATGACGGAGCTGTAGAACAAGCCCACCTGTCGTTATTGCCACCAGATAGGGAAAGAGCCGGTTCAGCCTCGGCATTCCGTTATCTTGATGTACCCGTGTGCTAGCTACTCTGAAATTTATCACGCGGGGAGCTAGACCTGCACAAGACCTACAAGGATCCAACAGGATGACAAAAATGAGCTCAGGATGTTCCCAAGCGAGACCTCAATACAGTACGATTTGCTTCGGCCAGCTCCGCGCGGCGAGTGAGCTGATCTGGGCAAGGGAAGTGGTAAACTCGGCAATGAAGAGAAGGAATCATCGAACTAATCATTGTGCGTAGCTAGTGTCCCCAAATGAAAATATCGACCCCGGATATTGTACAGGAGAAGGACGCCAGTCTGGAACTCCGAACTTCACGCAAGTCGAGATTTCAATCTCGCATTTCTTCTCATTCATGTCGTCCGATTCCCCGCCTATCTTGACCATCTTTCCACTCCTCGCTGGTTACAAAGAGGTCTGGAATATAATTTAATCAGGATTGTATCTGTCGAGGACTCAATCTGTAAATATGGCCAGCGTGCGACTGTGCCTTTTTCGCGTGTCAGTGCAAATACGGGACTTTGTCTGCTTATACGCTAGCTCGTCCGCCGTGGTCCACATCATAAAGGGCCCCTGGAAGAACCTCTTCAGTGGCACTTTCGTCGGGAACGCCATGTATGAATGCTACTCAAACCATTTACACGCTCACAAGTACAAGTCTTTTTGGGATACTCACAATGCCCGTCACAAGCGTTTCCGTCGGGATGATGAATGGACTCGGCAGCAACACCTCCTGGGCCCACTATGCATTGCCATCTAACCTCAATTTCTAAGATGTCTCAATCATGATGTTGGTCACCATTGCACTCTCCGCCACTCACGTTATGCACTAACCACTTGATATTCCCTGCATTTTCATCGCCAACAAAACATCGTTTTACTTAAGGAATCCTTTCAACCGCGCCTTTGTACTGTTTCTGCCATACTCCATTTCTGGAAGTGTTTAAAGAGCACAAGCTACGCATGTCAGGCGCCTCTACGCAATAGGAGTCTGTAAAGCGGGAAAAAGCAAGTCAATACACCGAGCAAAATTTCGGACGTTGCGGCTCTGCAATTTCCCAAACGAAGTAAGTTTGACAACACTTGCTTTATTGAGTCCTGTGCAACCAATTGATTTATGATTGAACCAGCTTCCTTCTACGAAAGCATTTTCATACGCATCATGTGCATGCGGCGCGCAATTGCGCTAGTACTGTCCTTCGTTCACCCTTCCACGCGAGCGCTATCGCACTGGCGCAATGTCTGAAAAAAATACATCCAAGATTATTCGTCCCCGTAACAAAGGAAAGCGTCCCACTCCCGGCTCGTCTTTGCAAGCATCGCATCCCTTGACCCCTTCGGAGTCCCCTGTTTCGCAGGTCCATGTCACTAGTCCCAATGTATCTTCTGATCACGACAACACCCATCGCTATCAGTTCAGAGGGTCGACGGGACCTTCATATCTTGAGCCCGCAGTGGCTGCTCAGCCTGTACCTTCCGGTGGTCGCCGCGCTGATCCGACGGAACCAGCATCTTCCACGGGCCGCAGATTGTGGAAGATCTGGGGGAAATTTGCTCTCAATCGTAGCAAGCCCAGCACTCCCGATCTTGGTGAACAGTCGAGACCATCCGCACCCCCCACCAGCCATCCGTTGATGATAAAGTGCTACCTCCATCTCCCCTCACCCCTACCGACAATATTGATGATCTCCTTGAGGCATTTGGGTCGTATACCACACCCGGCGATCACCTGAACGTCCACGCACAATTGGATTGTGAGGGTATCCACGTTTCTGGCATATCGGAGCTCACGGTCACTCCATCAGCCAGCCTAAAGAATGATCGAAAAAAAGTAATCATTGGCGGTATAACGCTGGTTCTACAAACTGCAGCCCAGGCTCTTAAGTTGGCCCCGGTTCGGGGTCTTGACACAATTCCGAATTTACTTCTGACGTGGCTCCAAGTTTACGAGGTTAGCTAATCTTTCTGTTTCCGTGATAGAAGAGGACATATCATTCGCTCGATCTCATGTTTGTTTGATGTGCACAGTCTGTCGGTGGAAACGATGATGATCTTGAAGGATTGGATGACGACATCCGAAGGGCTTATGTCACCATTCTGCAGCCACTCGAGCTGTTGACGGGCCAAATCCTTCCCGAGGTGGTTCAGTTGATCAAAAGATTTCACTTGTATGTCCACCTACTCCCACAGCCGCTGCTCTTCCAATCCAAGAATCCTATTTTCAGGGCCCTGGAACAGCAGATAAACGAGATCGAGCTGCTCAAAAGTCAAAATCGGGCAAAGAGGATGTTCTTAGCGCGTGAAATTGCCAAGAGGATAACCGGTGTGAAGGCGTGTATAAATGATGCCCTTAACTCGTTTGAGGTTTGTCTCTCCATCAGAGCCCCCAAGCCCTCGATTTGACTGGCTGATGTGCATTTTGCAACAGACACAAGCAACTACTTTAACGCTTCTTCGCACAATTGAAGCATCGGTGCAATGTATGTCACTTCGCTCTTCCCAATATTAGGCTCTTTCATCACCACTACATCTTTCAGCAAAACTCGAGCAGCTTCCACGAGTTGCGGCCGAGCACACCTACGTGAAGAGCAAGTCAAAGTGTCTTCCAAGTACACGACTTCAAATACAAACATCCCTTCTCAATCATTTGAAGCGGGCCGGAAACCGATTCGTATGGCTCCGTGGGTCCCCTGGCACAGGGAAGACGGCGGTATCTATGAGCATCGCATCGATACTTGAGAAGGAAGGTGCTCTTGCAGCCTCTTTCTTTTGGGACAAAAATCAAAAGGGGACGGGCCTCGATTCTCTGGAGAAATTTCCTTCTACACTGGCACGTCAACTTGCGAACTTCAATGGGGACTTCAAGGTCTCGCTTGTGAAACGCCTTCGACAGCCGAATTCGGAGTTGGTTCTCAGTCTTCCTCTGGAGAAACAAATGAGGACTTTGATTCTGGAGCCGATGAATGGTCTCAAGGGCATAATGTCCGCAAGCAAGAAACGCTTCACCATCATCTTGGATGGTTTAGATGAATGTGGGGATTCAGTGGCACTTGGGACTCTGATGAGCCTCGTACTTGTGCTTGAGGAGCTGCCTTCAACGTTTTCCATACTGGTCAGTTCTCGCCCTGAATCTCAAGTTGTTTCGGCTTGGGATAAATCTCGGAATCGGGGCCATGTCATCCCATGTGAAGACATGGATAAGGTTGCACGAGACGAGACTTTCGACACGATCCGGATTATGGTAACGGACGGGCTTAAGGATTGCATCAGAGAGTCACAGTGGAAACCATTGATGGACGATCTTGATGCCTTTACTCTGGCTTGCCGTGGTTTGCCTGTCATGGCCTCGATCCGGATACGGGAAGTTTGGTTTCGGACTCAAGGGGGTTCTGTCCTCAAATTAGAGTTTCGATACTTCCTCGACCTCCAAGATGCGCCCAAGGATCTCAATGAGGAGTACTTGCGAATAATGCGGCGAGCCTTTAGGCCCAACATGGCAAGCATCCCTTCACATGTAGTGAATAATTACCGCCAAGCAGTTGGGATGGTTGTTGCTGTGCAATATCCACTCAGTGTTTACAGCATGCATGACAGGATTGGGGTTCCAGGTTATCTAAAATCCTGCATGAGGAGGATTTTATCATCAAAACTTATATACGCCATAATTTTTCAGCTATAATATTACTACCTTGTAACACATGTTATGACATATATTCGAGGATCCGCTGCGATCTACAACTGCCCACCTCCCCAATCCTGAGTTCATCATGTCCGGTTTTGCGATTACGACACATTTTGATATTGATGTTGATTTTGGAAGGCGGCCAAGCCTCATTTCTCTTCGGCTCTTCGGGTGCATCGCGCACGCTCATGTCCCCGAAAACTTCCAGAAAAGCTGTCGAAGGAATCCACATCAGATTTAGGCGAGCGCTTGGGTGCTCTATGATCATGAGAAGCGCCGGATTATAAAAGCGCGTGAGGTCGAGTTTTTCGAAACAGGGAGTAGCAAACGTGTCGGGATGGAAATGGATGATAAGGAAGGGTAAATGGGAGTAGGAAAGGAATCTAAGTGCATCATAGAACGTCAGAATGGCGACTCAGGGGCAAAAGTCAGAAACAATAACGCGAGCGCACCAAAAATCGACCAATTAACCAAAACTCGTGTATCCAACCCTCAAGATCCATCCACATCAATGCAAAGGGACCGCACGAAGAAGCCCCATCGCCACAGACGCCACTCCTCATCGATCGAGCCCAAAGTGCCCAGAAGATTTTCCAAAGGCACCTGATATAGCGACTTTACTGGGAAAGTGAGGCAGCGGACAATACAAATGGCAAAGAGGAACCTTTATTCATGTTTCCAACAGCAGAAGACCCATCTTGCTTGCCGCAAAATCACAAAGATGCTAGTGGGCATCTACGAGCTGTGGCGTTCCCGAGAAGCTGTGGTCCATAGGAGTGATGGAGCCCTAAGTTTGGACCTATTAACAGATACAACTGCTGGACACAGAGTAGCAGAGACCCATTAGTAATGGAGATGTTGCAACTGAGGGAGTTGGGCTTCAATGCGTTGTGTCGATCTGTTTGGCCCTGTTTATGTTGGCCCTCGGGTTAATTTCAATCCCAATCTCACACTCCGTGATACAACTCACTCGCCATGCCTCAATCTAGCCAGAAATGAGGAATTGATCGCGGGCAGGGGAGGCTAGAAGCAGCACGTGAAGGTGTGCCCTTTCTCTTGGAACAATGCACTTATGTGTGGTTCACATTCGTGTCATGACTGTGCCATCTTCATAATATTGGTAGAGCTTCTGGCGGAAGTTAACACATGTAAGGAAACATGAAGACCATTGTTTTATCTTCAACAACCAACTAGAGTCACACAGCACAAAAGAAACATGTCCAGGGCCGATTCCAATGTCACGCGGCTCTGAGATAGAACGACCATAATGTGTGTAAGCCTTCTCATACTATCAAATCATTGAATGCTTACCAACATGTCGCTTTGACCTCAAAACCTGTCACCGGTACTAGGGCATCGGCAAAAAATCGCAAGGCGTTACATCTTTACTGCACACTGTTGTTATGAGTAGACTGGCCATCAGCAGCTGCACTCGTGTGATACCAAGGGACTGAGGTAAGTACTTAAGCTGACTATTGTTGCATTTAACTATGGCGCCTTTTATAGTACATCAAAGCCATGCTACAAGGTGATTGGTGCACAATCCAATCGGGAAGGCAGTGTCGCGTGTTTGGGATGTTGCACGCTAGCGCTGTGCTGTTGCCTGAATGGTAACATAAATGCGTAATCCAACATGTGGGTGCTTAACATCTCACTAGTAACGGTGCTAGGCACTACCTTTAACTCAACCACAGTATAATATGTCGCACCGAACCCCCACCTCTATCCTTTTCTCCAACAACACTCACAGCCTCCCTGTCATATCCATCCCTGGCCATCGACTTCCACTCCCTCCGACCCCTCCGGTCTACCTCTGCTCCTTCTTCACTAACCTCGGAGCTCCTGTATTCCGCAATCACCTTGGTACCCCTCGATGGTCACCACCCCCTCTTTTCAATTTATTACCTACACCTCCCTAAGTATGGAGCCCCAAAGGCTTCCGGACAGCTCCGACATCCGCTAGCGCACCCCCGCCTCCGCTGGGCAATACACTTGCTTGCCCTGCAAAGCCCACCTTTGGGCCTATCCCTCCTTTCCATTTCTGGGTTATCGCCTACCATTCCGTTAACCCCGTAACCCAACTCATCGGTAATATTCAATCAGCTAATGTCTAACCCCATTAGCTCTGCTCCACTTGCCTCCGCCGTTTGCGGACCCGCCCTTGTTGTAACTATATATATACTCAACTTGTACATAGGTTACACCTCAGTAATAAAATCAACTAGAGTTTACCCCCTTCAGTTCTGGTTGCCAGTTTAGTAAGTTAGGGCACGGACATGTTACTTGGCACAGCGCTCCTGGCATAAGTCGCTGAGGCCGAAGCCCTCCGTCACGGAGACACTCCCTCGTCTCAACCTGGTCTCTGACAGTATTTTATTACTCCCTGACTAGTACACATCTTGTATGGCACCAAAAGCCCCTCACACTCGTTCGCAACTATGCACCTTAGTTCCCAACTCCACCTCACCATCCCCAGAACCCTCACAGCCTGGTCCTAGTCGATTGGCAAGAAACCCAGTTGAGTTTTGTAGCTTTTCTAATCTAGAAACCCCTCTCCCATCAACTCCGATCATGTGTCCCGTTAGGAATCGATCACCAGTTGCAGATTCTGATTTCGGAGACACCATGGAACAACCCATAGACCCCGTTCACTTCTTTGGACTCGGTTCCGAGGTCCCCGACTTCGTCGACCCTCCTCCTGCTGATCCTCCCATCCCCACTGTCCCAACCGCCGATGATGCCGAACCCATCCCCAACATGGCTATTGCACAATTAGCCCAAGCCATTGCCAGCTTGGCTCGTCACACCGGATGCCCACCACCTCCACCATCCTCTGCTCTCTGGACCAAGGTCCGCAAGCCCGAACAGTTCGACAGGAAAGATCCCCGAGAACTCTGAGTATTTCTGGTCCAATGTGAACTTAATTTCCAGGACCGTCCCCTCGCTTTTGCTAGCGACCGCACTAAGGTCATCTTCGCACAGTCCTACCTCAAGGGAATGGCCCTCAATTGGTTTGAGCCAGATCTACAGTATTCGATCAAAATTCTATGCTTCGTCCACGATGGATGAATAACTATCAAGAGTTCGTCAACAAACTTCAAACCAACTTCGGTCCTCACGATCCTGTGGGCGACGCCAAAGTTCAACTAATGACCCTGGACATGAAGGATGGGCACCACATCAATAAGTACGTCGTCAAGTTCAACCGACATGCCTCTCAACTTCATGGTTATGGAGAAGCTGCGCTTCGTTGTTTTTTCTATAACGGACTGCTGGAACGTATCAAGGACAATATTGCTAGAGTAGGTAAACCTTCTACTCTTTCTGAACTTCGCACCTTGTTGCAAACTTTCGATGCGTGCTATTGGGAGCGTAAATCTGAAGTTACACATCACGCGGAACCCTCCTCTAACGTTTTCGACAAGTCCACCACTGCTTCTTGTTCCGACCCCATCCCTTCCTCCTCCTCTTTCAACTCCGCTTCCGGTAGCAAGCCTCCAAAGGACAATAAGAAGTCCAAGGCCAGCTCCGCTAAACCGGACCTTTCATCAAAACTCGGAGACAACAGCAAGCTCACGCCACAAGAGTGTAAGCATTGTCTCAACGAGAAACTTTGTATGTTCTGCAGCCAGTCTGGCCACATGGTCAAGGACTGTCCCAAGTCTTCTTCTCGCACGTCTAAGGCCCGTTTGGCCCAGACCAAGGAGCAAGGATCTGCTTCTGCAGAAGCAAAAAATTAGTCCGCACCCCCGTGGACTCCGCACGGACTGGGGGTTGCGATTCTTCCCTCCGTGTGCTCAAAGAAGTGCATTTAAATGCGTCTTCCATCTCCAACTTATCCTCCCTCCATTTTCCCATTTCCTTTTCTCTTTCAAATGGTCTATTTTCTCCTCTCAATGTTGACCCTCCAGTTAATGTTCTACCCATTGTAGATAGTGTTGCTGATGTACCACTCTCTCCTCCACCCCCTCCGACTACTTCCATAGATCGATCCACCTCTCTCCGTTTCTCTTCTTTCTCTTCTCCTGTCCCTTCTCCTCCGTCCAATGATAGGACACAAAATAAACTTTTCCACTCCTATGAGAACGTACCTGCACTCATAGACTCTGGGTCTTTGGACTGCTTCATCGACGACACATTCGTAAAGAAGTTGGCCTTGAAGACATATCAGATTAAACCCCTACAACTATGCCTATTCGACGGTAGCACCAACTCAATCATAACCCATGCCGTCGATATTCCCCTCTGCTTCGCTTCTGGAAACATCACCCCCATGACTTTCTTTGTCACATCGCTGGATGGATCATGTTCCCTAGTCCTAGGACACAACTGGCTTACCCGCTACAATCCGTTGATTGACTGGGTCTCAAGCAGTATTACGTTCCGAACTTCTGAACCTACCAAGACAGTTACTCTGAGCTCTCCCCCATCGTCTCTGGCACCACTGCCGTCGTCCGACATCCAACCATCTGATGCTCCGCCAGCACCTCAGTCACAGGCTCCCTTTCCTCCGTTACCATCTATCGAGTTCGTCAGCCATTCTGCATTCACGAAGGCTTGTCAACTTGAAGGATCGGTATCCTTCAGCCTAACCATCCCTTCCGAGGACAGCCGCTTGAGGGCTGCCTCATCCCACACCGATTCCGTCGACCTCTCGGCTGTTCCGAAGGAGTATCACGAGTTCATGGATGTGTTCAGTAAGAGCAAAGCCTTGACACTGGCACTGCACCGTGAGCACGACCTGAAGATCGACCTAGAGGAAGGCACTTCACCACCCTTGGGTACTATGTACTCTCTCTCTACTTTGGAACTCGGGGCCCTCCGGGTGTTCTTAGATGAACACCTAGCCTCCGGGTTCATTTGTCCTGCTACTTCCGCTCACGCGGCACCGGTCCTCTTCGTCCACAAGAAGGATGGATCCCTCCATCTCTGCATTGACTTCCGAGGGCTGAACAAGATCACCAAAAAGGATCGCTACCCACTCTGTTATAAAAATGGGGCCTAATTGGACCATTTCTATAGCGTTTGGGTGCAGGAGGGGGCCGTGACATTGAGAAGATGTTACAATTAATGTAACAGATGTTGTAACAGTGGTGTTTACAATAACATGGACATCGGGTGTTTTGGGTGATAATAGTTGGTTCAGTTCTTCTTATTTACATGTCACGTGATATTGTACTGCATAGAGCCCATAAGAGGCTAGAAATGGGAAAATCCCATTTCCATAACACACTCCCTGGCATCTCTGACCTCCTTGACGCACCTAGCCGTGCCACAGTCTACACCAGACTCGACCTCCGGCATGCTTACCACCTGGTTCACATTGCAGCAGGCGATGAATGGAAGACTTCCTTCCGCACGCGCTATGGTTCCTATGAGTGGCTTGTCATGCCATTCGGTCTCACAAATGCACCTGCGGCCTTCCAGCAATTCGTCAACACGATCTTTGCCAACCTCTTGGACGTTTCTGTGGTAGTCTACCTAGACAACATCCTTACCTACTCGGAAGACATGGCTTCACATCAGGAGCATGTCCAAGAGGTTCTTAGGAGACTCTGCAAACACGGCCTATATGCCAATCCGAAGAAATGCAAATTTCATACGGACACTACGGAATATCTCGGGTACTGCCTTTCTCCCTCCGGACTCACCATGTCCATCGAGAAGGTCAAAGCCGTCCAAGATTGGCCCGAGCCCCGTAAAGTCAAGGATGTCCAGTCCTTCCTTGGCTTCGCTAACTTCTATTGGCATTTCATCCACCAATACTGTCAGAGACCAGATTTTAAGACGAAGGAATGTCTCCGTAACGGAGGGCTTTGGCCTCAGCGACTTCTGCCAGGAGTGCTGTGCCTAGTGACACGTCCGTGCCCTAACTTACTGACTGGCACTTAGAACCTAGTGGGGGTAACTCTAGTTGATTTATCTGCTGGGGCGTAACCTATGTACAAGTAGTGTATATATATGGTTACAGCGGAGACGGTTCCGCAATTGGCGGAGCCGGACGGAGCGGAGCTAACGGGGTTAAGACATTAGCCGACTGAATATTACCGACAAGTCGGTTCGCGGGGTTAGCGGAAAGGCAGGCGTTAACCCAGAAACGGAAAGGAGGGATAAGCCCAAAGGTGGACTCTGCAGGGCAGGCGAGTGTATTGCCCAGCGGAGGCGGGAGTGCGCTAGCGGACGTCGGAGCTGTCCGGAAGTCTTCAGGGCTCCGTACTTAGGGAGGCGTAGGTAATAAATTGAAATGAAGGGGTGGTGGTCATCGAGGGGCACCGGGAGGTTTGTGGAATACGGGGGCTCCGAGGTTGGTGAGGGGGGAGCGGAGTTAGAACGGAGGGGTCGGAGAGTCCGGAAGTCGATGGCCGGGAATGGATATGACAAATACTCTGACATTGTGGTCCCCTTCTCCCTCTCCTCCGATACCACAATCTCTTCTCATCTCGCCTCCCCCAACCTCCCCAATTCCCACTGGTCCATTGATGCTGAAGGCCTGTTAAGGCTGGACAACCGCATTTACGTTCTGGATTCCAACGATCTCCATCTCCGCGTTTTGCGAGACAAACACGACCACCAACTTTCTGGACACTTCAGTCAAAACTGGACTCTGGATCTAGTACGTCGTGAGTATACCTGGCCAGGCATCCGTAACTTCGTCAAGAGCTATGTCTCCTCCTGCACTTCTTGTGCCCATGCCAAAGTCCCCCATCATAAGCCTTATGGCTTGCTCAAACAACTCCCCATCCCCGAACGTCCCTGGAACTCCATCTCCATGGATTTCATCGAACAGCTACCCTCCTCTTCTGGATTCACTTCCATCTTGGTCGTCGTGGACCACCTGTCTAAACAGTGCATTTTCATTCCTACCCACGATACCATCACCTCTCCAGAACTGGCCAAGCTCTTCCTCCTCCATGTGTTCTCCAAGCATGGAGTTCCTTCCCACATCACCTCCGACAGGGGTCCGGAGTTTGTCTCTCATTTTTTCCGTTCGCTTGGTAAGGCCCTCGACATCCACCTCCACTTCACCTCCGGTTATCATCCGGAAGGAGACGGTCAGACCGAACAGATGAACCAGATGCTCGAGCAGTACCTGCACATCTACAGTAACTACCAGCAGGACAATTGGTCTGAACTCCTGCCTCTTGCGGAGTTCGCATACAACAACGCTCCGAATGCCACCACAGGCATCTCTCCATTCTTCGCCAACAAAGGCTACCATCCGAACATCACCGTTCACCCAGAGCGAGACCTAACATCAGTACACGCCCAAGAGTACTCTGTAGATCTCGACTCCCTCCATCACTTCCTTCGTGAGGAAATGCACCTCACTCAGATCCGTTATCAGGGCCCGGCAGACTCCCATCGGAGTCCTGCCCCAGCTTTCAAAGTAGGAACCTCGTGTCAGGGATCAGCAATGACCCTGGACCCTATGCCGGCTGCGCGTATGCGCGTGGGAAGTATGCCGGTAATTCCCGTCTACTCCACTTACCTAAGCCCCGGTGACCCGGATCATCTCCGGCATTGTTCTGGAACATTCTATGATCACGTGATTCTATCGGCAATCTGTTTGGTTTCCTTATTGCCGGACTCTACATGTATGTAGCTGACCCTAAGATGGGGACATCCCTTTCCCCCGGCTTTAATCACAACTAGGTTATCTGAGCATCTTGCGCGAGCACGCACGTCCCCTGACACCTCGGTCTATGTAAAGGCCAAGTATTTCCACTCCACCCGACCTTCCAAAAAGCTCTCCGAGAAAAACCTCGGCCCATTCGAGATCATTGCCCGCATAGGAACTCACTCCCTCACTCTCCACCTGCCAGAAAACATGCGAGCCATTCACCCAGTATTCCATGTCTCGCAGATCGAACCCTCCATCCTGAACATCATTCCAAACTGCCACCAGCCACCTCCACCTCCCATAGAAATCGAAGGCGAGATGGAATTCGAGATCGAGGAGATACTCAACTCCAAGATTGACCAACGTAGACGGAACAAGTTGCTCTACCTGGTCAAGTGGCTAGGCTATGAAGGGACTGACAAGGAGACACAATGGCTCCTTGCCAGCAAACTCGATCATGCCTCCGACCTCGTCGAAGCATTCCACTCTCAGTACCCAGATAAGCCTGGACCCGAAGCCCCTTAGGAACCCCAACTCCTCTCCCATCTCTCCCTTTCTCTCCACTCCTCACCTCCATTTTCATTTTTTCTTTCTGTAAGTACAGCTCCCCTCACTGTTAGAACTGGGTGAATTCAGACGACTCCGGAGTGGAATTGGAGACTTAGCATGGAGGGACCTTGGCCTCAGCGACTCAAGCGGAGCGCTGTGCCATTGCTGTTTGTCCATTTGGTCCTTAATTTCACAGTAGGCAAGCAGGAAGTCTCTAGGGGGCATTTCAGGTCGATTTCGGACTGAGCCCGATACGAGTATGTACAAGCGCCGATATATATAATGGAGGGGGCAAAAGCACAAGGAAGCGAAGGGGAACCGAATTGGAACAAAGGTGTCTGAACGGGAACAAAGGGATGTCAGAAGCGGAGCGGTACCAAAGGTCATAGGGCAGAACCTGTGATACGTCCGAAAGGAGGTAAGGAGGGCGAGGCCCAGAGGGGCAGGAGGATGAGGGGAAGTGGGGATGATGACTACTGGCTAAAATGGGAAGAAGCAGCAGTCCAAATAGGGATGAGGGAGAAATGCGAGAAATACATTACAAGCGGTGAAAGTGCCGAAGATGATCTGCGAAGCTCGGAGGTTGCAGAGCTTATGGAGGCGGGGTTGAAAGTCCGAGGAATATTGGCAATGGTGTTTATGTAGTATGAGGTCACCAATGCAATGGACTAAGACCGAGGTGGAGTCAAAGTCCAAGGTAGGAACTATGACGGAAGCTTGGAGCAAAGGTACAAGCGGTGCCCGAGTACGAAGTATGGGTCAGCAGCAGAAGGTCGTAACTTGGCTGGAGGTCGGCAGAAGAGGACCAGAGGGAAGAGAGGGGAAGGAAGAGGGGAGAGGTATCAGGTCCGAAGGTGGGTATCGGAGCGGATGGGAGAAGAGTAGGAGGATGACGGAAGGGTGGAGGTGTTGTGAGGAGGGAGCAGAGGAGTATGAGGAGTAGAAGGAGGGTGGCAAGAGGGGTGGTGTTTGGTCCGAGGTGGTTATCAGAACGGACAGAGATAGGACAGGAGAGTGATGGAGGAGTGGAGGTGGCATGGGAGGTGAAGGGTGGTGTGGTGCCAGGACCGAAGGTGAATATCGGAACGGACAGTGGTAGGGTAGGATTCCGGAGGTGGGGAAGGAGGTCCAGAAGTCGGGGCGGGGTTGGGTATGCACGGATATGACACTCACCTTACTAATTCTGGGCCTTCAAGGGTTCAGGCCTAAGAAGGGGATACTGTCATATCCATCCCTGGCCATCGACTTCCACTCCCTCCGACCCCTCCGGTCTACCTCTGCTCCTTCTTCACTAACCTCAGAGCTCCCATATTCCACAATCACCTCGGTACCCCTCAATGGTCACCACCCCCTCTTTTCAATTTATTACCTACGCCTCCCTAAGTACGGAGCCCCAAAGGCTTCCGGACAGCTCCAACATCCGCTAGCGCACCCCCACCTCCGCTGGGCAATACACTCGCTTGCCCTGCAAAGCCCACCTTTGGGCCTATCCCTCCTTTCTGTTTCTGGGTTATCGCCTACCATTCCGTTAACCCTGTAACCCGACTCGTCGGTAATATTCAATCAGCTAATGTCTAACCCCGTTAGCTCGGCTCCGCCATTTGCGGACCCGCCCTTGTTGTAACTATATATATACTCAACTTGTACATAGGTTACACCTCAGTAATAAAATCAACTAGAGTTTACCCCCTTCAGTTCTGGTTGCCAGTTTAGTAAGTTAGGGCACGGACGTGTTACTTGGCACAGTGCTCCTGGCATAAGTCACTGAGGCCGAAGCCCTCCATCACGGAGACACTCCCGTTGTTCACTTCAAAAGTTTTTTCGCTGTTCAAGTTCCTGACACTGCGACAACGATCGTCGTTTCATTATGTTTTTGTGGTTCTCTAGTCATATTGTCCCATACCATCGTGTTGACTAGTCAATATATAATCCTTCATCCAGTCAGACATAAGCCATCATTAAACAAGATTTGACCTGCATTAGAGCATGATTCCCTATGATATCATCACGGATAATTACACGATAAAAGGATTATTCCCTGTTATTCAGCAGGACTTTTTGACATGATTCTGGTCACAATCATGTATGGCAGCAGGATTTGTCTGACATGGAAAATTTAGACAAAATCCTGCTTCTCAGTGGGACTTTAATCCTACTTCACAGAGGATTTTCTCATGGAATTTTTTTTCTCAGTGTCAAACAATGCAACTGTCGAATTCTATCATGCAACGGCAAAGGAATTTATCATGGAAGACCCCATTGGCGAGGAAGAAGACAAGGTGTTCTTTATTGATGATCGAAAAGGATATTTTCTTGGATTACGACTCCTTCGACTTGTGAATGGTGTTATTCAAAGGAACGAGGTTGGGATTCCCACTGAACTCCCTTTGGGAGATAGAAAGAAGGGGGATAATTTTTTGGCAGAAAGGCTACCCGACTACATCCAGTATCCATTCAACTGGTTGTTTGACCACTTGGATCCTTGGTCACTCTTTTCAGAAGAGTCTAATGAATTGCAAAGAGAGTTTGAACGACTTCTGACACGTCATTCTTGGCAGCTTCTAAGTGGTGGATGAAACTAACGGAATAACCGCTTGCTCTAATGCTAAAGCTCAGTCTCAAGCTAATGCTGTCAGGGCTCGGTCCTCAATCAGGGACAGCCCGACCTCGGTCCTAGGTGTGTGTGGTGTTCCGGGTGCTAGGGCGCTAGACCCCGTCCTCAGCTCCTCAAACTCACTGAAGGGACTAAGCGGGGATTGAGTTGTCATGTATTACAGAGGGTAACTACAACTTGCCTAAGCGGGGATTGAGTTGAGAAGAAGGGTAAGTTTCCCTATTCCCCGCTTGGCTACTATAAAAGGAAGTGTACTGTACAGTTCGTAACGTGATTCCGGGTAGAAGCCGAGCATGTTCCCGCGACTCGGAAAAGGTGTCACATGGGTTAAGGCGAGTTGCTCGCCTTAACCCACGTGACTTTTCCCGCGGGCTCACATGCGGGTTGAAGTTGTGAGAGGTATGTAGGGATGGGGAGGTCTGGGAAGGTGGTTCTGGGGTGTGGTTGGGTGCCCTGACAGCGGGGTCAGGGGCCGATCCCTGACAAATGCGCGAGAACTAGCTTTAGCATTAGAGCAAGCGGTTATTCCGTTAGGTTATGAGCCCAGATCTCGTGTCGGATCACGAAATCCCAGAGGTTCTGTGGGAGTTTCTTAACTCTCAGCACTTCCCGGGCTTTCTCTAGCATGGACTTTGCGCGATTGTTCCAAGTGTGGTCTGCGCACTCTGCAATGCCATCTTGTGAGGAATCTGCGTTGATAATTTCGTGCTTGATCCCCTCTTTCGCCAGGAGCCTCTGGAAAATTTCCGAATCATACACTCCACTTCCATTGGTCCGGAATATCTTGAGTTTCCGACCAGTCTCCATCTCAGCACTGGCTTTCCAGCTCTTGAAGAGCTCTAGGGTAGCTTCCTTCGTGCTTGCGGATCCAACGCGTGTATAGCGACTATATTCATCGGTGAAGGTTGCAATATAGCGATGTCCTTCCCGGTTCGCTTGGTGTACTGGTCCCCATATGTCGCTTGTTACCCTTCCAAGAACTTCACCTGCCCGCTCTTCCGTGACTTCGGGGATTTCCTCATGGGTCTGTTGGACTTCTACTCGGAGTCTATAAAGACTTCCGTGAGAGTAGGCTTGGGCAATGAGTTGATTGGTCTTGGAGCACCGGATGTCAGCGGTTTCTGTACCGAGGGTAGTTGAGAGTCCGACACTGGAGAGTTGGTGGATAGAGAGGAGATTATTTGTGATTGATGGAACGTGGAGGACATTTTTGATTGTCACCGGGCGCAAATTATTTTCGGTGAGTGTTTGGACTTTGATATTTCCGATGCCGATCGCTATTGCGGATTTCTGATTTGCGACTCGGATATGTTTAGGTTGATTAAAACTTTGATATGTGGTGAAAAGTGAGCGGTCCGCGCTCATATGCGAAGTCGCACCAGAGTCGATGATAAAATAGGTGCTGCCTTTGGGTGAAGCAGTGCAATCAACCCTTTCCTCTTGTCTGAGGTGGGGTGCTTCTGCCGGAGTTGTTATGTGGGGCTGACTATCTGAGCTCCCATCACTACCGCTTGCCGAGTCTCTTTTCGGCCTCTTCCCCGGACTTCTCTTCGGACCTTGCTCTCTCACATCTCCCCCTTCAGCCCAACATTCCTCAGTGGAATGGCTTCGCCTCCTGCAGTTTTGGCATCTCAATCCTTTCCTTTGCCTTGAGTCCGATCTTGGACATTCACTGTTTCGGCTTTGCATACTCGGCTTCTGCTCCCAACATTTCCCTTTGCACTTATAGTTGCAAATGGACTCGATGGTCTCTTGGAGGGTGAGGGAGTGCCGGTTGATTAAGGATGTTTGGAGAGTGTTCCAAGTTGGGGGCAATGATAAGATGAGGGCTGCCGCTAATAGATCCTCGCTAGCCTGATTTCCGGATGTGTGAAGTTTGAGAGCTGCTTGCTCTATCTCCTGGACTAGGGATTCAATGTCCCATTTCTGAGTCCTTTCTTCATTCCGCAACTTCATCAATAATGATACCACGGGTTTGATGCCTATCCCTGAGAATTGAGTTTGTATCGCGTTCCACATTTCAGACGCGACCATGAGATCAGAATAAGTTTCTGTAATCTCATCCTCGATAGATGCTAAGATCTGGAGGAGGGCTTCAGAATTGCCCTTCTTCCATGTCTCTAAGGGAGTCGTGGTTGTTGATTCAGATGAAGCGGGGTCGGAATCGGCAAATGAGCGGGGAATGTATGAGGGTAGCGGTCTTGGGATAGAACCATCTGCATAGCCAAATAGATTTTGACTTTCCAAGACTAGAGCGATTCGCTGTTTCCAAGTTGCATAGTTTGACCCATCAAACTTGAGTTTAGTATACTCGAAAGTTTTGGCACAGGGCCATGCAGGAGTTGTCTTAGAGTTCATTGTAGAGCTAGATGGCGAGTTCTCTTGTGGACTTGGAGCTATAGAGAGCTCCTGGGCTCATAACCTAAAGTTGCACCACTCAGTGCGGCGGCTCGGTTGGGATGGCAGTAGACTCTGAAGATATATTTGTCGGTGTAAATACATGTAAATACACATCGAGACAAGTATGGAAAGTGCACAACACCCATTATGACTTGCTCCTCCAACAGAAACCGGCGGCTTGGGTTGAGTGGCATGGTTTGGATGAATTCTCCGTGAGTTTCCGCCTATATTTCATGTATTTGAATGATATGACATCACTCGACGCTCTATAGAATCACAAATCAATGAAGCTGGTGAAGGAAGCTTTCGGATCCACTTTGTGGCGTGGTTTCGAATTTGAACCTTGGCACCTTTATCGATCATTCCTTCCATTCGCCTCGTCGTCACTCTATGAATTGTATGGTCATCTCTCCGATCCTGTTCAAGTGTTCTCCATATCCGGCAAGTTTTCCGGTGGCTTTATTCCTTTGAGTGAGGATGCACGTAATGCTCAGGAGGTTGCCGAGGCAAAACTCAGTGACCTGCCAAAGAAGTTTGATGAAGATGGCCGGAAAGTAACTAATTATGAAGCCGAGTTCACTGAACATGATGTTCGCAATGGGGTTGTGACTTGTGCAGCGATATCTCAAGATGGTTCTCATGTCGCCCTCGGTTTCGGAAATGGGTTCATCGAAGTTGCGGACATCAACCTTCAGCGTACAATCTCTCGCTTCCAGTCCGATCCTCCGAACCATCCAGTTTGGATAGAGTTTATCCTTGGTGCCAATGCTCAGATTGCCACCGAGGACACTGATGGAAACATCTCCGTTCTCAGTCGTGGCACACGTTCGGTGCCATGTGGCGCTCCTCCTAGTGGTGATTACCCTGCTCTAACTGCATTGTGGAGCAATGGATACTTTATCATCCGAGTTACTCGATCTCAGAATTGGTACAGAAATGTGGCACTCCTATATTTTTCAGGAGAGCCTTCCATTCGGCTCCTCGCATCTCCTTCGGCTCCTTTTATTCTTTCCGATCCTCAACTTTCATCTACTCCTCTTCGTCACACAGTTGGATTCTCTCCTGGAGGCCGATATGTAAGCGCTTTCGATGCAAACTGCGCTCTCGTCTGGTCAACGGATACATCCGAGTTGGTTGCTCAATATTGTGTGCACAAATCTAAATTCTGGATTTTCAATCCCGGTTATGTTCTTCCCCTCTCGTATCTCGTTCCTACACCGGTATTTGGTGACCACGCTGTTGATTTGACCCTGGATGAGGGTACAACCCATGTACAAAGTTCCGAGCCAGATTCAAGACACGACACAGACGAATCCTGGCTGAAATGCCCTTTTTATGACCTCTCCCCAACCATGACCAGGTTGGGTGAGCGCAATAAAGCCTCTGCCTATTCCTCAGCAATAGGGCGGGTCCCATTTCTTTCCATCCAGTCCTCGTCCTCGATACCTCTGGTCTTTTTTAATGGACAAGTCGAACTCATGGTGGAACTCAAGTACTGCCCAGTCTTTACAAACGTGAATCCCTCCTCCAGCGAGAATAAACCCTGGTACGGTGATCTGCTGTTCCAGGATGAGAGCATACCTTCCCCATATCACTTTCCTCGGGCCAGCAAGGACGGGACCCGATTTCTGCTCCAGGGAAAACTGAGAGCCCCGGTGGTCGTCGATATCAGCCAAGTTGTCGTTTAGTGATATACATCCCTACTCCTTAACTGCTAGGTTGACTGCTTTCCAATTATTTGGAGAGATTTGAAATTAAGAATTATGCTAGATGATTGTGGTTGTACATAACAATGTCATGTAAGAAAACGCTGTAATGTCTCGTCCCGTCAACGCTACGATTAGTGCATGGTATTTTTTTCACGAAGGCTTTCAGCACCCAGCACTCGAGTTTGATCAAATGCCTGACGTCGCCAACGATTGGTTGGGGATAACTTTCGGCACCCCCAGCCCCCTAGGGGATCGGCGGCTTAATGTTGGCACAACCAAGGTCTAGACCGCGATATCGAATGTTGTTAGACATCGCGCCCTCCGACTCAGCCAAACTTGCTACATCTCAACGTGTGCGGTGTTGCGGCAATACAGGTGTCGTGTACAACAAAAGACATTCTGAAATGAGACTTCATGTTTTCGAGCTTTGTGTGACTCCAATGTCGACTCTTGTTCATGCGTTGGAGCGGATAAAATCACAACATCTGCCAAGCCATCAAGAGGTGGAGGCACTGACTCAGGAGACCCCTCAGGTTCCGCGGCCGCACCTTCAGAGGCATCCGGACCTGTGTCCTTTGACTGTACTCCAGAAGGCTCTGGTGGGTGCCTGTCAACATGATCCAATTCACCAGAAGATGACGGCCGATGATTCATCTCCTGTTTGGACTTCCGAGAGCTACAGTGGGCGCGCTGTGGCGCTGTGGCTCCCCGCCTCTTCCGACTTTGCGGGTGGGGTGGACTTAACGGACGTCGAAACTGGTCGCACGTCACGGGTTTGCCAAAACCCGGGGTGATTGGGGGAAAGAATGTCCGACTGTGTGTAAGAGATTCAGCTCCATATGTTGATGCAGAGACCGGGTTGCAGGCATCGATGTCTCCACCTGTGGTTTGTATCGACTGTAAATTTCGGGATGGTCCCGGTTGCTGCCTTTTAAAAAACGTTGCTATGAGAATGATATATATAACGAAAGCTCGAGCGCGCGGACTGTCTGCAGATTGGAGTCGCCTTCCGCAGCGTTGGCGGTGAGGGCCAAAAGAAGGCTTTTGAGATTTGGCAGCGTGTGTGGCATGTCCAGGGCTTGCAAGTTGTGCTCTGTCATGAGCCTGCCAGCTGAAGTCGGTAACGTGTTCACAGCCTGAACCTGACGAACCTTACCTTTTCAATGTCCTTGTTGGGAAGGAACACGGCGTACTCAAATGTACTCAAATGTATACATGTCCACACCTTTGGAAAAGAGAGGGAACCTATCGTCAGGGTAGGTGGTGGGTAAGAGTTAATTGGGCAGGGCACGCATTCGGGTCCGTGCAAGCTAGAAACTGGGTCTTTGATCAGGCTGCGACTCCCAACAAGCGATCTGTTGGAGGGGATTTTGACTCTATGGGGAAGATACACTCCAGCGGCCGCATGACAGTTGCCTGCCTGGCCTGAAGCATTGCCTCCTGGGATGAAAAGCGCATCTTAGAAGAACAACTTAGAAGAATGTCCAATGTCCAAGGGATAGCTGTCCGTACTCTTGCGAGATGTAAGCAGGTCCAGTTCAGCAAGAAAGTCCCTGTTCGAAGAAAGTATCGCTTGCGCGGCACGAAGATTGGTTCTTCAATCATCTAACTGCTTACGGCGGCGCTACATGGTTGAACGGGCCGAGGATGACGGCAGGATCGGGGTTCCATGTTTAATTTGGCGCTCACGTCTTTCCGACACTCCCAGGTCAATTTGACTCATGTACTCGTCAAGTTGAAAATGCAATTCATTGAGGAACCGTGCCTACCAGTCGCATTAGTAAAGGGACGCTAGTTACAAATAAGCATAGTATCCACCTTGGCAATCGTGCTATCTCCAGCAAGCATAAAATTCACAATGCAATTCATTGAGGAACCGTGCCTACCAGTCGCATTAGTAAAGGGACGCTAGTTACAAATAAGCATAGTATCCACCTTGGCAATCGTGCTATCTCCAGCAAGCATAAAATTCACTGTATCTATTAAGCACAAAGATCTTAATTCTACATCCACCAAGTAATTTGCGTCAACGAGTCTAACAATATGTCAATTTGCAATCCCAGTAACATACGAAACGGAAAGCACACTTTAACGTATCTGCGAGAGATGCGCCACGCGCCACGCTTCACCGTAACCTCTCCCACGCTTCACACCCCCGCATTCGGTTCTATGTCATTGCGTCTAGATCTATGAGATGGCGAGTGTTCAGGAGCGATGTCGCTCGACGACCCAAGGCACAGTTTCCCGGTAGCACCCAGGCTAAACACTAGAGAGTTAGGCGGCAGATATTCCGTCATCGGATAAATTTCAGCGCGATGCAGAATCTCATCAACATCAAAAGCGTATTTCTGGGGCAAACAGTTTCAAACGCTGGGGGTCAACGCGCCATGTGGGGAGAGGGTCCACCCAGAAGGCCCTTCCGTGGCATAGTCGTCCCTTACTTCCTAGGCGTGACCAGACGTCCGACGGCCCCAAACAGTCACTTCAAATCTGGTTGCGCTGAGATTCGCGCCGGGGGAAAATTCATCAATGGGGTCCATGATGGGTTGGTCGACGATGGATGAACAGATGGGGTGATTTCGGCATAGTCTCGCTCCGAGCTGGGAGCCCGAGTGAGCTCTTCCGCGCCCTCGGCTGGGGCTCGGCCGAGGGAACCCAAGCCTTGTTGGACTATGGGATGGGATGAACGGGACGAGGAAGACCTAGATATCATGCTACATTTACTTCGATGGGTGGGACGCTTAGGCGCGTCCTGAGACTGAGGGGCATAAGGTTGGAGATCATTTTGCTTCACTTTCATCCGTGGTGGCAAGCAAATGGCCAGGGAGGTCTCGAACAAGCGAGATGAAACAATAGCTTCCAAATCACTCTGCGTTGACAAAGACGAAACAGGATTCAAATTTGAGGAACAAAGAGGGTGCAGCTCGACCTCTCTTGTGTGATGCCGTAGGCCGAATCGCTGGGGGCTAGTCTTGATGAAGCCAGCTTTGTGGGGCACCTCTTCCCCAATCGCGTCTCTGATGGCACCATCAGAGGGCACAGTCTTGAGTTGTTGTAGAAGTTGATGACACACCTCTAGTACAATGGCGTGCCAGAGCGATATCCAGATCGTCAAGTCCATGGCCGTCATTCCGCAGAAGGTAGCTGGGAAGAGGTCCAGAAATGACCCTATCTATCCTCGGACACGGGGGTCAGATTCCTAATAAAGACCCCATCAATGCTAGGCACAGTGCTTTAAGGAAGTTTGATTGCATGTTAGAGTAAACCGTGGCGCATTAAACCGACAAGCATTGGGGCCATGCCTCGTTGAAGGGGGGGTAATAAGCTTGATGGCTCCGTATGCACTCCAGGACTTTGAGGCATTGGTCTGCAAAATCCTCCTGGGCGGTTCGGAGACGGCGGAACGTGATGGGGGATAAAATACTCGGCTCTCGGGAAAGGCTGCAAGGAGTTGGAGAAAGACTGTGTATAGGCGAGGGGACAAATGGGGCTCTGGCAGTTTGGGTTTCGGGCAGGCAAAAAATACGCTGCCGCTTGAGCCAGGTAGGAAGGGTGGTGCGGGCCCTGGAGCTGCCTGTCAGAGCAGGCATCAATGATTGTGTTGGTGAAGACGATATCGACGCTGGCGGCGAGGTCGATTAGATCTTCAGAGGGGTATCTTTGGGGAGGGGCAAGCTCTCCGATCGAGCCTTCACTGGAGTGCCTTCTAAGAATACAACATCCCTAGATGCGATCCTCGACACCGCACGAGTATACGTTACAGAAGAAAGGGCGAGCGGAACTTCAATGGCTGGAGATGACATAGCGGACACAGGTCTCGAGAAGTTAGGCGTAGTCAAGGGGGTAAGTCCCGCTCTCTCACTTGACACGTCTATTTCAGTAGCGACTGAGCTCGTGGCATCCGTCGGACGCAGGGTCGGAGAAGCTGGCAAATTAGACGCAGCACTGGTCGTCAGCATAGCCATAGGTTATTCAACAGAAGAAACTAGGCTTTTGGGCAATGGTGTAGGGGATTCAGGGCGCAACGATTGTGATCTCATTGGGAGACTAAGCGGTTCTCCAGTTATTTGAGATATCAGTCCGCGTTCCAAAGGACTACGTGCAGAGAGAACCGATGGTGGACGAGCTTTTATCGTTTCAAAGGGACGCGGCTCAGATGGAGAAGTGGGTTGTTCTTCAGATGGTTCCCTTGAAAAGCGGTTTGATGTGCTCCGAGTCAGCTTGGCATCAGTGGCTAACTGTTTACTCCATAAATTGCTTGAATGACTCGTATTTCACGGAATTGGCACGGGAGGAGGCGGAGATCCTAATCCAAAGCCACTTCTCGGCACAGGTGCCCTGCCAAGTTTGTCGAAACGCGCTGTTTTGTCGCTCAAGCGATTCGCAGGCACCTTTTCCGACGGCGAGCGCTGCGGGCCTGGAGATGGAGTCGAAAATCGTGACGATCCATTCCCAGGAGGTGTAAGTCCACTGTTGGCTTGCAGCGCAGCAATACGTTCCTTGGGAGTGGACCTGACGGGTGCGTGTTAAAGACGTTTGGATTGATGACTTACAACAGTGTGCACGCACATATTGAAATTTAGCCCAGCCTTCGCAGATGCACTTTCATCCCACATCTCAGTACACAATCTGTCCGCGTTAAAGTGGACAACCGTTGAAAAGCAAAAAATGCGTTGCGACTTCAGGACACCAGAATTCTATTGAAATAATGTCAGCATCCTCCGTCACCCTACCTCCTTTAAGCCTAAGGAGATCGCGAACTCTGCTCTCCTGGGACTCCAGGATTTGGTACTTACTGTAAGAAGCGATATAAAATACTATGCCTACTTCTCCTTTCGGGGGACCATGCTTCCGTTGTTCGCTTTCGGCTCTATGGCCTCAATACTCCCAGAATTTTCCTCCTTGGACTTAATATGGGCTCGTCTCTCTATAATTGTTGGCTCTCCCACCTTCCCTACGTGTCGTTTTTCGCGAGTGGAATCAGCGTATTCCGGTCCTGTTAGTTTGCCGGCAAATCAGTAGGAATTGTGGAGCTCACCTCTCTCCATCATCGCTTCCTTCAAAGGCTCCTGCCAAATATATATGATACTCCTTCATCATGTATTTGTCAGCACCCGGACCTGCTTGCATCCCAAGCCATGACGGAGCTGTAGAACAAGCCCACCTGTCGTTATTGCCACCAGATAGGGAAAGAGCCAGTTCAGCCTCGGCATTCCGTTATCTTGATGTACCCGTGTGCTAGCTACTCTGAAATTTATCACGCAAGGAGCTAGACCTGCACAAGACCTACAAGGATCCAACAGGATGACAAAAATGAGCTCAGAATGTTCCCAAGCGAGACCTCAATACAGTACGATTGCTTCGGCCAACTCCGCGCGGCGAGTGAGCTGATCTGGGCAAGGGAAGTGGTAAACTCGGCAATGAAGAGAAGGAATCATCGAACTGATCATTGTGCGCTCCCCAAATGAAAATATCGACCTCGAATATTGTACAGCAGAAGGACGCCAGTCTGGAACTCCGAACTTCGCGCAAGTCGAGATTTCAACCTCGCATTCTTCCCATTCATGTCGTCCGATTCCCCGCCTATCTTGACCACCTTTCCACTCCTCACTGGCTACAGAGAGGTCTGGAGTATTATTTAATCAGGATTGTATCTGTCGAGGACTCAATCTGTAAATATGGTCGGCTATGCCTTTTTCGCGTGTCAGTGCAAATACGGGACTTTGTCTGCTTATATGCTAGCTCGTCCGCCATGGTCCACATCATAAAGGGCCCCTGGAAGAACTTCTTCAGTGGCACTTTCGTTGGGAATGCCATGTATGAACGCTACTCAAACCATTTAGACGCTCACAAGTCTTTTTGGGATACTCACAATGCCCGTCGTCCTTTGTTACAAGCGTTTCCGTCGGGATGATGAATGGACTCGGCAGCAACACGTCCCGGGCCCACTATGCATTGCCATCTAACCTTAACTTCGAACTGCCTCTAAGATGTCTCAATCATGATGTTGGTCATCATCACACTCTCGGCCTCTCACGTTATGCACTAACCACTTGATATTCCCTGCATTTGCATCGCCAACAAGACATCGTTTGACTTAAGGGATCCTTTCAACCGCGCCGTTGTACTGTTTCTACCATACTCCATTTCTGGAAGTGTGTAAAGAACGCAAGCTACGCATGTCAGGCGCCTCTACGCAATAGGGGCCTGTAAAGCGGGAAAGAGCAAGTCAATGCACCGAGCGAACTTTCGGACGTTGCGGCTCTGCAATTTCCCAAACGAAGTAAGTTTGACAGCACTTACTTTATTGAGTCCTGTGCAACCAATTGATTTACGATTGAACCAGCTTCCTTCTATGAAAGCATTTTCATACGCATCATGTGCATGCGGCGCGCAATTGCGCTAGTACTGTCCTTCGTTCACCCTTCCACGTGAGCGCTATCGCACTGGCGCAATGTCTGAAAAAAATACATCCAAGATTATTCGTCCCCGTAACAAAGGAAAGCGTCCCACTCCCGGCTCGTCTTTGCAAGCATCGCATCCCTTGACCCCTTCGGAGTCCCCTGTTTCGCAGGTCCATGTCACTAGTCCCAATGTATCTTCTGATCACGACAACACCCATCGCTATCAGTTCAGAGGGTCGACGGGACCTTCATATCTTGAGCCCGCAGTGGCTGCTCAGCCTGTACCTTCCGGTGGTCGCCGCGCTGATCCGACGGAACCAGCATCTTCCACGGGCCGCAGATTGTGGAAGATCTGGGGGAAATTTGCTCTCAATCGTAGCAAGCCCAGCACTCCCGATCTTGTTGAACAGTCGAGACCATCCACACCCCCTCACCAGCCATCCGCTGATGATAGAGTGCTTCCTCCATCTCCCCTCACCCCTACCGGCAATATTGATGATCCCCTTGAGGCATCTGGGTCGCATGCCACACCCGGCGATCACCTGAACGTCCACGCACAATTGGATTGTGAGGGTATCAACGTTTCTGGCCTATCAGAACCCACGATCGCGCCATCGGCTGGCTTAAATAGTGATCGGAAAAATGTAATCGTTGGTGGTATAACGCTGGTTCTACAAACTGCAGCTGAGGCTCTTAAGTTGGCCCCGGTTCCGAGTCTTGACGCAATTCCGAATTTACTTCTGACGTGGCTCCAGGTTTACGAGGTTAGCTAATATTTCTGTTTCCGTGATAGAAGGGGACGTGTCATTCACGTTTGTGTGGTGTGCGCAGACTGTTGGTGGAAACGATGATGATCTTAAAGGATTGGATGACGACATCCGAAGGGCTTATGTCACCATTCTGCAGCCACTCGAGCTGTTGACGGACCAAATCCCTCCCGAGGTAATTCAGTTGATCAAAAGATTTCACTTGTACGTCCACCTACTCCCGCAGCCGCTGCTCTTCCAATCCAAGAATCCTATTTTCAGGGCCCTGGAACAGCAGATAAACGAGATCAAGTTGTTCAAAAGTCAAAGTCGGGCGAAGAGGATGTTCTTAGCGCGTGAAATTCCCAGGAGGATAAACGGTGTGAAGGCGTGTATAAATGACGCCCTTAACTCATTTGCGGTTTGTCTCCATCAAGACTCCCAAGCCGTTGATTTGACTGACTGATGTGCGTTGTGCAATAGACGCAGGCAACTACTTTAACGCTTCTTCGCTCAATTGAAGCATCGGTGAAATGTATGTTATTTCGCTCTCTCCAATATTGGGCTCTTTCATCAACGCTACATCTTTCAGCACAACTTGATCAACTTCCTCGAGTTGCGGCCGAGCACACCTATGTGAAGAGCAAGTCGGAGTGTCTTCCAAGCACACGAGTTCAAATACAAACATCCCTTCTCAATCATCTGAAGGGGGCCGGAAACCGATTGGTCTGGCTTCGTGGGTCTCCTGGCACCGGGAAGACCGCGGTATCTATGAGCATCGCATCGATACTTGAGAAGGAAGGTACTCTTGCAGCCTCTTTCTTTTGGGACAAAAATCAAAAGGGGACGGGCCTCGATTCTCTGGAGAAATTTCCTTCTACACTGGCACGTCAACTTGCGAACTTCAATGGGGACTTCAAGGTCTCGCTTGTGAAACGCCTTCGACAGCCGAATTCGGAGTTGGTTCTCAGTCTTCCTCTGGAGAAACAAATGAGGACTTTGATTCTGGAGCCGATGAATGGTCTCAAGGGCATAATGTCCGCAAGCAAGAAACGCTTCACCATCATCTTGGATGGTTTAGATGAATGTGGGGATTCAGTGGCACTTGGGACTCTGATGAGCCTCGTACTTGTGCTTGAGGAGCTGCCTTCAACGTTTTCCATACTGGTCAGTTCTCGCCCTGAATCTCAAGTTGTTTCGGCTTGGGATAAATCTCGGAATCGGGGCCATGTCATCCCATGTGAAGACATGGATAAGGTTGCACGAGACGAGACTTTCGACACGATCCGGATTATGGTAACAGATGGGCTTAGGGGTTGCATCGGGGAGTCACAGTGGAAACCATCGATGGACAATTTTGATGCCTTTACTCTGGCTTGCCGTGGTTTGCCTGTGATGGCTTCGATCCGGATACGGGAAGTTCAGCTTCGGACTCAAAGGGGTTCTGTCCTCAGATTAGAGTTTCAATACTTCCTCGACCTCCAAGATTCACCCAAGGATCTGAATGAGGAGTACTTGCGAATAATGCGACGGGCCTTTAGGCCTGACTCGTCAATTATCCCTTCACATGTAGTGGAGAATTATCGCCACGTAGTTGGGATGGTCATTGCTGCACACAAATCGCTCAGTGTTTACAGCATGTCGCATCTCTTGGGAATTGCGGAGGATGAGATCTATGCAATATTGAATCCTATCAGCTCGATCATTGACGTCCCCTCAAACAATACAAACGTCAAATTCTATCATGCGACGGCGAAGGAATTTATTATGAGAGACCCTATCGGCAAGGAAGAAGACAAGATGTTCTTCATTGATGATCCAAAAGGATATTTTCTCGGATTACAACTCCTTCGATTTGTGAATGGTGTTATTCAAAGGAACGAGGTTGGGTTTCCCACAGAACTCCCTTTGGGAGATAGAAAGAAATGGGATAATTTTCCGGCGGAAAGGCCACCCGACTACATCTACTATTCATTCACCTGGTTGTTTTCCCACTTGGATCCTTTGTCACTCTTTTCAGAAGAGTCTAGTGAATTGCAAAGAGAGTTTGAACGACTCCTGTCACAAAACTTCTTTTCATTCTTGGCAGTTTCTGAAGGGTTGGGATTTGGGTCGGTTTGGCTTGCGTGGAGTGCATTCTCCGTGAGTTTCCACGTATATTTCATGTATTTGAATGATATCACATCACTCGACGCTCTATAGAATTACAAATCAATGAAGCTGGTGAATGAAGTTATCGGATCTACTTTGTGGGGTAGTCCCCATTGGCATGCTTATCGATCATTGCTTCCATTCGCTTCATCCTCACTCTATGAATTGTATGGTCATCTCTCTGATCCCGTTCAAGTGTTCTCCATATCCGGCGAGTTTTCTGGTGGCTTTATTCCTTTAAGCGAGGATGGACGTAATACTCAGGAGGTTGCCGAGGCAAAATTGAGCAACCTGCCAAAGAAGTTTGATGAACGTGGCTGGGAAGTAACTAATTACGAAGCCGAGTTCACTGAACATGATGTTCGTAATGGGATCATGACCTGTGCGGCGATATCTCAAGATGGTTCTCATGTCGCCCTCGGTTTCGGAAATGGGATCATCGAAGTTGCAGACATCAACCATCAGCGTACAATCTCTCGCTTTCAGTCCAATCCTCCGAACCATCCAGTTTGGATAGAGTTTATCCTTGGCGGCAATGCTCAGATTGCCACCGAGGACACTCGTGGAAACATCTCCGTTCTCAGTCGTGGCACACGTTTAGTGCCATGTGGCACTTTTCCTAGTGGTCATCACCCTGCTATAACTGCATTGTCGAGCAATGGATGCTTTATTGTTCGAGTTCCTCGAGCTCAGAATTGGTACAGAAACATGACACTTCTATATTTTTCAGGAGAGCCATCCATTCGGCTCCTTGCATCTCCTTCGGCTCCTTTCATTCTTTCCGATCCTCAACTTTCATCTACACCTCTACGTCACACAGTTGGATTCTCTCCTGGAGGCCGATATGTAGGCGCTTTCGATGCGAACTGCGCTTTCGTCTGGTCAATGGATACATCCGAGTTGGTCGCTCAATATCGTGTGCACAAAGCTGAGTTCTGGATTTTCAATCCCGGTTATGGTCTTCTCTCGTATCTCGTTCCTACACCGGTATTTGGTGACCACGCCGTTGATTTGACCCTGGAAGAGGGTACAACCCATGTACAAAGTTCCGAGTCAGATTCAAGACACAATGCAGACGAATCCTGGCTGAAATGCCCTTTTTATGACCTCTCGCCAACCATGACCAGGTTGGATAGGCACGATGAAGCCTCTGCCTATTCCTCAGCGATAGGGCGGGTCCCATTTCTTTCTATCCCACCTACATCGTCGATACCTTCGGTCTTCTTTAATGGACAAGTCGAACTCATTGTCGAATTCAAGTACCTCCCAGTCTTTACAAATGTGAATCCCTCCAGCGAGAATAAACCCTGGTACGGTGATCTGCTGTTCCGGGATGAGAAAACGCCTGTCATGTGTCACTTTCCTCGAGCTAGCAAGGACGGGACCCGATTTCTGCTCCAGGGCGAACTGAGAGCCCCGGTGGTCGTCGATATCAGCCAAGTTGTCGTTTAGTGATGTACATCCCTACTCCTTAACTGCTAGGTTGACTGTTTCCCAATTATTTGGAGAGAATTGAAATTAAGAATTATGCTACTTGATGATTGTGGTTGTACATAACAACGTCATGTAAGAAAACACTGTAACGTCTCGTTCCCGTCAACATTACAATTGGTGCATAGTATTATATGCAATGTTTTTCACGAAGGCTTTCGGCACCCAGCACTCGAGTTTGACAAGGGCTGATCAAATGCCTGATGTCGCCAACGATTGGTTGAGGATTTCTCTCCGTATGTTCGTTTCCTCTTCGTATATATAGTACGTGCGCGTGCATTTCGAGGGACTGTAAAATTAGGGGATATTTGCATGCAACGGTGTGAGTGGCATATTGCCTTGGTTAGCTTTGAAAATGTGGTTTGTTTTGTGGGTTTTTTTAGGGATATTTGGACGACCATGCAAGGCGCCAGTTTGGTATGTACATGATCAAGCGATGGCTCTCCTCCCCCCCACTCAACGCACTTCTCAGGGCCGGGGATTTCCCCCTCATATCAAGTTACTGCAACAGTAGCATCGTATCCTTATAGTCCAATCTTTCTTTCTTTGTGGCCCGAATTTTAGAGCCGTGAGTTAACTTCTTCTGGGATTAATGAATTAATTCCACTGCTCATAGCTTGGGTTGTCGACAGCTTCTGACATAAGTGTGAGTTCGGAGTCCATGCATGGCCACCACTTTTAGAGTTCAACTCATTAGTCGCGTCGTCATTATCAGGACTTTTGGGCTGCCACTCACAACAATGTTGATGACGTTCCTGCCTGCCCTGGTACCGGAAGACTAATCTCAAGAAAGGGCGTCAATGGCTGAAGTGTGGCAGCAGGACGAAAAGCGCTTTGCACTAGGACGGAGTGCCATCAACACGGCAGTGTACTAAGTGTAGCTGCGGGTGGCGCAAACTGTCTTCAATACATTATTGTGATAGGGATCATAAGAATATATTCCTCCTAGTAAAAAAAAAAACAATAGATCGAGTCTGGATCGAGACCATGGGATTTAGTTTGCCCGATTTATCGGAGTCGTGAGTCCAATGACTCTTCGCACATCGAGGATACTTAATCGAATGTGCAAAATCAGGGTGCGGGGACGGGAAATCCTTCGTTCCGTTTCGATTGTTATGAAATTATGTCAGGCTGATCGATTAGAGTGCATGTATTAAGATATCAACAACATCATTGTGAAGTGGGGATGGACTGTAGGTTTGCGTCCATGAGTGGTAGGTCTGTGCGGATAGCAGTCTCCTTGGCTTGGCTATTACCATGCCCATTGGAGTTGGGACCGGACTTGGGGACGGTCGGTGGTCTTCCAGGGCCTCTCCGATTGCTTTTCGCAGGTGACCCGCCACCAAATAACCCTCGGGTACCTCCCGAACGAAGGTGCTTCCCGAAGCCGCCGACACTGGCACTCAGACCAGTTGTGAGCCAATTGCTGCTCTGCTCCTTCAGAGACTCCAATGTCGACTCTTGCTCATGCGTTGAAGCGGATGCAATCACAACATCTGCCAAGCCATCAAGAGGCGGAGGCACTGACTCAGGAAACCCTTCAGTTTCCACGGTCGCACCTTCAGAGGCATCCGGACCTGTGTCCGTTGACTGTACTCCAGAAAGCTCTGGTGGGTGTCTGTCAACATGATCCAATTCACCAGAAGATGACTGCCCATGATTAACGGCACTCCCCGTTTGGACTTTCGAGAGGTGCAGTGAGCGCACTGTCGCACTGTCGCTCCCCACGTCTGCAGGTATGTCCACGTCTTCTGACATGGCAGGTAGAGTGGACTTGACAAACGTCGATACTGGCCGCGCATTACGGGTTTGCCAAAATCCGGGGAGGGTGATCGGGGGAAAGAATGTCCGTCTTGGTGTAGGGGATTCGGCTCCATATGATGTTGATGCAGGGACAGGGTTGCTGACGTCGATGCTTCCAGCTGTTGTTTGTATCGACCGTAAATTTCGGGATGGCCCCGTTTGCTGCATTCTAAAAACGTTTCTATGAGAAGGAATGATATATGCAACGAAAGCTCAAGCACGCACACTGTCTGCAGAGTGGAGTCGCCTTCCCCAGCGTTGGTGGTAGTGGTGAGGGCCAAAAGAAGGTTTTTGAGATTTGGCAGCGTGTGCCGCATGTCCAGGGCTTGCAAGTTGTGCTCTGTCATGAGCTTGCCAGCTGAGGTCGGTAACGCATTCACAGCCTGAACCTGACGAACCTTACCTTTTCAATGTCCTTGTTGAGAAGGAACACGGCGTACTCAAATCTATACATGTCCACACTTTTGGAAAAGAGAGGGAACCTATTGTCAGCGTAGGTGGTGAGTAATAGTTGATCATGAAAATTGGGTAGAGCACACATTCGGGGCCCATGCAAGTTAGAAATGGGGTCTTTGATCAGACTGCGACTCCCAGCACATGTTATTGGATATGGCAGGATATGTCCCAAATAAGAGGCCAGGAGACTGACCACTTGTGCGGCGTAGCCTAACGCACTTGCTGTAGTGTCTTCGTTCACATCTGGACGTGTTGGGATATGGAAAGGTGGAGCAGGGTCCGCTGGGTTAGAGGGAATTGGTAATGGTACGCCTACTATAGTGAACAAGAGATCTGTTGAAGGGGATGTTGGCTCTATGGGGAAGATACACTCCAGCGACCGCACGACAGTTTCCCGCTTGGCCTGAAGCGTTGCCTCCTGGGATGAAAAGCGCACCCTAGAAGAACAGCTTAGAACAATGTCCACTTTTAAGGGATAGTTATGCGCACTCTTGCTGAGATGCAAGCAAGTCTAGTTCAGCAAGAAGGTCCCTGTTTGAAGAAAGTATTGCTTGCGCGGCACGGAGATTGGTTCTTCGTTCGTCTAACTGCTTACGGCGGCGCTGGATGGTCGAACGGGCTGAGGATGATGGCAGGGTGGGAGTTTCATGTTTAATTTCGCGCTCACGTCAATTGGACTCACTTTCCGACACTCCCAGGCCAATCAATGACTTTTGACTCATGTACTCGTCAAGTTGGAAATGCAATTCATTGAAGAACCGTGCCTACCAGTCGCATTAGTAAAGGGACCTTGGTTACAAGTATAGTGTCTACCTTGGTGATCGTGCTATCCCCAGCAAGCATAAAATTCACTGTATCTATTAAGTTGCACAAAGATCTTAATTCTACATCCACTGAGTAATTTGCGTCAATGAGTCTAGGGATATGTCAATTTGCAATCCCAGTGACATACGAACGGAAAGCACACTTTAAGGTATCCGCGAGAGACGCCCCACGCTTCACCGTAACCCCTCCCACGCTAGACACCCCCGCATTCGGTTCTACGTCATTGTGTCTAGATCTATGATGCATCCGGGGATCAATGACCGTTGGTCCCAGAGCATCAATTTCACTGTCCGAAACATTCTGGTGTTCTGGAGACGGCGAGCGTTCAGGAGTGATATTGCTTGACGATCCAAGGTACAGTTTCCCGGTAGCGCCCAGGCTAAACACTAGAGAGTTAGGCGGCAGATATTCCGTCGTCGACTGGAATTAAATTTCAGCGCGAAGCAAAGTCTCATGAGCATCAGAGACGTACATCCGGGGGAAAAGGTTTCAAACGCTGGAGGTCAACAGGCCACGTGGCGAGAGGATCCCACCCGGAAAGCCCTTCCATGGCGTAGTCGTCCCTTCCTTTCCCTTTTGCACTCGGCGGTGGTCTGCGACCGGACGTCCGACGGCCCCAAATAGTCAGTTCAAATCTGGTTGCGCTGAGATTCGCGCCGGGAGAAAATTCATCCTCTGGTATCAATGAGGTCCATGATGGATTGGTCGACGATGGATGAATGGATGAAATGAAGCTTGGAATTTCGTCATAGTCTCGCTCTGAGCTGGATGAGGAAGGGAACGACGAGGACGAATGTAGGGGGCTCGAGGGAGCTCCTCCGCGACCTCGGCTGGGGCTCGGCCGAGGGAACCCAGGCCTTGTTGGACTATGGGAAGAGGATGAGGATGGTCTAGATATCGTGCTACGTGTAGTTCGAGTGGGACGCTTAGGTGTGTCCTGAGACTGAGGGGCATGAGGTTGGGGATCATTGTGCTTCACTTTCGTCCGTGGTGGCAAGCAAATGGTCAGGAAGGTCTCGAACAAGCGAGATGAAACAATAGCTTCCAAATCACTTTGTGTTGACAAAGATGGAATAGGATTCAGATTTGAGGAACAAAGAGGGGGTGCAGCTCGACCTCTCTTGTGCGAGGCAGTAGGTCGAACCGCTGGGAGTTGGTCATTGATGAAGCCTGCTTTGTGAAGCATCTCTTCCCCAATCGCGTCTCTGATGGCACCATCAGAGGGCACAGTCCTTAGTGTCGCTGTAGATGCTGATGACACACGTCTAGTACGATGGCGTACCAGAGCGATATCCAGATCGTCAAGTCCATGGCCGTCATTCCGCAAAAGGTAGCTGGGAAGAGGTCTAGAAATGACCCTATCTCTCCTCGGAAATGGGGTCAGATTCCTAATAAATATCCCATCAATGCTATATATAGTGCTCTAAAGAAGTTTTATTGCATGTTAGAGTAAACCTTGGCGCATTAAACCGACAAGCATTGGGCGTGCCTCGTTGAAGGGGGGTAATAAGCTTGATGGTTCTGTATCCAATCCAGCACCTTGAGGCATTGGTCTCCAAAATATCCCTCTAACAGCGTTTCGCAGTCAATTACAGACGCATTTCCGCACCGCGAGATGACGCCAATGGAACGAGGCACTTCGCGGATTTTGCCGTTCGCTCTCGAACACGTGACAACCAATGGCGGATTTGTCAAAGACGAAGAAAAGCAAAACGCCCCAGGAGCTTTCTGTAGTCTCCCAGGCAGTCCATAGATCTGGTGGTGAACAGGTGGATGAAGGCCAGTTAGCCAAGCACAAACGTAAACACGCTCAGCACGGTGAAGACGTGCGCAAGGAAAAAAAGAAACGGAAAAAGGATCCAAAATTAAATGGTACCGCCGATGTCCTGAAGGCTGGTCAAAAGATTCTTGATGATCGTAACTCCGAGAGAAAGCATTCTGCAACGGTCGCTTCAACTCCCACAGATCCGGCATGTTTGTCCCCAAGCACGCTTGATTAAATTCCGCTGACACGCGGGAGGCTTAGATCGCAACTTCAACTACATCCTCAGCCAAAAACTTTTCAGACTATTTGGCCACAAATAATATCACTATTCACGCGCCACACGGCTCCGTCACGCCGATTTTAAATTTTGAAGAATTACCCATTTCTCCGCAGTTGAAGGCTGCTCTTTCGGAATACAAAGAACCTACACCAATACAAGCATGTTCATGGCCAGCTGCACTCGCTGGGATGGATATTATCGGAATTGCCGAAACCGGCAGGTAGAGAGCCCTTTTTGCTGTCAGCATCGTTAAAATCGCAAGAATGACCCGAATTTTCAGCGGGAAGACTCTTGCATTTGGGTTGCCAGCTGTGGCACATATTGTCTCACAACACCCGAAGTCAAAGAAGCATGACAAGAAAGCTCGGGGCAGTCAAATTACGGTTCTGGGTATGTGTGTAATCCCACCCAATGTCACGACTGATATTCTGGGATTAATAGTAATTTCACCTACTCGAGAACTGGCTCTTCAAACCCATGAGACGTTGACCCAAATCGGCGCTCTCGTTGGCATTCAGAGTGTATGTGTGTTCGGTGGGGTCGGAAAGGATGAGCAGAGGCGTGTACTAGCACAGCCTTCAACGAAGGTTCTTGTCGGTACTCCTGGTCGGCTTCTTGATTTGGCCAGCGAAGGCGCCTGCGACCTTGGTTGGTAGGTTGTCTGATTTCGCTCATTTCAAAAGGCATGCTCACTCGACTTCTAGCGTAACTTATTTAGTTTTGGACGAGGCCGACAGGATGTTAGACAAGGGTTTTGAAAACGATATACGTCGTATTATTGAACAGACTGCGGACATGTCTCAGCGTCAGACTCTTATGTGTATGTCACCTTGTGTGATCTTCTGACTTGGTCTTTTGACGGTCCGCAATTCCCAATAGTTAGTGCAACGTGGCCTAAATCTGTCCAAAATCTGGCTGCTACGTTCCTCAAAAGCCCTGTGCGAATAACTATCGGCAGCGAGGAGTTGGCAGCTAATTCGAGGGTGAAGCAGGGTGCGTCAAACCAGGCGTTCGTTTGATCAAAGTTGATGAATAATTTCTCTTAGCCGTTGAAGTGCTTGATGATCCAAAGCTGAAGAGGTACGTGTCTCTTCAACCTACTCTGCTGCTCTATGCTGGCATGATCTAATCGGATGGTCTAGCCAACGACTGCGGAAGTTGCTGAAAGATTTGAATCATCCGTTGCAGTCCACTTCTGAGAAGGAATCTCGCATTCTCGTATTTGTATTGTATAAGAAAGAGGCTGACCGTGTGCTGGAAACGGTTCAACATTGGGGCTATTCCGCTGGTGGGATACATGGCGACATAAATCAGAACCAACGTATGAAGGCGCTGGAGGATTTCAAAACAGGGAGAACAGGGCTTCTTGTGGCTACGGATGTTGCTGCGAGGGGTTTGGACATTCCGAACGTTAGCTCAGTGATCAATTATAGTTTCCCCCTGACTGTGGAAGGTGAGCCGCGATGCACCCCCATTGGGCGCTATGGCAGTGTTTAACGGACTTCTCTTCAGATTACGTTCACCGTATTGGCCGAACTGGGAGGGGTGGCAAGCATGGGGAAAGTTACACATTCTTCACAGGCGATAACCATGAGCGAGCTTTAGCGGGGGAATTTGCCGCAGTCTTGCGCAATGCTGGGGCAGATCCCAGTGAACTACAGGCCAGATTCCCGATGGCGATCAAAAAAAGGGAACACTCTGCCTATGGAGCCTTTTATAGGGATGATATAAAGATGCCAAACAAACCGACCAAATTGAAGTTTTAGATATATGTCTTTCGCTATCTTTCTCGTTATAATGCGACTAGTATGCAGGCGGTAGTTGACATGCGCAGGACAAGGCGTGGGACCCGACTTATGTATACTAATAGATACGAGATCGAAGAAACTGTGATCAAGGGGGATTGGCGTGGCGTACGACCAGTAGATAGTAAATATATAAGAGCAAGAAATAAATATGCACTAAAGAGAAAAACGGGAACAATCACGAAAACCTACACCATATGGCAGAGGATGACCAACACATCTGAAAGTTTCTGAAAAAGGATGAGATATATGAAGGTAGAAACGTCAACACATAAGTTGGGAAGTAAATACATCGGGACTTCTCCTAAGCATGCGCACGCACAGAGCCAGCGAAGATATATTAGATCGGAGAATTGCTTGATATTTTATCCATGGGCTTTCACGAGCGGTAGTTCTTATTACCCCCGGCCTCGCAATCGCGTTGTCACATCTAAGCGGTTACGCCCGAGCTCCAAAAGGACCCGGAGAAACATGGTGATGTTGCCGAAGCAACTGTCAATGGAGATATGACAGAAGAGCATGCCATATGATGTGGTTGCTGCTATTGGAAGAGGAAGACACGGCCAGCCACACATTCGCTGCCAAGTTTAGAGGCAATTATTCGTAGCCAAAGAATACAAAGATTTCCGCGATATTTTCTGTCATGTTTCGCACTTGATGATCGTCTCGGACATCCCGCAGACATTTACGCGCGTGGCTGGGTTATATATATAAGCACGATCCATTCTTCCCGACTGCGCTTCGCGTCTCCACTGTGTTTCGTTGTCACCGCCCTCCCTGGCCAAGCTTAGGCAGGAACCCCAGCCTCTACTAAAGTAGAGGCAAAGCTAACCCATATCATCCCTTCCCCCACCTTGGCAATGCGTGATGCCTGACTCGGACGGCAAACAGTAGAATTCACTCAAGACTTCGTTGAAGTCGGAAGGAATCTCGATTTGTGGACTGGTACGCCTGGGTCTCAAAGAACCCGGAGAGGCGTGGTGATATTGCCGGTGCAACAGGAGAGCATCCCGTTATTGCTGAGGGAAGACATGGTTAGCCAGTGACTGAATCATCCTCACGTCTCATATGCGCAGGGGGCATCCTAACCATCATGTACAAGCGTGGCGTCTCGTGCTCAGCGCTCGGCGGCGTGCATTTACTCTCTCTTACGGGTTTCCTGTTGGACGACTGGGTTTCCACCACAAGTGAACTGGGCTTGTGTACATAGCATTTCCCACGTGGATTTACTACACGCTGAGAGTCCTCGAGGTAGCCTCACTGAATTTACTTGTCCCTGTTCATCTGCAGCCCAATCCATCCATGCGGTTGAACCATGTGCGGCTGATCCACATGTGATCAATAGTAGGAGTGAGTTTCCCACTTTGGCCAAGCAGCTCAATAAAAAAGGCGAGCTTGGAATCAAAGTCAGTAGACTTGGTTGATCAAGTATACAATGTAAAGTACTTACGGAGGATGCGATCGGTGTTAGGATACGTGTAACCATCTCGAAGTCTCGCGATATGATGTAGGCACCGAGCCATAGGATGAAGAGGTACAATCCGCTTAGGTAGAAGTCAGAATACGAATGAATTAACCCCACCCAATCTGTCACGTACAGGCCAATTGCAGAGAAGCAGTTGTCAAATAAATAGGCTTTCAAACGGTCAACAATCCTTGGCTTATCTGCGACATGAGGAGGGTGATTGATCCGGCCTGTAATGTACAAATATCGGTGTGTGACCAGTCGAAGTGCATCGCGGTGCGCAAAACTGGTAAGATGATCAGATCATGCTGGAGGAGCTGTACCACCAAGGATATGCACGTACATCATCCAATGTGCCCGCTGACAGGCTGTATGTATGATAGCGCTATCAATCGCTGGATCTGACAAGGAGTTGGAGAGATAATACCCTTTAAACCCCCAAGTAAAGTGAACAACAAAGAGAATATCAGAACGATATTGGAAGAGTGCCAGTTCTTCCCTCCGAGGGCGATCGCTAAGAACTGAGCTTCGACTGCAGAAAGGAACGTTGCCACTGTCGCCACTGTGGTGCTCTCTGGGACGGCAGGTAAGTAACAAACAATTGCGCCGCAACGCAACCTACTTACCATCATAGAGTATTTTTTGTACCTTTTCAACCGTTTCGTCACTTATCTCCTCGACGGGAGGAGGGTCAGGGGGGAAAGTGGTGTTCGATTCATGGCTCGGAAGAAGTGGCGTTTCAGACATTCAGACAAGAAAAAGTTTCAGAGAGGGGGCGGGAGGGGGAACACGGTTGACTGGCTTCGAGACGAACGTGGAGCTTGTCTACTTATGTATGTGATGATTCTGCTGATCTCGCCACGCGGTCTATCTAATATCACGAAGTCATAGAGGCTGGGGTCCTGCTTAGCCACGCGGTCGATGCATTGTTGAATACATAAACCACTGCTGAACCACAAGCGGCGCTTAGCGCCCATACCCGGTACATCGCGCTCCTGTGTCTGCCTCGTTACCCGTACCCCTTAATCATTGTACCGTAAAAGTTTTTCGTCTTCAGTTAGAACCCCCCCAGAGGTGATTTCAATTCAAACTAGTGAGATTGCGATCAATCAGTTCAATGCTTTAAGTTGAGGTCTTCTCGAAAGTTGGAGATTCGACTCTGAGAGCAACCGCCGGCGCCGCTACACCATTCACCTAGACACCGCCTATGAAAAAAGCACGAAAAATGGGTGTTTTATGTAGGCAGGACTCCAGCTTCTATGACTTCGTATGTGTTTTATAGCAGGGTTTTTGGGTACCGTTTGACGCCTTTGTTAAAGAAACAGTAGGACACAGGAAAAGAATCAGCTGCGAAAGGAGGGAGGGCCGCAGTGAGCAAGAATCCCAGATGCAGTGAAGAACTCAGACAGCGCAATAGATGCCCCGGGCGCAGAAGCAGAGTCTGAAGCGCCCATATGCGTGTAGGTTGCCTGCATTGTTGCCGGTAATATAGGAGTTACCAGTCCGGACCTGTGCGAACACGACTTGAAAGTTTTACGTAAATAAGCGCTGAGACAGTGATAGAAGTTGGGTGCTACAAGAGCATTCACTGCATGTAGGTATCGGCGGTACTTGCACCAAGGAAGCACAGAAACCATCATACAATAGCGTTACCGTTGAACTCTATATATGTAGACAGTCACGAGGGCCTCGACGATGGATGTCAGTCGAGGGGGAGTTCTGCTACCACAGCGAACACCCGGCACGGGCCTAAACCTTCACGCGGTGCCCCTGTTTAAAACTAATTAGGCCTCTAACATCTGAAGGGAGGATGACGTGGCCACCGTGGTAATGCCAATCAACCGCAACCCCGTAAGCCCAGAGCCGCACTGGCTGGAGAGATGCAAGAGCGCGGGTGCATGTCCCGCCGTCAAGCCAACCCTTCCTTTTTCTTCTCACCACTACCTTTTTGGGATGACGAGCGCGATAGTGGCAACGCCAATGGTGACCTCCGTAAGCCCAGACGGGACTGGCCAGAGGACTGTGGGTTCAAGTCCCACCGTCACCCCAACCCTTCCTTCTTTTTCTCTTCTCCACTACCTTTTGGGTTGGTGAGGTGCAATAGTGGTAGCGCCAATGGTAGCCTCCATAAGTCCATGGGCAGGCCGGAGGAGTGCAGGTTCAAGTCCTGCCATCACCCCAACACCCTTCCGATTCATCTTTCTCTCCACTACCTCTTAGTGACGAGGCGCGATAGTGGTAGCGCCAACGATAGCCCCATATGCCGACAAAAAGTTGACTGCAAGGAATGCAGGTTCAAGTCCTGCCGTCACCCCAACACTTTCATTTCTCTCCACTACCCTTTCTACCAAAGGCCTATCTGCCACATGCCTTTATTCAACAAGCATGAGCAAGATGCCACCAACACCCATCGCCTTTCGCTGCCACTGGAACATTCACCAGCCTACCGTGACATAAACCCGTGAAAGCACCCTCCAACTCACCCACCCGCAAGAACCGCGCACTCAAACATTGACTTAACCATAGGCACACAGCAGCAAAACATGCGACCCCAACACTGGGGGTCGCGTGTCCTTTTCTTTGGCTCTATACAACCTCTTCCCACCTCCATTCTCCCTCACCCGTTGTTCAATCTCAGTGCAGGGGTCGCATGCCCCTTTATGTGTTATTGCTTCATCTCACTTTATTCTCCTTCACACCATTGATTACTCGATGTCTCATACTTCCTAGGTCACACAAATTCCTTTCTTCACATCCTTATGTTCTCCAAACTTTTTTCACCCGAGTCACTATAGTACGGCATATGCCGATAGGCACGGTTACGTACTTTAAAATGAATACATCCATCCATCCATCCATAGACAGTCACGAGGTCCATCTTGAACTGTATTGTAGCGGAGTTGGCCGAATCATCTCTTGCGCTTTGCCACCAAGTTTGGTTTTGCCATGGAGTGGGGCTGCACTTGTACAGAGACGTGACGTTATGGACACCACAGCCTCAATTGAGTCCGAAGCAACCAGGCAGGACTCCAGCCTCTATGACTTCGTGACAATAGGTGGTTATGTGTTTCTGCGCTTCGCTCAATATGAATTCATGACGCATCATGCACAGCACTTCGCGTCAGAATGACGCCCCAAATACTTACTTAGGGTTGCCACGGTTCTGTTCACACCCTGCTGAGCCTCCTTTCGAACAGAAAGGAGCTTCCATTCTTTCCAGTCAGGATTGACCATATTACATTTGAATGAGCTCTTGCATGTGTGTAGGAGTTGTTGGGCCACCACATGCACCTAGCTCCGCGGTCCGGGGATATGTGCATTCAATTACTGTCGAGTCAGACGTCACTGCCGAGAGACCTCTGCCTATCCTGAAATCCGTCGCGCCTCAAAGTCATCAGTGCCTTTGACTTGTCCTATATCCGGAACTTTAAAAATCATCAGTGACACGAATTGCTCATACTGCCACGCGTACAACTAGTAGCGTGTTGCTGATTCTCCACCGTGCTTGATATCCGACCGTACGTCGTGTCAGTGAGACGCCCGGTAATTGATGTATGATCTTTTTCTAGTCTGTCGTGGAGATTATCTTGTCTTTTATCTCCCGATTTGTTCCTTCATTAATATTTGGCCTCGCGTTGCGCCTCGTTTCATCCTTTCCTACCACGGCTGAGCTTACAGTGCTTAAAAAGCTTGGCCTTCGTCTCTTCAACGCCCTCAGTTTTCTCTACGCCATTCGCTTGAGAATGAGGTCCGTCTATTATATTACACTTAGTTCTTTTAATTTAAAAGTGTGCTGTTCGCTCGGGACTGATCGCCGTTCGCCCTTTAATCCGATCGCTTATCTGAACACAACGGGAGAGATAGCGGCGCACCAAGCCTCTCCAAATCAACTTTCAATACTTGCTCCAACTAAGCCTCCACCAATATGGCGAACACCCCACCTTCGACTTTATTTTCCTCCTTTGATTTAATTCTCTCTACCGCTTATCAGCTGCCCATGATATATTTCATCTACGGTTCCTTCCTCTGTTTCCCCTTCGTACCCTGATACGAGTTAACATTCCCTCACGACCGCCCAATGCTGCATCACCGGTGCTGGACACTCATCCCAAGTATCGGCGCATCTTCCTCAACCCGTCTAAGACTACCAACGTGCACAATATCACCTGCGGACATCCTTTCCTTCTCCCACGTTCCCTTGTTCCCCATGAGGGATATACGTACTTTGAATTGATCAGCGAACGAACGATGCATGTACGTACATTTCAAACTCAAAAAGGTATGATTATGCACATGCCTCTCCCTGTTTTTAGCTTTCTGCTCGTACATGCTTGAAATGTTCTGGCCAAAAAAATTCGGCCGCGAAGGTCAATTTTCTGGATCTTCGTTTTGGGGCTCGGTTCTCGTAGTGGAATTATAACGCGGAACCCAACTATTGCACTAAATTTCGCGCTGGAGAGTCACAGGAATCAGGCATTCTACACTGTAGAAGAACGGTTCGAGAGGAATCTTCGCCCAAGCATGGGCGACACACGCAGCTGGTGCGTGGGCTGAAGGAGCTCTCAGTGGAGAGGAGGTTTCCCACTTTGGCCAAGCAGCTCGGAGAAAAACGGTGAACTTGGAATCAAAGTCAGTAGACTTGGTTGATCAAGTATACATGTAAAGTATTTACGGAGACCGCGATCGGCGTTAAGTAGGATACTACGTGGTACTATCTCGAAGTCTCGCGATAGTATGAAGCTGCCGAGAATATGAATTAACCAGCCCCACCCAATCTGTGTCACGTACACGCCAATCGTAGAGAAGCAGCTGTCAACTGAATAGGCTTTCATAAGGTCAACAAAACCTTGCCTCATCTGCGACTTGAGGAGAGTGTTTTTTGATCCGGCCCGTAATGTACAAATATCGGTGTGTGGTTAAATCGCAGCGCGTCGCGGTTGCGCAAAACTGGTAAGATGATCAGATCATGCTGGAGGAGCTTGTACCACCAAGGACGTGCACGTTACATCATTCAATGTGCCTGCTGGCAGGCTGTATGTATGATAGCGCTATCAATCGCTGGATCTGACAAGGAATTGGAGAGATAATACCCTTTAAACCCCCAAGTAAAATGAACAACAAAGAGAATATCAGAACGGGTGTTGGCAGAGTGCCAGTTCCCCTCTCCAAGGGCGATCGCTAAGAACTGAGCTTTGACCGCAAAAAAGGAACGCTGCCACTGTCGCCACTGTGGTGCTCTCTGGGACGGCAGGTTTAGTAACAAACAATTTGCGCGTAACGCAACCAACCCACTTAACCCCTTTTCAACCATTCCGTCACTTATCTCCTTGACGGGAGGAGGGTCAGGAGGGAAAGTGGAGTTCGATTCATGGCCCGGAAGAAGTGGTGTTTCAGACATTCAGACGAGAAAAAGTCTCAGAGAGAGGGGGGAGGGGGGGAACACGGTTGACTGGCTTCGAGATGAACGTGGAGCTTGACTATGTATGTGATGGACGATCATTCTGCTGATCTTGCCTGTACGCGGTCGATGCATTATTGGATGATTAAACCACCAAGCCACAAGCGGCGCCTCCGGTGCAAACACATGGCTTCGCACTCCTGTCTGCTTCGTTACTGTACCCCTTATATAAAATGTTCCAGTTCTTCGTCTTCCGTTGCAGCCTTGCAGCCCTTCATTTGAGGTGATTTCAATTTAAACTGCGATCGATCAGTTCAATGCTTTGAGTTGAGCTGGAGATTCGATGCTGAGAGTAACCGCCGGCGCCGCTACACCATCGATCTCATACAATGCGTTTGATGATCAAGATCAAGTGCGTTATGCGGTAACACCATTCACCTAGAAACCGCCTATGGAGAGTGGCACGGAAGGTGGGGGTCCGGGGGGTGCTTTGGCGGGGTTGTCCGTTTTTTTAGGCAATTTTTGGGTACCGTTTGACGCCTTTGTTACATCAAGAAGTAACAGCAGGACACAGGAAAAGAAATTAAGGAAGGGTGACAAGCTAGGGCCGCAGTGAGCAAGAATCTCAGATGCAGTCAAGAACTCAGACAGCGCAATAGATGCCCGGGGCACAGAAGCAGAGTCATGCAGGTTGTTGCCGCTAATATTGGAATTGCCAGTCGAACCACTACGAACTAGTGCGAACGCAACTACGTAAATAAGCGCTGAGGCAGTGATAGAAGTTGGGTGCTGCAAAAGCATTCGCTGTAGGTATCTTGCACGAAAACCAACTCGGATATACGAAGAGACTCGGCAAGAAGCTCGGGCTCGCGTCGATGGCAACTGGTTGCAGAATGACGCGCTTTTTTCTACGGTTTGTAGTGCGGGTATTCCTTGGCTCTCTGATGGCGAAGGTCGCAGGAGCCCGATCGCGGCAAAGACTCAGACTCAGGGGGGAAATGCCGACGTGTGTTTGTCAGCGTTCAACATATAAACTTCCCACAGCTTATCGTCGCACGGTTGTTCCCAACCTAAGCATCAGCGCTATTTGACTGCTGCAACAAGTGCCCCCAAAGCCTGTTGGTGCATTCTGTGCCATTGCCTGTGTTTGGGTGCACGCCCTTCTCAATTGTAGGGCCATTCCGCTCTTTTTTCCCCCTGTTTTCCGTTCTCCTAGTTCTCTGAGTCGTATCACGCTCGGGACTGAGACTGGTTCCTGGATTACACAACTTACGCCCACCACCTCCGAGCTCAACAAACAGGGCCGTCACTGGTTTAATAGCAGAACGGGAAACCATGCCTAGGAATCGCTGCAAGATTTGCAGAGGCGCTGTTTGTTCCCCGTCGAGGTCACCAGACAGGGTGAGTGACACAGCTAATTGGCACCACCCCCACAACATGACTGACGTATCGGTCCCAGAATCCGGGCCCTTCAACGGTGGGGAGACACTACCGGCCTCCTCACCCCCATGAAGTTGATCCTGCATTTGTCGTTTCTTATCAAAGGCAAGAGTTCCAGGACCGGGACACCATACGGTCCATCCTGATGGAGGGCCGGTCACGGCAATATGGGGCGTGCGGGCGGCCCCAGTGTCGCAGCATGGCGCCAATGGCACCAATGGGGCCCCAGGTATCCGAACCCACTACAGGGCATGGATGGGGGGCATCTGTATGGCCTCGTCATCTTCCCCAGTTTTCGGCGGGATCCATCTGGGGCCCCCTCCCATCCTCCACCACCATCCCCCGTGCTCAGCCGGAACCGGCAGCCCCTACAACACAGGGTGGGTGGTTTTATCATATTGAATCCTCGGCTCAGTCAACTTCTGTGGGTGAACACCTTTTGTCCATGTATGATCTCCGTTGAACTAAAGAGCTATTGCGTTGGTCAGGTTATCGAGCCGACTCCGGCCATCAGTGGTCGGGAGGCCAAACTCACTGGTGCCATAGGCACGCATTCCTCCACGAAGCAAGCACCGGCACGTTAGGGCTAGGCCACCGCCAACCATTGAGCAAGAGGGCCTTTCTTCCTGACCAATTGCTCATGTGTTAGTCATCACACATCCTGCCGTCGTGTTCTCTCGCATATCCCGCTTCGCTTTCCAGCCTGTATTCTATGAGATCCTGTTTGGGGCCTCCGACGATTAATGCTTGTATGCGCCGAAAACCTACCTGTCTACCCAATTTTACTCTTTATTGCCCATAATCTGTGTGTTGATGACTTGCATCGACGATATGGCGTTACACCAGGTTGTTGTGAGAGAGGAGGGACATGCGGGTTCCTTTGGTTCTTCCGTCATCTTCCATTACCGGTCCCTTCCGATGGGTTCCGACGGTAATTGCATCAAGAAAGCACAGAAACCATCATAAAACGATAAGTTAGCGGTACCGTTGAACTCTAGACAGGTCCATCCTGAACGGACGACATACTCGACAGAGAAGAGGGTCATCTCTCCATCAAGTTTGATTCTGGTTTAATTGAGACGCAAGTAACATTATGAACACCACAGCCTCGATCTGTCAATTGAGTCCGAAGCAATCCAACGAGCGAGCCTTTCCATTGCGAGGAATGCGATTCCATGGTGGTTATGTGTTCTGTGCTTTGCTTAATGTGATTCCATGACGCCCCAAATACTCCACGGTTCGGTTCCATTCTTTCCAGTCAGGATTGACCATACATCTGAATGATCAAGCTCTTGCATGTGCGTAGGAGTCGTTGGGCCGCCACATGCACATAGCTCCGAGATATGTACATTCAATTACTGTCAGGGAGACCTCTGCCTATCCCCGAAACGGTGGAACACTACCTAGTCGTCTGTTGCCGCTACTGCCATGAACGACATGCCCTCCAATCCGTCGCGCTTCACAATGCCGTTGACTTGTCCTGTATCCCGAAGTTTGAAAATCATCAGTGACGCGAATTGCATGCTCATACTGCCACACGTACAACTAGTTGCGTGTTGCTGACCCCCCACCGTGCTATGATATCCGATCGTACGTCGTGTCGGTGAGATGCCCGGTAATTGATGTATGATCTTTTTCTAATCTGTTGTTGCGATTATCATCTCCCAATTTGTTCCTTCATTATCTGGCCTCGCGTTGCCCCCCGTTTCATCCTTTCCTACCACGGCTGTGCTTACAGTGCTTAAAAGGCTTGGCCTTCATCTCTTCAATGCCCTCAGCGCCATTCGCTATTGAGGTCCGTCTATTATACCCAATGCTTAGTTCTCTTTAAAAGTGTGCTGTTCGCTTGGGACTGATCACCGTTCACCCTTTAATTCGATCGCTTATCGGGAGAGATAGCGGCGCACCAGCCTTCCCAAATCAACTTTATACAGCCCCAGTAAATCCTCACGACTGCCCAATGTAGATTTTCAATCAACAAGTTATGGTTATGCACATGCCTCTCTCCGTTTTTGGCTTTCTACTCGTACCCGCTTGAAACTTTTTTGGCCAAAATTTGGGCGCGAAGGTCAATTTTCTGGATCTTCGTTTTTGGGGCTCGGTTCTCGTAGTGAGATTTTAACGTGGAACCTAACTATTCCCAGTGGAGAGGAGGTTTCCCACTTTGGCCAAGCAGCTAAAAAAAACGGTGAACTTGGAATCAAAGCCAGTAGACTTGGTTGATCAAGTATACATGTGAAACACTTACGGAGACCGCGATTGGTGTTAGGATACGTAGTACTATCCCGAAGTCTCGCGATAGTATGAAGCTGCCGAGCCATATGATGAATGAATTACATAACCCCACCAGAGAAGCAGCTGTCAAATGAAGAGGCCTTCATAAGGTCAACAAACCTTGCCTCTTGAGGAGAGTGTATGATCCGGCCCGTAAGGGGTGGGTGGCTAAGTCGCAGCGCGTCACGGTGCGCAAAACTGATAAGATGATCAGATCGTGCTGGAGGCGCTGTACCACCAAGGATATCATCCAATGTGCCCAGTATGTATGATAGCGCTCTCGATTGCTGGATCTGACAAGGGCTTGGAGAGATAATACCCTTCAAACCCCCAAGTAAAGTGAACAACAAAGAGAATATCAGAACGGTGTTGGCAGAGTGCCAGTTCCCCTCTCCAAGGGTGATCGCTAAGAACTGAGCTTCAACCGCAGAAAGGAACGCTGCCACTGTCGCCACTGTGGTGCTCTCTGGGACGGCAGGTAAGTAACAGACAATTGCGTGCAACGCAACTTACTTACCCCTTTTCAGCCGTTCCGTCACTTATCTCCTTGACGGGAGGAGGGACAGGAGGAAAAGTGGAATTCGATTCACGGCTCGGAAGAAGTGGTGTTTCAGACATTCAGACAAGAAAAAGTCTCAGAGGGGGGAACATGGTTGACCGGCTTCGAGACGAACGTGGAGCTTGTCTATGTATGTGATGAGCGATCATTCTGCTGATCTTGCCTGCACGCGATCGTGCATTATTAGATAATTAAACCACTAAGCCACAAGCGGCGCCTCCGGTGCAAACACATGGCTTCGCACTCCTGTCTGCCTCGTTACTGTACCCCTTAATCATGGTACTATAAAATGTTCCAGTTTTTCGTCTTCCGTTGCAGCCTTGCAGCCCTTCATTTGAGGTGATTTCAATTCAAACTGCGATCAATCAATTCAATGCTTTGAGTTGAGCTGGAGATTCGACGCTGAGAGCAACCGCCGGCACCGCTACACCATCGATCTCATACAGTGCGTTTGATGACCAAGATCAAGTGTGTTATGGTGTTATGCGGTAACACCATTCACCTAAAAACCGCATATGAAAAATAGCACGAAAAGTGGAGATCCGAGGTTGTCCGTTTTTTAGGCTAGTTTTGGGCACCGTTTGACGCCATTGTTACATAAAGAAGACACAGGAAAAGAATCAGCTGCGAAATTAAGGAGGGGCGACAAGCTAGGGCCGCAGTGAACAGGAATCCAAGAGCTCAGACAGCGCCGGGGCGCAGAAGCAGAGTCTGAAGCGCCTATGTAGGTTACCTGCATTGTTACCGCTAATACTGGAGCTACCAGCCAAACTGGCGCGAACGCAACTACGTAAATAAGCGCTGAGGCAGTGATAGAAATTGGGAGCTATGGAAGCATTCGCTGTAGGTATCTTGCACGGAAACCACTCGGATATACAAAGAGGACATAGGACTCGCTTGAGCTCGCGTCGATGGCAACTAGTTGCAGAATGATGCTTTTTCCTGCAGTTCGTAGTGTGGGTATTCCTTGGCTCTCTAATGGCGAAGGTCGCAGGAGCCGGATCGCGACAAAGACTCGGACTCAGAGGGAAAATGCCGACGTTCAACATACGACTTATTGTCGCACGGTTGTTCCCAACCTAAGCATCAGCGCAACTGGATTGCTGCAACAAATTCCCCCAGAGCCTGTTGGTGCATTCTGCGTGTGTTTGGGTGCACGCCCTTCTCAATTGTAGGGCCATTCCGCTCTTTTTTCCTCCTGTTTTCCGTTCTCCTAGTTCTCTAAGTCGTGTCACGCTCGGGACTGAGACGGTGTTCCTGGATTACACCACTTACGCCCACCACCTCCGAGCTGAACAAAAAGGGCCGTCACTGGTTTAATAGCAGAACGGAAAACCATGCCTAAGAATCGCTGCAAGATTTGCAGAGGCGCTGTTTGTTCCCCGTCGAAGTCACCAGACAGGGTGAGTGACACAGCTAATTGGCACCACCCCCACCCAACATGACTGACGTATCGGTCCCAGAATCTGGGCCCTTCAACGTTTGGGGAACAAGCACCATACTGGCCTCAGTCCCATGAGGTTGATCCTGCATTCGTCGTTTCGTACCAGAGGCAGGAATTCCAGGACCGGGACACCATACGGTCCGTCCTCACGGAGGGCCGGTCACTGCAGTATGAGGCATACGGGCGGCCCCAGTGTCGCAGCATAGCGCCAATGGCACCGATGGGGTCCCGGGTATCCGAACCCTCCACAATATATGGATGGGTGACAACTGTGCGGCCTCACCATCTTCCGTTTTCGGTGGGATCCGTCTGCGGCCCCCTCCCATCCTCCGCCCCCACCCGCCCTGTTCAGCCGGTACCGATAGCCCCAACAACACAGGGTGGATGGTTTTATCATATCGAATCTTCAGCTCGGCGAAATTCTGTGGGTGAACACCTTTTGTCCATGTATGATCTCCGTTAAACTGAAAAGCTATTGCGTTGGTCAGGTTACCGAGCCGACTCCGACCATCAGTGGTCGGGGGCCCAACTCATTGGGTGCCATAGGCACGCATTTCTCTGCGAGGCAAGCACCGGCACGTTAGGGCTAGGCCACCAACCATTGAGCAAGAGTGCCTTCCCCCTGACCAACGATGCTCCCGTGTTAGTCACACATTCCGCCGTCGTGTTCTCTCGCATATTCCGCTTCAGTTCCCAGCTTGTATTCTATGAGATCCTGTTTGGGGCCTCCGACGATCAATGCTTGTATGCACCAGAAACCTACCTGTCACTCAATTTTACTCTTTATCTGCGTGTTGGTGACTTGCATCGACGATATGGTGTTACACCAGGTTGTTGTGAGAGAGGAGAAACATGCGGGTTCCTTTGGTTCTTCCGTCAACTTCCATTACCGGTGCCTTCCGATGGGTTCCGACGCAAGAAGCACAGAAACAATCATAAAACGATCAGTTAGCGGTGCCGTTGAACTCTAGACAGTCGCGAGGTCCATCCTGAACGGACGACATACTCGACAGAGAAGAGAATCATCTCTCCATCAAGTTTGATTTTGTCATGGAGTGGTTTGAGACGCAAGTAACATTGTGAACACCACAGCCTCGATCTGTCAATTGAGTCCGAAACAATCCAACGAGCGAGCCTTTCCATTACCAGGAATGCGATTCCATGCTGGTTATGTGTTCTGCGCTTCGCTTAGTGTGATTCCATGACGCATCATGCACAGCACTTCGTGTCAGAATGACGCCCCAAATACTTAGGGGTGCCCATGCACGGTTCGGTTCACACCCTGCTGAGCCTCCTTTCTGTTCGAAAGGAGGTTCCATTCTTTCCAGTCAGGATTGACCATACATCTGAATGATCAAGTGCGTCACCTAGCTCCGAGATATGTACACTCAATTACTGTCAGAGAGACCTCTGCCTATCCCCGAAACGGTGGAACACTATCTAGTCGTCTGTTGCCGCTACTGCCATACCCTTCAATCCGTCACGCTTCACAATGCCGTTGACTTGACCTGTATCCGGAAGTTTAAAAATCATCAGTGACGCGAATTGCATGCTCATACTGCCACACGTACAACTAGTAGCGTGTTGCTGACCCCCCACCGTGCTATGATATCCGATCGTGCGTCGTGTCGGTGAGACGCCCGGCAATTGATGTATGATCTTTTTCTAATCTGTTGTTGCGATTATCATCTCCCAGTTTGTTCCTTCATTATCTGGCCTCGCGTTGCGCCCCGTTTACCACGGCTGTGCTTACAGCACTTAAAAAGCTTGGCCTTCGTCTCTTCACTGCCCTCAATTCTCTTTGCGCCATTCGCTTGAGATTGAGGTCCGTCTATTATACCCAATACTTAGTTCGCTTTAAAAGTGTGCTGTTCGCGTGGGACTGATCGCCGTTCACCCTTTAATCCGATCGCTTAACGGGAGAGATAGCGGCGTACCAGCCTCCCCAAATCAACCTTATACAGCCCCAGTAAACCTTAACATTTTCCCTCACGACCGCCCAATGTCACATCACCAGTGCTGAGCACTCGTCCCAAGACTACCAACGTGCACAGTATCACCCGCGGACATCCTTTCCCATTATCCTTCTCCCGTGTCCCCTTGTTCGCTATTAGTACTATGAATTGATCAGTGAACAAACGATGCATGTAGATTTTCAATCAACGAGTTATGGTTATGCACATGCCTCTCTCCGTTTTTGGCTTTCTACTCGAAATGTTTTTGGCCAAAATTTCGGCACGAAGGTCAATTTTCTGGATCTTCATTTTGGGGCTCGGTTCTCGTAGTGGGATTTTAACGTGGAACCCAACTATTGCACTAAATTCCGCGCTGGAGAGTTGCAGGAATTAGGCTTCCTACACTGTGGAAGAACGGTTCGAGAGGAATCCTCCCCCAAGCATGGGCGACACACGCAGCTGGTGCGTGGGCAGAAGGAGCTCTCAGTGGAGAGGAGGTTTCCCACTCCGGCCGGGCGGCTCAAAAAAAACGGCGAACTTGGAATCAAAGTCAGTTGATCGAGTGCACATGTAAAGTGCTTTCGGCGACAGCGATTGGTGTTAGGATACGTGGTACTATCTCGAAGTCTCGCGATAGTGTGAAGCTGCCGAGCCATGTGAAGGTAGAAGTCAAATATGACCCCACCCAATCTGTGTGTCATGTACACGCCAGTCGCGGGGAAGCAGCTGTCGGGTGGATAGGCTTTGATAAGGTCAACAAACCTTGCCTCTTGAGGAGTGTTTGATCCGGCCCGTAATGTACAAATATCGGTGTGTGGCTAAGTAGCAGCGCGTCGCGATGCGCAAAACTGGTAAGATGATCAGATCATGCTGGAGGAGCTGTACCACCAAGGATATGCACGTACATCATCCAATGTACCCGGTATGTATGACAGCGCTATCAATCGCTGGATCTGACAAGGAATTGGAGAGATAATAATACCCTTTAAACCCCCAAGTAAAGTGAACAACAAAGAGGATATCAGAACCGGTGTTGGCAGAGTGCCAGTTCCCCTCTCCGAGGGCGATCGCTAAGAACTGAGCTTCGACCGCAGAAAGGAACGTTGCCACTGTCGCCACTGTGGTACTCTCTGGGACGGCAGGTAAGTAACAGACAATTGCGCGTAACGCAACCTACTTACCCCTTTTCAGCCGTTCCGTCACTTATCTCCTTGACGGGAGGAAGGTCAGGAGGAAAAGTGGAACTCGATTCATGACCCGGAAGAAGTGGTGTTTCAGACGTTCAGACAAGACAAAGTCTCAGAGAAGGGGGAACACGGTTGACTGGCTTCGAGACGAACGTGGAGCTTGTCTATGTATGTGATGGGCGACCATTCTGCTGCACTGGGTCGATGCATTATTGGATACAACCACTAAGCCACAACCGGCGCCTCTAGTGCAAACGCGTGGCATCGCACGTCTATCTGCCTCGTTACTGTACCCCTTATTTAATCATTGTACTATAAATGTTCCAGTTCTTCGTCTTCCGTTGCGGCCTTCCAGCCCTTCATTTCAATTAAAACTGCGATCGATCAATTCAATGCTCTAAGTTGAGCTAGAGATTCGACTCTGAGAGCAACCGCCGGCGCTGCTACACCATCGACCTCACACAGTGCGTTTGATGATCAAGATCAAGTGCGGTATGGTGTTATGCGGTAACACCATTCACCTAGGAACCGCCTATGAAAAACAGCACGAAAAGTGGAGATCCGAAGGGTGTTTTAGCAAGGGTTGTCCGTTTTTTTAGGCAATTTTTGGGTACCGTTTGACGTTATTGTTGCATAAAGAAAAAATAGTAGGACACAGGAAAAGAATCAGCTGCGAAATTAAGGAGGGGTGACAAGCTAGGGCCGCAGTGAGCAAGAATCCCAGATGCAGTGAAGAACTCAGACAGCGCAATAGATGCCCCGGGCGCAGAAGCAGAGTCTGAACCGCCCATGTAGGTTACCTGCATTGTTGCCGCTAATATTGGAGTTACCAGTCGAACCAGTGCGAACGCAACTACGTAAATAAGCGCTGAGGCAGTGATAGAAGTTGGGTGCTACAGAAGCATTCGCTGTAGGTATCTTACACGAAAACCAACTCGGATATACGAAGAGGACACCGGACTCGGCAAGAAGCTCGAGCTCGCGTCGATGTCAACTGGTTGAAGAATGACGCGCTTTTTTCTGCGGTTTGTAGTGTGGGTATTCCTTGGCTCTCTAATGGCGAAGGTCGCGGGAGCCGGATCGCGGCAAAGAACTCAAGACTGAGAGGGAAAATGCCGACGTGTGTGTCAGTGTTCAACATACAAACTTCCCACAACTTATTGTCGCACGGTTGCTCCCAACCTAAGCATTAACTGCTGCAACAAGCGCCCCCAGAACCTGTTGGCGCATTCTGCACTATTGCCTGTGTTTGGGTGCACGACCCTTCCCAATTGCAGGGCCATTCCGCTCTTTTTTCCCCCTGTTTTCCGTTCTCCTAGTTCTCCAAGTCGTGTCACGCTCGGGACTGAGACGGTGTTCCTGGTTCACACAGTCTACGCTCACCATCTCCGAGCTTAACGCAAAGGGCAGTCACTGGTTTAATAGCAGAACGGAAAGCCATGCCTAAGAGTCGCTGCAAGATTTGCCGAGGCGCTGTCTGTTCCCCGTCGAGGTCACCAACTAGGGTGAGTGACACAGCTAATTGGCACCACCCCCCACCCAACATGACTGACGTATCGGTCCCAGAATCCGGGTCCTTCAACGTCGGGGAAACAGGCACTATACTGGCCTCCTCAGCCGCAGGAAGTTGATCCTGCGTTCATCGTTTCATACCAGAAGCAAGAGTTTCAGGACCGGGACACCATACGGTCCGTCCTCATGGAGGGCCGGTCACTGCAGTATGAAGCGTACGGCCGACCCCAGTGTCGCGGCATAGCGCCAATGGCACCAATGGGGTCCCGAGTGACACCTGTGCGGCCTCCTCAACTTCCGTTTTCGGTGGGATCCGCCTGCAGCCCCCTCCCATCCTCCGCCCCCATCCCCCCTGTTCAGCTGGTACCGGCAGCCCCAATGACACAGGGTGGATGGCCTTATCATATTGAATCTTCAGCTCGGCGAAATTCTGTGGGTGAACGCCTTTTGTCCATGTATGACCTCCGTTGAACTAAAGAGCTATTGCGTTGGTTAGGTTACCGAGCCAACTCCGACCACCAGTGGTCGGGGGATCCAACCCGATGGTGCCATAGGCACGCATTTCTCTGCGAGGCAAGCACCGGCACGTTAGGGCTAGGCCACCAACCATTGGGCAAGAGGGCCTTTCTTCCTGACCAATGATGCTCCCGTGTTAGTCATCACACATTCCGCCGTTGTGCTCTCTCGCATATTCCGCTTCGCTTTCTAGCTTGTATTCTATGAGATCCTGTTTGGTGCCTCCGATGATTAATCTGCTTGTATGCATCGAAAACCTACCTGTCTACCCAATTTTACTCTTTATCTGTGTGTTGATGACTTGCATCGACGATATGGCGTTACGCCAGGTTGTTGTGAGAGAGGAGGGACATGCGGGTTCCTTTGGTTCTTCCGTCATCTTCCATTACCGATACCTTCCGATGGGTTCCGACGGTATCAATAAAACCATAAGTGTTGAACTCTAGACAGTTGCGAGATCCATCCTGAATGGACGATATACTCGACAGAGAAGAGAATCATCTCTTCATTTTGCCATGGAGTGGTTTGAGACGTAAGTAACATTGCGAACACTACAGCCTCGATCTATCAATTGAGTCCGAAGCAATCCAACAGCGAGCCTTTGAATGCGATTCCATGCTGGTTATGTGTTTTATGATTCCATGACGTATCATGCACAGCACTCCGTGTCAGAACGATCCCTCAAATACTGCGGTTCGGTTCACACCCTGCTGCGCCTCCTTTCGAACAGAATGGAGCTTCCATTCTTTCCAGTCACGTCAGGATCGACCATATTACATCTGAATGATCAAGCTCTTGCATGTATATAGGAGTTGTTAGGCCGCCACATGCACCTAGCTCCGCCGCTCCAGCCAGAAATCTGTCGCGCTTCACAGTCATCAATCCCTTTGACTTGTCCTATATCCGGAAGTTTGAAAGTCATCAGTGACGTGAATTGCTCATGCTCCACATACAACTAGTAGCGTGCTGACCGTGCTATGATACCCGTGTCGGTGAAACGCCCACTAATTGATGTATGATCTTTTTCTAGTCTGTCGTCGAGATTATCTTGTTTTTTATATTCCTTCATTATTTGGCTGAGCCCTGCGCCCCGTTTCATCCTTTCCTACCACGGCTGAGCTTACAATGCTTAAAAGGCATTGGCCTTCTTCTCTTCAACGCCCTCAGTTCTCTTTGCGCTATTCGACATTGAAGTCCGTCCAAATACTTAGCACGATTTCAATGCGCTGTTCGCTTGGGACTGATTGCTGTTCGCCCTCTAACTCGATCGCTTATCCGGGCGCAACGGGAGAGATAGCGGCACACCAGCTTCCCAACTCACACACTTGATCCAATCAAGCCTCCACATGGCGAACACCCCTTTGACTTCCTCCTTTGATTTAATGTAACTTCCTTCTCTCTACCGCCTATCAGCCCGTGATATGTTTCGTCTACGGTTCCTTCCTCTGTTTCCTCTTCGAACCCTGACACGATTCAATTCCCTCACAACCGCCCAATGCTACATCACCGGTGCTGAGCACTCGTCCCAAGTTTCGGTGCGTCTTCCCCAAGACTACCAACGTGCACAATATCACCTGCGGACATCCTTTCCTATTATCCTTCTCCTACGTTCCCTTGTTTGCTATTAGGATGTGCGCACTTTGAATTGATCCGCGAACAAACGAGGCATGTACATTTCCAACTCAATTGAAGAAGGTATGATTATGCAGATACACTCTCCCCGTTTTTGGCTTTCTACTCGTACGTGCTTGATTTTTTTGGCCAAAAATTCGGCGCGAAGGTCAATTTTCTAGATCTGTTCTCGTAGTGGGATTCTAAAGTGGAACCCAATTATCGCACTGAATTCCGCTGTAGAAGAACGGTTCGAGAGGAATCCTCGCCCAAGCATGAGCGATACGCGCGGCTGGTATGTGGGCAGAAGGAGCTCTCAGTGGAGTAGGCTACGTAGGGATAGCCCCAACGCCGGTACGGAGTGTGCAAAGGATACTCGGCACATGGTTTAGACAAAAAGAAAAGCTGGACAAGCGCGCGCAGAGAGATGAAAAAAGGTGGGGAGTGGGTGGCGCTTGACAGGCAAGTAACGAGCAGGAGAACAGGGATGGCAACAGCTACAGGCGAAACCCGACTAACAGCCCAAGAGAAAGGCCGCCAATGACGAAAGTACGGGTAATCAGTAGAAGAAATATGGCGGACACGACATGTGGAAAGAGGAGTACAAAGGAATAAGTTAAATTAGCATTCGAGCGTGGCACACAGGTGGTTTAATTTCATCTCCATTAAATTCTACATGGATGATCAGTATGGAAATCATGGTCCGTGGAGCGGGCCCAAGACGTACTTGTTATTGGAAAAACAACAGGTCCAGACGTGGCTAATGCTAGACCATGGTATGACTGACATTGGGGAATGGAGAGCGTGCGCAGAACCGCGAGCAGCGGCTGCGATATGGGGTCGTTGGGGGCCAAGCTAAGAAGGAACAAAGGTTAGTATATGTGCGAAGTCTTAAGAAGTGTCGTGCCTCATTAAATCCCAAACAATCCCATCAATGCCCTCAATTCAAGGAGCAAATCTAGTGACAGGGCCTATCAGGTTGACCAACAGAATTCACATATTTTACGAAACGGGTGAAGCGCTCCATATGCACTCTGCCTAGCTCCGCGTTCTGCACAGCAACATCGGCTGCAGTCGGCGGGGAGGCGCCACGAGCATTCAACTGCTGTGCCTGTGCGTCGTGTGTCCCATTACTCATCAGATAATCCCTATTTTCCGCCACCCAGCTCTCCCTCACGTTTGGTTCCATCAAGCAGTACACTTGTCGCAGGTACATCCAGCAGGCCTCGTGAGACGGATATGATCTCACGAGCGATGTGGCATGATTCAAGGAGGACACTAGGAGGTAGCCTCTCGGAGAGTTCGGAGAGATGCACCTTTTGAGGAGCTTCACAAGATAATTACACGAACTCGTATCGGCCAGGTGACCTTCGATCCATTTGGTTGCGAATTCATACTCTTCGTCGACAACACTGTCATATTCCATTGAACCAACCAACCCGATTTTCTCTGTTGAGATAGACAGTGGAGACAATAGGCGCGATGCACCCACGCGTGATAGTTTCGGGGATAGTGCTGTGTTGCTCGACTCACGAGGGTAAATTCCATTGCTAGTTTGTGAATGGGGATCATGGAGTCCCAAATCTATCATCCGACCACGTCTCGGATATTTCACCCCTACTACACATACTTTTTTGCGGAAGAGCGGGCGGATGTTGACGATAGAGTAACCATCGGCGATGTTGCCACAGCAAAGAGGATTTAGAATTACGTGGGACAGAGAGTAAGACCGAAGAAACGTGTAATTCGAGACCCTCATTCATGAGTCCAAGGACCACCAAACGCTTGCGCGCATTCAAGGCCGAGTTGTGATCGGGATTTGCGAGGAGAATGGCACTTGAGCACAGACGCAGACGATCGGCAGTAGCTGGGTTTAGGCCCATTCTCCGAGCCTCCTCCAGTACAACCAGTGCTTCAGTGTAGGCGGTGTATAGGACATTTTCTGGGACTGCAAGGTGACGTTCTTGCAAGCAGAAGGGAGCCAATGGGTTCTCTAGAGGCCAGACACCACCTGGGATTATCTCGACGTCGATTCTTTCATGCAGTGTGTGAGGAGATTTGGAACAAGACAGGGGCATGCGATTTGTTATTGCTTACATGTCCGTCTCCAGTAGGGAACCAAGTTTGCAGACCAGAGCCTGATCGTCGGGCATGGATCGACATATGACTGTGAGAAACTTGTTTGAATCGATGTATTTACATGTGTTATTAATTGTTTACGGTTCGAGATCAGACACTCAGACTCAGACTCAGACAGTCGCTCTTTGCTCCACACCTTATCACGCGTGCTTTCGTACGTGTGGCAGCGTTGTCGTGTCATCTAACTCCAGCAGCAAACTCCAGATCTCCCACTCGCCGAAGTCTTATTTCTTCCTTTCGCGACTGAACGCCAGACGGCTGCCAGCATGAGCTCGGACTCTGGAGAGGAATTTAATATGAGTGCGAGCGAGGTATCTGATGAATACTCGGATGATTCGTGCCAGCCAAGGTTCGTTTGCCTCTCCCGCCATCGGGCCGTGTCGTGTTGCGTCTGTTCTCAAAATACAACTAGCCCGTCACGAAGGCGAAGTCTACAACCAAACCTTCGGTCACGTCATCAAGCTCGAAAGCAACGACTAAACTAAAGACCGGAAAAGCCTCGGGCCAAAGGGGCCCCGGAAACAAGAAGAAACCTCTCAAGGCCGTCGAGAACGTCACCGATGATGAGTCAGAATCGGGTGGCGGTAGTGACTCGGAGTCTTCAATTGTCGTATCGGAGCCTAAATCCACGTTACCGAAGAAGAATGACAACGTTGACGCGTCTGAAATGTATCAAAAGGCAAATAGCTCGCACTCGTGCCTCCCCGTGTCGTTGTGAGAACTCATTCCCATTCCAGATGACACCTGTTGAGCACATTCTCAAACGACCGGATTCGTATATCGGGAGTGTCGAGACTCGTGTGGAGAACATGTGGGTATTTAACAAAAGCACGAAGAAACTAGAATTTCGGTATGGTAAATATCTGGTCTCCGATCGGTTATTGCTTAGCTTCGGACAGACAAATATGTTATGTTCCCGGGTTCTACAAGATTTTTGATGAGATCATCGTGAACGCAGCGGACAACAAGGTTAGCGATGAGGTTCGCGTCGTTGGGAGTGGAGGCTTACCGTTTGGTCTACAGATTAACGATCCTACCATGAACGCGATCAAAATAACTATCGACCTTGATGATCCAGCGGCTCCCGAGATCTCTGTTTGGAACAATGGTTGTGGCATTCCAATTGAGATGCATAAGAAGGAGAAAGTCTGGATCCCATCTATGATCTTTGGTCAACTCCTCACTTCGTCGCACTACGATGACAACGAGAAACGACTCACGGGTGGCCGTAACGGTTATGGCGCTAAGCTTACCAATATTTATTCTACGACATTCACTGTCGAAACTGCCGACAAACAGACTGGGCAGAAATTTAAACAGACTTGGAAAAGCAACATGAGCAAGGAAGGGGACGCCAAGATCACATCCAATCCAAAGGGCGAAGAATACACCAAAGTCACGTTCAAGCCAGACCTAAAACGATTCGGCATGGCGGGCATTGATGAAGACACGGAGGCTCTTCTTCTCAAACGCGTTTATGACTTAGCTGGGACCGTCGATGGCATCGCTGTTACTCTCAACAAGGAAAAGATCAAAGTCAAGGACTTCAAGTCTTACGTTGGCATGTATGTCGCTGCGGCAGCTGAAGCCGTAGTGGGGGGATCAGACGGCGGGGCACCTCTGAAACCTACCATTGTTTATGAACAAACTCCTCGGTGGGAGTACGCATTTGTTCTCTCAGACTCTGGCGCCTTCCAGCAAGTATCTTTCGTCAACTCTATCGCCACGACCAAGGGCGGCACCCATGTCCACCTTATTGCAGACCAAATATGCAAGAAACTGCTGATCGATATCGAGAAGAAGAACAAGGCTGCCAAAGTGAAGGCTCAACAAATTAAAAATCATATGTGGATATTCGTCAAGGCTTTAGTCGAGAATCCGACCTTCGACAGTCAGACCAAAGAGAGTTTGACCCTAACTGCCAATAAATTTGGCAGCAAACCTTCAGTGACCGATGAGTTCATCAAAAAGGGCGAGTGTACTATCCCCTGCCCGTGTCGATGGTTGTTGATGTTAAACCATCACAGTTGCAAAGTCCGAAATTATCATGCGGGTGCTCAATTGGGCAAAGTTCAAAGCGGACCAAATGTTGGCTAAAACAGACGGCACGAAAAGGACTAGGTTGGTATCTGGACTCGAATATCCACAAACCGTTCTTAACGTGTTTGGACAGGATGACCGGAATGGCAAAACTTTCCGACGCTAACAATGCCGGGGGCAAGAGATCAGATCAATGCACTCTGATCCTCACCGAAGGTGACTCCGCCAAAGCACTTGCTGAGGCTGGTCTCGGTGTCGTCGGACGTGACAACTTGGCGTTTTTCCTCTTCGTGGCAAGCCGCTCAATGTCCGCGAGCGACATACGACCAGATCTCGAAAAATGCCGAACTTCAGAATATCAAGAAGATCATGGGTTTGCAACATGCCAAAAAATACGACAATGTTAAATCGCTTCGATATGGTAGTCTGATGATCATGACTGATCAGGTAGGCTTCTGCTCGGCACATGTTTCTTGTAATTTAAATTTCTGTCCCCAAGGATCATGACGGCTCTCACATTAAAGGGCTTCTTATCAACTTCTTCGACCATTATTACCCCTCTCTGCTCAAGGTTCCCTCTTTCCTTGTGGAGTTTGTAACTCCGATCGTGAGGGTACGTTCTGGCGCTCTAGCAAGGCACGGATTGGCTAAGATGATTTACGATAGGTCACAAAAGGCAAAGAAAAGCGCAATTTTTTCACTATTCCCGAGTACCTGGAGTGGAATGAGAAACACAACAAGGATGGGAAATGGTCTGCTAAGTACTACAAGGTAAGGAAACTCGGAGACGCTACCCCGTGCATGGGCTCAGCGGTTGCGCAGGGGTTGGGCACTAGCACAAATGAGGACGCGAAGGAGTACTTTTCCAACATGGCCACTCATATGATTCCGTTCGCTACACTAAAGGACCCTGAACGAGAGCTCATAGACATGGCATTCAACAAAACAAAAGCGGAGAACCGGAAGGAATGGCTTCGGAAATTCAAGGTAGACCCATTTGCTTGCACCCCGATGTCACCTGCCTTATACCCTTAAGCCTGGGACGTACATAGATCACAACGTCGACGAGATAACCTATGATGACTTTATCAATCAGGAGCTCATTCAATACTCTGTGGCTGACAACACGCGATCTATTCCCTCTGTTGTGGATGGTCTCAAGCCCAGTCAACGCAAGATTCTTTTCGGTTGTTTCAAACGGAAGTTGAAGGAGCAGATAAAGGTTCATTTCATTCCCACTCCAGTCATTGGAGTTGCCAAGACCAATTTTTAGGTGGCGCAACTAGTGGGGTACATCTCGGAGAAAACCGCATATCATCACGGCGAACAGTCACTCGCAACGTCTATAATTGGACTCGCACAAGACTTTGTTGGCTCGAATAACGTCAATCTGCTCTCCCCCGATGGCCAATACGGCACTCGCTTTAATGTGGGTCATTCTTCGGAGTCTTAGTCCAGCCATTGATCAACGCAACAATCCAGGGAGGCAAGGACGCGGCGTCTCCCCGTTATATTTTCACTCATTTACCACCAATCACTCGTGCTATGTTCCACGCCCGAGACGACCCCCTCCTCAATTATCTTGTCGATGATGGTGATCCAGTAGAACCTGAGTGGTATGTACCTGTGGTCCCTAATGTGCTTATCAATGGCGCGGAAGGCATTGGTACTGGTGAGTTTTTAAATAGTCTGTTGTATAAACCAACCCCACATCAATGCCAGGGTGGAGTACCAGTATTCCGAGCTATAATCCATACGATATCGTGGCCAATATTAGACGCCTAATGCGGGACGAACCACAAGTCCCCATGGTTCCATGGTTCCGCGGCTTCAAGGTTTACCCACTGTTATCTGCTCCGGCCAATGCTCATACGACATCCTAGGGCACAATGACAGGTGGTGACGGTAAATTTACAGTCACCGGAGTTATCAACCAGATCAGCGATACTTCCGTCGAGATCACTGAGCTTCCTATCCATCGCTGGACTGAGGGTTACAAGGAGTTCCTCGAAAGCTGTATGGTTTCCGGGGAGGGGAAGACGAAAGCTGGTAAAGTTCAAGAACGCTTCGTTCAGGTCAGGGATGGTCCTTCATTTCCACTCTGGCACGGTTAAATGACTTCTCGCTTAAAGGACTATACCGAGCATCATGCGGGCGGACATGTTCATTTCATCATCAATATGACTGCTCATCATCTGAAAGAGATGGAAGCGGACTTGGTCTCTCGATTCAAGCTGAGCACAACAGTCAATACCTCCAACATGGTGTGTTTCGACCCCGATGGGTCCCTCAAGAAGTACGCTTCTCCCGAAGAAATATTGGACGAGTTTTATGCCGTTCGCTTACAGTTTTACCAAAAGCGCAAAGTGGGTATCATCCACCAAATGTACGCCCCGACCTAACATGAGCTACGTAGGCCTACACCGTGAATGAACTGCAGACACAGGCAGAAAAGTTGAATAACCAAGCCCGTTTCGTTCAAATGATTATCGACAAGCAGCTTGTCGTTTCTAATCGCAAGAAGGCTGATATCGTAAAAGAGCTTTGCGACAAAGGCTTTAAAGCCTTCCCAAGGGTTTCCCAGGCGAAGGAGGCTGGGGAGACCGAGGGGCTCAAGATGATGATGATGAAGGATCATCCAATAATCTTGACAATTTCGATTATCTGTTAGGGATGGCCATCTGGAGTTTAACGAAAGAAAAGGTACGGGTACACATACATTGCAATTGTGATCCGCTGCCTACCTTCAATTACAGGTGGAGAAATTGAAGAGGGAGCGGGAGGCCAAAGAAGCAGAGTTGGAAGCGTTCGTGAAACTTACCCCCAACCAACTCTGGGATGCTGACTTAGAAGAGTTCCTGAGGCAATGGCAGGTACGCATATCATTGACTTACTTTAGTTTTGGGCGCCGATTTATGCACTCCATTGCCAGGCCGTCTTGGACCGTGACGAGGGGCTAGAACGCGCAGCTGGTCGGAGCACCAAGGGGAAGAAACAAACTCTGAAGACTCGCAAGTCATTGGGTTCCAGCAAGCCCGGCAAGCGCAAAGACTGGGACGACGATGACTTCAATGACGGAGGGGGACGGTCCAAAGCTGCCGTGAAGCCGAAGGCCCAGTCGGCCAAGCCGAATTTGGAGCGGATGTCCAAGCCCTCAAACGATGTCGATCTTGTTCCGGACTCTGGAGCAACTTCCAAGCAATCAGCCAACGTTAATGAACTCTCTGATGACGAACTGAGCCGGGTCCCTGCGAAAATGACATCGCATATGAAGCCCAAGTCGCCGCCAAAGAAAGCGCCAACTCGCTCTAAACCAGCAACCAAGCGAAAATCGTGGGCATAACTCTTTCCTTGTTGATCTTTGGTCATTTAAATCTCACAGTGCCGAGTTTGACGCGGAGGACCAAGATGAAGACGAGAAATACATCAAGCGGGGAAAGAAGACTAAGGTTGCGCCCAAATCATCGATCACAGACTTTTTTGGCGCTGTTCCCTCCGAAGGCATCGATCGGGCGAGGACCGAACCAAACGCGTCTTCCTTCAAACCCCTTCAAAGGAAGCCTCCGTTTGACGATGAGGACACTGCTGTGTTATCCGACTCATTGCCTTCACCACCTCCCGCCGCGAAGCGTCCAGTGCGTGCAGCAGCCTCCAAGAAGAAAATCATGTCCTCAGACTCAGATGACGGAGAAGATTCTGACTTCCAAATTCTCGAGTAGATCACAGTTCTCTTTCTAGTCTTTACGACATTATCCTTACTACTTGTACCCTTAATCCCACCTTTCTTTTGCTTTTTCGCACACCAGTCGCAATCTGTATCGCAAGTATGCCAGGAGACAGCTAACGGGATAACGGAGTTAAGGTTTAATTCCGCCACACTTAAAAGACCCTCGTCGTCTTTCCTGTCAACCTTCTGGTCACGACTAAATCAGCTTGTAAGCGCTGAAAATTGCTGAGAGCCATTTTCGCGAACCATTAGCCTATCCCTTCCTTAGCTTCACCTGTACCACGTAAAAAAACCGGGGATTCGAATCCTCACCCTCGCTGTCATTGGTTAGTGACCAGACATTCATCAGCTCGACTGCTTTCCTGAACGGCGAACTGCGCATTCGGTATCTGGTTGAAGCAGGATAATCAAGGTTCAAGACCTATAGGCTTCCTATCCCGTCTTTTGCAGTTGCCACCACTGGTTGCCTTAAAAAAAAATACTCAAATGCTGGGCATTCTTGACAATTCATCTTCTCCAAAGGAATCCCAGACACCAACTCACGACGCGCCCATCAATCTTCCCGCCTTTCTCGATCTTGCAGACTCGGTATGCCATCGCCGTTGACTATTCTATTACACTGACTGACGCGTATATGTTAGGCGGCGAGGCTTAACTCGAATCTTCCTGATATTAATGCCGTATGTGGAAATGCCCACTTTTTTTATGCTCTTGTCACTGATCGTGCTTTTAAAATAGCGTATTGAGCAAAAACGACAGGAACATCAACAGCAGCGCGAATTACAACGCCGCCACTTCGAGGAACAAATGCGTGCCTTAGAGGCGAAGCAGGCAGAGGAAGAACAGGCTCTTCTTCTGACACCTATGGTTTCTCTCGGAGATGGTTTGAATGAGCATATCGCTTTGTCTGCCCCGACCACACCACCGCGCAATTCGTTCGGTCTTAGCGACCCGGCTTCTGTCGTCTCTGGACTTCCAATCTTCCATCAGCAATCAGTCCTCAATGATTTGGTTGATTATAGCAAACGCAGTTCCGTTAATTACTCTGTTGTCGCCAATTCTGAAAGTGTTACACCTGGCTCGCATAATCATACCGCTGGTGCTAAGTCCATGCCAGGAAGCCGCCGAGGATCATCAGGCAGTCATGAGAGCGCCGTAAATGACATGACTGCCAGCTTGCTCCTTGGCTCGCTTTCACTGAAAGATCCACATGGTCCTTCTCAACCTCCAAGTCGGACCCCACATCGTTCCCAAACTGGACCTGTAGCTTCAAACATTAGTGCTGCTTCTCTGTTTGATCAAGACCTTGATAATGAGATAACCAGTACGTTCATTTTTTTTGGCCAATCTCACCTCCCTCAAGCGCATTGATATCTCACTCGTGAAGACTCGCTTCGACATCTTCCAACCCAAACAGAGGATGAGCGAGTCAATGTCAGGGCTCACTATGCTCGGAAAGTGAGGCCATTTTGAACTGACGAATCGCGTGGCTGCCTGACTCACTCTTTCTGAAGTTGTCCGTATCGTCTAATGCTCTCGACCTGGCACCGCTGCAGCAGTCTCGACCATTCAGTTCAAGGATTACCGACAGTGTTGGTCTCACGTCGTCAGAATGGCCCCAATTCTCGGGTCCCCCTCGTCCTGCGGAATTTAGCGGCCTTCGCCTCAACACTCGTAGCTCTTCGCACAACCTGGCCATCGGAACAGATAGCCCTTCTACGTTGTCTGTACCGACTCCAATCGTGACTCAAAGTCCTGATGTGTCCAGAAAGTCGTCTCCCCCCACGTTCTCTGATGCCTCGAGCCTGACAGGACACACAACTCTCTCGAGTGCTCGTTCCGTTCCTGCGACGCCGTTGACTAATTTATCCAACCCTACACTTCGTACTGACCTCGGTATTGTGTCCACCAAGACACCTGGTGGTCCGGTATCGCCTTCGCAACCTGTCGAACGTGGTACACCAGGGTCCTCAGACGTGGCCCATCCTACTTTCAGCCGTGTTTCTCCCGTTAATTATGATGCCGTTGCTTATAGCTCTATCCGTGGCGATGATCTTCACAATGTGAGTAAAATTTGGAAACAATTCCGGCTCGGAACTCTAGCTTACTTTCTACAGTCATACGCAAACGACCCTCTATACCTGCCAAACAACACGCTTGATATTCCCAGATATGGTTATGGTGCCTATGCTTCCGGAAGGTTGTCTGCCGGTGGGGCAGATTTTTCAAACGTGTATCACGGCTCGCGCAATGGGAACAACGGGAACACGGGTCGATTTGGAGGCACGGACACAAAGACCAACGGTCTCGGAGGGCCTAAGCACAGACGAGGTGACGTTGACAGAGAATGTGCGCCGGGTTCGCCATCACCTCCAATTGGATGTCTAATCCTTGTTATGATTAGTTAACCGCTTCGCTGGTGCTCGCCTGGAGGATTTGCAAGGCGACATCCCCGCTTTATGCAAAGATCAGCACGGTTGCCGATACCTGCAAAAAAAACTTGAGGAAGACTCGTCTGAACATCGGGATATGATCTTCCGTGAGACATTCTCTCACTTGTCCGATCTGATGACAGGTACTGGGATTTGCTTTTTAGTTGTGGAGATGTTAATCGCCCCGTCAGATCCATTTGGCAATTACCTTTGTCAAAAGCTTCTCGAATTCTCAACCGATGAGCAGAGGACCCTCATCTGTGAAGCCGTGGCTCAGGACCTAGTTCAAATCTCGCTCAACATGCACGGTACACGAGCAGTTCAGAAGATGATCGACTTTCTGTCAACCCAGCGTCAAAATGATCCTCGTTATGAGGCTCAAATCCGAACCATCATTGTGGCGTTGAGTCAGCATGTCGTAACATTAATCAAGGATCTCAACGGCAACCATGTAGTCCAGAAGTGCTTGAATCGCCTCGCTCCTGAGGACAATCAATTCATCTATAATGCGGTGGCTGCGCACTGTGTTGAAGTTGCTACCCACAGACATGGATGTTGCGTTTTGCAACGCTGCGTCGATCATGCGTTGGACGCCCAGCGAGTGCAGTTGGTCACCGAGATTACCTACAACGCGTTGACACTTGTTCAGGATCCCTACGGCAATTACGTGGTCCAATACATACTTGATCTGAACGATAATCGCTTCAGTGACGCAGTCATCCGCCAGTTCTTGGGCAATGTATGTGCCCTGTCTGTTCAGAAGTTTAGCTCCAATGTGATTGAAAAGGTGAGATCTTCTGATGCTGTTGTGTATAACGTTACTGACGGAGACGGACCTGACTAGTGCATCCGTGTTGCGGAGCATACTACCCGTAAAATGATAATTGAGGAACTCTTGAATCGTAATCGACTCGAAAAGTTACTCAGGGATTCGTTCGGGAACTATTGTGTTCAAGTGAGCCATTGACAGAAGCTGGTTTTCGAACTGTATTCTTATCTCCCAACAGACTGCACTAGATTATGCTGAGCCCGGCCAACGGATGATTGTAAGTGTCGTAGTATTACCCATCAATGTGTCAGATTCATGATTCGTAAAAGCTCGTCGAGGGCATTCGTCCCATCTTGCCCCTAATCCGTAATACCCCCTACGGGAAACGTATCCAAAGCAAGCTTCAGCGCGAGCATGTGGAAACTTACGGGGGTTACAATCATTCTAACCTCTCTGCGCTCTCGAATGGGCCTCGTCACCACATGCCCCCATCTACCACACCCCATCCAAGGAGTGTCACAGACCCATATTTCCGCACGTCACCCTATGCGCTTGCCCAAAATGGCGCTCCGTCTCAGCTTCACCCTGTCCCAACTATGCATAACCTGCAACAACATGCAACAGATCACGCATTCTCCAACCATCAAGTTAGTGGTCTTGGCCTATCCAACCAACCTCTATGAGTAACGGCACTTTGTCGAATGGTTTCCCCGGTATGACAAGTGGCTTCGGTGCTCAGGTAGGACATAATGGCTTCGTAAGTGTGGCCTCCAGCCCCAATGATCACTACCTGCAGTCCCAGTATTCGTATGCTATGTGAACTCTATGCACCTAAAAGTTGGACAATTCTGTCCGCTCCTTAACTGCATGCTCTTTTCAGCATTTTGACACATCTTCGATTTTTTCCTGCTATATTAATCTACGCTATTCTTTTATTCGTTTTCATTCGCGTGGCAGCCACCCATTTGACACTGCCCCTAGGCTCCCACATAGATGGATCCGTGGTCATGCCTTCAGTCAGTGTCTTTTACAAGTCATTTCCCTTCAGGCATCCGTGACCTATCATAACAAGTGCATTGTATTCAACCTCGCATTCTCACCCATCCTTCTTGATGCCATATACACTTTTGTACATCATTGCATCGATTCTCGGTTAAGCCGATTTTTAGCATACTTTTACAGGTGTTTGTTTTCTCAATTTCTTGTATGTTAATTTTCCTTGGTAGAATGCACTAGGAGTTTTCAAGACCTGTGTTACATACACATAGTGGAACAAGAAATCGATACACCATTTGTCTGCCCGACAAAGAAAATAAGATACGAAGGCAATAACATTGCATGCGAGGAATCAACGGGAATGAGGTTGACGAAAAAATATAGCGAGCCATAACTACGGTTAATCGCTGCCATTGCTCGTGCGCAGAGCCGATTCTTGTAGCCCTGTCGCAACTGGACAGTCTTGTGAGTCCACGGGAAAAGGCGTCGATGATAATTCATTCCGTTCGGAACGAACAGAAGAGATTGAACCATACTGTCTGTCAGAGTTATCGGAAGTCTCAATATGTAACGGTTCGAAGGGGTCTAAGCGTCGTCGACCAGAAAGTGCGGAACTGGCAAGGGGGGAGGAATGACGGAATTGATCTCTCGTATCGGAAGCCGGGGGAGCAGCATAAAGGAAAAGCGGAAGTTTCGTTGGGGTCGCCGAGGACGGACCAGGTATGCGATTGTCGTGACCAAATTGGGAATCAGCAAATGCTCTACCAGGATCTAAGGGGGTTCGAGGGGTGTCAAATATGGAATGTGTGGACGGGCGTGTCCCACGGCTGGACCGAAAAGGAGTGCCCAGGACAGTACGTGATGGAGTTGCAGTCATATCAAATGCGTCTTGAGGCTTGGACGATCGGATGTTGAAGAAATCAGTAAAAGCAGGAGAATGATAGGTGCGGTGGTCCTCAGAGCGTCTAGTATTTGGGGTATCATGGTAACGAACCTGCCTACAAGCCAGGTAAGAATCGTGCGACGTCCGATGGTCGAAACCATCGTCCTCGCCAGCTGCTCTGCCAGTAGGGGTAGTCGGAACTAAGTCGGAAGAATGCGAAGCCTCAGCGTGGGGATATGGTGAAGCCTCAAGCGACGGACTATTGAAGATTTTAACACTAAGGTCTGGCGCAGGGTTAGGTGAATCGCTAGGCATAGCAAATGTGGGGATCTGGGGGGGTCGTAATTGGCATTTAAAGCAATGCCAATTTGCGTCGGGATCTGTCTCATCCCATTTGACACATTCCTGATGCGACCATCCATTGCAGGAATCACACTGGACCATAGGCAAATCATTTTCTGTCCCGCAGACGCAATCAATGCGAGTATTTTGATCATCCTCATCTTCCGAATCAAAGACCCGCCTCGTCGCTCTTCCAACAGGAGTTTGTGGGAGTCTAGGCTCCGTTGAGGGAACTGGCTTCTGCTTGGCTGGGGATTTCATGCGATGAATGACGGACGTGATAGCCAGCCGTGCATCGCCGGAATTCAGAGTGGCCTTCGACAGATGGTCGAAATTACCGTTCACTGGAAGTCCGACGCCGAGAGTCAAGGGAAGGGATAATTCGGGTGCACTCGTGGTATCTGAATCTTCATCAGTGTCACGATCGAAAAACAACTCCAGATGTCTCATGCGGGATGCCTCGGATTCGGCATCCTGCGTCCGCCCGCCAGCGCTGGTGTTGTCCCGCAATGTCAGGTCGCGTCTCCGGCCTGGCACATAGGGCACGACACCTTGCAACACCTCCTTCCCATATACAGTCACCCGTTTCGCAGGGGTTGAAGATACAGAAGCAGCGTGTTTCCTTGACCCCTTCCGCTTCGTAAACTTCGAGGAGCGTTTCACCGGAGACATAATATACGTTTCCGTGATGTCATCGGGATGCACCGCTACTCTACCGATACCCGCGACTTCCACAGGCTTGAGGGGAGAGATATGAGGCTCCTGTGAGTGTATGAACGCTGCCAAACGCCGTTGCCTTTTTGATTCTCTTTCTTCTGGGTCGACGGGCTTTGGATGTTCTTCTGGCGCAGGGGGCGGGGACTGCAGCCACTGCAGAGTTAGGTTAGACATGGCTGCTGTTGGAGGGGAATTTTTCAGTTGTGGGGAGGTTCCTGTCTCCACAGGAGAAGTAGGTCGGACGAATTTAAGTCTACGACCCCTCACGGGGGTTTCGAATATTACAACATGCTGTCCATCCGATGACTGAGCGTCCGGTTGCTTCTCACAGTCCACGAGGAAGCCAGTTTTAGAATTTGCGCTGCGAATGTACTCAAAAGGTGATTGCGGATTCTCTTCATTCAATGTTGAATCCTCCGTTCTAGCATCCCCAAGCCGCGGGCGCTTGTTATGGGAGGCTTGGCCAGGCGGTTGCTTTGATCTGCCGCCTAATGGCAGTGGCAGCGATGCAACCTGAGACAACCTGGACGGGGGGCGCAATCGGAACACGTCGTCAACCACATCCTGGACTTCGCTAGCTGCAGGCGAGATGCCGCGAGAGGCCTTCTGCGAGGCACGAGCAGATCCCAAGGGTGTATTTCGACGAGGGGTACGTGAACGATCATGAGACTCTTCGAATGCTGGAAGCAAAGGCGTCGGAGTATCAGAGTGTCCCCTTGGGGATGACACTGTTGTGGGGACGGGAGCGACCTCAGATCCAGCAGTGTCTTGTGAGATATTAGCACAACGAGTGTCTAACGAGGTGACTGGCGAATCTCTATCTCCGATGGTCAGTGGGGAGTGAGAGGGACTATTTTGGCGAGCCTTGTATAAGGGATAAATTGAAGTGGAAGAGAAGAACCACAAACCTGTCCTCAGACATAGGATTCTCAATTACATGCCGACGACCATTGTACTGAGCGTAAACAGGGCTGTGGCATGGTGTTCAGAGTAAGCACTGATTAAGAAAACTCCTTCTTACCTTGAAGACGGCGTAAGCTGAGACGCCGAATAACCGGTCATTCGTGGTCTATACATCAATAGATGCCTGATAAGCATTGCAACGGGTTGGGGACAACGACAACGCTCACTCGGAGGAATGAGGCGAAAGGGTAGAATCAATTGCACCAATCATGCCTCTAGATGATAAGTAAGTATACTTCCTCCAGTGGCGAGGCCTAACGCACGACTTCGGAGCGGGTGACTCCATTGCAAGATGTCGGTAGCTGGAGTATGAATTGGTGGTCGGACTATGAGCCAAAGGCAAGAATCAGCAGCCATTGGCCATACGACATGCTGCACCCTACTGACCTGTGTGGGGTGAGGAGTTGAGTGTGAGGGAGATCGGAAACAGCCACCTTCGAGCTGCCAAATGAGGACTCAGTCCAAAGTGCAAGTGGCTAAATAGAGCAATTAAATTCATACCTGTTCTCAGATATCGTTCGAACATTAGCAAGATCTGAAGGAGGCAAACGAGGCGCATTATCGTCGGTGGCCGGTGACATCTCGCGAACATAGGCACGATTATGCATCTCAGATAACGTTGGTGTTGTTGATGCCATCCGAAGGGAGACGTCATGATTACTATTTGGCTGCACTGGCCATTGGATTGGATAGGTATTGGCGACAGAAGCGTACGACCCAGAAGCCATTCAAGTACCGATGTGGATGTGTAGCAATTGTGGGGATAACAAGTTATGGGTAGATTCGAAGGGACGGGACGGGGGCGATGAGATTATCCCAATGTATCAATGTCACCGATGCCGATGATGGCGTCACTGAGTTCAGCGGCGGCTGGAGAGGAACAACAGCGCCTGCTGAGGTCCCAACACCAAGAATGAATAGAGATGGAAACTACCGACTCATCGCGTGACAGGCTTGGCGCTTGTGCCCTAAATTGGCATGCAGCAGCACCTGAAGATTGATCAATGGGACGATCAACAATTATACAGGGGTCCGACGAGTCGAGTCACCGACCCGAGACACGGTGACTACGCGCCGATGCGGGTAGCGACGAGGTGAGGCTGTAGACCTCACCTGGAAACCAAGTTCTCTACACAACGCTCACAACATGCTCAATTGCCTCAACCTTGAGATCAATCACTCAGCAGTAATTATCCTTCCCACTCTTTGGATGGATGAAGTAGCTAGTGACCGGTCGTTAATCAACGTTCAGCTTGAGGCTGGTCACCTGCCTGCATTTAGCAGCGTCTTGCGTTGGTCCTGCAGGAGGTCATCTCCCAATTAACTGACTATATTTGGATCGGATTTCAAATCTGGTCAGTATTGTTCGTGGTCGCAGCCTAAAAGGCTGCACCACGACGGATGGTCACCCAGGTATACAGTAAACGGACGAGGCCACAAGCTCTGCTAGGATCCTCGCAACTTAAGCGAGTCCATCGGCAAAAGGGCTCAGACTGGCTGACGGTCACAGCCAACACTCTCTTTGCTCCCCCCGCCCCCCTAATTCCAACTTCCTGACTCGAGGGCCAAAATTTGTCTGGCACTGTGGGAAAGCTAACGGGACACTTCCGCAACTTTCCCCCGAACTGGCGGCCAACTCCCGCCATGTCTTGTCTTAAATCTCGTGTCCGAGCACGCATGCGGGAAGCCTTGGTCAACCTGGTGGTCTTACAGCGACGAATTTCGGCAAAGCATGAACCTCGTTTTACTCTGAATTGGTGTGCGCTGCAATATAGGCTAGTAATCTCAATCAGACGCTTGCAAGCACCTCATCGGGGGAGCCCGAGCCGCTACATCTGTGGATACTGTATACTTCACCGTGCTTCCTAGGCTATCATTTGCTTATGATGGAGTCACGGCATCAACGATTGCCCAACGCCGCGGCCATGCGGCCACCCCAAACCCAACCTGAAGCACACCCGGGTTACCTGAACCTGAATTACGTAGACGAATCTTTAGCATCTGTGTGGCGTACTTCGAGCAACCTCATGCTTGGGTGAGTTGGGGGTTGCAATCCAGATGGTATTGTTGACAAAATATATGGCACAAGCTTCAAGGATTGGAAAGGAGCTTCAAAAGCTCCATAAGAAAACCAACATAATTATAATCGATGCCACCCATAATATCCCGTCAAGCAAAATACGAAGCAGCTGCGTCCTGGAAACCGCATGCCACGCTGGCGTTCGTTCGACTCAATCACTCCTCAGCTTTCCCTGGACGAGAGAGTGCCTCACGAACACTTTTCCGCAGATCCTCGTCGCGGGGTGTCGTGTCACTCTTTGATTCAGTGGCCGGTGAATGCACACCGTCCTCGATTAGCTCTCGGATGCGACGTGCCAAAGCAGCAATCTCCGCCGCTCCGCCATCACCGCCATCATCTGAGAATGACTGCGACCTTGACCCAAGTGTGGAGCCTGTGGGAGTCGATGATTGCGACGTCGCCAGTTGAGTAATATGTGGTGCGAGGAGGGTAGATGAGCGGATATTCTGAATTAGCTCCGCATCTACCAATAGAGTAATCTGAGAAGGGATCCTTTGATTAACCTTAAAAGAGCCTACCATCAGACTCAAGAAGTTGGACGATTGTCCAAACCGCTATGTGCTGGAAAGTAGCATCCGTACTGCTAAGGAATCGCCATAGGTAGTGATGTAGGCCATCGTCTGGTTTATCCCATACGTCTACAAAGGCGCTGTAATCGTCCGAAGGGCTTCGCCCCTCTATTAAAATATTAGCCCAAGTGAATGCATCGAAAGAGTTATAGAAGCGCACCTTTAGAAGACAAATTGCCAATTGCCGCAGCGCTATTACCCTGCACCTCAATGCTCGTCGAATTGGTTAAGGGAATAAGCACTTCCAATATGCCCATCTCGAGCAACTGGGGCTTTAAATCCTCTGAACAGCACCGCATAAGCCAAGGAAACACTGGCTAGACAAGGAGGCCTTACCGCTCAAGGCCAGAACGGCGACACATGCCGTCATCTCACTCTGCACATTCAAAGGAATCGTTAACACAAGATCCTTGATCTTCTGTACAGCACCAGCTTGCACAATTTGGCCTTTGTTCTTTTCCGAACTTGCAGCCAAATTCCGAAGTGTGGAGATCGCATGGCACTGGACTTCCTCGTTCTCTTCAAATGACAGCAAATCGATGAGGGGGTTGAGGAAACCAGCTTCTATTATCGGACTCTCATTATGAGGGTGAATAGAGACGTTCCGCACGCACGCGGCGGCAGAAAGGATGAGAGGCAAATAGGTCGAATTAAGCAAGCGGAGGAGTGGTTGTAGACCGTCGGCCTTAACGATGTCAACTTGATACTTCTCTGAACAGCGAAACATATATAGCAGCTACCCACGGGCACATAAGCTTTGAGGCTCACCATCGCTTGCGAGATTGCGGAGGGCAAGAGCAGCCTGACATTGCACCTTGAGACTGGGGCTGTCCATGAGGGCCACCAAACTATGAACGAGTTTGGGCTCGCTAGAGGACAGGCGTTTGCGATTCTGTGCATCCACAGCTATGTTGCTCAAAGCGGTGGTGCAGTAATACTGAACATCCGTGTCGGAGGACTTAAGCAAGTTTACCAAAACGGGTATAGCACCTGCAGCAACAAGCTGTTGGCGGTTCTCGTCTGGTCGAAATGGTGAGGCATACAATGGATTGTTCCTGGTGCTTAATGAGCATACCGGAATGGGTCATATTCAACAGTGCTCCTGTAGCATTCCGCTGCACCCGAAGATCGTTCGACCTCGCCATGCGGGTCAATGGCACTAATGCTCCAGATTTAGCTATCTTCGTCTTATTTTCGTCATGCGTGGCCAGATTTGTGATGCAGCCCACCGCATTGCATTGTACTTCAACGTTCGGGCTTAGCATTTGTCGTATGAGGGGTTCAAGACCACCAAGTCGAACAATCAGCAGCTTGTTCTCAGCTAATATAGGATCTTAGAACAGCTTCCTTAGCAAGGGAAGGAAGGCATACGATTAACGGCCAAATTTCCCAAAGCAGCGCTAGCCGCACGCTGAACTTCTGTGTCGTGACTGCTTAGGAGGAAGAGTATCGGGTCAAGAGTGTCACGGCCAACTTGTTGGACTTCACGTTCAGTGATTTCCGCAAAAGCAAGCGCTGCGCTCCTCTGGAGATCCACATTGTCGGAGAACGAAAGTATGGTAAGAGCTGAAAGGGGAGCACCAGTGAAAAAGTTGGTTGTTGCGCGATCTAAGCGTGTGCGTTGATGAGCAAGGCACATGATGCATAAATTTCTCGTTAAGAAGAGCCTTGGGAGGAAATACTAACTTTCAAGATACTGTAACAAGTCTGCTACAGCTTCTCGCTCACTCTCGAGGAGAAGCGGTTCGTACGAGTGCGACCGGCGCGACGGAACTGCGGAGAAGTATCATTTCTAATGAGGATAAAATGTCTCAAACACGCAAGAGATACATACAACAGTACGACAAACACTGGCTCATGACGGTGCTCAAGGTGGTTGACGACTGACGCGCTTAGAAGGTTTGTGGACCTATCGCTCGGTATAAGGATTAAACACCGATATTAAGTCCGTAATTCAATCCCTCCCCAAGCAGGTGTCTCCTTCAACGTTCCCTCACAGCACTACCATCTTCCAAAAAATGAGCAACCCAATGGAAGGGCTACATGATGCTTCACCAGGGGGACCATATCTTGAGACGAACACTCCATATACACGTTCTCAAAGTGTTGCTTCTTTTGTGTTTGACGTACTTCAGCCACCAACTGCTCTTGGTTCGGGGACCGATCCCCCAAGAAGTGCACGCCCCCCTGCCCTTGGACTGTCAGGAACTGGGACAATGTCTAGCGGCGAATTTCTATCGTACGTGATAATCTCGGGTGGCACAGGGTGCAATGCAATTTGCTCGGCTTTCGGGGAGAACGCTTGCTATGTGCTTCCTGTATCGGATAATGGCGGAAGTTCGAGTGAGATCATACGGGTTCTTGGTGGGACTTATTGAGAGACTATGATTATGCTTTTCCCTCATCGCCATTCAGGTGGTCCTTCCATAGGCATGGCTTATTGAGACACGTAGTGAAAACTCGTTCTAATGGCAGCTATCAAAGGTGACATACGTTCTCGCCTTTTACGCCTCATCCCCCCTGCTTCATCGGATTCTCCGACTGAAAGGATACGACATCTTTTATCTTATCGTTTCCCGTTTGAATACACCGAGCGAGTGGCTCGAGAAGCGTGGCGAGATATAGTTGAAGGGAGGAGCTCCCTTTGGTCTGGCATTCCCTCGGATCGGAAAGAGACCATACGAGGTATTTAAACCGTACAAGTAGCTACCTCGCAGTTTATCTGATTGCAAAGAAGGCTTTCTTGTGTATTTCGATGGGGAAGTTTTAAAGCGCGCCAACAAGCAGTTTTCCTTTCGCAATGCTAGCATTGGAAACTTTTTCTTGACAGGGGCACATCTTTTCTTTCGGTCTATTCCCTCTGCGATCTTTTTGATGTCGTCTATCACTGGAAGCAAGGTACGATAGGGCCCCCCAATTCCCCCTATGCGTGTGACATGTTACGCATCCAGGCAGATGTACTGCCTGTTCTAGTGACAAATCATACTGTTACTATTGCGGCAAAGCTGAAGAATGGAGGGACCCTGGTGGGTCAATGTGAAATATCTCACCCTCCAACCAGTTTGGTGGCACCACATATGGCACCGATCTCAATTTCGACGTCTCGAATTCATTATCCCGGGGGCGTATCTGAAGATGTCGAGTCTGGGGATGTCCCCGAGGATGCAATGGGTGAGAACAGTGCAGCGCACTCTCCAATATCAACTACGCAAAACTGGAGGATCATCAATATGATCCGTTGGACTCTCCTATAGAGCGTAAGGCACTTCCGATGTACCTGGTAGTTCTGCCCCATCTTCATGAAAATAACTAGGGATATTCTACATCAATCAGTATGGCCAGGAAGTATACCCACTACCCAATCCTCAATTCCTCAAGAACTTAAATTCGAGGTTCACCCTAGTCTATTCCTGTGGCTCCCTATTCACGAGGTTGGCGATGGGTTCCAGATGCTGCACATAATGACCTTTCCATTTTCTTCGCAGTATCATTCCATGTCTGGCGTTAAGAGGTGTGGGACCTGCAATAGCTAACTCCCATACCCTGCGGGCCAAAGTTCTCCTCCGTAGGTTGACCACACTTTCAAATTCCTAGCCGATGTTGGTCCTCAATGTCTCTATTCTCAGTCAACGGCAAGAACGATCGTGAGACCGATGGATTCACGGCTACTGATTATATTCGGTACAAATGATCATTCTTACCGTTCCCTGGACCGAGTTCTGATATTCCCGTTTATATCTAGAGCAATTTCAAAGCAACTAAATTTCTGCCAATCACCAAATCCGCAAATGCCAATGCGAGAAACTTCATATCCCGTATCAGCCTTCATTACACATTTGGTTTATTTAAAGAATTCTGCAGTGAAGGTAGACAGAGCTGAGATTACGGTAAAATATCACCTCATGTTCATTGGTTGCACGCTGACCGCAAGAGCAGAGTTTGGGCGTCGGATGTGTTGAAATCGAAGGGGTAGGCCAATGCTTTGATGCTCAGTCAGTAGAGGAGGCCTTGGGGCTAATTCAGGATTCTTTACCTTTCTGTTGAATGATACGCCGAACGCACTGCTGTTGCACTGCTGACGACGGCCGGTTTTACATTGCATTGGCTCGTGACTTACAGTAACCACATTTGCTCCCGTTGAACTATAAAGGTCAAACTCACACACTCGTACAACGTTGCAAACGGTCCGCACAGAAACACAAGACTTAATCACTATCAGTCATCCAATCTGTCGCACTACCTTTGCACTTCACCTCCTCGACAGAGTGATACGCTTGAGGAATTTCATGCTTTTATTGCCAAACAAATCTACGAGCAGAGTGTCGGCGTTGTCCCGTAAGCCGCTAGGACGTCCTGATGAGCAGGATCGCGATTGATCTGGGCCTTTATCAGCGTTGAACTATAGTAGACCTTATTAACGATGGCTAAGATTGTGAACATTCGTCGCGACGTTGATGTAGGTACATGGATGGTCGCTAATAGGAGTCCTGGTTGACATTGTCAACAGGACAAGTTCTACCGATACAAAATGCCATCCCTTCTGACCAAGATCGAAGGGAAGGGTAACGGTATTAAAACTGTCATTCCCAATATGTCGGACGTCTCCAGGGCTCTCAGTCGCCCCCCAACCTGTGGGTTGCCGAGCGCTTAGTAATCCGGTTCCACTACATGCTCATTTCCCCCATCTTAGATACTACGAAATTCTTTGGTTCTGAGCTGGGCGCTCAAACGTCTTGCGATGAGAAGAACGATCGCTATATCGTGAACGGTGCTCATCAAGCTGACAGGCTCCGCGAGCTTTTGGATGTCTTCATCGACAAATTTGTCCTTTGTGCATCTTGCAAAAATCCTGAGACGGATCTTGTGCTTACCAAGAACGAAGACATTATTCGTGATTGCAAAGCATGTGGTCAACACACGGGTATTGACATGCGTCACAAACTTGCCAGTTACATCCTTCGCAATCCTCCCAAAAAGGCTAAAAAGACCAAAGGCACGCACGCCACCGCATCGAATGGCGGTGCTACCGGAGGGAATGGAAGCCCCGATGAAGAGGGTGGGTCGGATGATGAATTTACCAAGAAGCTCAGGGCCGAAGCCGCCGTACTTCCAACCGCTGATCAAGTCAAAGTCGACGAGAACGATTGGTCCCTTGATACATCTGCTGGCGCTGTTCGTGCCCGCCAGAAGACACTGGAAGCGTCAGTTGCTGGCTTAACACTCGGCGAAGAAGAAAGTGAAGGTGAAGACCCTGACAGTCCTTACTCGATCCTTGGCAAGTGGGTTGAGGAGAATCGCGATGGCAGCGCCGTGGGCTTCTACAAGAAGGCGGAGGAGCTCGGCGTTGAAAGGAAGAGCAAGGCAGTGCAAATCATTGCTCAAAAGCTATTTACCGATGATGTGGTTAAGGAGTTGGAGAAATTCGCACCCCTGTTTAAGAAGGTAAGGAGTTCAGGTTGCGTGAGATGGGGCGGCACGCACTGATGTATGTTCGTGGCGAGCAGATGGTAACATCTGAAAAACACCAGAAGGCCCTCATGGGGGGTATTGAGCGCTTCGTCGGCGCTGACCAGCCGGAGCTCATTCCCTTGATCCCCAAGATTCTTATGGTCTTGTACCAGGCCGATATCCTGGAGGAAGACTTCATCAAGCAATGGGGTACTCATGTGAGTAAAAAGTACGTTGACCGGGACACAAGCAAAAAGGTCCGCAAGGCGAGCGACCCATTCTTGAAGGTGTGTGCTGAAATGCGATTTTCGAACTTGAATAATTTAATCGGTTCCCATCACAGTGGCTTGAAGAGGCCGAATCCGATGACGAATAAGCCTGGAAATACCAGTGTCTGTCTGTCTGTGGTTGATTTTGGCTAAATCGGGTTTCATATGTGCTCCACGTTGCAATGTATATGAGGAAATTCTCACCCAAACTGTATCCTTCCACTTCTTGAGGATAATATCGAGCCTTTGTCAGCTGGGATCTGATTGATCACTTTTACATAATTTTTCGTGGTCTCGACTGCGAAAGTCGTGAGGCTCAGAATTTGATTCTCGTGCATGCATATGGCAGTCTGCGTTCGCGACTGAATCGGCGGTACCCCAAACCATCATCATGACCTCCCAGCCACACAACAAGACAGCAGGTTACCTAGAGGTGGAGACCCAAGACGAGAGACGCGAGCGATTAGGCAAGTTTACCCCTTTGCCCTCCTTCTCCCCTACAGCCATTCCCACGTTCGGCAAAAGAATAGAAAAAAAAAAAAAAAACACGAAAAACCAAAATGGTGGGAAAAGAGAATTCTGGGAACGTGTGCTAAAGGGGTGATGGTGGAGAGGGGTTTTACTCCTCGTTAACTCTCAAGCCTACCCGCTTATTGTTGTGCACGCCGATGGCATAGAACGTTTGTTCGCTTCTCAGGCGGCCTTAGATCATCCCATCAGTGATACAAATCGACGTGCAGACGGCGCCCCGTCTTTTCCAACTAGCGATGGCCGCGCACCTTACCGAGTAGATCCACCCACTGCGCGTAAGTAAGATCGCATCATGGTATCCCCTATAGCGATGCCCGCAAGCGGGCATCCAGCCTTTTGCACTGTTCCGAGAAAAAGGAGTCATTGCATGGCTTAAGCGCCCTCTCCCGGTCCACCAAGCTTTCAGCGCTTAGCTTATTATGAACAGATTAATTCCTTTTTTTTACTTATTTTACTTTCGCTCCTTCAGTGCTAAAGCGTGTCCAAGCATTTCTTCCACAAATTCATCAAGCGAACGAGGATTTGGATCCCGCAACTGCCAATATTGAGGACGGAGAAGATGAACAGGGCCGATATATTGAAATGGTAGGTGGATTGCCGATTGCAACTCTCCCAACACAAAACAGAATATGCATAATATGACAGTTTGTGTGAACGGCATCCTCCTAAACTAATTTAATATCTGATCTTCTTCGCTTTTTTCCCATTCACCTTTGTACTCCCGGGATTTTTCGCTGATTATTTCCATTTGGGGCAGATGCTTGGTTTGGGAGTGTTTGAGCAGCGAAGGCGTGGACAGGAAGGGTCCGAGTCGCCATCGGAATCTTCCGATTCATCATCCCCAAGCGATGGCGATGACGGCGACATGAAGGTGATCGAGACCGAGAGAAAGGGGAGGAAGAAGAAAACGGGACGAGTGAAAGAAGAGGAACGCGGTGAAGCGTTTCAAGTGACTAGCGGCCCAGAAGGGGACACGATCAGGATTTATGAGGGGCAGGACGATTAATGAATGAGCTAGCCGCCGAACCTATAACCATCATTAAATCTAGGTTCCCCGCCCCTGTACATATACTTGTTACGGGCCATCCCAACTGCAGCAAGGTCCTCTTTTGACCTGGCCCTCTTTTTCCCATGGGTGGGTAGATTTTAGCAAACCGACTACGGCGCGCGCGGCAAGGCATGCTGTTAACCTTGGTTTTCCAGAGCATGATCTGGATGCTGTTGCCCCTATTCGGCTTCTGATTGCACATGATACACATATGATCTACGTGAGTTGAAATATTATACATCAATTCTTCAAGCCCCCTCTGCTGGCACGCCTTGAAGAAGAATTAGGCACTGCTGGAGGTGTGGACAACATGACGACAGAGTCTTTGTCTCATCAGATGGGTTCTCTCCTTCTGATTGAGAACCCTTGGGCTCAGAAGAGACATGGATCCTGAAAAGCAGAGAAACGAATCAGATTTTAGTTGCGGCATTTCTCTATGTTTATTCCCTTTATGCACAGGCTTCAACACACCAAAGAAGAGAAAAATGTCAGGAAAACGCATGTTTACGCACCAAAGGGAAATTGATGTGACGCTTCGAGGACGACTGAATATTCCATTCAATCAGTTCTGGTCTTTGGGATACCTCTGTCGATGAATATAATAACTCACCCCAAATTTCGCGCTCGCTCCCCTTGTCTCCTTCAAATCCCCCGTCCCGACCGTTCAGCGCCGGATGAATCATTCCTCCAATATCCCCGACGACGACTACCCATCTGCGCGGGATGACTTAGACGACCCGAGGTCTCGCACACGACACTTTGCTGGCACAGTCGCAGTCCCCTCTCTCCCCGGTGCCATGGAACACTTATCGCGCCGCCAGTCAGCGCCTAACCCAGGAGATTCCCCCCTCCAGCCTTCGTTCCCCTCTCCAACTCATCAATATGGTAATGACACATTTGTTCTCCTTCCCAAGCTATCGATAATCTAACAACTTCCTCGCTCGTCGTCCTCTGCCGCAGGCCCCAGAATTGGACAGGTTGCTGCTCAACCACACCTCCACGGCTACGTGGACAGCCAGACACGATCACATTCATACCATAGCAGTAACAGCCAGTGGACTTCGACAGGAGGGGGACAGCCTAATCAGGCATCACTACCACAGCCTCCATACACAACTTCCGACGCTCACACATCAACGATGCCATACCCGTCCCATTCGCACCTGCACGACTATGCTTCTGACGTTTCGAACCAGCGAAGCAGCCACTTCTATGAACCCTCACATCCCAATACCCGGGTTGACATTCCGCCTTACCATTACCAATCACCAACCTCGGGGGTCATGTCTCATGATCATTTAGGGATGCGCCCCTCATCATTTGCTTATTCTGGACCCGTAGGCGTTAGATCGTCGCAGGCATGTGTAGCCTGCCGTAAACGAAAGGTACGTCCAGGCCTCCGTGTGTTTCCGTGGGGTGTCGAATGATTGAGCTGTTTCATGCCTAGGTTCGGTGCACCGTGATTCAATCGGACATGACCCAGTCTTCTGGGAGTGGACAGGGGTCAATCGAAAAACTTTGCGTTAGATGTTCTCGATTGGGTATCGATTGTATATGGAAAGATGAGCGTAAAGCAAAGACAAAGTCGAGATCACAGCCAAATGACGCTCCTGAGCAGCATGTGTTGACGTACGTGATTCTCCCCATTTTTTTTCTGGCCGGCCGCGGCGACCTCTGGCTGATCTCTGACCCATACTATCACCGGTACGGTAGTGTTGATACTGCCAGCACGAGCCAAGCAGGCCCCAACACGACATCCCCGTCATTATCAGGCTCATCTACCGGGAGTGGAGCACTCCAACGGCAACAAGCGCTTTCCGTAAGGACGCCTTCCTCGCCTGCATTTTCATCTTTCCCGCCTGGGTCCGCGACTAGCGACCCTTCTTACCCGCACCATAACGCTTACGATCCAACAAGCTTCGCAACACACGGGCATGATCCAGACCAGCAGGGGCAACAGCACTCGCGGATAAGTAGTAATTATGTGGGTGGCATGAACAGCAGTAATGCAACCCCCACGCGATACTCAGCCCCTGACCCATCTATATACACTGCCCATGACCTGGCGAGTATCCGAAGGACCAGCATGGGAAATTTGTCACGCGCTTCTCCTGTGCTGGCCACTCCCGTGCGTGAAACGCCCTTGCCGCAAGTTGCACATTCCCCCGTCTTCTACCCTTATTCCGTGTATAGCGAACAACAACAGCAACGGCCATTGTACGAAGATAACACTTTGTCTTCGGGATCGGGGATTGGGACTGGTGGCAATGTCCCTATTCGTTCGGACGAAAGCCAGAATACGACGACGCTACATCATTACGCGCCGCAGTCGCGTACCTATACACCACAATCCCCCCTTCAGCACCAACACGTACAACACCTTCCATATCCACCCCGCCAACAGGGGTATCAATATCATTCAGAGCAACAACTCCAACAACCCCCGCCTCCGCCTCGGTAAGATCTCGGAAGTCTTTCATTTTTTTTTCCACTGCTTTCATTCTTTGCATGCGCAAAAGGACTGTAGACATATAGTGCATAGTACAATTTTTTGCGGTCTCCATACCACATTTCACAACTTCTCCGTTCACCCTATCTCCTCACTCCTTCGGCTTATCGGATGATCACGCCGTCCCCTGTCCCTGAAAAACACCACTGTTTCCCTGGCTCCTCTTATTATCCGTATATACACACGACCATGGCCAGCACTTCTCACGGCGATGCCTCCCCCTCCCAGGTTCCCACTTCCTTCCCTGTCCTTCTCGTGTACACGCTCAACGCATTCGTTCCGATACGATACATCATGTCACATTCCTGTCATCAGTACACTGAGCCACGACGAGCATAGATTGCCAGTGCCGGGAGAACATAAGGAGGAATCGAGGTAAGGGCCTAGGGCTGGGTTATTCAAAAGTGACCACTTATCAAGTTTCAGACGATCGCTATTGTTGGCAGAATTTGTCCTGTTCTTTTTCTGTCCTTCGTCGTTGAACGAGATTATGGGTGTTGGGCCGGAAGCGTGGAGTACAATTTACATTACACGTCAATGGCTTGGGCGGTTCGGGCCGCTGTCGGCCGGTTTCAGAGGCTTCATTCACAACTGGCGGAGGCTCAAGCTATCGCATCCATCCCCGCTGGCTCAACTCAGAATGCAGTGAGGGGAAGTACGCTTGATGTCCGATAGTTTCCCCGCTGGGTTTCATTACGTCTTGACATCAGGCCAAGTTTACCTTTTGTGCAGGCGCCCCTGGACGTTTCATAATTCATTGTACCTTACTTGCATCTCAGCCTGGTCTTCTTATTCTGCAGGATGGCCTCGCCAACGTTGCTTCTCCGTTGCAGGCCGCTAGTAATTCCAATTCATGTCGGTGAGGTTCCAAAAAGGAAGGCTAAGCTTTGTGGCGGGCTTGAGCTGATGCCGCTAAGCACTTCCGCTACCGAATCCCCGATCGATGGCAGATTGCGTTCAAGTGCGTTCAAGTGCGTAGAGTCGTCGTGTGCCCGCGTTGATGAATGACGACACCCGAGTCATAGTAACAGATGGATCAGAGACTTTCGATCCTGTGATCTCGACGCAACGAAACCAAGGAAAACAGGAGTGAACAAAAGCACCCCCCTCGCGAGAAGCGTCGAGGGGATCAACATAGTTGCCTTTTTGGGAATTAACTTCTCTCATTGTGACCAGTTATGGAATGATGAATTCAGCGGTTGTCAGGCCCAGGTTGCGCCACGCCGCCACTCCGCCTACGACCCTCCTTGCGCATGTAATAAGCAGCGGGGTCCGCACGACCGGTATAAGCCGTGTAGTGTCCAGCTAAGATAATGAGTGGCCTTTCGACCATCATCGTCATTTTTCTCAAACTGCTTTCACCACACCCTGGCGTCTACTCGCTCTTGATGCCGCCGGAACGACCAGATACACCCTATCCAATCCAACGCATATCTCCGTGTGCACTGCAAGCGGCAAGAACAGGCGTGGTGTGGCGCGTATGTTACTGTCCCCGTCCCAGGAAAGCGAGAAATAAGGGTCCAGCCTTGATGAATGCCATGCGGAATGTATCAATACTGGTACATGCTTGGGTCCCATGAGATTCAGGGCTGAGAGAAGACGTTTTGTCGGTGGAATGATTATTATGAATGCTGAGTGTCTCCCTTAATCGCGGCCAATAGTGTTTTGGCATTGGGTAAGCGAACAGTAGACCGTTTCTGGTTTGCAGCTTTTTGTGTTGTTATTTCAAACTGTTTGAGCGCGTAAAGTGTAATGCAAACACACCCCATGGCATTACATAGACGATGCGGGATCAACGAAATTGCTGTTGCTGCAGTTTTAGAGTACATACCTATCTATTGTTGCCCCTGGAAAGTCCTACATGAAACATTCAACGCAAGACATGGGGTTCGTGTGGGTGCTGATTCACCACTATATATACGGATCAGAGCTATGATGCACGTTTGGATCTGTGTGACCAAATATCATGGTCTGCTTTGGGGCCCGAGTTTAGTTCGCGCCAATGTTTCGGTCCTCTAGGCCCGGCTTGGGCCAGCGGACATGACTCTGCCCCAACAGAGAAGACAGAAGACCGCCGGAAATAGCCAACACGTTGAGAAACAAAAAACCGCGTGATGCCCACAGTCGGCTCATCATTAATGTACGCAGTACAGCGGTGGTCATGTGGATGTGGGCGTGAGGCATGCGTGAGGGATCGAACGCAATGACAACCCAGAAGAGCACTTGCGCATTAACGATTTCATGCAACGCAGCGATCGCATCTGGGTCCATTATTCTGTTTCGCGGGCATCGACCCGGGGTGGCCGATGTAGTATAGTATGGGGATGAGTAATCCCCGTAAGGGGGGTCTTTGTTCAAACTCGCACAAGAAAAGTCCATAACAGTACAGGCGGTGTGCCACGGTGGCGTGGCCGAATGAGAATGTACCCTGTTGAGTGTGTGTGTGCGTGTGTGTGTAACATTTTTAACTCCGTATCTGTGCCCGTTGGCATATGACGGAGCGTACAATGGATTACACTGTACAAAATCAGTACATGGCCGCGTTAATGCTTTGCCAGCTCTCCGACCGCCATCCGCCGGTGCCATTCACCCTTTACCATCTCTTCCTGCAGTCGCCGGTATCCACCGAGTCGCAATGACCTAAGCTTTGGGACCGAATGAAGTCCCGGATGAAGGGGGTTAATCGGGTAGCCCACTAGGGATGGTGCTGTTGTGGATTACCTCCCTGTGAGCAATGGTACGTAGGGGCCAAAGGTCCAGAACCTCAGGGTGGTGATATCCAAATCTGGAAAGGAACGAGGGAGGCGAGTCCCATGACTAGTCGCTGCTAAGTGCAGTGAATCACCAGCACAGTGATGTCGTCAGATAATTGAGACCCACGCCCTCAACATGAGTTCACGTCGTAATTGGGGCGCTGAGGAGAAGGCTAGTTACATCATGAGGCCCACGTGTATGTCCTGCAAGTCCTTATCTCGCCATTACCACAAGGGGCCTGGACTGCGACTGAATAAGCTCAAAGGGTGCGACAAAGTATTCCATAAAGGATACGCGAAATTAAGTCCTGTGCACCTGTACTAGGAGGGCCTGATGGGTCAAATCGACACAATTCAGAGAATGAATGGAGTATTTGCTTGGAGGATTGTGAAGGCGCAGCTGTTGAAGTTATGGCCGACGCGCGCGCTCAGAACAATGGAGCAATCGGCGAGGAAAGATGTGATCAACCGCCCATAGGGTCCACGCACTGAGGCGAGCACTAACTTTATCGAAGACGACGTTAATTTCCACTACATAGGATTCATCTGCGTACAAGGGCGCCATCATAATCGTCGACTCTCATGATACACCAGACGCATGAGGACTGAAGACTTGTCTGGTGTCCAACTGCTGTACCGTTAGGATATCCCATTATTCATTGCTTATCAGCACTTGTTCGAGTGATGGCCACTCTAGGTGCCTTCCTATCCATACTCCAGTGGATTATCCAGCAGTCCTGAGTACAAACAACCACAGCATACGCACTCGCATTTTCGGCGTAAGGGGGCCAAAGCATTCGGGATTCGCCGAACGAAGAACGATTCACTTTATAGATCTGATGATTCAAGCAGTCGCTGCCATTGACACCCTTCGTTTCGAGAAGCAGGAATCCTGCGGTTGGGAAGCCACTTTACGGAATGAATCGGTCGGCCGAGGCCCAGTGAGGATGAACTTGCAACAAATTGTGATGGCGATTGGCTTCGTGTGAATCCTGACTGTTTCATTGCATCGAACACTATAAAACCTGCTTCAGCTATCGTCCCTCGCCTAAGATCATTTCCTCCTACCCTTTCTTCTAGTGAAAAAATCCAAGATTTATGCACTACACAGCCGTCCAGGATTTTATCATGCACCCGTATTGTACCCACGTCCAGAGCGAGGCATGCTACCTAGACACCCTGTGCGCTTCACAGGTGCATAAATTTTATGACCCATTGTAGCGAATCCACTCACCTTCGGCTCTCTCTTTAGACATTGCACCGTGAAAAGCACCACTTCGACGAAATGAACAGTGATCACACCACTGGGTTGAAGGCAACAACCCGGGGGCCCATTTCTCCTCCGGCTATACCTACAAAGCAAACGACGACTCCGCACCCATTCCTAGATGGGTACACCCCAAACTTCGACGTGAAACGACGCAAACATCCTCGTCTAGGAGGGGAGTCTGAGGAAACACCATTGAAACCGGTGGAAGGACCTCTCAAAATTCGCCTTCGTGTATCCCCTTCCATGAGCGCACGTTTAGTCGTTCGCAGAAATGCCGCGAAAGCCAATGCTCGGTCATACAATCTCTTTGGAGTTAGCCCTTTTCGTTCTACTTCCACCGTCGCTGCCGTTATGGCCCCGGTGCGATCTCGGAGGATTTACGGAGGACTTCCGTATCGCCGTCCCACCTCCGTCCCTCGTCTTTGCGGAGTTATTGGTCTGCAGCGTCCAGGTCGGCAACCGGAGCCGAACAAATCAACAATTGACGCGAACGTGGAGAAAGAGAAGGTTATCCTTCGTATTCGGATCCCGGAACATATGCGGGGGGTCAAGCTTCATTGAACTTACCTTTGTGCCATCTGTACATGTTCTGCTGTTTTCCGTTCTTCGCCGCTCTTGGTCTTCGGGAAATCTCCTTACACTACACTGCTGCGTTATATCTTGGGGGTCTTCGCTCCTTGTATCTCTATTGTTAACCGTTTGACATCTTTACATCTCTTCTATTCGCTTCAGTGGAGGGGTTCTCCTGGGATTGTGTTTTGGTTCGAGCTCGTGTGGCCGATAAATCGATCTATCCATATCCATTTATAAAACTGTGCGGAGTCTTGCGACCGTCGAGTCCCCAGCCTGGCTTCCGGCACCATGGCCCTATCGGAATGACCCAGTTCCGCTGCATCGCTTGAGCGGCCTGCCCGTCCAAATCCAGATCACTACCGCTTTGACCGATCCCGGTCGCTTTCGTGTGCCGACAACTCCACTTATTTGCTACATTCTCCGCTGTGTCTCGGACTTCGTCCCGTAATTCCGTGACCAACATTTAGATTCCTTGGGTGGGTCCTGCTGGGTATCCAGTGGCTTGTGACTCAGACATTTACGTTGTGACTAGTGGATTGGTTAGTCTGGACCGTTCGGTTTACTGCTTTTCATAGTCCAGTTCGAAATCTGTCACGGGGCTTGCCGATCAGTGTGCGTTAGTGTCAGTATAATGATGTGCACTGGGTCTCCCTATCTACCATGCGTTTGCTATGCTGCTGCTCCTATGGATCCTGGGTTTCTTCTTATCAGTATCGTCGGATATCACTCATTCGATTGCATCGACATCATATATTCTGATTTTGACTGCCTTGAGGCGGACCAAATCACAAATTTCTATCTGGACTGAAATATGCGTATCGAAAGGTATAAAGTGTAGGTGAGGGCTGGAATTACATTCCCCAACCTTCTGCACTCTCAACTTCACATTAAGCCTCTGTACATCTCGTCATGTCGTACATTACTCCCAATGCCTGGGCTTACGAGGATGATCTGCCATCCTTTTACCTCGACCTCGATTGGTACATGGTAAGTACACTCCTCTTTTTTTTATTCGTAAACTCATGTTTTTCTCCCATCATAGCCGAAGGTCTGCCTTGCGGCCTCCAGCACTCCTGGTGGTGGCGCCATGAAACGTCCAATCACGCACGTTTATAGAGACGAGATCGATGAGATCGATGAGATTGGCGATATTGATTATGTCTTTGGTCGTGATTGGAAACGAATGCGTGTGGCTTATTGCCAAACTCGCCGCCGTCGACCCGCTATGCATGCTGCTGTGGCTCTCACCACCAACGCTTCAGGACTTCGTTCAAAGAGGCTGTCTGATCGCCGTCGCCGTCGCCGGAACGTCAGATCCACTACTACCGCGTCTTCTGAACTTCTGAAGGGACTTTCCACATTCAAATTCAGTTTCTCTTTCTTAATCAAACCTACCCGGGCAACCGATGCGCTTCGAATCAAACAACGGGAACGGTATCCACCGCGCCGTTTCCCTACTTCCTCGCCGATCATGAAATTGGAATATGGGGTCCCACAAATTTCGTACACTTTGCTGGCTCATCGTAGGCTCTGCGATCGACTTGTCTCCGCAATGGAGTCGAGCGTCGCTGGTCTTCTTCCTTCATTGTCAGAATTGAGTACAGTGCCTAGTACGAGTTCAGTCCCCAGCACTGCATGTGATAGCTGCATTTCCCGATCCAGCAGTGTATCGTCCGTGTGCTCAGTGGAGAGCCTCGCCGCACATAGCTGTCACATACGGGGATTTTGCGATGTATCCCCCCCCGATTGGAACGATGTTCGATTATAGAGGGTGCAGAATGGAATGTTGAGATGCCATATGATGGTATCGAGGACTTGGATGAATATTGGGAGTTGCTTGAATACGCCTCTATCTGATTACCCTTCGTTTGAACACGTATATTTTTTTCTTCGTCTCAGTCATTTGTTTCTATGCCTGTTGGTCAATGTTTCGATTCGTTTTCGTGATTGGATGAACACATGCGATCCTTCGTAGAACGAACACGAGGCACAAAGAGCAAGGGCGACTCCTTGTCCAAACCGTCGAAGAGATTCACGGTCTGATCTTTCGGAAGCGTCGGAAGACTCTTAATTGCGAAAACTGCGCCAAGTGGGGGTCCAGTGTAGGGTTAACAATCTTGTGTGGCTCGTTCCTCAACCGTCAACGATTAATGCTGGATACGCAACGGGGCCGGTGGGAGGAAAAAGCTGAAACCCTTTCCGTCTCGTCCCGCGTCCTTAAATATATATGTGCATTGTTGTTACATATAGTTTGCAAGTACGTCGGCGCGACACTACACTCTGCTTGCATGAAGGATACATGAATTTTTCTAGATCTCTTAGCACCATTCATTTCCCTGCTTCGGCACTGACACGGTTTTTGAATTACGGAGTTTGCCAGGAATTATGAAAACGGTAAGAATTTATTATGTAAGCACTCATCCGCGAGAAGCTTGCCATATCCTTCCAATCGAATCACCAGTATGACGAAAGCCCTGTGTGTGCACGGGCTGGAAGGGGGACAATATATAGCTAATCAGAGGATGTCCAGAAATACGGCAATTTGTAGAGCGATTCAACAATGATCAGCAGATCAGCCAATGAATTCAGTCCAATTTCGATCCCGAAATATTTTCTCCATTTGGGTATCAGCCAACTTCCACCGAATGGACATACGGAAATCGAAGCACTGACAGAACATATTGCTGGGCGCCTGCATAATGGGTGAGATTCGTTGGGGGTTCTCATCACACTTGGCAAAGTTTGTCTCTCTACTTGTTACTCCTGTCATCTCTGAAACCTCAAAGTCTACATACATACCTCTCCTTCCCACGTGTGCCAGTGTTCCTTTCTCACTCCATGGCTTGCTTCCAGGTCTGCGGCCTTGAACTTGACAACCACTGTCGTTTCTTAACTTGGCTCTGATATAAGATCTCTATTCCCCAAGATCTAGGTTCTGGCTGCAATACAATCAGTGAGGGTAAGAGTCAACTTTCGACCTGGACCTGGACCTGTGATACGCCGACAGGCATAACAGGTGTCCTTCTTCTCCTTTTCAAACTTCACGACATAGGAGAGACGGTCAGCGTCAGAGCAACTTCTGCGCTTAACAACTCGCTGTCCAATATTTTGAATTCAATGTGACAATCATCCTTAAGAAGCTTCTTTCCCTGATTTCAATTCGTTCTTTCAGTGTTCTGACGAACCCGCCGCTTCCTTGACTCGTGCCGCACTTCACATACAGATTCTTATCCCCCTTATAAAGCCTTTGCATCCCCCCTTTCCCCCGCTCGCCGTTTGACACCCGATACCAACCATCGTTGTACATTGATAGACAGGCTATCAAAACCCCCAAGTCTTCAACTCCTCTTCCAAATCACATCACATCATTGAGGCATGCAACTCCCACTCACACCTTCCAAACCACCCATACCTATCTTTTCCCAATCCCCTCAATTGCAATCCTATGCTCGACCCCCTACTCGCAGCTCTGCACTCGAGCGCCGCCAGGATGGTTCCAAGGACTGCACTGTCCAGTCAAATTGTATGCTCCCTCCTCATTCACCCGATGGAACAGGTTCGGGGACCGTCAATAATAATAATATGAACGCTCAGATGGCTTTATTTGGTGTTGGAATTATTTTGTTGTTCTTCGGGGTTGGGCTCGGAGGATGGATCTTTTATCGGTGAGTTTTATGCTCTATATTCTCTCGCTGAGGTTTTGAGATTGACATTTATGGGCGTGGCTCTTCATGACAGACGACGAAAGAAAAGATCGATATTTCCCTGCTTTGGTCCACTTTCCGAATCTGCTCACTTGCAAGAATCGGGATTACGGAATGGTGTCAGGTACAGCAATGGAGCTGGGAACGGGCACGGCGGTGGCAACGCTAATCTGCACCCGTTGTCGAGAATAAGAAGACCTAGTCCAAGCGTTGTTGTATTAGAAGGGAGGAATGTTAATGATGTGGATGGGAATAGTTGCGAATGTCGGTGTGATTGTGCTGGAGGAGACGAGAAGGTGGGGGTGGATGAGGATGGGAATGTGGACAAAGGGGGCGACGGTGGGGGTGGGAAGGAGCCGGTTAGCCCTTTTCTTTCGTTCTGTTGGCAAGTTAACTGATATATTTGTAGACACAACGTCTGCCACCTGCTATTGTCGTTTCCTTTGTGAAGGACGCGGATTCCTCCAAGCAGTCTCATATATAAGACTTCGTTGTGGCGACACCCACTCGCGATACTCGTGCACCTTACGTCTTCCTGCCTTACAATTCACATTACTTTGACAGCGATTTTTCATTCACCATATCAGTGCAACTCCACACACCCATGCTTTCTAATCGCCCCACGAATTACTTCACTCTGGCGAACCCGGGTCGGTCGCACTCGTGTGTCTCGTTGTGCAATGCCCTCAGCACGCTCCTTCTCATTCAGGTGAAACCGCGTAACGGCTGCCCTCCAGATCATTTCAACGACTGTGATCCTTCTATGGTACCGTGACAGGAGAAGAGTTCTTCCTGCCCTTCAATTGCGCTGCCGAAGCACGTTGAGGCGGTATGTGACTGTGAATGTCGTATCGATCACTGAATCAGCGCTGATCCATGTTGTACAATGGTGAAGTTGGGTTTAAGGGTGAAACTTCCCACTTCCATCTGACACTCCTCGAGATAACACCAAGTGGTTCGAGTTGCGAACTGAGGTGAGGAACTTCGTGAAGGTGGCCTCCGTGGTGGGTGGCATGGGCGTACACTTGGCGATGGATTTCGGATCGACTGGAAGGGTTCCTTGTTGGGAGGAGTGGCGGGTTGGGAGAGGAGAGAAGACTCCTTGCAATCTCCATACAGATCCCTCCTTCCGTCCCATGGTAACCAGCATGATCGGGAACACTGCTCTGCTATCATGTCATGCTCCGCTTCAACAAGTGGCGTTAAGTCACAACCCCCGTCGAGGATTGGGCAACTCTGGCTTATTCCCTCGCCATCTTATTAAACTCACATTGGCATCCCCGTCCATCACGCCGGATCCCGTGTTGATTCGTGTTGATTGAATTGATTCGGCCACGGTTACCATCATGTCATCAGGACGAGGTCCGCGATGTGCGAACCTTCGAAGACGCGAACGTGTGCAACCACTGTTCCGATTTTTGGAATAGTATCATCCTTGCTTCTGCTTTTGGATAGGGATCTATTACCTCCTCGGATGATCATCTTTCGATGGGGATATTCCGGTCTCAGCCACTCGTCTTTCCTTCCAATCTCACACTTAAGATGGTTGATTTTCCCATTGCGCATTCACACTTACTGGATTGTAATAATATCTACATCATATACCTGATATCATCGTACCGCCACTCATTTGCCGGATTGATTTTGTTCGACCCAATTTGCACGCACAATCTTCACGTACTGTGATCAGTGATACAGTGATATGGACGGTACCGTGTACACCGACCAACCCAACCTAAACGCTATACGATCTATTGCAGGCACAGCCGAGATCGGGAAATACTTTATTCGCTTAATAAGGTGGATGCTTCGTTCCCCTTGGCTGAAAGATAATCCACGATCGAAGCTCGAAGCCCGAGTCGTTATGTATAACACGATGTGCCTGTGCTGATTGTACGTGCACCAATAGTTCCACACCCTGCAAAAACCTGGCACATTGAACACCCTGCAACTTCTCGATGACTGGTATGCGGCATTTGCTAGTGAGATATCCCGAAATGGATGTATTCTTATTAATAAGGTGTGTTACCTGTTATAGCGGTAGAAGAGGCAGCCTGTAGCGCTCGTGTGCTGAGTCCCAGTGAAAAGAAAGCACTTGTCGCAAGGGTGTCATCGTTTTCTAACGCTCCTCCACATCTGTGGTAGACGACTACCTTCACTGATTCCTCCACTCACGCGGAGGCGGCGTGTAGTCCCACGTTTCTCCACGAACTTCGGCATCCCTATCCGGCGCATACCAACCAGCCATCAGGACCCGATCTGAGGGTCTGCAGGAACTTCCCCTACTTCCGACTTCCGAACGCAGAATGATCAGGATTGCGCGTCTACGTGCTCTCCGGCGGAGAAAACTACGCTCTCCGCACCGCTGGATCAACCTCGGAGTCGATCCTCTTTGAGGCTGGCAGCGCGGGTCTGGCGATGATCTCGACTCGAGGCCTGTCCAATCCCTCTGGTCCATGGGAATAAGCCGCCAACCCCTGATTTAGTTGCCACACATCGTGTACCAGAGCAACTTGAGCAGGGGTGACTCGCACTTGCCATGCGTTTGGGTATCGATGCATAACCCCTTTTTCAACCTTGTTGCTCGAGAATGCTGCGCCGCCATACACCCGTCGGCCTTGGGCAGCCATGGTTCGACAGTGCGGGAGCAGGCCAAGAACAAATAGAAGAATGTATAATGCACTCGATGTAAAGTATAAGCATCAAGTCGCTTCCAAGTGAGGCTTCAGCAGAGGGGTTTCATAAAGGCAGGATCTGACGTTTTCAGCTGCTGCAGGATGATTTTGATATTATTTCGAAAATTGATTCCCGTCATCGCGGCGTTGTGCAGGGGTCGGTGAGCTTATACCCGTGAATGCATATATGCACTTCCCAATATTTGTGCTATTGTTGTGCTTGGTGCCTTCCAACCAAGAGCGGAAGTCCCTCCACGCCTTCGGGGATCGTATGTATGCAAAGAGAAATTTGTCGGAAGTTGCCATCTTTGTCTGACATTGAACCCAATCAATTCGTGTACGCCTTTCTGTCGCTATCTGGCGGCCTCCCTTCACTGTCGGAGGGCGGGGTGGAACATTTCGGAAGGCAGTTCCGTCCCTCTCGCGCCTTGTGCTTCACTCTTGAGTTGTGTGTAGCTTTGGGACGTGTATTGTAGGAAACACCCTAGAGGTGAAGTATTGGCCACTCTCACTCAATCACGCGTTTTTTCGCTATTCGGGTGCTTGCAAGGAAAACTCACTCATTTATGTAGTGCAACGTGAACCTAGACTGTACTAACGGTCCCTACTGGAATATTTCTTTCCGCCTAACAACGATACTTTCGAACGCCTAACTCAAAGCCATTTCTTCATGTCCTCAGCAGTGACCGTAACCCCTCCACCGCGCCAAGGCTCTCTCGATGATTCTATGCTCCCCTATAGATCCCGTGGTGAACCATTCACGGCTTCACGATCCTCGTCCTCGAGTAAACTAAAGTCTCGGACACCGACCCCAAGCGACCAGTTCCCTTTTGCTTCCCCAGCCAGCTCATCGACGCCGCCCAGGACATCGTCCAGGTGTAAAGCATCAAAGTCCAAGTCCCGTCTTGAGCCTTTGATTGCGGGCACTTCATCACCGAAACGGCCCCCTCCAAGAGCGTTCCTGACGCCATATAGCGTTTCGAGTGATAGAGAAGGCGGGGGTTCATCCCCCTATTCATCGTCAACTGATACACCTGGTGCCCATTTATTACCGCCGTCTCCACAATTGCCATACTTCGACAAGTATCCAAAACGTTCGGAGCGATTGAAAGCTAACCGTATCTCGAGAGATGATTTAGATGATTATAGATCCCCTTCCAGTCGATTAGCTGCCTCCCTGCGGAATGGCCGTCCAGGCTCTGCCTCTGGCAGACAGACAGTGCACTCGCCAGCTCCATCAATAACGAAAAGTCGGTCATCAAAAGATCCAGATTCCAGCGACAGGGATGACGAAGAACGCCAGGAAATTTACCCTTTTCCTTCCAAAGTTTCTCCGGTTATTCGTTCTCGACGCCAATTTCCTCCCTCGTCCAAAGCCTTGCATTCCATTCAGCCCACTTCTACTTCCTCGTCACCATCGACATCCCCCTCCTCGTCTCCACTGCGCCGTCCCGATAAGCAGCTACCCAGTCGCAATGCAAGCTCGTATCATGATCGTCCCAAGATTCCTCCTTTCGCCTCTTCCCTCTACACTTCAAATGATTCATCATTGAATGATGGTCCGTTGGTCATTTCCCCAGGATTTGATGTCACGGAAATGGACGCATTAGTTGATCAAATGAATGGGCATCGCAAAACCTCTTTGGAGCTCCCACAATTACCCTCGAGTCCATGGGATAATGTCATCACGAATCCTGGTAAGTCTGGGGGACCTCGCTATCATCCTCTCTACCACCCGCCGTTGCCCGACCCTCCAGGAGGTGTGGCGCTAGGCCATCTTAGGCCATCCTCCCGCAGTCGACCTTCGGCGATAGATCCTTCGATGTCATCAAGAAACACAAGATCGACAGCTGTTACGTCAAGCAGACCTCCAACCGTAGTCCCTACTTCTTCGCCGCCCTCTCTGTCTCGCTCCAGTGGTAATTCTGATCAATCTTCTCTCAATACATGTACAGAGCAGGTTGGCACAGATGATGTTACACTCGTCAACGATTTGAGCAGGACACTCCGAACTGTTCCCAAACTTGATAATCCTCCACCACCTACTAAAACTGTCATCCCTTCCATTACTGATATCATACGTGCTCATGCACCCGAACACCTCAGCAAGAACCGGTCAATACCACCACGTCCGCTCAATATGGTTCCGGATGTAGAAGAAGAGTCGGAACCGACAGATTCTCGTTCATCAGTTGATTCTGTGGCGGAAGAGACACTTAGAGCAACCTCGGTTCTAACGAAACAGTCACCTAATCATACTGCAACCTTCTCGCATAATCAAATGACCGCGCCATCCCGAACTTCCACTTCTACGACTCCCCGTTCTCCTGTCAGCCCTTCAATTCCATCTCCTTGTACCTTTACGGCTCCTACTCCCTCTAATGCTTCCGAAACTTCTTTTGACTCCCCAACAACGAGCACATATCCTTCTATGCAGCCTTCGAGGCCTTCAAGTCCTACCCGTGAACTGGCGCAGTATCTCCGCTCCCCCCGTCTAACACGGTTAATGCCTCTACGTCGGCCCGCCAACGCCGGAGTGACTGTATCATTTGCTGACGTTGGTTCACCAATTGGGCATCCACTCATTCTGTTTCTTGGACTCGGTTGTGTGCGGTATATCGTTGGTCTGTATGATGAAATGGCCGAGGCACTAAATCTCCGCTTGGTGTGCATCGATCGGTGGGGCCTTGGTAGGACAACAGAGGTACCAACAGAACGAAGGGGCATGCTCGAATGGGCAAGTGTGGTGGAGGAAGTGGCTGACCAATTAGGGTTGGAGAAGTTCAGTATCGTAGCGCATAGTGCAGGCGCCCCTTATGCGCTTGCGAGTGCTCTTAGGCTCGAGACTAGGGTGCACGGGAGCGTGCATTTATTAGCACCATGGGTGAACGCATCCGTTGATGGAGGTAAGCGGAAGTCTCTGTTTTTGCGGCGGAATACTTGGTGCTAACTCCCTGCTCCCTGCTCGTGTGGTAGGCTACAAGTGGCTTAAGTACATCCCAACTAGTCTCATCAAGACTGCGCAGACGGCGGAATGGAAGATGCAAGCATGGAAGCTTGGAAAGCCGCCATCTATTGCTTATGAAGGGATAGGATTCGATGTGAGAGCCGCGAACGCTGAGACCATCTCGATTTCTGCACAATCCACAACTACTTCCTGGGCTTCGCCTGCGAATGAGTCCGATCATTCACGACCCAGTATCAATTCGAGTGAGTATGATGACTTGGCGGATTTCAATGGGCAATTCGGCGGTCATGATGGTGTGGGGAAGACTGGCAATCACCACCTCACAAAGAAGTCGTCGAAGAGCAGCTTCCTTGGATTGTTCGAAACCAAGCCCAAGCCCAAGCGTCAGCCGGGTTTGGCACGCCCACAGACTTCCCGTACCGAGTCGTTGCCTTCTCTCGATGTGTCTCGTGCTCCCGGACCTGAGAGATCGCTCCGGAGTTCCAAGTCAAAATCTTCGTTGAAGAGTGCGAAGGGGACATCGATATTATCAAAGGCCGAGCTTCCACTGCCTGCTATCCCACTACAGGAGTATTCTCCTGTCCACTTGGAGTTTGACATTTCAGCCTTTGAAGCAGTGGAAGAGAATTCCGGTACGGTGCGGTCCAAGAAGACTTCTGTCCCTACACTGGAGAGTGTGTCGACAATGGATCGAGCAAGTGGAAAACGTTCGCTTTCGCTTTCGCCTGGTCCGGCGCCGTCGAGAACGAGAGATGGTAGGATTCCTCCCCTTCCTCCTTTACCAACCTTTGCCATGATCAAGGATAATGGACCACCGTCGCCATCTTTCAGCACCATGTCGACACCTGCACCTCAAACTCGTCACCCAAACTTTTCGACACGGAGTATCCCTTCTGGCTCGACTACATCGAGCGCTGGTTTCAGCATCGTGACAGCGTCGAAGGGTAACACTAAATCTAGTGGTCCAAGCCTTGCTTCTGCCCTTCTAAGTGCATCCCATGCTGAGGCGCTCAAAGGCGGCTCAGCGGACTTGATGGCTATCCTCGAGCGAGATTCGAGACCCTGGGGTTTCTCCTACACTGACGTGAAGCAACCAGTCAAGGTTTGGTACGGTGATCGTGATGATCGCATTGGCATTGGGAGTGTCAGGTGGATGGAGAGGACGATGAAGGATTGTACACTCAAGGTTCTTGAAGGAGAGGGTCATGGGCTGTTGACAAACGCGGATGTAGTTGTGGAAGTGTTGGAAAGTGTTGCGAAAGAATGGTGTCGGTGACAATTCCCCCTTGTTCACTCTTCGCAAGTATCGGCTGCCCCTTTTACCTCATCAATTCTTTGATTGCCTTTAGGTCCTTTGCATTAATTCTACCTGTTTATCCTGATTACTATCGCCTTAGTATTCCTCCATCCCTCTTTACACTTGCATACCTATGCATTTCATACCACGGTTTGACTCATTCGTTTTTCTTTGTCGCCTTACAGTCTGGCGTTGTCACAATGTAATCTGAAGTGACTGAATTTGACAAGCTGACATCATCTCGTGGAGTCATCTCGCGGGCGCGGCGTCGACCGGAGTGGACTGGAAACGGCAATCATCAATCCTCGTCCTCTCCTCGCCTATGCTAGACCTACATTCAAAGGTCCATTCGATACCGATCCCGAAACGCACAGGCGGGAGCTGGCTCCAGTCTTTGCGGGCTGCACTTTGGGTCATCTGTTTTAATGCGAGTCTGCTCCTCGTTTGCATGACTCAGATCCTGGTCGTGCCCTTCCGCTATCTGCCTATCCCTGGAGCCAGGGAGTTCTACGAAGATATAATAACTCTCACAAAGGCGTCAGGGGGCGTCCTCTTTGGTGAGGGTGTTCCAGCCTCGTCATGTGGCCCTTCGTTTCGTTAACACATGCCTGGCCGTGGGTACAGTCCATCTAACGCACTTCTTCGCCCCAACGACCTTTGTGATAACACACGAGGGAAATGAGGAAAATGAATCGTTATTCGAGTGCGATGAAGCCACTGGTGAGATTGTCGGCCTGAAGGCACCGCCCAGAGTAGTCCTCATGGCGAATCATCAAGTGAGTTACATTGACACAAATACTACTGATTCACTATATCTTAAGATCCTCATGATGCTCGCTAGATATATGCGGATTGGATGTACTTGTGGTGTCTGATGTACCTCATGCGTACACACAGCGAAATTACTATCATCCTTAAGAAGTTCGTCGTTGGTTACTACCTTGTCCTGACGGAAGCTCACCTGCGTTTGCACAGGTCCTTAAAGCATATCCCCGTACTTGGATGGGTAAGTTATTACACGAGCTGCGTATCACGCTGAAGCTCAAACAAATTCAGGTTATGCAATTTTTCCGCTTCATCTTCTTAGCTCGTTCGTGGTCTGCAGACCGATTATACCTGGGGAAGAAGCTTGTATCGTTGGCTCGTCGTGTGCAGCATGTCGGCGGGAGGTTTGTGCTCTTCATTTTCCCAGAGGGGACACTTGTCAGTCCCGACACACGGCCCGCGAGCGCGAAGTACGCAGAAAAGATAGGGGTTGTGAGTAATGATACGTTTTGCTGCCATCTTGACGAAAGATCTCAACAAATCCCTAAGCCTGACTTAGAACATACCCTTCTCCCTCGCTCAACTGGCCTGCTATTTTGTCTACGAACTCTTGGACCAGCGATCCACAATCTCCGTGTCATGGATGTAACCGTTGGTTATCCAGGAATCCCCCTTCATGGTTATGGGCAAGATCACTATACACTACGTTCGATATTCCTGAACGGCATACCACCACCTCAAGTTCACATACACATCCGTTATTACAAGATCGAGGACATCCCGATTGGGGAGGTAAGCACAAAGGATAGTGTTGGACGAGCTGAGGCATCCGTTGAAGAGGCGACACGTTTCGATGCTTGGCTTCGAGAGAGATGGGTAGAGAAAGATAGACTGATGGACACCTTTTATCGTGAGGGCGCATTCAGACAGGAAGCTGGCCAGACATGGACGCCCCCAGTCAAGGTTCCGATCAGGGTGCGCCACCCATTCGAGCACTTACAGGCATATGGATTCTTTATCCCAGTGATGGCTTGGCATGCTTGGAAGATATTGGGGTTTGGCATTCACAAACTTGTATATACTTAGCTGGATTCCCTCTGGTCTGGAGAAGGACGCAGGGATCTGCCCTTCCTTTCGTTGCGTTCACCGCTGTAGATATTTTCTGCTGGGATGTTGAAGGGTCGCAATATTGGAGGCATTCAGGCACGTCAAAGGTCACTGTATTGTGGATGTGCCCTCCATTTATAGTGAAGAATGGGCCTGTCTATTTGCTTCCAAGCGGTTGACCATGTGCAGGGAAGTGTCGAGGAAACGTCCAACACAGTTCACGAGGCATTTTTCTTCTCCTCTAGCGAACCGTGTTGAAACGCTACCAGTGATGCATCTATGTAACTGTGAATCAGTTCTGGAGCTCGCGTGATGCTTCCTACACCCACTTATCCCAACATGCTGAAGTCAAAGACTGCACAGTCTGTTGCACACGTTCTCTCTTTTGTTCTTCTTGAAGAAACTTTTGAAGCTCTTTCTGTGGCCACAAGGAGTTTAACCCAAAGAAAGATTAATCGGGGCGCCTACTTGCCTGCGTAGCTTCGTCAAACTTTTCAGCCATAACAGATGTCTCGTGACCCCAAGCACGGCGCTTATGCAGTCGGGTTCTTCCGATCAGACGCTTGTAAGTAAAAGGGGAATTGACTCAAAATCGCCACCCCCAAGTGTGTCAAACATTGTCGTATAGGGAAGAAAATACATATGCCATACAAAGCAAAGACAAAGCTTAAGAGAGAGCTGGCACACCAAGTTTAGCAACATCTAAAAGCGCCACCGTTGCGTCTTCCTTTGCTGCGACGATGTAGCGTCCATCGTTCAGTTTCCCCCACTGGATATCGGCAATGTAAGCTTTCACAAACGGCCACGACCATATAGGTTTTCCAGTCTAGATGTAAGGAAATCTTCTTTCACAAACGAGCCACCAGGACTGCGCAAAGACGTACCTCGACACTGTATATGACCATATAACGAATGCCCCCCAAGCAATAGAACCTCCCGGTTGGATCGAAAGAATGGGTGAATATGTCTTTAGGAAGTTTGGTGCCCGTGTGGAACTCGTAGAACTTGCGAATGCATTGTTTTGTGCGAATATCCCACAGAGTGGCCTCTCGGTCTTCTCTTGAGAACCTACACCAGTTACATGTGAGCGGCAATTGCATTGAAACCCGAGATAATAAGCTCACATCGCTATGAGATTATACCCGCCGTCCTCAGACGGAACAGGAGACCACTGAATCATTGAAACAGCTTTTTTGTGAACACCAGATAGTGTAATATAAGTTGGCCGGTTTCCTCGCTTGTACCCTTGCTCCATTATGTTCCAAACGACCGCAGTTTGGTCATCAGAACAAGAGGCAAGGTGGTGACCCGAAGGTGACAGTCGTACTTGATTCACCTCATCTTTGTGCGCGTCCAAAACAACGAGGGGTGTATCTTGGCCAAGTTTATAGATTATAACTAAGCAGTCAGTTCCACAAGTAGCAAAATATTCCTGTTCAATCCATTCAACATCGAGGCAACAACCGTCGCCTCAATCGCTTGTCAATATGCCGCCGTCACAGCGTGTATCAGGCACTCACTTCGATGCCCCCTCAAGGTTTGCAGTATGCGTGCCTGCTGAGGAGAGGAGAGGTCCCATACGCACGCAAGTGAATCCAGTCCCGCGCTCACGAGCCTATCGCCTGATGGTGACCACGCAACGTCAAAGACGGGTGCGTCGTGCCCGAATAGGGTTGCAAGGAGTTTCCCTTCCGGAGTCCAAATTCGAATTGTTGCGTCTTGGTGACCAACAGCAAGGTATGTACCGGCTTTGTTCCATGAGATAGACGTCATGTCGTGGGACTCTTTCGGCTTAAGGACGGGAACCGCTGGTAACATTGAGGATTTGGAGAAAAGCGGTCGAGGTCCATACATCGAATCACGAGCGTCAGGTTGGCCTACTTTCCAGATAGTTATCGAGCCGCCCTTCCCTCTAGAGTGTAAGCCTCTAAGAGGACTTTCACGATGCATTGAGTAGACTCGTAACTCACCCACTCGCGACAAGACTTGGATTCGCGGGGTTCCATGCACAAGTAAACACCTGTGGTCACTTGAGATAAAACTAACGCTTTAACATACAGCACGAACCTCCCCAGCATGACCTTTCATTAATGAGACACCATCAGGCTCCCCGTCAAGCGGAAGGAGTCTCCCGACCCCCGAATGGAGACTTAGCCTGGCTTTTATTGATTCCATAGATGAATTGGGATTCGAGCTACCAGAAGCGACAGGAGGCTGAGCTGATGTGCTCCTCGAACGTTCATCTGTGTTCTTCAGCGATTAAGATATCCACACGTACACCAAATGTATAATTTCCATACCTGGCGAAGGCGCACTGTCATCGATTGTTCGAGAGCGCTTCTTCGGACGTGACTCCTCTCCCGTTTCAGATACGAGTTTATCGATGACTCCATTTTGTGATGTGGAACCTTCCTTCCTCACTGCTTCAATGTTGGCTGGGTCTGGGAGTATGGGGGGTCTAGGCGGAATTTTCGGCTCCTCCGACAAGGGTCGATCATTTGGTGCTCGGAACCGGCCCAATAAAGTCATTGGCTCTGTGTCCTGACCATTGTCTGTCCCCTTTCCCTTTTCCTGAGACAGCTATAGAAAATGCGCAAAGGCACGTCGGCGGAATTAATATCAAGCATTCAATGCCTTCACCTCAAATCGCCTACTTTAAAGTTCCTTTCCGCCTCCATATATAACAATGCTTTTCGAAAGAGCGTAACTATCTCCCCTCGGGGAATGGGTATGTGGGCATTTGGTGAGTTGTCGAGGTGGGCTTCGCCTCGAAGCGCCCAAGCGGAATGCTCAAAGCCTAGTGGACGCGCTTTTAATAAACGTTGCCAATGCCATGTAAATATTGCAAATGCCCACCAGAATCAAGGAGGTAAGCGTATATAAGACAATTTATTTCATCCGCAGTGATACGTTGGCGCTTGGGGACGTCGGTCATTGCAATATAGGAAATGAGGATCACGGAGCGGATGCAAGTTTCGGCCTCAAAGGTTGTTTACATGTCTTCGAGTCAAACAGCGTGTTCTGGATGAGTCACGACTGTCGAACACTAGTCAGCAGCACACTGAGGTGTACTTCTGGCGACAACCTATCTGAGGGAGTTCTAGACGTGACCACAGCGGTGGATAGGAGAGTGCACCTCCCTCACTTGCTGAGTTGGCAACTGCTCAGTCCTCAGGCTGCTTCACAAGAACCCTGTCGTGCAAGCAGCCAATATAGTGCTTTTTCCCTTGCTCTCGCCTCTCCAGCTGTGTTACCTCATCTGGCCATCCGTCAGGTTGTAAATGCAGATCTCAACCTCACGATCGCTAGCCTCTTTTAAGTTCCGCATTGTGTTCTAGCGCCCCTCCCCTTGAGGGGCTAGATCTATTCTATACGCTATACGTTAGGGCATGATCACTTCCTCATTAGTTTCAAGATTGCCACCATCCTAATTACGTCGAGGACGTTTGAGACTCTGACTAGTGGTCAATGCCTAAGATATGCACATAATCCTCGTAAACAGGCCGATTGCATGAGTAATTCTAGGCAGGGTAATCATACATCCCGATCGCGGCGAGCTTGATCCATGACGCAGTTGGGACCAGTTAAGGCGCCGCCCCCAACATCCGATCGACGATGGTATGTTCCCCTTTGTTGCTAGGAATGCTTCCTTCGGGTGCCCCGAGCCTATCAATGGTATTTTATTCTCGACCCGCCCTATATCCCTGGCTCTGGCACTCTTTCCCATCCGACGTTCAGAAGCGACGGATTCGAAGATAACTGCTGCTCGCTGGGCTGCCCGTGCCTTGGAATTATTCTCTGCATGCCGTATCGAAGGCCAAACTCCAGGATTGGTTGCCCCAACCAGGGATTATCTGTCATGAATATGGCCCAGGTTGAGTATGCCTCTGGCATGAAACATGAATGGTCAAGTGCTGATACCCAGTGTGCGGTCGCAATTGTTCGAGGAAGATCGATCACAAGTCATTGATGCGACTGAGGGTTCTGGCATTGTGATGCTCTGCGATGTCGCGGAACCACTTCAGAAAGTGATCTCCGCGCCTCCTACACAATCCATCTGGGCACTGTCTGGTTCATAGCACAAGCGGCGGGACGGAGCGAAGGTGTTCAGCAGACCTGGGTTAACTGCATTCCACGTCGAGGGGCGGGCGGAAGCGCTAAATTCACGATATTTGGTTCATCACAGTTGTCGTCAAAGATTGGTGCATCAGATTCGCATCAGATTCGGGCGTCTCTGGCATTCTGCTTGGAGTAGCCGATTAGCGTTCCCTTGAGGTTTGTAAGATACTGCGTCATGGTATCTTGCTCGATATGTTTCTCAAAAGGAAGGTCGTAGCGGTCATTATGTACTCGCTTAAAAGTGTTGCTGATGTCTAGCAACTCATCTACGCGTGCCGTCGCCCTATCGAGGTGCTACTTGATCTCCCAGTCAGTTTCGATGAAGGGGAAGTGGGGGGGGGAGCGATGCGTGGTCTGCGCAAGTGGGCGAGGTTCATCACGCTTGAACTCCCTTACCATCCATTCGTCGGCTAGCGAAGCGATCAAGGCGGGGATCCCGACCCTGCTGATGAGTCGAATGGGTAAGGAACCGTGAATCGATACTCGTGCACTTTCTCTAGTAAGCGGTCATGCACGCATCATTTACCTAACCTGCTAGTCAGGCGTCAATATTTGGCACAACGCCAGCCGTACCCCAAGTTTCAACCACACAAAGCACGAACTAGGATGGGGATATCCAGCGACAACAAACCCATTTGAACCAGAATTCACCATATATGTATTATATCAATCAGTACAGTACACGACTCAACCGCTGGATACTATTCAGTAGGACGTCGCCCTGCCTTACCAAGGTATCGTACTGAGCATTCTTTGCGCTCGGGCGATTGGTCTCGACGATACCATGGACTCGGTCTATAGTACAATTTAGGCGACCGGATGATATGAAATGAGATAGATCTCTGGAACGTGACCGAGAACTTCAGCAAATAAGTCATGAAATGTTTCTGACGCGTATACATACCGATCAATAAAGTCTATGCTGACTCCGAATGACAGACTTAAGCTTTGCAAGGTGAGGCTGCGATACGACTCGAGTATCTGCGAGTATGCAAGAATCCGAACTTCTCGGACATAGTAGCGGGCATGCGGTGACAGGAGGCGGGAAGTAAGGAGCAGCTCTTGCTCGACTGATGCTGGAGGATTGTCAGAGGGTTGGGTGGGGCACAATACACGGTACATACCGAGGGCAGCAAAGAATTTAGCGTAGTGGCAATTATATAATGACATCAAGAAATCCCCCAGCAGTGGGACATCAAGTACAACTTGGGTCACTTCCGGAGAGGAAATTATCTGTATGTTGTGCGGCCAGTAATTTAATTTAAAGTCCCCAGGATCCATAATTTTGGAGGGGAAACAAACCTTCTTTTTAAGGTCAACTCGTTTCTGCACGAGAGTATTAACAATAATTGCAAGCCCAACGAAGTCATTGTAATCAATTAACTCAGTTGCAGTGAACGTAGACAGCGAGTCAACCAACAGCTCTCCAGCCTTCTTGAAGTCACGGAGAGAGATGAACTTCAGGGCTCGGTAGACTTTCAGTCTGTTCAATCGATCCCAGTCGCCGCCTTTCTCGATAAGTCTGTGTGCATGGATTGTGAATCCAAAATTGAGGCGAACAAGGATTTCCAATCTTACTTTTCTGCGGCAGCAATGTTTGGCTCAATCAGTTTGTAGTCGTTGAAGAAGAACCCGATTCTAACTAGCGTGAGGGTGATATCGATCCGAGCACCAACACCGGGGGTCTTTGAAGACGCGAGTGTTTGTGCAGCAGCAGCGGCATCCTAAAATGAAAATTAATCGGAAGCCCTTCAGGTGAGTGACAATGAAGCACGAGCCTTCTCTCCAATCTTAGTCAAATATGAGGCTTTCGCCCTTAAAGCATCACTGATTTCTGTCTCGCCCTCAGTCTCCTCTGCATCTTTCAGCTTCTGTTCTAGTGCCTCAAGTTCGGCCTTGTTTCTCCCCGAAAGCTTCTCTACTAGATCCCTAGCGTTAGAAGTGAGGCGTTGGGGGATGATAGATGGTGACTGCGACAGCAGGAGCTTTAAATAAGGCGCCATGTCTAAACGTATCAAGCCGACACCGACTAGTTTCAGTGAGGTCCGGCATAGCTGGCCAAATCGAGAACGTACCATCAGCTTCTATCGCCACAAGAAGATTGGTGGCTGCCTCGTCATGCAAATGTACGAGTTTAGGATTCGAGAGTGTAAAGGTGTATTGTGCGACTTTCAAGTTAGGTATAGGTAAAATCTCATCTTCGCCAGCCATTTTGAGCCCAAGATTAGGAGCCGCGTGCTATGAGAATGATTTGACGTTAAAACTATTGGTGAAGCCAATCTCGTTCTAAAAGTCCAAAGTTGGGATTGAAGTGCACACGGGACGCGTCACCTCATTCAATTGGTATCTGAGCACGAAACATTTCAAGGAACGCCCGTAGGATGTCTTTAGTATCATCAGGCGGTACAGCTACATATCTAAGCGAGGCTGACTCGCTGATTAAGACAGACGCCCGAAAGGCGGAGTCTCTGTACCAAAAGGTGCTCCAGACCCCCAAAGGTGCGTCTTAAATTCCACTCCAACCCTTCCGCATGTCAGTATTAACACAACTTCAACGTATCTCTGTTCGCAATGCCTTCCCAGGATCGGATGACGCGTTAAAAGACCAGGAATCTGCACTTATAAAGCTTGGGCAGCTGTACAGAGATGAAAAGTGAGCGTAACATATCCTAGGTCGTTACCTCAACGCTGATAATTGGGGGCAGGAATGCGTCTGCGCTTGCCGAACTAGTCAAGACATCGCGAGGATTCATGTCTGCCGCTGCCAAAGCTAAGACTGCTAAATTGAGTGGGTAGTCATATCCCACTCGCCACTGCTCGAACTCACTTTTCGGAAAGTCCGAACTCTCATCAATTATTTTAGTGAAATTCCGGGCTCGGAAAAAGTCCAAATAGAAGTTACCCAAGATAACATTGAATGGGCACGCAGTGAAAAACGCATATTCCTAAAACAAAGTCTGGAAGCCCGACTAATCGCGCTGTGAGTCTGAGCTTGCGTTATCACGAGCAGTCACTGAATAGTTCAGCTATTTATTAGGCATTTGGATACCGAAAACTATAGACCCGCCTTGGCACTCATCGATTCTTTGTTGAAGGAGCTAAAAAGGTTGGATGACAAAGAGACTCTCACCGAGGTTCACTTACTCGAGTCACGGGTCTATCGCGGACTGAACAATCTTGCGAAAGCCAAAGTTTGTTGGACTACGCATGACTCGCGACACGCTCACATGTTGAGATTGTAGACATCCCTCACTTCTGCTCGGACAGCAGCCAACGCCATCTATTGCCCACCGCCGCTTCAAGCTCAACTTGATCTTCAAAGTGGTATTCTACACGCTGAAGATAAGGATTATAAAACGGCGTGAGTATAATGTGCCAAATTTTGAAACCTGTGGTTTAGAGTGATTGATGGTTCAGCTACTCCTACTTTTTCGAGACTTTCGAAAACTTATCCGCCCAGGATGACCCAAATGCCCTCAACGCCCTTAAGTACATGCTTCTGTGCAAGATCATGCTAAATTTGGTACAAACCCGCTTTCACCCAATTCGTCATGGATTAATGATTTCGTTCAGCCAGAGGACGTTAACTCCTTGCTCTCGATAAAACTGGCTATTCGTTACGCCCAGCTGCGCGAAATTGAAAGCATGAGAGCGATTGCACGCGCCCACCAGAGGCGCAACCTGGCTGACTTTGAGAAGGCCTTAAAGGATTATAGAGAAGGTTCGCTTTTTTGAGTTTATGTTGAGGTTAATAGTCGTATCTTACATGTTACCTCATTGCAGAATTGTCTTCAGACCCAACAATCCGGTCACACCTCGCAGCACTGTACGACACGCTGTTAGAACAAAACTTGCTAAGGATCGTAGAGCCATATAGCAATGTTGAAATAGCCTATGTTGCTGAGATGGTGGGCCAAGGTGTTCCACAGGTCGAGGCGAAGTAAGGTTGCAAAGCATTGCGGGAGGTTATTTTCTGAAGCACTTCGTGCTAGGTTATCGCAGATGATCCTTGATAAGGTTCTGAATGGCGTTTTGGACCAAGGGAATGGGACCCTGGTTGTTTTCGATGAGCCAGTTGCGGATGTAGGTCCCGTTGAGCATTCGTCCAGTTGATTCTCACCTACGGCTGGAACCACAGGAAGCGTACCCGATGGCCATCCAAACAATTGGCCAAATCGGCAAGGTTGTTGAAGCTCTGTACGCGAAGGTCATTATCATGTTCTCCCACTTGCCAAGTGCTAGGTTGACAAATGACGTCCTTTCAGACTATCAAAATTGCATGAAACGGCAATAGACTACAGTTGGGTGGATTGCATGTACATAAACCAGTAATCGTTGCCACCATTAATGAGCTTCCCCATGACACACATCTTGTCCACGAACAGGAGAGAGCTCAAGCATTCGAAATAAATAACAAGCGGGCGAAGGGTCTTGCTCAGAACCCCACCAAAGGTCATGCTTTGTCTCACCACCCCTGCTAGCGCAAAGATCGGGTCAGTGGATCGAGTTCCACTGAGTGCTTTGGGGGTCTGGTGTAAAGAGCTCAGGCCTCCATTGAGTCAGCGATTGAGTCAGAGATCGAAAAGGATGCCAGTACTTTGAGTGTGGATTTGAGTTTTGTTAGTGATCAGGCGTCAGTTGCCGGTCCAGGAGAAAAGTGAGTGATGAATCATTGGAACGAGAGTTTGGAAGTGGAAAGGAACGCATGATTGGTCCCGATCCTTCTATTCAACTGGAGATTCTCCTGGAATTAGTTGGTTGGATTGAGAGTTGCATACGAGCTCAAGGTGACTAGGTGACGGACAGAAATTTGGAGATTTGATGAGCATGGTTATGCCTGCAGTGGATCTTGATGAGACAATGGATCTAGATCGGGATCGAGATGGTCAGTCAGACCAGACGAAGGGAATTATGACATGCCGTTTAGGTTTGACGTTGAGTCAAGGACATCGGATCAGGAGAATTTGGCCATCTTAGGACAGTTTCTGCGGCTTTTTGTATGAGAATCTCACGAGTGTCGATGGGATCAGGACAGTGTGCCGGAGAGTATTGGTAAAGAAACGAATTTTAAGTGATGGCGACTAACCTCAGTCTCGAGAACTGAGGAAAAGGAGAAAGGAATCCATACGAACGTGACTAATGATAGTTGCAAGACAGTGTATAATATTGCAAACATGGCACCCAGCTAAATTTTGAAATTGGCATTGCGCAGCGCGCGTCCATGGGTGGCGAGACTGGGGATGAGTGACGGTGGAGGGATGCAACACACCAGCTCAAAAAAAGACTTTGAATATCGGGATTTTCCGGAGTCCGACTCAATGGTCGCAAGTCAATCCCACGGTCCGTACGACGTCACGGACCAGGTATGGGATAATAAGAAACAAGCACGTATCAAACGTTGAAATACGGCTCTGAACACAAAGCTAAAAGGGTAGCGGGCTCTTGCCGCGACAGGCGGCGTCCACCAGTTATTACTGAGATACCGAGCATTGCCTCTACTAGTTCCATGGTCAATCACCGGTCTGAGAGAACCGTTAATTCCCTCTTTTGCAGAACACTGGATGCGCTCCACAGACTGACAAGGCCCGTCAAGGGATTAGACGCGAGGGACTATCCGACTGCTGATAGAGGGGAACGGGAATGAGGGAATCCTGCCCAACGATAGAGTCTCCGCTGCCGCTAGCTGGATTTGGGTGACTTGGTCTAAAAACTGCGATACATGATATGCTCAATTGTTAAATGATCGCAGGGTGAACGCTTCCCCGCAAAAAAGGATGAGGGGCGGTAGTGAAACCCTGCGGTGTTGAGCGGTCCCGTGGGTCAAGGGCAAGGCAGAGCACTGCTCATGAGTCCGGTATTCTGAGCGGATAAATAATTCATTCCAACAATGGTTAAGCATGCAGCTTCGCCAATTTGCACGTATAAGTGGGCTAAAGCTTCCCATTCATAGATGTTTCACGTATACTCGAGCATCGGTTTGATGAAAATCACCAAGCAGGTCCGCTGCATGTCGGCGAAGGCAGAACCCTTCAGGACCAGATATATTGGGGATCCTGTAACAGGCGGCCTGAGATATAAGAAAATCCGCCGGGATGGACTCGAACGAACGGTTGAACCCTTAGACCCAGAAAGACAGCACCGGCGAGAGGGCTTCCAATCTCATAGACTTCGTAAGCGTAGTCTGAAGGCTGACCGCCTTGAATAGTCAAAATACAACCCCTCCAGCGCCGAAGTTGGGTCGGTACATAGCAGCCGTGAAAAATAGCGTGTTCATGAATAAGGTTGGATGACTGGAGTACTCAAGAAATGGTGCAAATCTTTCTGAGGAGGCGGGGTGGATCCTGATCAGTAAGACCGATGCTTAGCGCACCTCATAATGGATGTCGTCATTTTTTCAACTCTGTACCTGTACTCTAGGCATGTGACAGAGCGCATAATGGGACACCAATCAGATCAAGGCTCGATTAATGACTTCTCACATCGCTAGTACTGCCGCCCCAAGCAGAGAACCCATCGATCCTTTTCGGTATATTGGCGTGTCGAAAACACCGGCGAGAAAACATCGGAAATGATCGCGAACCCTGTCGCAAGTGTTTCCTGCCAAAAGACAAAAGGATGCGGATCACACTCCACCTGAGAATGATTATGTTGCCTTAATTGGTGTGATATCGAGGGACAGAGACGTCGCGACGTCTTGGAGGATTGTGAAACTTGGGGACCAGAACATATGTAGGTCGATCAAAGCTCGTTGAGCAGTCGAAATAAGGGTGTCGTACGGCAACAAATAGTTCACCGAAAGACTGAGGCCAATCCTCACGGATGTCCGAGCGACAGGGGTATCTGTTGAAGCACAGACCGGCAGACTTCCAGCGATTCAAACATGCATGGAGCCCTTCATCGAGCGTATCCGGAGGGTCGGCGACCCGCTGATCTGACGCATAACCGTCCGCTTTCAGTTTCTGCGTCGCTAAACTATCGGGCTGAAGGCCTGCAGAGACCAAAGAGGTGGACAAGATGTCACAAAAAACTCCATGAACGCCATGACTAAGGACGATCGATCCGGAAACAAGCAATTGAATGGGTCATCAACTTTCAGCAGCTTACTCACCTGGGACTGGTAGGAATATTTCTGGCAATCATGACCCGCCGCGATGAAACCCCCTTGACTTCTGGGAACCGCTATGGCAGCAGGGAAGAAGAGAATGAAGATCCCAATGACCTTCCTTCCAATGAAGGGGAGGATGACGAGGAGTACTCCGATGAAGACGCGGAGCTTGCAGCTATGGATGAAGAAGATGACGGCCTTTTGGGGAGTGAGCCTTCCCGTTAATCACACACCCCACACTCGCACCGCTCACCAAATATCATCCTCGATTACAGTATCTGGTAATCCGCTCACACCGCGCATAACATCCCAGATTATCAGGTATTTACTTCAGCGCGGAGGTGGGCGAACTTGGTATCTTGAACCTGGGGGAGCCACGGATCCTGATGATGAGTGCGAAGAAGAACGGCCCACGGCGGTTGGGTCTCGAAGATGGTTCCCTCAAGTCACGGTGCCCTCGAAAGTTGGACAACGACTCCTGGCTGGTGGTGAATTCGGTAGATTGGGACCATACCTCCGAAGTAGGGAGTCATCCAATGCATCTCTAGCTAAGAGAGTTAGAGATATGCGGACATCACCAGGTCGTTTCGTAAGGGAGGACCTTTCGCGGGTGCGTGAACTGCATCTCCATTCTGCAACGGTGGTTCGTCATTCCTTACTCGGAGTTTTATCGTCCAGGATTTAATCCCCAATACATCTGGTACAATCGCGGCTCGGTACGAAGCCAATCCGTATTGTGGCCAGTACTCTTCCGGTATGTTATTCTGGTCATTCTTTAGGTTCGTCACCATGATATTTTCTCTCGGAAGATTCATCTTTTTATTACACATGCGTTCAAGGTTTGTCAGTATCCGAGTTTGAACTATATGGCAGTCATGTAAATGGTCTTTCAGACTTCCGCCTGCACATTTATGATGCCACTCACCCCCCATCGCTTGCGGTGTCTGGAGATCAGTCCGAGGATGAGACAACAATGAAGGAGACTAAGACCATCAACGCAGTGCCAGGAAATTGGACTATAACCGACTCACACCTATCACCCGACAACGAGAGAATGATTTATTCCAGTATCGTATGTAATGTAGAAACTCAAAAATAATCCCAATTTTCACTAATACGACCAACTAGACAACAACAGTCCACATGACTAGGACTCGAGATTCCAGTAATGAACAAATACCGATCCCTCTCGCCGATGAGTTCAGACGGGGCGTGAGAGGATATGTGCCAGATTTTGGGATCTACTCCTGTAGGTTCTCCGCTGATGGAAACGAAATTATTGCAGGGGGAAGTGGGAGTATATTTGGTGCGCACAACGCATTAGAGATGAAATTGAACTGAACGAGATCGGAAATGCAGTGTATGATTTGCAGGGAATGCGGAGAACGGTGCGTATTTCCGCACACAAAGAGGACGTGAACAGCTGTTGTTGGGCAGACACGGCTAGCGGAAACGTGTTGATCAGCGCTTCCGATGACACGTTCCTGAAGGTTTGGTGGGTTGGACGGTTTACTGGTCCGCTTCGGGGTTCCATCGGACTGATTTAGGGTCTTCCGCTCAGGGATCGCCGTTCTCTAGAAGCGCACGCAAACCCAGCTGGCGTTCTCGTCGGCCACACGGAAGGTATTACATATGTATCCCCTAAAGGGGATGGACGATATGTTGTCTCAAATGGTAAAGATCAAACAATGAGGCTATGGGATCTGCGGAAAATGCGCAGTCATTCGGAGTGGGAGGAGATGCCTGAGCGACATTACGGCTTGACCCACTGGGACTATCGGTAGGTGCTCACCGGCGTGACCATGCATATGACGCGACAAAGTTTGTGGCAGAAACGGGTCATATAACAAGCCGCGTTTCGATTCACACCCTCAAAATTGCAGCATCATGGCTTACAGAGGCCACACAGTGTTAAAAACGCTCATACGGTGTCATTTCAGCCCAGCTGAGACAACAGGTGCAAGCTATTTGTACACCGGCTCAGCAGATGGCCGCATCCATGTGAGTGCGCGCGGGCGTGCCGTGCCGTCTGTGAAATATTGATCTATGATGAAACAGATATATTCTTTAGATGGTCGGGTAGTTCAGGTTCTGGATCGGTCTAAGGCCTTGCCAATCTCTTTCGACCCCTCTGAACCCGAACCACCGCTAACGTCTAGGGGAAACCCCCGACTACGAGTGTCGAGATACCATCACGCACGCGCGGGGGTCGTTCGCGATGTCAGCTGGCATTCGCAAGAGCCTGTCTTGATGAGCGTCGCATGGGGTAATGGACATGATGGAGGCAATGTTGCGAAGCACGAGTGGAAGGGAATGGGGAAAAACGGGATGACACTCGAGGACGTCATCGCGCGGCAGCAGCAAGAAAGCCTTGAAGCGAAGAGTGGCTCTTAGCCTGTGAAAGCCTAGACTCCTTGGCGGTCATTCAGCACGATCAATCCTCTTCTGAGATCCCTGACTGCCCCTGCCTCGCCATGTCCTGCTGCTGACTATCATGTGGTTTAGCCCAAGCTGCTTCCATCTCCTGTTCACGATTCATGCCACCATATCTGTTTGTTTCCATTCAACTGTATTTCGACAAGATGCATACACTTCAGCGGAAGAACTGTACGTTATCTGTATAGCAATGCGAATAGTCGACACGAATAGTCGAGCATTGAAATTAGGACATTCGAGAGGAGCTCCACACCACGAGCTGAAGAGAGTCTCAAACCAGGAGAGGAAGGGAATACCAGGACTTATCGGCGGTTGTCATGATCCCTAGAAACGTTTTTTCTTCGTGACCGCGCGGCGAGGTCCCTGCCATGCTCTTCTTGATGTTGCAGCAGAGGCATGGGACGTTCGTGCTTCCGTACCGTCATTGACATCGCCCGCGTCCGGCTCTTCCTCAGTGGAGTCACTTCGCCGTTTGCCTTTCCCACTAGTGCCCAAGAGATTTCGACCAGAAGCTGCGCTTGGCTCCATGAGCGGAGCGGGCGAAACATTATGTTTCTCCGCTTCCGAATCGGGCTTTTTCTCGTGGCTTGCCATTTTTTCATACAGTGTCGTGGTGTGTGTGTATGGTTGAGATGCAGGCTGCTGGAGGTTGTGAGGTGCCGCTATGGTCGAAGAATCGATTGGAGGTTGAGCTTCGTCCTCAGTGGCGGAGCCCCCTCCTTCAGCGGATAGGGCAACGTCCTCGGCCATTACCCTTGGAGTGCATGCTCGTTTATCCGTGGGAGGCGATGCATCCGGAAGCAGAGAAGAAAGGCCTCTGCGTGACTCGTGAGGCATCATAAGGATATTTGAGTCCTGTGACTCGCCACCGACATGCTATGCACGCAATGGGTTCGCGATGTGTCACAGAAAATTAGCTTCATCAAGCCATGATTCAAGGCCCCTCCGGACAGCAATCGAATATAGGATTGCAGCAAGAAGGCAGAAGGAGCTGGAAAGATGGGAACCAACTTTACCTTTTTAACTACCGATCCACTAGAAGCTAATGGTGAAGAATGCCGCTCACTATAACCACGTATCGCAGTGGGTATTAGTGCCTCCGTATTATGCCCCGAATGAAAATGACCCTCTATATCTTCAAGAGGGAACTGTGAAACGACGGGGACTATCAGAGGAAGCTCCATTTAGATGCAAACACGTGTTCAGCAACCCTACGATATCGGCACTTACATGGGGATTGAACCCGTGCGACAATTTGCGATATTCGGCGAAGAGAAGTCGTAATGCGTGGTTGTCGAAATAGGACATTCACTGCACTCTTGAACTTACTTGCTTTTGCGGACCCATCTAGGCGCTACATGTGACCATGGTTCATGGGAACAAGAAGGGTGTGAACGTCCAGACTCACGTTGGTCCACACAGTTTCATCCATGCCGCTCAGGGGTTCAGCAGCGCTGACCAGAGCCTCATTGAAAGTTATTAAGGGTAGTATCAAATGCTGGGAGAGTAATGTGGCACCCAATTTAGCGGTTCGCATACATTCCCATTTCCATGCGTGATGTCTGGATGTGAGCTTCACTTCAAGATCCTGAGAGTGGACAACAAGCAATCGTACGAATTGCTACCAATGAATGAATAATATGACGTACGGCGAATGTAGTGTGAGGAGACACAGCTATCTCAACTCCCTCTAAATTTCTGGGGGAGTGAAGAACCATCAGATCGTGAGCATGTTGGATTATCCATGCGTTATCCGCAAGGTTATCCGCGGAGGTGGCCCAAGGGGCGCGGTTCGTGTACCTTCGATATAAGTGTCGGTCTTCGAGCGCTAAAATATGGAATGTCTAGACAGCAGATATAACAGATAGTGCAACAACAATCCCACCTTCAACCCAAACTTCCTTCGTATCTGTGATCAGGAAACAGCATCCTGATTCTGTCGCACTAAATTTCTGGGGTTGTGATGGCCACGGGGGCATGAGTGTGTATTTGCAGCAGATTCGCCCGCGTTACCTACGAAAAGATAGGCAGTCCCGGACCTATCCTCCTTCACCCGCCATGGCTCATTTAAGAGCGTCTCAGAATGTTTCTGCACGCGTGTTTAACATGTCAGCACAGCCCTGGCGTTCCGGGAGGATTCGGTCGCCAAGTTTTACCTCTGTGAAGTCTGTCATTCCGCCAAAAGCCACGGAATACAAAAACGTGGAGGTGGGATTTTGCAGGATCCTCGGCTACGGGAATTTCCGTAGAGCGTGTCGTGTTTTGATTGACAGGCCCAGTTGGAGCACCACACTTTTAACTCCCGTCTTGCGAGAGGAGATTGTTGCCTCTTCTAGGTCCATCGTGTTGGAATCGAAGAAAGGGATCATGAAGTGGGTGTATGGCCTCGTGTCTAGCAGCTCGACCTTGCCTTTTGCAGCCTTTACAGTTGAATTGATTCCTGGATATGAACGTCCTCACCCCTTCTGCGTGGCCCTTGCCATTTGGTTCACCGTTTGCTATTGGCCCTCTCTTCCGCACCCCAAGTGATATATATATCACTGGAGCTAGGAATCTGCCTCAATCCTCACCCTTCACGCGCAACACGCGCGCTTCCAAGTCCGACTAGGCGCTTGTTGGTTGCAGTCGATAGTCCGGCTTGTACAAGTTGCCGCCTCTTTTCTTCTTGCCGTAGCCTCTTGATAGCCCCTATTCTTCTGAGTTGATTTCTTTATCTTGGGCTTTGTTTCATAGCTCCGCTTCTGGTTGTCCGCGTTAGAAGCGCTCTTGTTTCCTGCAATTTTGGCTTCGGTTTGTCACTGCAACACGATTCTTGGGATCAAAATATCAAGCTTTCAATTCCCTTTCTGGTATGTAATCGCGTCTTTGATCCTCCATCGGCACCTACACCGAAGCTCTCTAGAAACGGGTTATCTTTACGACATGTTAATGTTTAACGACCTCCATCCCCCGGCCGCGCAATGGTTGGGAACTAAGACTACATCCAGTTAGTTTTCTCACCGTATCATAATTCAGTCCAATACTGAATCCCAGTCAAGTGAAACCGTGTGACCGCCATGCTCCAGGAACATGCCCCTACGGAGACGAGTGCTGGTTCATGGACATTCAGAATATTACGCTGGCGCCGTCCAACAGCCTCCACGTGCTTCCAGAAGCACTGGTCCCGCAACTTATAGCCAATGCTTCAAAGTCTGAGCCTCATCGCAGAATTCCTTGCTCGTCTTCGGGTTCATCGTTCACACCCTTTGGTTCTCCGTCCGGATCAGTGCATTCATTGTCACGTTTGAGTAACACTAGGCCAGAAGCTTTGACACCGACGTCATTCGTGAAACCATCACCCTTGCCTTTACTGACGTCAGGTTTGTAGTTTTACTTCTGCTCAACGCTCCAAGCAGCGTTTGCTCACATATGCATTGCTCGCCAGACAAAGCATGTTTTCACTTTGCGAGATCAGGAACGTGCCCGAAGGGTGATATGTGTGCTTTGTAAGTCCCATTCCACTAGATCGGACCCTGCGCTAAATTCACGACCACATCAGCAAGCACGATGCTAACATAATTCCGGCAAACTTTGTCAAGCATTTCGATCCCAAATCACACCCTAGCTATCGGAGTAAGGACCATTTCTGCCCAAGCTCGTCGCTTTCATTAACGAAGCTTCAGCGAAGCCCTGCTACGCGTGGCTCTACGGGATATGCCAGAAAGGGGAAGAATGCACCTTGTAAGTCGCCTTTTACCCCCGGTTCATCCGATCACTCAATTTTTCCATAGCAAGCACGAAAGACCTACCACTCCTTCCGAGGTCCCCACTGTCGCGTCTACCTCTAATCCGGGCGATCCCTCTCAACTCCCGCCTAATTATCGCAGTACGTCCGCCGTCACTGCTGTCACGAGTGTCCCTGCTCATCCTCGTTCTAGCGAGCGATTGTAAGTGGTTCAACTCCCCTGGCGGGTGCTGGTACGGAAGCACTTGCAAATTCAAGCACTCAACTCCCTCTGAGACTGCATCGACGAAGGAAGATTCCAAACATCCTTTCTATCGAAGTGTGCCCTGAAAATTCATGTGACGCCATAGCATCTCCTGATATGTCTGTTTTCAGCTCGCCCTTGCACCTTCTTTCTGCGTGGAGCATGCCCAAAGGGCGATAACTGCAACTATCTCCATGATGACTCTGTCAAAAACTGCAAGGGGGCGTCCATGATCGGTTCCTCTGTCCTTGTCACTTCTCCTAAAACTGAGAAGCTAAATCTTACTTCGGCGGTTACCTCTCCTGAGTCTGTTGGCACTTCAAGCACGCCCGGTTCTGGATTAACGCAAGAATTTTCCCCATATCATTCCCGCACGTCATCATCTTTTTCTTCCACTGAGACGGCTGTAGAACTAGTGACTGAAGATGATGCCCGTCAACTCAAATTCTTGGATGATGAAACGAACGTCGATGAAGACGATGTGATCGTATATATCCGTAAGTCTCGTTTCGCCGTGCTCGCTGAGCTGCATGCCTACTATTCCCTTTGTAGCTCCTTGCGGCTCCCCGTTGTCTTAAGTGTTAAGTGGGTATCGTGAAAGTAGCGTCCAGTCAGTACGAAGTATTTGGTCGATCGGTTTGAATCTGTTGCTTGCAATCATTGAATCCTTGTTTGTTGTTGGTCTTTTCTTTTTTTCCTCTTGGCACATCTCCCCTGCCTATCAACTGCATCTTGCACATCCCTTCGCAATGTTTCCATCTTACAAAGTCCATCCCCTTTTCCCTGTGATTTTGGTCATCTTTTGTGATTCCCATGGCGATACGGTTCGCCCCGCTGCTCGATCATGTGTAAAAACACTTGGCCGCGCCGCCGTTTGTTCCGATGACCACCAATAACGAGCTTGCTGTAATTGTAGTACCATTCATCTTCCCTAAAAATGCCTTTTGCCAGCTTTGCATAAACTTTGGGATCGTGGCAGTGCCGATACTCACCTCATGAACAACATCCCGTTGACAGTCATACAGCACGCTCCGCATATCGTCGAATATCGCATTCAGCACCCCGGGAAGTGCGGCTATGTCTCGTTGACGCTTGTCGTCACTCTGGCCGTTAGCGTAGCTCGTTCTGTTTGTCTTGAACATGCACTTTGGACCAGTCCGCTCACCAGAATCTTTTCTCCCAGCAAACCGGCTCGGCAGCACATAAATGGCTGCTTCTGGTACTTATACCTATTCTATTATACTGGAACTTAAGTCGCGTTGTCTATGGTGAACCCTTTTGCCTTGCTCCTTTTTACGTCCTGTTAGTAAGCCATTCTCAGAATCCGTGATTTCTTTATACCCCCATGGACTTCAACTGGAGACACATCGAGGCATCAGAGGAACTCCACTTACACCGCCATTCACGTTATTCATCAGTCGCAAATTCATTGCATTGCCCGCTATAGCGGACATAATCATCAATGAAGGACTTCGAAGATGGAACGTTCGATACTACCTTGTCATCGTTTGTCGCAATAAGGCAAATCCGATAGAGCCGATCGTTGTTCATGTCGTTTACTCAGTAAGTCAATACCGTTTCTTTCGATTACATATTATGACTCATACCAAATTGTAGAACATTCTTCCTCAATTCCGTGTCTTGAAACAAGTATATCTCGGTCTTCATACTGATCTTTTCACTCGCGAAAATAAGAGAGAATAATACACATGCACTTATTCTATGGGCCGATCACAGTGGATGTGTGCAGCATTGGGAAGGTCTGCTCCTCCCAGAGGTCTCATGTGAACATTGTGAGGCAGACTCGGTCAGATCACAGTGCAGGCATGGTCACTAACTTGCTCCCTATTCTAGGCGGAGAACATTAAGATACAAACAAATATGCGAAACGAATGGGGCTATAGCTACAAACAGGAACAATAAAACATACATATTTCAAACTCCAGCAATGGAATTTGGTGGGCTCGTTGTAAATCGTTCATGACCGTCTGAGAATCCGTATTCACGAGTGCTACCGAGATTCTCCTACGCTTGGGTCGGCCGCCCTTGCGGCCGCTGCTTCTGAGCGGCCCTCGGAGATGGACTTGAGATGATGCGATTTGGGGGAAGGAGGTAGGGTGACTCCTGCTGAAATTATTCCCCTCTCTGCACTGTCTTGGTCTAACTCCCTGTCCTGGAGTGAGGTGGGCGATTCGGCGCCAGGCGTTATATGTGTGGGTGCTAAGGGGTCGACGTACTTCGAACCCTCTAGCGATCCGCGTGACTTGGAGGAGCCGAACGATGAGACGGAATACGATGCTTGCGGATGACGAGGAAGAACCACACGGTGTGTCAATTCGACGAGTTGCATTGAGTCGGTGCAGATCTGGGTTTCCTTCTTGTAAGTGACGCCAGCTGGCTGATTTACGAGTGATTTCTCCTTTGCCTGTTTACGGCGCTCTCGGGTTCTCAAGATTACAGTGGTCACGGTCACAATGAGCGCTAGAAGGCCACAGGTGACCCCGATGACGATAATCCCCGTTTGCGCGATGTATGGATTTGAGTTCGTAGGCTGTGCGCTCATTTCAGCTTGTCCTCTAGGGGCCTGAGTACCCAAATTAGTGACAAAGAGAGTGACAAAGTAATCTTGTGATGAAAACATAACTCACTAGAGACTCTTCGACAAATGCAGGGGCCGAACGTCCTGATCGTACGCAACCGAACGATCCACAACCTCCTATCGCAGGCAGTGAGGGCCAATTCTGTTATTTCTATCAGAGCCTCTTACCGCCCTCCGATGACTTGAATTTAGGAAGATACATTGACGTCCTGCGCCCGGGTGGGAAAAACAGAATAACACGTAGGCAATGAGGGGAAGAAAGGAAGTGAAGAAGACTGAAGACTGGAGAAGACTGGTGGAGATGGTGGCGTTGAGCTCATACTTATACATATGCATCGTTGTCATCCTGCAAGATAACGCAACAGATTCCCAATGTCCTCTGGCGCTGATGCCACCTTGTCGCCTTTGTGCGAACAGCGGTCAAATTTGGCGTGTTGCTAGAGATGGAGCTAAATAGAATCTCCCCTGATTGACCGCTTTCCATAAACAAAGGCCCTGACAGCATCCTTCACGACCAGCTGTCAGTTGTTCCAAAATGGCAACTGCCGTTGATTGGGATTGATGTCGACGCCTTTGTCCCACCCCCAACCCACAGCTTAACGGATGGGTCATCAACCCTTGCACGTAACGTTTGCTGTCTCCATCAGACCGTCGGCGCAGCAATATTGACTATTCCTGCATGCGGTAACTCTGATTGCGCGATCCGCTCGATCCAATTGCTTTAGGCTTGTCTCGAATCCAGGCCCATGGTATGTACATGTCCCCAGAGAGCTATATATATATACTTGAATGCTTGCGTCACACTAGTACTAGCAGTGGATGAGCGCACGCCCGTGCGTGGGATGGCAAGGTCTGATATTGAGTTAGGAGAACAACTGCGATGACGTAAGTGCAAAAGGAAACGTAAGAGAATGCATGTAAAGAAAAAGGAAAGAAACCAAAAAGGCAAGATGATGACAATTTCTCAGCGTCGAAATTTGCTACAGGTTAATGACTGTGTGCAGAAGTAACTGTTTGCTGGGACCGACGGTTGGTGCGAAATACGATCACTACAGTAACATACTACGACTTGAGCTTGCTGATGCTGTAGCTGCTTTCATGATTTGTCAGTGTTTGCTCATGTCTACAGTCACCAGGATTTGCCTGCACATATCCTACGTACTGGAGGGCTCGTGTTCGTCACTAAATACACATTGGTAAGAATCAGCAAGGATGAGTGCACAAACAACATTGCGGTGACTAAGAGAGAAAGAGTTGACGGGAAAGAGGTAACTAACATGACGATGAAACCACGACGGAAGCACATAGCGTCCCGCATGCGGTACAACCCCTTTTTGCATCACCCAATGTCCCTTGTATGACCGATACACACCAATTAATGGACCCCACAATATTGTTCATGCAATCACCCTCCAAGCTGGCAACTCGCGATGGATGTCGTCAACCTCCATGTCCACAAACCCCGGCGCCCTCTCCACGTATCTCGGGGGACACGCGAAGGACAGCACAGTGCAGGGAAGGGAATTGTAGCCGGGGAGAGCGGACAATCACCAAGGGAAAAGAGCAAAAGCTAATGAAATGAGGCAGGATAAGGGAATGAGGCAAAACTGCGTGAAATGATGGAAGAAAATGAGTCCGTTTAGAGCTCAACGGACAAGGCAATGGCTGGATGGGGAAAGAAACCCGAATGTTCGAGGCAATTATGCTTGGAACACGAAGTGGGAAAGGGCGCTAAGTGGAAATAGTGGGGGATTGGGTCATGGGCGCGAGCAGTCACGGTGACGCAACGGGAGAGAAAGGGATCAAGAGTATGTAGTGTTTCAAAAATGTAAACATGTGAGAAAGGACACGATATGCAATCATGCGTTATGAAAAATTAAATATAGGAGTGGATAGTGATAGCGTCCATCATGAATTCAGAAGAGAAAGTGAGACTGAAGCATCCTGGATGCGTCGTGGTTGTGGGATCGTCTAGATCTGTCGACAATATACGTGACATAGCGTCGACAAGCAGTTGACAACAAAGCACATCCATCCTCGAGGCCTCCACGAACGGGCAACAGCATGAAGCGCGGCGCATTGACAAAGCGAGTCGGGATCGACAAAACTTAGCGCCAAGCAAGAGGAAACGACGCCGACGCCCGTATGAATGCTCCACGATAGTATAGGAGCCACCCGGCCGATCCCATTGCTTGGGACAGACCATTAGAATTGACGACAATCCATTCACTTGAAGACTCCAGCCACAACATGCGAAACAGTTACGCTTTGGACGATATTGATGCCCAAAGGATGTGTGTACGCCAATACCAGAACCTCACGTCGCAAAAATCCCGGGCCACACGGGGCGTTCAGTAATACCCTTGGTCACGTTCGCGGGTCGAGGCACGTGGCTGACCGGAGGTGGGTTGCTGACCGCTGGCAGCAGCGCGGGTTTGGCTACGAAGCCTAATCGATCTCAGATCAACAATATTGAGAAAGGATCACAGGAGACGTACATTCTATCGGAAGGTTTCGGCTCCTCCTCCTCGCCCACAACCTTACGTCGAACTTGTGAATCATTCTTAACACGGTTGTCTTCGAGAGGGGCCCGTTGCGCTAAGCTCCAGTCGAAGACGTAATCGTACTGGTAGCCTTCTCGAATGAACAGATCTCGGAAAAGTTTGCGGAGGTACGAATAATCGGGCTTGTCGTCAAAACGGAGAGCACGGCAGTAATTAAGGAAGATGCCGAACTCATTGGGGAAGCCACGGCAGAGAAGGTCTGTTGGTGTCGTCATTTTCTTCTCCATGATTCTGTCGTATTTCTGCTTCTTCGTCGCAGCCTTCAAGCCTTGCCAAGGGAGTTGACCACGGAGGAAGTACATAAGGACATACGCCAACGATTCGAGATCATCACGCCTGGCTTGCTCTGATAGATGTACGAGATAGGTAAAATGGGCACAACGTTCCAACAAAGCCATTTGGTGATGAGGTTGACTTACCAACACCCAAGTGGGTATTAATGCTGGTATAGCGAGCGGTCCCAGTCAGGTTCTTGTTCTCGCGGTATGGGATGTGAAGATGAGTCTTCGGGTCGCGGTATTTCTTGGCAAGACCAAAATCGATGACATTTACTTGGTTACCGCGCTTGCCAATTCCCATAAGGAAATTGTCAGGCTTGATATCGCGATGGATAAAGTTACGCGAATGAATGTATTCAATACGAGAAATCTGCCAAACCTCGTCAGCAGGTTGAACAATACGATAGATTGTGGGGGGCTCACCAGCTGGTCAGCAAGCAATAGCACCGTCTTCAAGCTGAACTTGCGCTGGCAGAAGTTAAAGAGATCCTCAAGGCTTGGTCCAAGGAGATCTAGCACCATGGCATTGTAATCACACTCTGTGCCAAACCAACGGACGAAGGGAACGCCGACACCGCCGGCAAGGGTCTTGTAAACTTTGGATTCATACTCAAGCTGAGGATGCTTGGCCTTCACGGATTCAAGTTTAATGGCGACTTCTTCGCCCGAGATGATGTTGACACCAAGGTAAATGTCACCTAAAAGAATAGCAAAATCGTCAGATGAGATTTCAACAAAACGTAGTGGTGTTTAGCCACGTTCATACTGATCGATGCGATACTAACCAAAGCTGCCAGACCCTATCTTTTTTCCGAGACGGTATTTACCACCGACGCGGAGATCCATGGGTTGAACGTTTGAGTCCGACGTTTTGGAAGAGTCTAAGGGTTACTAAGAGAAGGGAAGGCGTGAGTTACCAGAGGCTGGAGGATTAGTAACACTAGGGGAATTGATGGGAAAAGGGCAAGGGGTTCAAGATTGTGGGTTACATATAAGGCGTAGCGCCTGGACAGTTCCGCGAGGCTGAGTCAAGGATAGGAGGGCGTTACCCACGAGGCACGACACCGCGCGGCAAGGCCATTTGGAGCGTCCCGAGGGCTGAAGAACACCACTCAGCGACAACCTGCTCGCTGGGAAGGATATTGGGCAGCCAACAAGGGAAAGGCCCCAAGCATCGCTTTTGTTGACACGCAAGAACCACGTTCACTGATCTGGAATCAGATTTTAACTTACAGGTTTTAGAAAGGTTTTGGGTGAGGTAGCAGAAAAGACCTCTGTGCCTGCTTGGGACGAGAGGGAGGATAGAGACGGAGAGTGGTTGAAGCGTGGATGCGAATGGGGATTGCACAGCAACTTGCCGGGGTCCTTTATCCCTCTTATAGGGGTCCTGATCAAGTTTCCGCCACACTTTTATCATCGCTAATCTCTCATCACATGGAGGCAGCCGTGCCTTTAAGCATGGATTACGACGCTTTTCCATTCATTTCCGCATTCTACTGACAGTTTTACTTTTCTCTGGGCCAGTACACCTGCTCCAATCTGCCGGGGTTCTCGGCTCCTGGAATCTGCGTCGAAGCCTCACTGGTGCCCATCTCATCACTGATGGAATATGCGTTTATGTACTATTCCCCTCTATCATGATGCTCACTTAAGCGCCCTTGGAGGCTTTGGGGGTGCCGCCAAAAGACCTCACCAGATGAGGTTCCATTTTGATATCAGTATGCGGATGGCGGATATCATTCCCAATGAAGAGTCCGCTCTTCCGTGGAATCTTATGTAAACAGCCCGCGCTCCAGTATGCTGCTAAATCTACCGTTTTCAACAGCTGCGCTGCATAAGACGAATGGGGTGAAAAGCTGGGATGTGTCCCCAGGCACCTGATGCACTGCGCTCTGATATCTTTCAGTTCCCGCACTGAGAGAAGGCCGTGAATATGCCTAGCGGACAGCTTCATCCTCATTCCTACCGATTGGGCACCGGATTCTAATCTGCTCGAATCAGCGACGTGATACAAAACGCGGGCATCTTGGCAGAAAACTGGCATTAGGGAGATTGTGCTTCCGGCCAGCCCAACGAATCCGATAAACAGCCGTGCTCCGGCTTTCGCGCCATAATCGCGCAAGTCTCAATGATCAACCTGATATCCCGACTTCATTGTGGCCTGAATAAAGTCTCCTGGCCGAGTACCGTCGAACAGATTAGGCCAGGCACTGGTATATGCATCCGGGATGTTACCATCTGGAAAATCCTTAATATCAAGGGCAGGACTTGAGCAGGAATGAAAGCACTTGCGTGTAGGCGGGGCCTTTGTCTGCTCAGAGTCAGGAATGGGACAACGGTTTCTCGGCGTCAAGGAGCTGAGCAGCAGTGATGTTGAGTTCTTCGAGAGCCGCTTCAAGGGCATCAACATATATGTCTGACTGTGGGCATACCTTAAGAATGTGTTTTCAGTCTGCATGTGTGCGCTGCAAGCGCACTCTTGTTCTCCGAACGAATGCCGAAAGAGTGGTAGTTTTGCCATCCATGTTTGCATTAGTAGAGGCTGGGATCCTGCCTACCATGTTTGTGCGCTGATCGCAGACTAGGAAGCTTATAAGCGCAAAGAAGTATATATCGTACTACTTGAGAACAGGGATGCTACACTAGGCGACATTAGTTACTGTTGTTGCATGTTTGGACTTTCATCTTAGAGCCCGCTAGGTCGAATCTTGTTTTCCCGTCTCTATCTTTGTGCTTTCTTCTCTCTCTGTACTCTCTAAGTCTATATACTCGCGTACTTCAACAGCACAGTAGGAGTTAGGGGCCTCTAGCGACGAAACTCCATCTTCGTTTCCCTGGCGCTGCATTCACATCTCGTTATCATGACTAAGCGTTCGCGCTTGCCACCTGCGACATCTCCTTTAGGGTGCGGCGTGAAAGCGCCTACTCGGGGCCGAATGGCCCTGTCGTTAATGAAAAAGCGTGGCATTCGGCAGCGGCATATGGTGCCTGAAATGATCAGCAAGCTGGAAGATTAATGTCAGTGACGAATTTGATCATGAAATTACTTCTCTGACATGGGGAGGTTCGTTGCTTGTTATAGCCGAGACTACTCCGATCTCGCAGGACGTGTTTCTGGGTCGGGGCTCAGCAATCCTGGATTTTGTGCATTTCCATGCAGGCCTCTGGCCGGACGCGGCCCACGCTTTGTCCTGCGCCTCAACCACCGCAATAATCCCAACAATTTTCACAGTGCTTTAACGGTTCACTAACTCGACCTTGTAGTTCGGGGCCCGAACGTTGAAAGTCGTAGCAGTGGAGCCAATGTGGTGATTTGTGTTGTCGTCCTTGTCCCCACTTCATAGGGTTCAACCGGTACCCAGGCATCGATAATCCAAGGGGAAGCGATGATGCAATATCGCCAACTCCACCACCTCAAATTATGGCCTCTCCTCAACCTGTCCGGCCTGGTGCACAAAGCTCCCACCAACCGTACTAGCTCGAGTCTCTGCGCCTCGTGGCTGAGTGATGCCATCGGGCGAGTATGCTACAGATGTAACCGCACCTCCGCGTCCCCTCAATGTCAAGGGTGGAACGGACTTATGCTGCCCAGAATGTACGACCAGCGGGATTAAGGCAACATGTCACGCAGCAGCTAATTTTGATCAAAACATGCAGATGATCCGCGTTATGTAAGTAGTCGGCCAATTGATAGTCAACTGCACAATTTAATAAGCCATTGATGCTTGTGAGGACCAGGGCGTAAGTTATACATAGTACGAATGACCGCAATGAACATCAACATACGAAGAATTTTTGATGCACATTCCTTGTGTCGGTCTCGGATGCCACCCGAAGTCATCCGTCGCTTTTGCCTGCCGTCGGCACAGCATGCTCGTACATATTTGGCAGCTGGCCTACTATGCCACCTAGACAGTTCTTTACACTGCTGCATCGCGTTCAAAGGAATCTTTTGATCGGATACTCCTTTCTATACATGGGAAATAGACATTGGGCAAGATGACTTTTGTGGCAGATGAACAGTGATTTCGGGAGCATTGATCAGCTGATATGACGATGGAAAGAAGCGCGGAGCTGTGCTGAATGGTTCATGCTTGCGGTGCACGTTGTTTCGAGGGCTTCTCTCTGATCTTGTGGATCGTTGCTCACGTTACTCCTCGTAGCAGAAGCTAGCGGTAATTCGGCCACGAACCGGCCAGCACGGAATAACTGATGAAATCTCCCCTGGCGCAAAAACTTGAACTATGGATGTCTCAGGTGAATAGGCTCCCCAACACAAGTGTAGGATTGCCCGTGTGAGACTGAACGGTGCATACAACCCGTACGACATGCACCCCCCCGAAGCGATATCGTTCAACTTGACGAGGTATCCGGGTGTTCAGGATCTCCGGCTCTTCCGGGGGGGTTAAATAACCGATCCCCGTTCGGGGATGCCATAAGCCGATACTTCGCGAACAGCAATATTACAACTGTGAAGGCTACGCATAGAGATGAATGACCTGGCGCTCTGCGTAATAAAGGAGCGCAATCAGCAATCGAACAGATAATGTGCGGGTGGATGCCATGGGTCCCGGAAATAGGCGAGCTGGCGTGGACATGAGAACGAGTGGAGTCTAGAAGACCGGTGGGTCCCACAACGAATCAAGAACAGGTGAACAAATGTGGCTTGTTAGCTACAACTAGACTCTGCATTATACTGACAAAGCTTGAACACAATCTGATTCTCATGATCTCAACAATGGCTGCCCGCTAGCAGGTATTATCACCGTGCAAACTTCCACGTTCACGCCAATTCGCGAGGGCCACTCATGCACCTTACTAAAAGGGCCGATTCGGTCCGATATGGTGGCAGGAGAGTTCAGGTGGGCTAGCTTACTTGGGGCGCAATTCCAACAGCTCCTTAGTAGTTGTGAGGCCGTGTTAGTAAGGGATACTTTCCGGTCATAGAGACCGGGCGAAAATCCAATGTAGCCTGAGATATCCATCGATCTCCCATGTGAAAGACCGGAGTGACTGAAAAGGACGGCGCGTGTCATGTGGGAACATACGACATTGCTCCCAGCAAATCGAAATGATAGCTCACCAGCAGCTTCCCCGATTCAAAGACGAGCCAGCTAGCAGGTAATACTGGGACGAACCGTGTCGCGTCCTCGATGCATGGACAAGGTTTGGAAAGTACAGTAGACCTTCATATGCATGCGTAGATAGCATACTGGGGGAACTCATCCCAAGACCCATCATCCCAGGGCTTTGCAATGTTGATTCAGGAAAGAAATTAAAACTCGTGACCGTTGACGTGGGCAATGCGAGGGACTGAAAGAATGGGGCATTAGGGTAAGCCGTTTGCATCGATCCCATCGCTGGGTCTTGCGTAGAAATGAGGGCATCTCCATAGAGGACACGGAGAAGAGTGCGCCCCATGATTTCGGCTGTGACAGAAGATTTGGGTAGCGGAGCACTCATGTCTGTCATCCATTTGGAAACTCTGCATGCAGTGTTATCGTATCTTGATAGCTGAGGAGTCGAAACCTAGCATCAATCGCTTCTCTTTCCACTGGCTGCTCCAGGGACCAGCCGCGGGCAACCAGTTATAAATCGCAGTAATCAAATTTCAACCGCATTCAAAGGTGCTCATACCACCAGCACGAGAGTGGCTCTCTTTCCAATTCAAGCAAATGGTGAGTCCGGGGCGCCAGGTGGAAAATGTTGTATTCTCGCTTCGTTGCTTGGCCACGAGCCTCCATGCCAGAGAGAACCCGGATTTGCCTGAGCATCTTCCAAAAACTACGCGGAAACGCCATATTTGGAAATCTGTCCACAGCCCCTAATTACCTAAGCGTCCACGCCATCACCCTCATTCCACTTGATTTGTTGATGTTCCAGATCACAGTAACATACCAACCCTATCTCGGACTTGCCGGGTTCAGTAGTCGACTCGGGATATTATTATATAGAGCACAGGCTTTCTCCTTGGTCAAACAGGCATCAATCAATCCATTTACACCCTGTCGGAGAGCCACTCCCTCATGTGGGCCAGAACCGCCTGCCGTTTAGCATCATCTTCATCATCCCTTCCCACCTTCAACATAACATGCTCGTATCCATCCCAGGTCTTACAGTCTACATCTACCGATATGTCACGTTCTTTGGCAGCTGCTCTGACCGCAGCAATGAATTCGACCGAACGTTTATGATCCGTCGCTCGGTCCTTTGCCCCATGCGAAATATGAAGTGGGAAGTCAACTTTCGAAGCAGAAGGAAGTAGTGATTTCAAGCCTTCAAGAAGCGCGAGACCTGTTGCTATTCGCAAGTCGCCGTGATAGCAACGTTCATCGGCTGATTTGAGAATGGAAGTACATCGAGTCAATGCCTAGCGATCCTAGCACTTTTGAGATAAACTTACCGTAACACTCCTCCTCAACCCTCGGATCATCACTCACGTTTCCCTTCACAGCTGGAGTGAAAGGAAGGCGACCAAGGAAGCTACGAAGTGCTATTCCAATAAGATAAATTGGATATGGGGGCATAGTTTCAGGCGCGACTGTTTGGTTGAATAGCACGGTTAGTATGCCGGAATCACAAATCGAAGTTTCAGGGACGAAGAAAGCGGTACCTCCTATTAATGGCGCCATCAAGTACAGGCCGCTCAGTCGAGAAGGAGGGTTCGGGTAACGCCTACCAGACGACCATCTATTAGTCGCTACGCCATTTATAGAGACTGGTACCTAGAACCCACAATGCATACGCCAGACTTAGGCGCACTTCAGCATTTCTTGTCTTCCCGCGCGTTGCATAGAAACGAGCACATACCTAGTCCATCCACCTAGGCTGGTACCAGCGAGGAACGTTTTACGGGGGTTACTCCAACGTGCGACGTCAGTGAGCACAGCGTGTAGACCTTCTGTAAGATCGAAAGCAGAAGGAAGATAAACATGAGTACCGGTCGATCGACCGTGCTGCTCTCGGGAAGGATAAGGGATACTCCGCTGCACAGAAGAAGCATGAGCTTGCTTACCGCAGCGAGATCAGGCGCAATAACGCGGAAACCCATCTCCAGGAAAGAGGAGACATGTGGTGACCATTTCCCTGTACACCAGAAAGGAGTGAGCTTGAAACGCCCACATTAAACCGGTAGGAACCGCATACCGTTATAGTCACACATCCCTGGGAGTCAGAACCCCGTCCCCACATAGTTCCACAACTGATCAGCGACGACACTTCAACCGCAGAGGGCAACGTAGAACGAAGCAGCTCACCATGGGAAACAACAAGGTCACACCCTCTCGCCTTTCCTTTCTTCGCTTCCTCGCTCTCAGAAACCCAGACCTTGTAGAAAATCCATTCTTTCCCCCTCGCATCCGCCAACTCGTGCTCCTTCAGCTCTACGTCCTCACCCTTCCCGACCTTCACAAAGACACCAGGCTCATTGGAGGGCGATATAAACACCCTCCTCTGACGAATCGAAATATGCGAATGGGAAGATATATGCTTCTTTTCCTCTTCAGTATCATGAAGTAGATACCGACCGAATGTGGGATCCGCAGGACGGATGCCAAACTTGGAGAGTAGAGGCACTAAGACAACCTCGTTGATCAGAGCCATAATACTTGTCCTGATGAAATTTCTAGGTGTTCAGAGCCTCGGATAGCTAGACGCTGTTCTTTTGCCGAAGAGAAAAGCAGCTCGTGTGCGCAAGGCACTGTATAGGCAATTCAAGGTACCATTGCAGGCAAAGCTTTTCCCACATGTTGATTCTAATTTGAATTTGGTGTCCGAGCGGTTCAAGGTCTGGCCTTCGTTTCGAATAAGCAAAGGATTAACCTTATAGTTTCCAAAATTAACACCCGATGATAGAAAGCTTGGGGGAACAACAAGGTGACGCAGAGGGGAGAGTTGATTTCAAATCATTACTCCTCGCTCGGCTCGAGCAGACGTGGCAGTGCAGTCATGACAAAGTGTTCTTGTTTTTAGTTGGGCATGGTGTCGGTATGGTGGATGGGACGGTAGTGGCACGTCCACTACCTGGTGGCTGTTTCCTCCTCTCGTCTCCTGCTACCTCTCCCAAGCTCTGACGTCTCAATCCACTCTCGCTCGTGATATCGTCCTGTCGTTGTGGATTGAGCGCTTAACCGTTGCGTGTGATGTCTTAAGGAATAGGGATGGTCTGGGCATACCTTTCGGCTTTCGGTCTGCCCATGTGTAGACATGAATCCACCGTGACTGTCGGGTACAAAAGTCTTGTTGACGGGTCACTCGTCGTCTCAGAACATAATACATAAGACAAGAACGAATGGTTCCCCGTCTCATTCGCCAAGGCCTGGGCACGTTGAGAGCGGGGGAAGGTACAATCACGAAGACCGGAGTAACGGGCTTCGGAGAGCTCCTTGTGGACTCACACCGCTTGATCGTGACGAATATTCCTCACGACACAACTCTTAGCCGAGTCCGTCTAGAGCGTAATATTTGTTAGTTTTCCCACTCATCTACCATAATTAGGCGTGATAAACTTACAGGTCGGCGTCATGGCATGGACGTGTTTATGGGCCATCACGGCCTTCCTCTGAGCGGACGGCAATGCATCAAGAGGGATGCTGAGCCTGTCATTGAGAGTGTCCAGAGGAAAGAGAGAAATTGTCTGTGCCTTACTTTGCGAGCATTGATAAAGGATATATAGGACCGAGGGTCTGAAGACAGTCGGTAAGTCTCCTGGTCCTATGAAGAATCCTTGAGAATGAACTCACAATCCCGAGTACGAGAGCGGCAAACGTGAAGCTATGGTGGGAAAACTGAACTGGTGGTCTTGGGCCAATGCTTTTTACTGAGAAATTGTTGTAGGCTATACTTATAATACCTATCACAATAATAGATCGATGCGACCTGTGGTTGTCATCCAGTATACAATCGTGTCGATGGCACTGTTTGTTCTGTTGCAAGGTTTTGTTTAGTCCCGATGTGCTACACCTGAGTCATTGATCCACTTGTTGAAGCCGGAGTACGAATGTTATCACATGGTTCCACAAAGAACGGGTGCGGCAAGGCGTCAAAGAAGATGAGGACCGCGCACCTGTATCGCTAGCCAAGTCCTGGCTAACCAATTCCACTTATGAGAGACTTCATACGCCAATAGCCGCTGGCAACCCAGAACTCAGTTGACGGGTGTACGACATTCTGCCCCGGACGAGAATTGACCAATCTGTGCGATAATGAGGTTTTGATGTGGTTATCTGATGGGTAAGTATTGCGGCTAATTCGAGGAGGTATCAATCAGCGCACCGCAGGCATGGCGACATAAATATTGGAAGACACTGGCGACGAGGTGACCAACAGTGAGATTCAGGAGAACTCACAGCGCCAAATATGAGACGCAAAGAAAGACTGGACGAGAAGGGATGTTATTGTTGTAGAAAGCTGAAATGAAGAAAACTCCCTAAGAAAAGCGTCGAGTAAGGGGAATCTCGTGGCTCAATCAAGAATGTGCGTCATCTTGTGCGTGGGGGGTTGAAATAATTTTGGATGTCCCACCACCGGAACATTTCAGTCGATCATGCAGTCATACAGACCTTTGAAAGTGAGAACCAAAGGCGCGACAACACGAGTATGCTCTAGGGATACCGATGTGACTTACGTTTGGAATGAGACGACAAAGGATGAGTCAAAACTTATCAGAGCCGACCCCCTGGTCGCTTGAAACGTATTACGAGAAGGAACGAACCAGAGTAATCCGACCAATTGTCACACTGGCGACCTTCAGGTTTATCAAACTTGTGTAAACGATCAATTACACCGTATCCATTTACCGTCGTAGGGAAAACGTTTGTAGAGCGTTTGTAGTAAAGGGAAACCTATACTGCGAGAATTCCAAAGAGGCTGAAACGGTTGTACGTGCGAGCGTGTAAATGCCTCTGTTCATACATTCGTTCCTGAAAAGGCCATCCTTACACCGTAGAACATTCCCGACGATAGTGCCTCCATAGATGTCCTCTAGGCGGCCCGTGATAGCGCGAGCCAGCGCGGGAGAAAAAATAGGAGAGGGAAGTCAAACTGTCCATTCGCACGCCGGCTCATACAGCAAGTGAGCAGGAGCATGGGACCGATTAAGAAACCATATCAGCTGAACAGTCCTTTGTGGCTCTCGCAGTGCAATATTTCCGGATTGAGTTCTCAGGTGTGAGCAAGCCCCGGTCGCTAAGATGGTTCGTCGATGACTGGATCGACGCAAAACCGATCAGGGTCAAATGATGTTCCGCCACCAAATCTTCTCTTAGGGATACGTATATAGTAAACACTGTATATATGGTGATGGGCCCTCGCTAGGCAGGTAACCAGCTTCTTTGAAACAGAGACAAGCATCGTCCCGTGGCTCATAAAAGCAGGCGAAGGTGCTCTCAGCACAGATATAGCGAGAAGGAAACTCTGAGGGGTGCGAAGTCTCTGAATTGAGCGCGAATCGATATCGTAAATGATGAACAAGTACAGAAAAGAAAAGAAGCTAACGCAACACACAAACGGAGAATACGGAAGGGGACAACGACGGTAATGCGTAACATATGAACAGGCGATAAGCAGGAGCGGAGTGAAGTAAACGCACAGGGTCAAGAGCCTGAGAGAAACGAGCAATAGTGGTGTCTTGCCGAAGGTCATAAGCACGTCCACCAACAGCAGCAACAAAGGCAATGTGCCGGCGAGAAGACAGGGGATAAGGAGATGCTCGACCGGGCTTTGTTGCAGTCGACTCAGAAGAAAAGGTCAAGAATCAGATTGACGGGAAATCCATACGATAATAAAAATGATGGGACAGAGGCCAATGTGTGCAGCGGGTGCGGTGTGTGACAAGAAACCAAGGCGAGGAGCTTGCGAAGGAAAGGTCTGACATGCGTAACGACAAGTCAAGCACAAGACTAGGATAACTGAAAGTGCGGATAAATCAGCATACGAACGAACATGTCCAGCGGAAGTGCCCGTCGTCTGGGTAACAGTTCTCCACGGCGATGCTCGAGCGCCGAGCGGAGGGGAAACCAGCGATGATTATTTATAGTTAACAAGTGCCGAGAAGCCAGTAACCAAGGAATTGCGGATATGAGATAGGTATGAGCGGTAATAAATAATATTGGTATCATGACTTGTCCATTCAACGGCGTATAATGGAAAAAAGTCTGCAAATAAGCCAGGGATTCTGAGACATGAGTGTTGTGCCAGGTTGACAGGATCAAGGACCAGTCATTAGCAAAGCCGGCCGATCATTGTTGTTGCTTTGCTGTCTATTTTCTCGCTCCATTCTCCTTTGATCCTTGTCTGCATTGCTTACAACCTTTTTTCCAAGAATTGGCAAGGGGTCGTCGTGAATGCCACTGAATAATACTCGGTCGACTCGATGGCGGAACGTGAATATGTGTGTGGCACAAGATTCGGACGATCCGAGAGAAGGTCACATTCAGAGTCAGTGGGGTCGTGTAAACAATGGAGAGGACGTTTGAAATGTGCGACCTACGGCTTCTTGGTTTACGTCGACTTTCAGTGTTGTTTTGACTTCAATTCGAATCTCTACGTGTTGTGGCAGGGCGGGATTACAATCCCGGTGTGGCATCAAACTAGAACCGTGTGTGCTTGTGTTCGGTCGTGTCATGTCAATGGCTGTGCAGGTTCAAGCGACGCGCACTGCAGCGAGCGCTCTAGCGCAGACAGGACCGTTGGAAATTAAACGGTGCTTAGAGTGGCTTGGAACGCTTTCGATTCCCGTGACATCCATCATGCGGATTTTCTGCATGATAACTTTCCACAACAGTAGGATCCCTCATCGCCCAGTCTCCCTTTGTGTTTCGCATTTGGAGCTGTGGGTTTCGCTATTTGTAGCCTTGTCGCTAGCTTCTATATCGCTGTGCTCGTTGTACGTTGATGCCTCCTCGAATAGCTGGAACGATGCTTGCCTCCTGCGCCGGAAGACTGGTTTCAACAATGATCAAGGTGTAGCACGCCACTGGCAGGGCTAAACTAACTTCGTAACAGAATGGACAGTGCCATTCACATTACGGAGCTAGTTGATGGAGTGTCTGGGACTCAGGATGATACGATGTCCATCAACATGGTCGGATCCCCTCCCAGCTAGATAGCAGTACATGCTCTGCGGTTGCGTGATCCCTTGGCTCCGCCGGATGATGCTATTGTGACATTTCCGCCCTGTCATGCTTCATAACTGTTGATTCGGACTGACTAAAAGAGCGTCGGCGGGTAGCTCCCCGAGCTTGTTGCCTCAGTCTCATCGTACCCCTTGTTTTCCGCATCTCTTTTCAATGCCACGCGCGTATTCGACCATGATATATACCAGATCTGGGCTTGTTGAGCGGACTTCTTGTCTTCTGGATCACTGTGCATAGTTCCTGGTCTGCTGTGTCCCGCTCAGGGGCAATACATGTTGTGGCGTGATATATGCATGAGTAATGTGTGAATGTAGTCAATCAAGGATGACACCACCGTCACCGACGTTCAAAAGCCCCTCACGCAAACCACCCATTTGATCTAGATGCCGGCTTTAAGACGCACGACTACGCCACACATGAACGTAAGCGCTGTGCATGGAAAACACTAGAATATTATTATAAAATATAAATATGAACGCTTCAGTACCGTGCGTACATTAGTTAATTATGTTTCTCATTCCTATCTTATATCTGGACTCCGACTGTACCGCTGAGGCGGGCTGCCATACTTGGAACGCCACGCTAAGACTTCAGAAAGTAAAGGAAATCGCGGCAAGCCACCAAACCCAGCCGACTAAAAGTTACGCCGCGATTCCCTTCGCTCTGACATGATGTCAAGAACGTATGCATGATGCCGTCACCTCAGTGTTCCTTTTGTGCCTAGCTTTTCTCTGCTTCATATTCCCTACAATGCGCCCCTGCCTAAATGCGCCGTTACACCCTTCTCCAGACCGAATGAGGTGCGTCCATCAGTTCTGGCGAATAAAACTTTTTGACGTGTTGGCAAAGGGCTGAGGAGCTTGCCGGCCACGAAATTCAAATCGCTGAATTGAAGTTGGCCGAGGATTGCGTGTGCACATCCGAGTGGCCGGGCTCACAGCACCTTCGGCACATGGCCATGGGGGCGCAGGAAGGAATGGTCTATCGATCAAAATTGCTGTGGGCACGCTGCCGAGCCCATACTTCTGATTACTCCCACCATTCCAATCATACTCACATGATTAAGAGGATATAGGCATAAATTCGCGCTTACATGGGAGTCTGCTGTTGTTTCCGAGGCCCTTCTCCGGACCATGGAGAATATTCACACATACTGGTCTGGGCCTTTACAATTGCGTCGTCCGACTTAGAACAGGGACATCTCGACGTCGCTGGCGCGCCCTTGGTGTGGCTGACCAAAGAAGTCAACTTTTTGTTCGTTTTCTACATCGTACTGCGCGCCTAGTTCGAATCTGATTCTGTGTCGAAGTCAATATCCTGAATTGACCTTTCTTTGAAAGGTCAACGCTAGGCATTTCGAGTTTTCAGGGGCTCCAGACGCCCAGTCGACAACACATTGGCTCTCGTCTCCTGTCCTCAGACAGCCCGAGTATTGCTAAAGCGATATGCGTGCTCGCTGTTCTTGTCCATCGATCCATCGCTCATGATATGAAACTATCCTCTGGCCAACGGCTATGGGTGTACAGAGGACTCTCAGCACGTCTTCCCTGGTGAACCCTGGTCACGTATCAACCTCACGGCTATCATTGGACTAATGCTCTCTTCCTCGTCCATCCAAATGAAATTGTTCAGGTTTTTCATTATTTCTGTCAGGGCATTTGTCCCACCTGGCGCTTGTGAGTCGTTTATCGGCTGTCATTAGGGATGATGTTATTGATTGGGCATGAGTTGTCGTTGTCGTAGTCAACGCCGGTTCCAGCTTGACGGCGCTTATACATTCTATTTCGTTCTGTCGGCGATGTTTATTTGTTATCGCCAGCTCGCAAGACTGATGGTGTTCGGGAACGAAAATGGTCCAAGCATTCTCATGATGGCGGTCAGCGTCATGCTGATATTTATAGGCGATTTTCTCCACCGATGTTCATTGATGAACATGCTGGGAATTATTCATTCTTATGTCCTTGCAGGTGTCCACGCCATTTTTGTACGTTCGCGAGGGGGTAGAGATCTTACTTCTACCATATCCTTTATACTAGTGAGCGTCTCGGACTACTGAATGATGGTGTGCTTGGGTTCACCTGCTAAGTCCAGCACTTTGTGATGCTGTTGTCACAAAGAACAGCGTGGGCCTTAGGCAGCTGGGTTCAATGTGATCAAAGCAGCTAATCATTGGGGCGTTGATGGAGCATTTCGCAAAGTCTTTAATATGGTCTCGATGGCTGGAATCTTGCCAATGTGTAAGTCCTGAACATGATTGGTCACAACTGCACCGGCTAACCCCCTCCTTATCTAGGTATTAACGCTTATCTTTCTGGAACCACCCGTCGCACTGCGCTTGTAACCACCATGTGGAAGGAAGCGGGTTGACATCAAACGAAATCACGTCTTTGGAATAGGTCGTACTCCATCGCCAAGATTGTGAATACGTTTTCGGACCCCAGGTGATATGAAAGAAAGGCCATTGCGACACGAGAGAAATGCCATTCGATGGGAAGCGAACTCAGTGAGTATTCGTCCTGAGCGTGATGGACTGCTTTGATGACTGTTGCCCGATCCCCCTGCCTTCGGATTGGACTGCTGACTGAGGGGTAGGTACTCAGCACTCCCCTCATCTTCAGTACACAGTGACAGGGACATTGCGGTTCCTAACAGACCCCCTAAAGCGAATAACCTTATGATGCAACGCTCTATGACAGTTTTCCCCCTTTCTGAGCGAACTTCAATTCTAATGAAGTCAGCTGCTGTGTTTCAACTTAACCAAACAGATTTCATGCTGTCATATATCGGCATTCAGTGTCCATGATCCTGATGCAACTCGAAGATATTTCCAATAGAAGAAAGGTCAGGAGTAAGGACTGGTTCGATGGCCAACAAAACAATGCGCACCCGGCTGTCCTAGCTTGGATCGCTCCTTCTTTCTGTGGACAAGGCATCAGTCCAGATCCACGCATTTCAGCCGCCGCGGGAGAGCCCCCAAGTTACCTTCCCAATCCATTCGGGGCCTTTCTCCGAGTGAGAGCACAGCCTGGTGGAAAGCCGCAACAGGATCATAGCATCACGGTTCAGGTTGATGGTATTGCGATATTACCAATGTGTGGCACTTGATTCGTGTGAAAGGTTTCTGTCAATTCACATGTAGATGTGGCTTAGTATGTGAAAAGATCAGCGCCCAGCTCTCAGATGAAGAATGGGGCACGACAGTATATCCTCCCCTTTCTTCGCGGTGAGTAACATTGGAGTTCGATGTTCAGGAGTTTATTAACAATGTCGAATGTGGCGATTCTCTAATAGTTCCTAACGGTCGGCTTGCTCCTGCCTTCGCAGTGCAGCTGCGTAGCCATGAGGGTTTATCAGCGACAACCGTACGTATGCATGGGACGGAGCCTGAGGCCATGAATAAGCTTATACATATAAGATGCTCATTGCAACGGACCCAGTCCAGCAACTAGTGAGTAGAGACGCTCGGCATGGTATCACCGAATTTTATAGTGGTTGGAGCAGATCAATCACAGGTGGGTTTGACGAATCCCAGAGGGAATGCAGTTTTCCTTCTGGGGGGACACCTCCTCTTCCCATTATTCTGATTTCAGGTTGCTATTAAGCAATTATCTACCATGCTCGTATTAGCATGTTGGAGGCTCTTCAGTCGCGGTTCATGAGCTACATCAGAGATACGCTCAGAATGTAGGGCAACATAGCGTGGTAAACCTTCGGAGGGTCGAACACCGACATACTGTCGGATTGAGTTCCCACAGCGTGTATCCCAATGTCCTGGTCGACTGGATGGCTCTTTGTCAAATTGAAGGACAAGCACCTGATCGCCGTAGTAGGGGCGATCCCGATAGACGGCAGCCCTCGTATTCACATCAAGATGAATCGAAGAATTCGTTCCCGATCCAACACACCACAATAGCAGCCACTGCTACATAGTCCGCAGGACCATTGCGGCGGGCTACTTGATGCCGGAAAAAGTAACAACCTGCTTCTTGTGTTGCAGTTCGCGAATGACAACCTTTGCATTAATCTCCGCAAATCGTACGGCGGAGCTTTCTTGCGTCGTGCAGCCTTTGTCTCGACGCAAGAACAACAACGTACCCTCGGGCTTCTCAGCTTCCCGATTCGTGGTACTGCTTTTCATTACTCATACCTAACATTTCAAACGGCTCGTGTGCATAGATATCCCCTGCAATCCACTTGACCATGTTGCTGTGAAGAAACTGCCTTTTGATGTCCTCAACTTCATAGGTCATGTATTGCCAAGAATAGAGTGCCCTTAAATCCGCCGGGGGTAGCCGCTGTGAGGGATGATACCCTTTTCATAAAGTTTCTCATTGAACGTGGCGACCCTGCAAGGGAATCTCGCGTCCAAGGTAAATGATAGTGCGGGCATATTCCTTGGATCGCCGTGAAGGTGGAATTGGCCTTGCCAAATATTTTGGTTGTGCCTCCAGCCGCGCGCACATATCCCGCTCTTGGCAGCAACACTAGTTCGTGACCAGTTTTTGCCGATGGCGGACCCTACGTTCCCCAAACGGCTAAAGAACATAATCTTTGAAGGCCTCCAAAGGGAATAGTTCAATAGAGATTTGGTCGTTCACATTGCTTTCTAGCCTTTCTCAGAGCAAGCCACACGTGCGTATTCCTTGAATATTTTGCAATACCCTGGAAAAGCCTCGAGCGCTTCCAGCTTTGATATGGATACGTACCAAAAATGGCGTATCACACGGAATCATGGTGCCCATCAGATTTTGCGCATCTCCTCGGATGCATGGGCCACAAGAATCACCGTTCCAGCTGCTTCCTGTTGTAGTTTGTTGTTCTGACTCCAGCTCCCTCTTCTATGGATTCTCCCGCTGAAGACTTCTAGCCATCGATTCCTAGTACTGGAATTCTAATCTCTAAGGCTATACAAGGTCGCTTTTTAGTATTTGAACTGCGCCAATAGGGAGAGTCATTTCACGGGACTGTGCCCTCAATTCTTTCGGAACTACGCATATAATCATCCGCCGTTGGGAGGTTCAGGTCCTTGGATGGTGGTTCTTCCTCCCGCAAACTTGAAGGCGCTATTGTGAAGTGGACATCTGTCGTCGGAGAGCATGTTCGCTAGTCGTGAAACGGGCATAGAGAAGTCCAAAACTCATGGTAAAGGGAACAAAAACTATAAAAGTAAGTGTGCTGATTTCATTCAATTTGTTGGATGTCCAACGTGTTTCGGTCTGCTTTGGACCGGCGCCCTCCCTTCTTTTGTTGTAGCCGCCCCCTGTGAGAGATATGCAGCTGGGATATGCCATTATGGCAAGGATTGCTGGTTCATTCATGACCCCACTTACTTGGCGCCAGGGAAGTCGCCCTCAGAAGTGTCTTTGGATGCTTCTGTGACCAGCGATGGTACCACAACCAGAGTCGGCTCTCCTCCCCCTCCTCCAGCGTCGACCCCGACGAAAATTACGGCCCCGTTAAGCGCCCGTGTGAAGGCGCACCCTTCCTATAAAAGTATGGCGATTTTTCCACAACTTCCGTCCGATTCGCTAACGTTATGTATCGCATTATTTATGACGCTACCGCTTAGCCCAACAATGTTACGCGTTCAAACGATCGGGAAAGTGTGAGAGAGGTGACAATTGTACCTAGTCAGTCATTCAGCTTAAGTCGAGGGGATATCTCTTAAAACTCTATGCGCATTCCCGCTCAACGCGATCCCTTGTTTCTTCTCACCCAGCCGCCACAATGAGGAATTGTCTCCAAGAACTCCATCGCACTCCGACGGCGATCAACCTCCGACCCATCAACGCTCAACTTCTACCGGAAGTGAGTAGTAGCTGATGTGATCGCGCTTGTTTTAATCACATCAAATAACGGCTTGCGGTCGCATAGAACAACCCTGCTTCGATCTTCTAAGGACCGGGATGTGCCCAAAAGGCGAACTTTGCATATTGTCAGTGAATTTTGCTTATTCTGTTATAAGGGTGTGTTGTTGCATGCTTGCTTACCAACGACCAAATCAGCTCCCATGAATCCCCGGTGCGGCACATCAAGTGGTATCGAGGTAAGGGGGTCGTTGCTTTTAGTAGGGGGTTCTTGGGTTCCTGACGTTCCTGCCTCGTTTTCAGGTGTAACTTGCAAGCTCTGGCTCGCCGGTAATTGCAAACACGGAGACACATGTTTGTTCAGACACGCAGAATCCACCACCCCAGCTACTGCGTACTCTCGTGACAGGTCCCCCGGCGTCAGGATTCTTACACCGGAGAGTGTCGTTTCACCGAGGTACGAGGTGCCTCCTTCGCCAACCTTTGGAGATAATATCTTCATGAGGGCGCGTACTCCAATCCAAGATTCGCGCGATGCGCTTTACCGAAGTGAGTGAACAATTCAACTCGAAAGACGATTGTTGAGGATGGACTTCATTTACCTCCCATCCATAGTACGCTCCCCGAATTCACCTCTGTATCTGCCGTACGGCCGTTCTCCAGCTGAGATAGTAAACCCCATCCAGCATCATCGCATTTGGGATAACCCGACACCTCCATCGCGCGGTGCCGAGTCTTCATCGTCCTCATCGTCTCCGGAGGAGGAAGGAGTCTCGTCATCTGACACAGTAGATGTCAGTCTCGGCGGATTGACACTTGGGGACTCTGAAGGTGCTCTCATTGCGCGGGAGTACTCAAGAATTCAAATGGCGCTCCGCAGAGAGAGAGAGTCTAGGGTTAGTTCTTTCCAACACGCCGAGGAGGACGATGTTATCTACAAACGTTAGCTATTGACTTCCTCTTGCTTTTTTCTTTCAGTTCTGATGCGCATTCTGTTCATCACTTGTTCACGCTGCATAGCTCCCAGTTATTTTGTCGTTCCACGACGTTAGCAAACGTTTTCCAATTCTTCATCGGATCGGGCGGCGTCGCTTGTTATTATGATTCCCCACGAACTTTTATGCTCGTGTAACGATTCACGAATCGAAGTCGTTATGGTTCCCATCAAGGGTTGTTGCCATGTGTTGTAACCTGGCTTTCTTGTTTGGTAATTCCCACCTTCATTCTCTCTCCCATTTCCCAATGGTGTTCCTTCCAATCCCTGTCAACACAAATCATGATTCTGTAGTTTTGTTTTGCATGTTTGTTCCCCTGTTTTGAATTCAAAGGCCTTATCTCTCCTCTCCCTTCTTACTAATATGTTGATGCCAGGGATCAGGTGGATTACTTACATCAGGGGGCATCTGAATTCAAAAGCCCAGCCGCTGTTGCCAGTGCAATATCCCAGCCGATGCAAAAGCAAAGGTACAGCTGGTACCAAGCAGTTGCATTAGACACGATCAGCGAGATATCGGCACCCGCAGCATGTCAAACTATGTAAAATGAAGAATCGATATCCGGCTCTTTCGCACCAACTCGTTTTGTCGACCTCTGGGCTTTTCCTGTCTCTTCCAGTATTCAATATGAAGTCGCGTCCTGGGGATCTAGCCCAAGATGTCGATCTTTGAGTTTCTGTGGCCAGCCCACCACTTCTGTATCAGCTGATGAAATGCTCGTCATGCTCATCAACGCAAGGTGCCTGTGCAATGCTGGGAGGGCAACGACGCGAGTGCGTTTGGGCAAATGGCTGCCCATTGCCATGGGCGGTCCTTATCATATGATCGAGGATGCATCTTTCCGGCCAGCCTAGGTCTTGATAGTCGCTGCCCTTCAATTCCGCACTCCCGGGATGACGAATGATGAACGTTTGTGGTCACGTCGAGATGCGTCCCTTTCTCGTGACCGTCCAAGATAGCCAAGAAAGCCAAATAGCCTTCATTAGGCAGGACGGATTTGCTCTAGTAATGGCCCCACTGGGAATGCGATGAGACATGAGGCTAGCTTTCCCGAGTGTGGGAAAGCAGCGACGAATAAAGTCTGATAAGTCGATCTCTACATACGATATCGGAACCCCTTTTGAGCGACGCTCTCGGGATTAGCGTTACTGCTCTCGGGTGAATTCATGTCACCTCTGGGGGAAGTCCATTTTCTGGTTCGAATGTGCCTTGTCAAGCGTGTTCACTCTCACGCTTGGTGTTGCAGTTGTGCTCATTGAAAATATCATTAATTCTTGTATGAATTCTTGAGTTGAAATCCCCCTGCAACTACTCTGGTTAGTTGGATCATTGGTTTCAGTTGTGATGCGGCGTGGGAGGGGTAGTATAAGCGCTATGAAGGAGTCCAGGAAGGTGAACATTTCGTGTCGCCTCGCGAATAAGCTTACATTTCTCGGAGCGGGAGTCCTTCATGCAGGCATAGCACCATCCCCGCGGTGACCGGCATCCTTCCTCCCACCCTGGTCCTGGATCCAGGGAAAATCTTTTCAGCAGACCAACTAGCTCCTAGATCTGGCGGTTTCATGAAGGACTCGACTGCCACAATCCACCGACACAGCAACCCATACCTAGAATTGCGCTGGTATCAGGTAATGGGACTAAGATGCGACACAAAAGTGTGAGATCAATGATTGGAGCTCGTATTTAACTTTACATATTAAACAAGACCTCTCAAGTCTTATCGGTCCTCAGTGCACGAGCCCTCGGGGCATATAGAAGACGCATTGGATGCCCCAGCCGGTAGAGGACCCCCTCCACCCTTGCTATAAGGCCCAGTGCTTTGCGACACCCCGCCTGTTCGGTAGGCTTCCAATGACTAAGGTGTTGCTGTTCTCGTAAGGCGACTTCATTTCCACACGGCCCCTACGCCACACTGGAGTGGAAATGGCGTGTTACCGAAACATGCCGCGCTTGTCTAATCACATATTGATCAATATCACAACGGTGGAGACCGAAATTAATAACAAGACCAAACACGCCGTCTGTGGGAGAGCAGGAGCTTCCCACCAGCTGAACTGGCTCTCTGAGCGTCTCAATCACCTTCCCCGGCGTTTGTGATTGAACTGGTTTGAGTCAGAAAGCGCCGAATCTTTCCTTCCCTTATTTTATCCAGGGTGACTTCTGTGTATAAATTGGCCAATACCGGGGATGTTTCTTCACCACCGCCATGGATTATAGACTGCCTGGCCGCTCAGCGCAAGCGCTCACAGTTAGCCTCTTTCTAGACTGCCTGACTGCTCGTTGCAAGTGGCGTTGACAGTGGGCTTCTTCACGACACCCATCCCGCCATTTTTAATCCCTAGGGATCCTTCATTTTCCGTGCAACTCCGTCACGTAAGGTTACCTAAGCTGGGATAAGATCGCTTTCCGCGGATCCAGGATCAAAGATGTATCTTGACGATAAGAATCTACACGTCTTTGGCTTATTAACAACCACATTTTACAGGTCTACCGGCCACTGTCCCCCACTCACATACTGCAATCGAGCGATTAGGTGATGCATTGCCTCATGAAACAAATCAGTTGACCGAAAGACAGAATGTGCTGCATTGAGACACTAAGTATGAAGCTGACGGGTAACCAAAAGTATTAAAGGGAAAAAAAAAGTGCGGAGAATAGTTAGACAGTCAGGTCATTAATGCCTAATACAGATTTGCGTGTATGAGTATCAAGGAGTTGCGATCACAGGATGGTTCGAGAGAGAGAGAGGAAAGGAATCCAGAAACAAGGGTAAAGAAAGAGCAGGATCAAATTACGCCACTGCCAGGAGATCTGCAGGCAGTGAGTAGGAATAACACACCCAAATGAAAGAAACGCTGTAACGCTACACAGAATACGCTACATCAAGCCCACTCACTCTCTTCCCAAATTCGACCCCACGAGCCACCATCCCACCTCCTAGAACCCATATCCCACTCGACGATATTCCTCTCAGTGCCAACATACATATAACGTCCACTCATATCAAAACATAACCCCGACAAGTGCATAGGCTCTGATTTTGTGTTATTACTCTGCGCAACATCATCCCACGAGTCCCTCCAGGTTGGGATAGTTGACGCGGTAAACGTGGGAGGAGGTAGGACAATGGTCGATCCCCCAATACTGCTACTGCTACGACTACTGCTGCTACTTCGACTACTGCTACTTCCTGACCTGGAATTAGAGCCGAGACTCCGAGAGTTCCGTCTGATCACAGGAATAGTGAAAGCAGAAGCGGAAACGGCAGGCACACCAGATGGATGATGTACGTCATGCCCAACACGCCTGCGTCGCTCGTGTGCATCATGTATCGTGTCTTCTTCTTCTTCTTGGTCCATCATGAGAAGATTGATAAAGTGCCTCCGCGTTCGGTTCGTTGGAAAGTCACCAGAGGGCGAAAGAGACAATGGACGAGATTGATGGGGGTGAGTGTGATAATTGTCACGGCCGTGCACTGAAGTGAATGGATCGGAAGAAGGTAACTGGGGGATAGAAGGATCAGATGTGCAAATTAGGGTATCGTCGATTGTGGTCGCATTCGCCGACTGCGGCTGCGATTGGTTGCGGGGTAGTGGAGTGTCTGAAGATATTGTCGTGTTTGGTTTCTCATCTTCTGCGACATACGGGGAGTAGGTATCCTCAGATTGCTGCTGATTTGAAGACGGGGCTGCTTCTGGGACGGGTGGTGGCGTGCACGATACAGATGAAGGTACACGAAGCACCGTGTGGGTATTAAAAGTGCGTGCGTCTACCACGTGTACATTGTTCATGTGCTGGAAAGGGGGCCGGTAACGTTAAGCAGCATGGTCAGGGAATGAAGGCTTAGATGGCCTCGTGCGTACCTCAGTGAACACAAGGAGCTCCCTTCCTCCATCACACGATCCGGAGCCTCCGGGGCTGAATTTGATACTTCTTACTCCCGTGTCAACAATGTGGCTTGCATCTTGGTAGTAGTGATACCCAGGAGTGAGGGACATCAAGAATGAGTTTGTGCCAGATGCAAGTGGAGCCGTTATTGGCTGCAAGTGAGGGTACGAGTCGAAATTTAGAGCAGGTGGTGCGCCAGGGATAGATAGGTGCTGTTGGGGCGATCGTGCTCGCCGCCTGCGACGTATGGATTCCTGGGAATGGAACCGTGCCATAGGTGCTGAAGAGCGAATATCCCAAATAATTGCCTGGCCGTCCTGAGTGGCGACGGCAAACTTGAGGCCATCTGAGGACCAGGTCGTTGAAAAGCCCGCATCGAGACCACCTGTGTTTGCGAGGATAAATTGATGTCACTTGAGAGGTGCGCCTTTTATGTACCTTTGTACGTCGCTATTGGTTCAAATGTGATAGTGTCACCTCCCCGCACATCGTGAAGGAAGACGTCATCAGTATCTCCCACAGAGAGAAGCGTTCTCCCGTCCGGCGAGATGGAGGCTAGTTGAAAATCTTGAGTCGAACAAAATTAGATGAGGACCAACTGGGCACTCACCATGGTTAACGCAAGTTTTGAGCTCAGTGGAACCGGCTCTACTCAGCCGCTGCCTCTTTTTCCCGAATGGCATTGCCTCTGTCCTCGTGGCAACATTGTACACCCTCAAAGAGCGATCGTTGTTGCTGATGAATAGCCTGGGTGTGGTAACTCCGGTTGATTCGCTCCAACGTCCGGTTGCCTCGTATGGAGACGCGCCCATGGTGAGGTTTGTGATAAAAATGGAATTATTGATGGATCCCCGCAATTGTTGGGAGATATGTAATGATGTCGTTCCTTCCATGGAGTCCAGAGGCGCAATGTAGATCTCTGCCCGTTGGCCGCCAGCGGCTATGAGACCAGACCTATGATGATGGTTGCGAGATTTTAGCTTCCTTCTGATGACTGCAATATTACCCCACACACCCTGATGCAACACAAGTGGGAGCAAACCCGACATTTGTCAAGCGTCTCTCGGGCTATAAATAGAATATAACCATAAATCGTTCATGAATTTTCAATATTCGAAGAATTTTCCTTTGCTGCACATACTTCATGAGGCCGTGTAATATCCCGAGTTGAGAGTCCATGAGCAGTGGCATAAACAAGCTTTCCTCGCTCAGTGGGGCAAGCTACGAGGTCTCTGAGCTGCGTATGCTCAATGTTAATGTTTGCGGAGATGCTGTGTGTGGGGGCTTCAGACACTTCCTGCTCACTGATTTACAAGCCGGGCGTAGGGCACCGCGTCAGCAATAAATAAGGCCGATGGTCGTAAACGGAGACTCACAGAGAATCGTATGCCATGCTTAGGGGTCACCTATAGCGCTCGAGCTCCAGCGAGCAAAGAAAAAAAGGGGATATGAGAAGTTGAAGAGGAGATGAAAGATGGGCAAGTGAGCGCCGTTTTGAACAGCCTGGCGTTTGAGCGAAATATCATTAATACTGAATAATTCAGCTAACACGGAAGCAAATCAACTCCTTCGGTTGAATTGGGGATCTCTTTTTAAGTCACGTTACCCAGTGAGTCACGCCTTCTGGGTTCAAGCGGTCATCCCTGCCCTCCGCGGCATGGCAAAACCACCAGTTTCACCCTCTTTCATCGATAAGAACAATGCCTTTCTTAGTTTTTCAAGCTGTTCCCGCTTGAAACGAACCCAAATTTAGCAAATGAATATTCTTGCCGGACAGACCCTGTTCTGTCCGAGAGTGGCCTCAACCGCCCTGAAAACCGTCTTCGCGAACAATTGATTATGCCCAAACTGGTCATGTTTGGTTCACAAGCACAGCTCACTTTTGGCCTTTCAAATGCTGGTAACCGAGCACCAGGAGGCAATGGCGTCAACGCCCTCAGTGATCTACTTATCATATCAATATTAATTCCACCACCATTTCACAAGCGCCAGTCACTCATTAACCGCAAACCTTTCTGCTACCTGCTTAAACACACGTGCACCGCAGGCCGCGCCCGGTGGCGCATTACAGCAAAAGTGCCTCGGCGGGCACTTCCAAAGTGTTGCCCGCAGCATTATCATAGCACGTTGGAATCAGCTTCCTCACGTGGGCAGCAGAAAGCCCCAGCGCCAACGCTTCTACACTAGCACGCTGTCTTCCTTTCAGCGATAGTAAACCAGCTAATCTTCAAACATGATCTTGAAATTCTCCACCACCTCTTTACTGTCCGCAGCCCTCCCTCGGAGTGCTCCGCTTGCGATCGCACTCTTGCGCTTTTGAATCTGAATAATGCGTTCCTCTACGGTATGTTTTATCTATATCACAGCTAGTCAGGTGCGCCCTGGACACCGGAACACCGTCACTCACAATGAATTTCGTTACCATCACAGGCCGATCCTGTCCGATTCGATGAACCTGGAAAATCTTCGGTGAGTTTGGCTGTGCGCCGACGCGAAATTTGGGCACCACGAACTCACCCGATCAACGGCTTGGTCTTCCACCGCTTCATTCCACCAGCAATCCATCTACATGTTGACAACCGCCCTAGTAAGCGAAATTGGAAAGACACCCTCGATCACGTACCATGAATACGAAGTTAGCTGTCGTCAGATTAAGCCCGACTCCACCGGACTTCAACGACTGTTCGGGCATCATTCACCCAAGATTTTGGCCGTCATCAATATTAACGAACAACCAGTTCAGAGATCAAACCACATGATACCATGAATCAATGACTAGCCCGAAGTGGGAAGATATAGCACGCACGATCATAAATACCCTTGCCTCTCGCCCTGGTTTGACGAACTCCTCGATAGCACGAGCTCTTTGGGGTTGCGACATTGTTCCATCGAGTCTACTCCACGCGAAGCGTTCTCGGTCTAATGCTCGTGATATCAAATCCAAAAAGGACGTCCATTGGCTAAAGACGACGGCTCGGAAACACGGATCTTGGCCTCGTAACGCTCGGAGAGCTGATACCAGCGCATCCAGTTTTGTGCTACTCTCGAAATTATTCTTGCGCAGGGTGAAGCTGGGTGAAGAATGTATGACGATATCTGTGTCCGCTGAAGTCGCGCGAATGGAATTCCTATGTTTACGGACGACTTCGAGTAGTTCGGTTTCCTGTGATAGTAGTGAATGAAGCGGCTTAGAACTGGAAGAGAAGCCGGATAGCTCCTAAGCGTGTTTACCTGTGCAGGTCCTGAACAAATGGGGCACGTTCCAACTTTTCCTTCTGACTCCAATTTGCGAAGGTGCCCCACGATGCAGGCTTTGCACCTAATTCGAACAGACTCGAACACACATGCCAACGTGAAAGGAGTGATCGACTAACCCTGTATGTTTGCAATCAGAAACGAGGACTTGATCGTCCTCCATCGTTTCGAAACATATCGGGCATGATCTAGCATCTTCATCTTCATCATCATAGTTTCCTAACTGCTGCAGAACAGAGTGGGCGTATGCATCATCATCTTTGGTATCAATCCGGATGTCATCATCGTCCTCAGGAAATTTTGAATCCCGGACGAGTGCAGGATGACAAGCAGCTCGTCGTAGCCTATCGCCGCGATGCTCATCATGACGCCAACAAAGAGAACATTCATGATTTTTCCACTTACGTCATAATTCGAGCCAGCATGCTTGTAACGTTTTTCGTCAGCTGTCCGCTTGCGTTCAGCTTATCGTAATCACGCTTCACAGCCCTATAAATGGTGTGGTATAATTTCTCTTCCGCTTCTGACAGCTCCAGGTGTTTGATCTCGATCGTCTTCGGAGGTAGCTGGACGATCGGATTGCCACTTGCATCCCGTGTTGTCTTTTCCCGGCGGAGTAACACAGTTTCCAAAATGACTTGCACGACATCGATAGCTCTAAATTTAAATCAAGGTAATCCACTCAAGAAGTGCCATCAATCTTCCAGTAATGACTTTACCTAGGGTCTTTGTCCAAAAAGGGCTTTGTGATAAAACTTCCCGAAATGAACGTTAGCGTCAATAAAATGCCTCGGATACAGACGGAAGGAGCTTACCTGTTGAAATAAGCAAAATTCGACCATGGCTGGAACTGTAAGAAATGCCTGGGGAAGAGGTTGAGAAGAAATCAACTGGAGGACAGTTGTGGCACCCTACAGCAATGAAAATAGATCATCTAGGCGGTTCGTGATAGGAGTTCCTGTAAGTGCCCAGTGACAACGAGACTCTCGCGATATGCCATAGACAGCTTTAGCTGTTTTCGAGGTGCGCGACTTGATATAGTGGGCCTCATCAAGGACGATACGCTTCCACTTAGCTACCAATTTATGTTGACACGTACAGATCGAGTTTAAGCGTAACACATACTGCTGAAGAGAGGACTGGATGCATTCCGCCCGCTGCTCTGCACTTTGGCATGCTCAGAAGCCAAGGTGCCGTAACTGGTGATAACCACATCCACCCCAGCTCCCAATACTGCTCTGGATTGGCCATGCCATAATAAAATCGATAGCGGGCTCTCACCGCCCTCACCAGATCGAGTCAATTCAGACTGCCACTGGCTTAGTAGAGACACTGGTGCAACGATCAGCGTAGAACTTGGACCCTCCATGGCGTCAGCCTCATCCGTGGATGACTCCACTTTCGGTCGGAAAGCCACATCCAGCTTGAGTTTACCTTTTGGCTTCGAAGTTTGCTTCTGGGCGTTCGTTGGGGGTTCTGGGCCACGATTGGTATGGAGTAAACTTGCCAGCATAATGGATTTTCCTAGGCCCACTGAATGGAGATGTCAGCTTGTGGCGCGATGTCATGTAATTGAGCCTCACTTTCTGGGAAGGGAATCAGAGAGGGTGAAAACTGGAGTAAGCAAGTGGGTTCAATAAGAGTGAGTAATTATAGATTCACCGTCACTGTGAAACTGAAAGTGAGCTCGGTAGAGAAGATGTGTGTCTGACATGACGTACGCAAGAATACCTCCACGGCAATTGCGACTCATTTTCGGCATTTCAAGTGATAGTTCCCCCGAATTTGGATTCATATAGAACGGGATCTCCGGTTGTGACAGGTCTATCATGCCAAACTCATCTTGATCAGGAGCAAAATTATACCTGGCGAACGTATTGGACTAGTTGTCACGATTGCGCATGGCCAGAGTTGACTCACTCCTCCCAGAGAGGGTGCATCGAGTTATTTGCCTCAGTTTCCTCATCACCCTTTCCCATTTCCAAGTCGTACATCCACCTAGCAAGATGCTGCTAAGGGCTGGGAGTTCCGAAGAGCCCTTAGCCACTCACTTTAGAGCCTGTTTCTGGTACGGACGCAACGTAAGAGTGAAAGAGCTTGAAGGTTGCATCTCCGGCATGCGTAAAAGCTTCTCAGATTGTTGCGCTCTTCCCGAAAAATCTGTGAGTCCAAGGTCAAGGAACATAAAAAATACAGGGGGAGATTACTTTGTGTAGATGTTGGCAACTTGCTGGTCGGTTAGTTCCTCGCCCTCGACTTCAACTTCTTCTGCATCTTCCTCGTCACCGATGACTTCTTTTGCTTTTCCACTTGAGCGAGGTTGCACTTTGCTTCCGCTCGACATTGCGACGCCGAGCCCTTCACACAGGGGCACCACGGCCTGTTTCCCGAGGCGATTTCGATTAGATCTAGTAGGCTTCATATTGACTGCATCGAAGAGCTTGAGAAGGGACACCTTCCGCTCGCGAAGAATTTGTTCATCAAGGGTCTCTTTCCCTTCCTCGTGCCAGGACGATTTTTCGGGATTACTACTAGAGGAATCTAGCCCAAGCATGAATAAAGATGATTGGAACGCCACTGGCAACATGTACACTTTCAGGCGAAGGATAACATTGTTTCCTGTCCTGAGAGGCTTTGGACAATCAATTACGGTCCCAGAGACGGACACAATTTTGAGATCCATAAGCTTTGATAACCATGAGGCTGTATTATTTGGAAGACGTCCGACTTCTACTCAATCACATCAGATTTTGGACATGATTAACCGTATGAACAAAACACGCTACACACCAACTTTCTTCGAGTTTAAGAATCGAACGATATTGTTCTCCTTGTTTGAGGCAAACCTTTTGTTTGGTGCCGACTTGGGCTTGGAAGCAAAAGCAAGCTTCATTTGCCCTCCTTTCCCTTTGCTGAGCCCATTCACACTCGATTTCGAAACTGATGATGCGGGAATGCGTGCATCAGCATCATCCCTCTGTATCCGGACAGAATCCCCATTGTTTAAGTATGGCGAGCCTTTCATGTCAGATGTCGTGGACCACCCCTCAACTATGAGGTCTCCTACGTAACCAGCAGTGAACTGGGAAGAAAACGCCCGTGGTGACCCACTGAAAGGCTTCGCTTCGGGTAATGCTGACGACGGATGGAGGGGATCTGTCGTAGACGCTGAAGCTTGAGGCTCGACACGTTTCAGGGGTGTAAGTTTGCGTTTCTTTGGTGGAGGGGGTGAAGGCGAAGCAGACGGTACCGTTGTGACTGAAGAATGGCGCTCTTGGAGTGGTGGGGATGGTCGGCCCTCTAAATTTGTGGCAACCCCGACCTGGTCCAAGCCCGCTTTCCTGCCGACCATCTCAGAGTCCCCAAATTGCTCGTCATCACCATCGGAGTCAATGAAAAGTTTCCTTCTCCCGACATCCTAAGGGAGGAGAATGGCACCAAATTGGGCAACGAAGCATGAACTTTGCATACCTTCGGAGATTCTTCGTCGCTCTCTTCGAAGAAGTTCCCCATAATCTAGATAGTATACGGCTGCCTGGCACCTTGCACGGCCTAAAGACTCTGGGGCGGAACAGACTTCCCGGTCTATGCCTCAGCGGTTCCGAAGCAGGACTCCAAGTCAAAGTGGGTGTGTCGGCAGTTCGCGTGAAACGCGCTCCCGACGCGCCATAGTTGCACATGTGAACCTTCGCTTCTCTCCGTGTGTACGTGCTGGATATGTGTTCGTTGCGTATACTACACAAGACTCGCATCCTGGGTTTCGTAGCCATTGCCCACCGCCAGCGTCACACCCATATGACAGCAGCGTGTGATCGACAGCCCCGAACACAACAGGATATGCACTCCTGCGCAATATCAAATGGTCATGTCGGACGCCTCTTGGGAGAATAACGAAAACTCAAGTTACGCAAGGACATGCACATGGTTGTTCGTTGATTGGCCACGATATAAAGGCAACACAAAATTTCCACGTGTAGCCGGATGAGATTTGGCGTAACGGAATCCATGAGCTGCAACCGACAGCATTCTGATTGTTGTCTACCCAATCGCCCCCAGACACACCCTTAATCACAAGAGACAGTATGCTTTGCATATGAAGTGTTACCGTACACCTCTTTTTGTTAATACACAGTCATCCCTGATAGATGCTTCTCTTGTTGAAGCTCTCTCGGACAGCCACGAGTTTCTTCTCCAAATCCAATGTCCTGTCATCAACAGGGCGATAGGTCCCCAAGACGACTTCAAGGCATGAAGCGAGCACAATGTAGGGATTGATTCCAGGTATACGAAACACCTTGTATTCCGGGTGTGGCGATGTCAATGCTTGCATGGTTACCATCTTGTAGACTGCTGGGTCGTCCACGAGGAGGAAGACTTCAAAATAGTCGGTTAACTGCATGTGACGGACGTCAGTGTCATCTCATGACGCCAATAAATCTGACTAACGCTGGAATGGATCCTGGGTGGGAATGGCTGGCCATTGGCTAATGCACTTTCACAAACGTGCCTGTCTTCTTGGTCGGACACAATCATGACGTCAAGATCCTTTTGGATGGGACAAAACCTCCATTTCCGCTCTGTGTACAACTGAGCATGGGGTAGGCACACTAGGTAAAGAGTGTAACAAAGGCAACAGTCTACAATTGATACCTCCTACGAACTCACAAGTTACAAGATTGGACTGGTCGTTTCGATCTATTTTCACAGTGAGCGAACGAGTCGCCTGCAACCAACTTATCTTAATTATAGAGGCATCAGCCCCAGTTGCTTTAAAGTAGGAATGTTAGCAACTCACTGATGCGTTGTCCCCTTCATTCGATTGCCATATCAAGCGTGTTACTTTGAGCGGCTGTTCCTCCGTGCCGACAGCTCCGCACAGCTTGCACGCGTTCTCGTCTCGGATCAGCACATCGGCAACATCGCTTGGATAGATGGACTTAAAGTCGGAGATCGACGCGTCTACACTAACAGGTATCGACGATCGTGCACTCAGGGCGCTGGCAGGGCGTGAGACACCCTCAATGGCAGATGCGGTGCGAAGAGGGGTTCGTGAACCGAGGAAACTAGCTACACGATCTCTGAATTGCATTGTTTCCATCGCGTTTGTTTCAGGAATGATGGGAGTGCGGGGCTCTTCATCATCAGCAATTGCAGGATGGCTACTCCATGTATCCATGGCGGACTGCACGGACGTCGTTGTGTTTAAAGCTAAGACACTTACAAAGTGAAATCGGTTTTCCCCGAAGAGGAGCGGATTATACGCGGGGCCAACAGGAGACAAAGCAATATACGCTTCCTAACATGTCTAATCTCGGGTAGTCGCGCGCGGTCGAGACAGGAAGCAGAAAGGCATCAATTCGGACGGAACAGCTGGAGACGTGTGCTAGATAAGCCTTCATTGCAGCCGATTGCAAGATTTGGTGCAGGATCGACGCCTCGGACGTTTGCTTTCAACAACTGAAGGTTGAATTGAATGAGTCACAAGGACCCCACGCAGTTTCGGGGTCCTACTGTTTCTATGCCCTGGGCCGTTGATTCCGGTGACGCACTGATAGCTGCCCTGCTCGATTCGCAACCCCCGTTAAGCGCTCTCCTCGAGTGCTGCGAGCCCTCACGATGGCTGAAGCGCACACAGGTGTTCATACACCGACCTATTTGCCGTATCCCGTGAAAATCATGAAACTCCTTGTTACCCCTGATACTGCAATTTCGCGCGGTACCGCTTTGTGCAACTATTCTTTCGAACACCTTCTCCCTCCAGAACGTCCGACTAAACCCGGCGGAAGTCCGCCTCCAAGAAAGAAAGAGACTCGCTATGAGACGTGGGAATCCCCTGTGGATGGGATCGTTCAACGTTGGCAAGTGCGACCCGGGGACATTATCACCACGGAAAGCGCGACGAAGAATCCGGCGATCATGATACTGTGCGTATCAGTATTTGTTCGCATTGGGAACACTCATAAGTATTGCATCACTTCCAGCGAAGAATGCACTCACAAAGTCCAGATTCATGGTTTATGCGCTATATGTGGGAAGGACATGACGAAGTACATATATTTCCTCTGTCCCTCAACTTAAGGCTGATAGGAATTCAACAACCTTCCAATATGGTAGCGTCGACTATCTGGGTTTCTCTGATGCGTCGCGTGCGTCCATCCGCATGACTCACGATGCTAACGGGCCAACCGTGTCAATGGAAGAAGCCCATCGCTACGACCAAGATACTTCCAGACGGCTACTAGGCGAAAAACGACTAAGTCTTATCGTTGACCTCGACCAGACGATTGTACATGCGACCGTCGATCCTACGGTGGGCGAATGGATTGAAGACTCTGCTCGGTATGAAGCCAAGAAAGCTGCTCAGCAGAATAAGGATCCCGAAACCTCGAGGAGCGCGACTCCACCCAACCCTGACCGAGAGAGTAGTCCGTTCGACGAAAACGATGTAAATCCCAACTGGGAAGCCCTAAAGGACGTCAAGAAGTTCAAACTTGGCGGCGAAGGCCAATTTCTTAGACTTGATCAACAGGGTGCTGACGATGGCACTTATTATTATATAAAGCCGCGGTCCGTTCTGCTTCCGTTTCCTCATCTTGTTGCGAACTAACAGGTGTTATAAAGACCTGGGCTTGTCGACTTCCTGGACCGTATGAAAACAAAGTACGAGATGCATGTGTATACTATGGGTACACGCGCATATGCATTGGAAGTATGCAAGGCGATAGATTTGGATGGAACTGTCTTTGGACAACGCGTGCTGACTCGTGATGAAAGTGGAAGTAAGTAATTCACAAACTGAGTGATCTCCGAACGCGGATTTAATTTATCCGGGCAAGGCATGACCGCTAAGAATCTCGCTCGCTTATTCCCAAGTGATCAGAGCATGGTTGTAATCATCGACGATCGAGCGGACGTCTGGTCCGACGTTCCCAACCTCGTCAAAGTAGTCCCCTGTGGGTGGATCCGTTTGTTTGTGATCCAGGGAGCACTTCTCATTGGATGGTTTTCAAATTAGATGACTTCTTCGTTGGCATCGGTGATATTAACTCCGCCCACCTTCCTAAGCTATCAGACCCCATCACTTCTCTCCCTCCAACACTCCCCAACTCGCGCGTATTGTCCAACACGCCTCCAGCCACCATTTCCAATCCCTTAGCCTCACCGACACCACTTCCCGAAGAGAGCCTATCGGAGCTAACACAATCATCACCTGTTACACCAATCGTCGAAGATGAGGCCATCGCCAAAGAGGGTGCTGAAGCTAAGCTCCTATCTGCAGCACAAACTAAAGCGATTGAAGCCGTTGTCGAGCAGCGTCCGTTGGCAAAGATGCAAGAGAAGCTGGATAAGGACGCAGTCGCGGAAGCGGAGGCTGAAGCGAAAGCCGGAGTCAAATCTACTGAGGAGAGGGGCAATTCTGAGAAGTCCGAGGAACTTGCCCCGAAGTCGGATGGCTCAGGTGGAACGATGAATGGGCATGGCGAGGAGTCTGAGACTAAGTCCAAAATAAAGATAAAGCACCAAATGCTCCTGCATAATAATGATTTCGAGTTAACCCGCATTGAAGCCGTGAGTGCAGCAATCCCTGCCATTTCGCAACTAAACTGACTCTTTGGGTAAAGATTTTGACTGAAGTGCATCGTCGATTTTACGATGCATATGCGAATCCGGCTAATGGCCGTCCAACACCAAATCATCTCGATGTTAGGGTGGGTGTCTCCTGGATCATGAGGATATCCCCGTACACACACTTTCTACTAGACTTTTATCCAAGCAATCAAAGCACAAGCATTCGCGAGTTTGCATTTCACTTTCTCTAATGTTTTCCCTATAAATATTGATGCCACGGGGTAAGTTTTTCGTATATTACCAACGATTGCTTGAGGTCATGATTCGTGTGAAGTAATCCAATATGGCGGCAAGCAGAGCAATTTGGGGCGACTTGTCACACTACATGGAATGAATCAGTTACTCACGTTATAGCTCTCAAGGTGGGTTCCTTTGGTTTTTGGGTTGATATACCCTGATTTTATGTGACCCAGTTACACTCGGAGAAGACGGACCGTGGTCAAAGGAAAGCTGGCGTTTTTGTCGTCCATCCGCAATGGCTTTGGGATAGTGTCACTCAATGGCGCAGAGTACCTGAGGCACCTTATGAGCAGATGCTTCTACTGATGGATGCTACCTCCCGAAACACCACTCCTACATCTCGCGCGCAATCACAATGGGAATCGCCGCTGCGGGGCCGTCCACGTCAGCCATACCAACCGAACAACCTGAGGCGGGTCCTTCGACAGTTCCATCTGATGTTCCACTAGTGAACTGGAAGAAGAGGAAGGTGTTGACGAAGTTTTCCTTTCAAATAATCTTCAGCTGGGAGGCACTGTCGATTGGGCGGAGGTTGACAGGGAAGTTGACGAATTCTTGAACGAGTCTGATGATGACGACATAGGGGAATACGAAGGGCAAAGCGATGCGAGCATACGCAGCTCACCCAGGTTCGTTATCGGGTATCGTATCAATAAGATAATTTGTTCATCTTTCTTGATTTAGCACGGCATCACGGCGAAGGGGTACGCGGAAGCGACCACGGAGTGGAAGTACATCATCGAATGAGAGTAAGGGACAGACTGAAATGTCACCTTTAGCCAAGAGGCTGAAGCTGTCTCAAGGACGTAGAGGTAAATCAGGTCTGAAGATCGAGCTGCTCAGCGCCAGACAAAGCGAAAATGAGCATCAAGATGACGCATCATCCTCTTCGAGCTCTAGTGACGACGACAACCGCGGTATTGGACTGCAATCACATACGAACCATGAAGCCGAGGATGAAGCATACGACATGGAGGACGCTTATTATGATGATTCTGACTCAAGTTCTGATTCTGAAGAGGATGACTTTCTTGCAAGAGATTTCGATGCCGGTGGCTCCTGGGGCTGATTACCGACCCTAATTTTCGGGCGAAGACGGTTATTTATTCTCTTATCTAGCCGCAGTGCAACTATCCACTCGTAACTTTAATGACTAAATATCATCTTGTACACTAGCTATCCTCATTGTAGCACCAGTTGCTCGTCACCTTTCTTCGCTATTGTAGACCATCAATATGATCCACTAGTCCTCTGCTTTCATGTCGTATTCTTCGTGGATTTGCCCACAGTGACACCTTTGACGGCTGCGAGCTAGACAGAAATCATTGGCTTGAATCAACAACGTTTTAGGCTGATAACAAACCCTTCCGAAAAGAATCTTCCTTTCTGCGTCAGCCGGGTGACGGTTACGAGCTACAAACTCTTCTTACCTGGCAGCTATCCTGCTTAGTTTCATTGAAAAGACAGTCAGATCGAAAAATGATTATCTTCGCATTACTTTAGCTTCGTTATACTGATGTAACATGTGGTGATGCCTGTTGACGCGCTTTTCTGCCACCTCAAAAGTTCTAGAATCACCAATCCTTAGGCCATGGGTGAGAATCGTTATATATCACATATACTACCCTTCGGATTCCTCCAGCTCTCTTATTTCTTCTTCAAGAGCGGCGATTTTCTCAGAAGTGGACACCGTCCCTGTGGGCTTTGACATGATAGACTTGTCGCGATGTTGCTGGATGTTGACACCGGGCACAATCGATTCCTAAATACAGCCGTCGACCACAACAAACACCTGCAACGATTCGAAAGCTCAGGATAAGTGCATTATCTCGTCGTGGATTCCGACACTGGAACTTATATGGAAAATGTGGCAAGCAGTAAGACGAGTCCATTGTTTGCGTCCATTTCTTTTACCACATCAATTCTAGCTAGCACACATGGGACCACGCCCAAGAAGCGTTCGAAATGGGAGCAAAACGATGACGAAGAAATAGAGAATACCCTCAAAGTTATACCGAAAAAGAAAAAGAGGAAAGCTAAAGCGGCTTCAGACGACTCTCCGCAGTCAATCCGTGACTCCACTCAATCACCCTTAGCTCGACATGTGTCTCCTCAACCACGAGATCCACCTCGACGGAGCGTATTTGTTCCACCCCGCTCTGCGTACCCAGCATTTTCTCCCTGTCGATCAGTTTACTGCTACGAACGCTTGAACCACATTGAAGAAGGCTCTTATGGTGTGGTATTCCGAGCACGAGAAAAGGAGACAGGCGATATCGTTGCGATCAAAAAGTTAAAACTCGATGAAGAGAAGAATGGGTTCCCTATCACTAGCCTTCGAGAGATAATGGCTCTCATGGTGTGTAAGCATGAGAATGTGGTAGGAATACGAGAAATAGTGGTCGGGGATACATTAACTCAGTGAGTTTCACATGCGGACAGCAGTGCACGCTGCAACTGAACTACCCCTAGAGTTTTCATCGTCATGGACTTCATTGAACATGACCTGAAATCATTACTTTCCGTGATGCCAACCCCATTTTTACAATCTGAGACCAAAACACTACTTCTGCAACTTTTGTCAGCTGTGGCTCATTGTCATTCAAATTGGGTTTTGCACCGTGACTTGAAAACCAGCAATCTTCTGATGAATAACCGTGGCTCTATCAAGGTCGCTGACTTCGGGCTAGCACGTCAGTTTGGTGATCCGCTAGGGGGCATGACCCAACTTGTGGTCACATTGTGGTACCGGTGCGTACTATTCTTTTCCACTTTATTGTCTCCGAGCTTAAGTCCTGCAGGGCACCTGAACTATTGTTGGGTGAAACATCCTATTCTACAGCGATTGACATGTGGTCCGTTGGATGCATCTTTGGCGAACTGGTTCTCAAAGAGCCAGTATTCCAGGCCAAAGGGGAACTGGAGATGCTGGGAATGGTACTGCATGTCATCTCTTGAGCGATTGATCCGTTTCCCACGAGGTCATTCAGATTTTCAAGCTACTGGGGAGCCCGAGTGAGGACATCTGGCCTGGGTTCTCAAATTTGCCTCTAACGAAAACGCTCACCATCCCTCACACGTGAGTCAGAGGGAGTAGACTCGACGGACAAGACAAACAATTTATAACAATTCTCTAGTAGGCCCACCCTTCGTACCAAGTTTAGGTTCTTAACGGAAGCTGGACTTGACCTGATGTCAAAACTGTTGACATATGATCCAGAGCAGCGAATCAGCGCAGAAGAAGCAATGAAGCATCATTACTTCGGGTCAGTTCTACTAGCACACTTGTATCTTTTCGAACCTGGATAATGAATTATACACTTCAGCGAATCACCGCTTCCCAAGCACCCTGATCTATTTGGGTCGTTTCCGTCGGTGGCAGCGGGTGACAAGTCAGTAGAATCAACGTGCCATCCCGTTCACTACGTGCTGATCTGACTTCGTAACCATAGAAAACGTATTGTCAGCCCGTCTGCACCTCAGCGTGTGGCTGATTATAAACTGCTCATGGACTTTGATGTCGATGACGTGGATGCATGAGCATGATGGGTGAGATGTTCCGTTCAATAGGCCATGACAACTGTAATCGATTGCAGTGTTTGGTCGGTCAAACGCCGCCATCATGAAGTCTCGAAGCCGAGGCGTTCTCTCGAGGGATGCAGAACTTCCCACTGGCAAAGTCTGTTAAGCAGAAAGGCTATTTCCGTTCTTGGCACCGTTTGTCCGAGTGCGATCAACTTTTGTTTGTGGAAAACATATGTGGTTCACTAAATAATGAGCGAATAAAATAGCTATGAGTATTGCGTTTGCCCCGTCGAGATCTTGAAGTTGCGGCAGCCGTGCCTGGACGGCAACAACCGTCAACCAGCAAAGTTTAAGTTGGACCTTGGAAGCCGAAATTTGAAATACTATTCCATCTTTCCTCAGCTCACGATTTGCTACTGTCTCTACGGTGATACTTCTTCCCTCTTTTCCACCCTTGTCATTCTCCAATCTTCAGGAGTAACAGATGCACTGCGAACGTTGTTTATCTTAATCCAATTGTCGGTGAGCAGGATCTCCATATTGCTGGGCAACTCAACCCTAAATGGAGTAATAGTTCGTGAACTTGATTGACCTCGTTTGTTCCTTCTGCATCGACATCATCACCTGGAATGTCCCTGGCTATTCTGTCTCGGGAAAATTCAACAGGAATCTCCTTAACGTCATCCGGATCCACTCGCTCAGGAACTAGCATCAGGAAGATGGCCCTCTCCTCTCATGAGGAGAACGGTCAGATACCAGATTCATCCGAAGAGTCTACCTTGGAACAGAGTCATAAGCCCGCTCGACGTTACCCCGCGACCCTCTCCTCAACGCCCCTACCTCCACACCGTCTCGCAAAAATTGCCAGCTCTTTTGGTGTCCATGTTCCAATCCCCCACTCTGCACCCGAAACGACATTTGGCACACGCCGCTCGTACAGTTCTTCCTCGTATAGCAGGCATCACCATCGAACAACTACAGCGACACGGCTACTACTTCACGTCATCCCCCCCGAGACTTTGCCTCCATCTGAGTCCAGGTGTTTGTCAGGAATCAGAGCCAATGCTCGACGCGGTAGCCTGCTTCCTCTACACACGACACTAAAGGGCCAGCTTGAGGCTATCAAGCGTGAATACAACTTCCCATCAATTGCTGGACTTGTAGTTTACCTGTTGGACATTCAGGATGAGGACAGCACTACGACAGGGTTTATTGGGCCCAAAATTAGCGAGGAGGCGTGGAAGCTTCTGTGGTATCGTGCACTAGCCATGGATCGCACTGACACAAAGCGCGCCTTCCTTTCACCTCCACCTCTTCCATCCACCTCCCCACCCTCCCCAATGTCTGCCGAAGATGCATCTGAAACTGACTCTCAGAGTCACGAGCCGGCCACTACCGATCCTTTTAAGAGTGCAGCGCAGAGGAAATTGCGGTCACTTCACACTGCACAAGGGATCCGAACCTCACCCTCCACTACCACACTGTCAAGTACCAACTCTAATGAATCGCATACATTTTGTCTCCCTCATCACCCCGGCATGTCACAGCGATCATTGTCCCTGAATTCAGACTCATCATCAATCACTTCTGCTCGCACGCTCCCGTCAAGCACCGTAGTGGGGAAAATTGAGTTTGACATCGACCTGGATAAAGGCCGCTGGTATGAGCAATGGGCCAGAAGGAAGAGCGGTGGAGCAACATCCGCTCCGCCAACCAATCGTTCGTTGTTATCCCCGGCTATCGTTGCACAGAAGGAACAGGAGCGACAGCAGTTCCGCAGAGGTCCGCTTGACGTCCCCACTACTCCAATCACTCCAATTACGCCTATTACGTTGAATGACGATGTTGGTGATGCAACATATACTCAGCTCGCCGATTCCAATGACGGGGCGGGTGATGATGATGGCATTGGCACCGCAGACACGACAGCTAGAGCTGAGGACCCCGAAACTGTGCTTGAGTTGAGGGACGAAGATGTGTGGCGCGAACTCCACGCTAGCGATTCTCTCTTGACAAAGTCGAAAGCAAATCCCCACACACAGTTCAACGCAATGTTGGAAGGCACCATCCCAGAAAGTGATCCCATTGGCGTTTATAGCGCGACTAGGGATCTTGAAGAAGTTCTAGCAAAATGGAATGAGCGGCGAAGTACGATGGGCACGACAAGTGCAACAGCGTCCCCTCCACCATTGGACTCCCCAATCGTTCTCCGAGGTGAAGAAGTAAAATCATCCTCTGTTATCTTCCCACGTCCAAAGCCAAGATCCATACCGCCTCCTTTGCCCCTTGACAATGACGATAAACCGTCAGTGGAGGTTTCTCACGCCTCGCCTACTTCAACATCACCATCATTCAACCTCCTGGAAGGTGCTCCGTTCACCAATGGAGTACTCAGCGAGGAGGCAAATGAGAACGACAGTGGCAGCGAATACTCGAACAACAGCCAGGTTCTGTTTCGGCAGCAGCTTGATCGTATTGAACAGGTACATAGCGAATCCTTAACACAGCAATTCGTGGCTCACAAATGCACCCTTACAGCATCTTGCTCAAGTATCGCCCCGAAAGCTTCCGGATGGAGTTACGATGCCGATTGCGGAGGCGATCTCTCCGGGACCAAGCCCTCGGGAACTTTTGGAGATGGTACAAAACAGTCCACGATCACCCCTTCCTGGTACACCAGGGTTTCTGTCGAAGGGTTTTTCCAGGCCAACGCCTGGGCAGCCACTGATGTATGTACCATGGTTTGAACGTTTTTGGTGCCCTCTGAACGCAGCTCTGCAGTAGTACTGCCGCTTCGTCACCTATCGTAAAAAGGAGGCCCTCGGGAAATACACAGTGGCCTGCTGTTCCCTTCGAACATGTGGCGAATGAAATGCGACTTAACAGGACTGAACCTCCTGTTTCCCCTTCCTTCTCTTCCCCTTCATCCACCCAGCGACGCTCAAATGCTACGACGGTAACCATCGAGTCATCTGAAGAGAAGCGAAGAACCCAACTGTCGGTGGACGAGGACAGCGGCCCCTCTCGTATTTCGGGTTCCTCATTTACCTCCATTAACAACAGGCCCGCAACCCCGGCAGTGCTCGAGCCTCCTCCAAGAACATTCTCTTTACCACAACCATCGAGCAGGTTCTCGGCCGAATCTTCTGTTTCCGGAGAAGCTGAGCAAGAAGCCAGTACATCTACGGGTGGCTCAAGAGTCTCAGTCAAGGGCTTCGCCAAGCTCTTCCGTAATCGCAGCAAATCTCGCGACAGCGGGTTACGACAATCGATCGATATGCCACTGCCTCCGGTTCCTGTTCCCAGTAAAGTGCCACCACTTCCTTCGATTGCGCGCACCCCCTCGAATGCTCAGCCGCCAACGCGCCCTCCAAGGCCTGCGGGTCATCTGCGGCTGGATTCAGGATCCGATCCCTTCCATTTCGATCAGCCCAGTATTCGGTCTGCCATCGCCGTGTCCCCTTCAGACCCCTCCAATTCTGGCACGACATCCGGAGCCGACAGGTCATCGACAAGTTTAAAGAAACGTGGTATCCTGAAAGGATGGGGAAGTTCGTCCAAATCTTCAACCGCGAAGACACTCGCAAATCTCACTGAACGTGCCCCTGCCCATTCCCGTAATGAATCCACAACTTCGCTGTCGGGGCGTGGCTTAAAGGCAACACAAAGAGCTGAGAGTTGGATTTCTGTCTCAGGCGATGTTGCCGTTATCTCGCCTCCCGGCATGTCATCCGAATCTCTTGGCGGCTCTTCATCTGGGCATACACCAGCATTAGCCTCCGTCGATGACAATCATGCGGCCAGCTTGGTGGGAGTTGGAGCAAAGCGGGGGCGTCCGACTCTGAATCCTCTGAAGCCTACAGTATCTTCCGCTTCGGCTGAAGCCTCGGGAGGACCGCGATCAAGTATGGAGGATGCTCCGACCCCACGCACGTCACGGTTCGATATCGTTGCACCTACGCCGAGGCAGGAAGCCTCACGAATATGACTTTAACGCACATGCTCGCTGTCTGCTGTCTGATATTGTCCCTGTATCAATTTCATGCTTTCACCCTTATAATTAAAGTAGCCTCATTCCAAATGAGGTGTCCGCCCTGCGTATTTCGACTGCGTCACATAAATTTTCTTTTGCATTTTCATAATCTGTTGTGCTTTACATCCGTATTTTTAGTTTAGAAACCAGTTTTTCTGGATCTCGTCAAATTTCTCTTGCCATGGCTTCTCATGAAAAACCAAACCTTTCCAACACCCAAACCACCCACGTCCCCGACAACAGCGGAGGCAGGCAATGACTAATTGGCGGAAACCTCCAAGTGACGCGATCCGAACGCGAGTGACCAAAAGTTGGCAAACCTGACGCGAAGGTATGTACAAAACAGAAATGGGTAACGGGCTTGCATTAATTAACAAGGGAATACCTGTATGGATGTAAAGTGCATATGCGAACGCGAAACATTCAGGAAACAACATAGATCCGTACAAAACACAGTGAAGTCAATAGTCCGAATGTTCGACCACAAGTGATTATTCTATTATGCGGAAGGCTCTACTTCCTTTGGCCATATCCAGGCTTCTACAGCTGCGATTTGTTCTTCAGGGGTAGGTGGAAGCCTAGATGAAAGTACGATGAACATGGTGATCTGTCAGTTCGAGCTGGAACACCTACTCGAATTTGACCTTCCAGAGGCCGTCTCGTAATTCGAAGAATCTGGGCACGAATTTTTCGTTCTTCTCCTCTCTCCGCCTTGCTAGTTCGCGTTGAGCATCTTCAACGGAGACCTTCGCACCCGTTGCGGCATCCATATTCTTTTCTCCAATGGCCTTCGTAAGCTTAGACCATTGTCTAATGGAAATGCTCAGGGTTTGAATTTAGTCCCATAGAGAATCAAGATGCTTTTGGTTACCTTTGAGACTCATTTGGTTCTTGCTCTTCTTCAGAGGAAATAATCATTCTCGGAAGGTCCTTTCCCTCAGCAACAACATCAAATAATGTCCGAGTGTTTCCCTCCTTCGAAATCGTTGGATGTTGGAACTACGAAATAAGCATGGACTTACCCGGGCTGACTTAAATTGCATACTCTGACTCCATGTTCCACTGACTTCTCCCACTTCGAAGCCATCATCCTTTTTGACTTTGCCACTTACAGCATTGTATGTCCCTGAGAACATGCCCTTGACCCCGTCTCAAACAGGCGAAACCAACGAGTGGAGGCCGATATCACACACCTTGGTCTTGAAGTTGATTTCACAAGATAGGCCAGTGTTCTTGCATCGTGCAACACTCGTATCACCGAGCTCAAGCACCATCTTCCCGAACAGTATGCCTGTGTGCGCTCGTCATGAAGAACATAAACGAAGAACGATATAACCCATGTCATACCTCGAGCGTACATGTTGGGCATGGAAATCACATACTCTAGAGGGTTATCAGAAAGCGGCCTAATCAGTTCATTGTGCCTTACCGCCGTCCTCGGGTTTGCCCAGGAAAACTACCCGATTTTCCCCTTCCATAATTGTTGACACACTATTTCCAAGAAACCTTGATTTCGGTCTAAGCTCTCCAGCGATGACGAGCCTGTTAGCAGGGGACACATAGAAGTACGCAGATATCGGTGGATGATGTGATACTTTGTTATAGAAACAAATTAATGATTCCTAACCTGATCACCGATAATTCACAATACCTTGCTCAGCAATATAGAATCCTTTCGACCCGTCCTTGTATTCGAAGCGACAACGAAAGAACTCTCCAAGTGTTGGATTATACCTATTTACCCAAAAGTGGTTAATTAATTTCGGCAACATGTGGTAGAAAGGCTGCTTTGGTTACTCACGGTTTCTTGACTCCCCGGGGTTTTCTGTGCCACCCGGACATATAATATCGGAGGACTCTCAAAAACCGTTCCTCTGGGTCCGCTTCGTTCTCAGCTCTGGAAGAAGGAAATGAATGCCGTCAAGGTTACATGTGTGTGGGTATTGAGGTCAACTAGCCCCATTACCCAAAGATTAGATCTGGGTGACTCATGAAGTCCGTGATGCGTTGTAGCATGCTGCGCGGCTCCAGAACGAATGTTGGGAAAGCGACCTGTTGAGTGTTTATAGGCCATGATGCTTTACGGCTCGAACAACAGACAAACCTTTGATAGATCCATGCCGATTCTAGGAATGCAGCGTGTTTCGTCGATCTCGAGCCGAACGCGATGATCGGTGACGCACACTCACCGTAGTTGGGATATCAGCGACATGATGATAGAGCCTTCATTCTCATCCCTGAGGTTGGACATAGCGTCAAATTCTCGGTCTGACTCGCAGAACACAATGGCAAGGGATTGAAGCGTGAATGTATAGAATCTCACAGTATTTCAGTTTCGCTTGCCGCTGACCCTTCCAATGCTCGATCTTCCTCCCTTGGAGACGAACTACCGCGATTACGGCGATGACCATTCCCCGATAGCATATTCATAAAGCCCGACATTGTGAAATATTGGCGGGCACTGTAGATGATGGCGTCAGGAGATTGAATTTGGGACAAATGCGGGTCACGCGATGCATTTCCAGCGCGTCTAATCTACAAAAACAACGTAGGGGCTGTTCAGTGAACCGGTGCAATACAACTCCTTTGTCCCTGGCTATGGCCTTGTCTTGATATTGGATATAATGAGCTTCTTGTACTCTTCCACATCCCCATAATATTTTTTCACAGTGTCGTCAGCACAAACCCAGAGCTGCAAAGGTAAAACTAGTCAATGAGTGATCACATCGCTTGCTCGGCGCAGTGCTTACTTCTGACGCAACCCTCGTGATGAAGCGTTCGTCGTGAGAAATAAGAATGACGCCTCCATTCCACGTTCCCAACGCATGCATCAATGCATCCAGACCCTGCCGGACGGAGGGTAAATAAGTTTTACAGATACCAGCTAAGATTCTCCGTACCTCCATGTCAAGGTGATTGGTAGGCTATATAAGGCGACTTGAGCGTTTGTCGTCATTCACGAAGCGATCATTGCTCACCTCATCGAGCAACAAGATGTGAGGTCTGTGAAGAGATAATACCGCGAATGCGACACGACTCTTTTGGCCTCCGGAGAGCGTCTCTATTGATTGTAATCTATGCGAATTCATGAGTAGTCGAGCAACAAAGATTTCCAGTGCAATTCATTACCCAGTCAAGCCTGAAATGCCGAAAGCGCCAAGATGTGCTCGGTACTCTTGTTCGTTTCTGCCTGGAAACCTCTGAGCCAAGTAGGAAACAGCAGACATTGCCGATGGGAGCGTGTCAACATGGTGTTGGGCAAAGTAAGCTCTGGCATAATCGTATGACCACCTGTTTACAATGTCCAGATGCGGGCTTATTGCACTTACATCCGAAGGCGCCCATTTCGTATTTGGTCCCCCGACAGCGGTTTCAACTCTCCAGTGAGCAACTTGATCCTAAGAGGCAAATCAGTAAGTCAAGTTATCAAATCACCCAAGAACTTACAGAGTACTTTTCCCGCTGCCGTTAGAGCCAACAACAGCAATGCGAGACTCCAGGCCTACATCAATACTGACGTTTCTGAGGATAATCCTGTCAAGGGTATATCCAAACGTGACCTCGCTAAGTTGTAGAAGAGGTGGAGATATCTTATCTGTCTCCGGAAATCTAGAAATACAGCGTCATGACAAAACCCGTGGTCGACGCTGGTAGCTGGCATACTTGAACTTCTCCGTTTCGTCCTCCTCCGGAGGCTCGAGCTCAGGAAGCTTCTCAAGGATTTTTATCTTGCTTTGTGCCTGAGCGGCACGATTCGCATTATAACGCCATCGATCAATAAAGGCTTGCAAGTGGGCACGGTATTCCATTTGAGCATGATACTCCTTCCGCTGATTCCGCTCGCGCTCCGTCTTCGTTGCCTGTGTAGGAAACCATGAGCCGTCACAAATAAGTGTCACGAGGCCTGAGAATACTCGCATAAAATTGAGCGAAATTCCCCTTGTAGTAATCCAACCGTTTGTTGTGTTGATGCACAATGTCTGTGGCCACAGCATCAAGGAAGGCACGGTCATGGGACACAACAAGAATCGTCCCGGCCAGGTTTGCAAGTAGTCTTGTAGAAAACCTGGAAAGATAAGTATAGAAGAATTGGACTAAAGGAAATAAACTCATCTAACCAAGCAAGGGCATTTAGACTTTCAAAATATCAGCAAAACACTAGAGCTGAAAGTGACTAGTACTCACTCAATGTGGTTAGACGGCTCATCTAACCATTATGAAATGAGGCGAATATATGGCTACTGTGACGTATCGCACGCACCAAGCATCAGCAAGTCCGGCTTGACAAAAAGGGCTCGTGCCAGTGCTAATCGCATTCGCCAACCACCAGAAAATGTCTTGGTCAATCGATGCTGATCTTCTTCGGCAAATCCAAGTCCTATAACCACCGTCAGTTAAATGTGTCCAGCACAATCCAAACGCTCGAACACACCGGCCAGCAACTGCGCAGCCCGAGCTGGTCCCGTTTCCGCCTCCATGTCAGCTAAACTCGCATGCACTTCAACCAGCCGACTCTCAGCCTCTTCTCTTGCCGCCTCGGCGGCTCCATCAGATGGGTCGCTGGTCTCCAACTTCGCCAACTTGGCATTAAGATCTCGTTCCTCGGTCATCAATCTGTCTCGCCAGACATCTGCTTTGAGAACCGACTCAATGGCAGGAGTATCATCCCCAACTATCTATGTGCATGTCACCATCCGCGTCCAAAAATGGTCAAAAATTATATTGACTCACCTCTTGTTCGACAAATAATATAGAGATGTTGGAAGGAACGGGTAGCTCCCGCAATGCTATATGCCGTAAAAGTGTACTTTTGCCTGACCAACAGTCAGGGATGATAGAGTATACGAAGATACATGCCACTGACCAATACCATTCCGTCCAATAAGGCCATAACGACGTCCGTACGCGAGAGTTAAAGAGGCACCAGATCTAAGGGAAACCATGTCAATTATAACATCGAATCTCATCTCTCGAGCGACTTGCAAAATTCGATGTGACCCAAAACTGACATCAATGTTTTGCAAATGAATGTCCTTGCTCTTTCCTTTGCTCGATGTGCGAGCTTCAAGTGGATTGATCTGCGCAGTTCAACCCATTCAAAAAATCTGATAGCACCATCAATCTGCGTTTTACCTTCAGGAACATATCCTCGTACGTTTGCTGTGAATCAACTTCAATTCCACCAACCGGACGTGGAAGCACCAATCACGAACCTGTTTCTTTTGCATATCGAGGAGTTTTGATCCTTCATACAGATCACGACGAGCACGCTTCTCAATCTTCGCCTAATCATTCGCCAATTTGTCGACAGTGACTCTTGAATGTGTGAGTGGCTAAAAAGCTTGCAAACCGACCTTAAGTTTAGCCTCAGCCTTTTCCAATTTTTTATGTCTACTTGCGAAGCCCTATGATGGCCGCTGAACGGAAATGCTCGAGGCGATTTTATGACCATGCTATACTTACTTGCCCTTAGTGATAGACGACAGATCCACACCCTCAGAAAACCCAATGGTTTTCGATATTGCGCCTGTTTGGCTCATATCGATAACATTATCCAAGCGTGTAAGTGCAGGCCTCTGAAGCTTCGAGTGTAGTTCTTCCCGCTTATTCGACTCCTCAGTCAATCTTGAGATTAGCTTGTTGATCTCGGCGTCGTATCCTCGAACCGCAGATCGCAGCAACTCCTTCGTCACTTTGAGAACATCTGCAGAATCCTCGTCCGGGTCATCCCAGAGCCCACCAAGATACTGGACGATGACCTCGTCAATTGTGTCCGGAGGAAAGGCATCTCGTATCTCGAAAGCAATTTCGGACATTTGAGATACAGAAGTTTACGTAAGTCAAATAAGGATGCGCCAGGCGCTTCCACAATCATATTCACAAAGTGTTATTTAGTGAGTGGTACTTCGTTATGAGATGATAAAGTGATAATGGTATGCGGAGACCAAGAAATCGGAATGGCATCAATGAGCGGCGAGTTAAGTCAGAATTAGAAGAAGGATAATGATGAGCGAGAGACCAAGAAATAACAGAAGGAGGCATTCAGGTAGACCCAGGCATTGGTAAGAAATAGGGAAATGGGTACACTTTGCTTAAAAGTCGGACATGCTGCCCTGAGCAGCAAGACGACTTTCCAAATTCCTGCGAGGTGATGGAGAATCGGTTAGCATAGTGCAAGCACGGGCGTTGGTGAAGGACGGACCTGAGTGCCTCTTCTTTTGCGACGAGCTCCTGGCGTTTCTCGCTGATTTCCCGCTGAACCCTGAGCTCGATCTCGCGGAGCTAGGGTAATACACCATGTAAGACGTCAGGAATGCAAGTAGTGAGAGTTAACGAACTTTCTCTTCTTCCCTGCGCAACTGTTCTTCCTTGAGGCGAACTGACTGTGTAGCAAGTTCATCAGGTAAAATTGACGAATCGCTATTGAAGTGTGTCAGCAAAAAACAGACACAAAGCCCTTGGAGGTCGACTAACTTCTCGGTAGGATGCATTGTTCTTGAGAGTTTCTCAGTACGGTATGTTTCGTAGAGGACGTCATCAGTCAACGACTACAGAGGACCCACTGTGAGTGGAGATATCGACCGAGCCTTGTTCAGACGGACCTTGAGATCAGCCAAGTGTGAGCTGTGTTAATGAAAGTGTGGTCATTTTCGGCTCTTGCTGATTTAAACAAGACATGTACATACTTCAGCAATGCACTCCTCAATCTGCCGAAATCGGAGTGCTTCAAGTTGTCGACCTCGACAATACCCCAAGGATACATGCGAGCCCTCACAAGCTGGCCCCCAATGTCAATCTCATCTTCAGAACCCACAATAGCGAAAGGAAGTAGGCTCTTAGGGTAAAGATGAGTGTAATGCTCATGAAGACGTCTGTATTGACTCACTCGCAATTCGCCGTTCTCCGCAATAGTATCTTCATCATCTTCCTCGACGTCATAGGGGAAATTGTAGACCGGGATGCCATAGTGCTCAATGTCCTCCATGACCTGTCGCCAAATCAGCCAGCAAGCAGGCAGCCAATCCACCAAGACATACACGCTTCTTGAACCCTCGCAACTCACTTGGTGTCATGGAATCTGCCTTTCCAATGACCGGGATGACATTGACACGTGGAGAAAGACGCTTCATCAGTTCAATATCCATTTCACGAAGACTAGGTTCTAGCGCTCAGAACTGGAGGTTCAGGACATAGGCATAACAAGTTACGTACGCATGTCCAGTAGGGGGTATGAAGTAAAGCAAAGCATGAACCCTGTTGTCACGGAACCGGGGGTTGCGCTTAATACGGGATTGCTCGGCGAGAATGTCATCATATTGGCGTTCAAGGTAGCCAACTATCTCCTGGAACCTAAATCCAAGAAATTGATTTCTGTGAGAGCTGGATCAAAAGAACACTTACGCAGATTCGTTGTCAATGTTATCCCCGAAACCCGGAGTGTCAACAATTGTGAGCGCGATTCGGACGCCATCCTCCTCAAGTTCTAGCAAGGCGGATCGTTGCGTGAGTGTACAGTGGTACGATGAACCTATACGTAATGACGAACACGCACCAACATTAATGGGTTTGATCTTGATGCCCTCCTCGATATGAGCAGACTCCGGATTATCCGAAATCTTATGGCTCAACACTTCAGATTCGCAAAGGGTGTTGACGAACGTTGTGCGTCCAGTTCCAGAAGCACCTTGAGCACCCAAATTAGGTTCAAGATGTGAGCAACACACATACAGACACCTGCAGAGCGCGAGAAGACGCTCACCGACAACCATGAGTGTGAACTGCACTCCCTTCTTCGCATTTTTGCGTCCTCCGCGTCGCGTGGCCATCTTTGGAGGTGAAGAAACTTTTTCGAGTTGATTTGGGATTCAAACTCAAACTGAATTGAAGACCCTTCAGTCAACTGAATTTCCAAAGGGGGCAACACGAGCAAATATATTTGGTTAACCAGTCGCCAACCCAACCGCCTTCGATCATCTCCTCGCAGTAATATATGTACAGAGAAAAGGGGGGGATTACAGTGTTAACCATAATAAACCTCTACGAGGGATTCCACCCTAAAACAACCGCGCCAGATATGCCGAGAACTACCCCGGGGTTTGCTCAAGGGTGTCAAAATAACGCGGGGTGGGATCCCCACGTCGGGTAGCGGTCGTAAAAAGAATCGGGATGGACAAAAGACGAGCCAGCCCGCATCACAGGCTCAGCAAATATCACAACCAGGCGCAAGCGAGATCTGTACTATGGCGTGCTGTACGGTTGTATATGGAAATGAACACCGGTGATACTAATCGAACTTACTCTTATCAAGAGCGGGGAATATGAACCCGGTAGAAGCGCCTTGCTTTCAGTTGGAACTCTCCGTGCAACATTCTCCCATAGCCAACTCCGGGCCCAGGCATTTTCCATACTAGGCCTTGCAGTGTCGGTCGTATATCCTCCCGGTTCGAAGTCAGGCCCAGGGGGCAGGCGATCAAACCTGTACGACTGAAGATTAGGTCGGACGATGAAGTTTCGACCTAGTCCGGGACATTCATGACTCGGACGGCCAGGCTGCCAGAAGCCGACCGCTGCAGATGCGATAACCGGACGACGTGAACACAAACTTGTCGTCAATCCCCAAGGACCCTCTCTTAATGACCGCCGAAAGTGTATAGTTGATTGTATGCATAATGTCTTTATTGACGAAGCCGGGGTAGATCATACTCAGCAAATCCCCTCGGAGCTTTTGCGCCGCGATAAGTTTGAAGGGATCCGGAATTCGAAGGGAAAGACATGGGACTCGGGCGGGAAAAGCTCAATCAGCGGAAACGCCTTGGAAGATTTATACCAGAAAATATCCCGTTGCAAGGATGCACCCCCTCCGCGTCCGCGCACCCAGCCCAGGAAACCTTGCTCCTGAGAACGGACCTGAGGTTCAAGAAAGCAGACGGGGCAAACCCATACTGTGACGATAACTGTTTCGGCGCCTGTTTCGACTTGCGCTCCGGAGAGTGGGCATATGAGTCAAACTCTAACTTGAAGCCACCATCGTTGTATTCGTGGTGCGTGGATCGAGGCTGCGTCTCAGGCGCTGGGACGCTTTCGGTGAGGACCCACTGCCTCCATGGGTACAAGGGGCCTTGGAGGGATATTGGACCTGCGTTGAGCAGACAGATCCAGCCAGCGACACCGACTCGTCCTCTACGAGCCTGCGATAGAAGTCTAGTGAGAAGGGAAAAGAATCGGACTTGAGAACTTATTTGCGATTTTAGAAGACTTCCGCTCCAAATTTAGAGCGACTCTTACTCATTGCATGATCCCATTCCGTTACGAGTCCGAACGGTCATAGCGACTGACTACATGCCCTACTTCCCAATGATGGCACTGGCATAATTAATATGCCTGAACTACGGCGCTAGAGCGGCAACAGATCATGAGCAGCAAGGAATCGGTCTCAACTGAACAGTCAGTCGCAGATTGATAATTCAATCAGACCAAAGCATTGGATCTATTCCCATAATCAAGGGCACTATAACCAAGAGACGGAACACAACGAGGTCTAGAAGAGACCGTCTCTGAGAACACATGGACTTGGAATCTTGTGCCATCGTCCGTGTTATTAAAAAAAGTCAAGAGGGATTAGCCTTAGAGAAGCGGTAAATGCTAATCCTGACTACCATGCGAAATTCCGACGAAATCACAGGCCGGTGTGAAAGATCATTCCAAAGAATGACCGGCTCAGCGAGTATAATTAGGATCCACGACAGATGAACCAACACTAAGCGTTCACATGAGAGCTCATCTCCTTAAAATGAGAGGAGAGTCCACTGGCCCGAAGCGGTGGGTTAAAGGTCCCCATCTCCAAGTGTGGTTGGTCAGACAAGATCCAAGCGTCGAAACGCCGTGGGAACGCGAGAAAGAAAAATCGTAATTTAATGTCTACCTTCGGCACAGTCTTTCGGGTAACTACATACGGCGAGAGCCACTGCAAATCGGTGGGCTGCATCGTCGATGGTGTGCCACCAGTGAGCATTTTCCGTTTATCTGCGGCGATGGGATGATCTAATTGAACTCGGTTCATGCAGGGCTTGAACCTCTCTGAAGCCGACGTCCAAGTTCAACTTAGCAGACGTCGCCCTGGCCAGAGCAACCTCACAACCCCTGTATGCACACATGCCCCCCTTGTGCTGCCCGATCCTACTAATTTCCTGTTCCATAGCGTAATGAACTCGATTTGGTCCAGATCCAGTCTGGAGTCGAGCATGGTGTAACACTCGGTACTCCGATCGGCCTTCTCGTCCAGAACAAGGATCAACGACCTCACGACTATTCCGAAACCGATTTTTATCCTCGCCCCAGTCACGCAGATTGGACCTATCTCCAGAAATACGGCATCAAAGCCAGTAGCGGAGGAGGTCGCAGCAGCGCACGGGAAACGATCGGTGGTCATTGTGTCTGTTCTCACAAAAAGGCTCAAACTCAATCCCTACAGGCCGTGTTGCCGCTGGGGCCATCGCCGAGATATACCTGAAACAGGCCTTCGGCGTCGAGATCGTCGCGTTTGTCTCGTCCGTTGGGAAAATCGCCATCCCTTCCACTGAATCTCCCAAGATCATCTCTGACAAGTCACCGTGTGAAGATGAGGATGAGAACGAGGATGCTCTCACACCGGAGTTTAGGGAACTACTGAGGACGATTACTCGTGAACGTGTCGATGCTCACCCTATACGCTGCCCTCACCCCGGAACCGCCGAGAAGATGACGCAGGTACGATTATTTCTTCTAATTTTCCCTTGACACTATCCTTGAGTCGAAAAAGAATTTTACATCATTCTCTACAGCGCATCCTCCGCGCAAAGAATGCTAATGACTCCATTGGAGGAACCATCACTTGTGTCATCCGCAATTGCCCTAGTGGGCTGGGAGAACCTGTCTTCAACAAGTTCGAAGCCGTACTTGGTCATGCCATGCTGTCAATTCCTGCCACCAAGGCTTTCGAGATTGGTTCCGGCTTCAAAGGGACTGAAGTCCTGGTTCAAGACACAATGATCCTTTCATTAAGAAGGAAGGAGGGGGGTTGTCCACTTCTACCAACTGGAGCGGGGGTGTCCAAGGCGGCATTACTAATGGAGAAGATATTTACTTCAGGTAAGCCCAGGATTCGATGTTCAAAAACCAATGGCCCCTGATTTTTCGATCATTATGGCGCCAGGATTGGGTTCAAGTCTCCCGCTACTATTTCCCAGCCTCAGGCAACAGCACAGTATGATGGAACGCCTGGTTTCCTGGCTGCCCGTGGACGTCATGACCCTTGTGTTGTTCCTCGTGCCGTCCCCATCGTTGAAGCCATGGCAGCGATTGTCGTCCTCGAGTACGCACGTTCTAAACCACCTTAATTGCCTCAGACTTATTTTCTCACCAGCCAACTTTTAATCCAAAACTCTCGCAAGGCTGCGGCTAGCCTGCTACCTCGGGTTACGACTCTCCCTCCAACTATGGTCCTTTCATCCTCAAAGCAGTAAACCTTCAGCTTTGCATTTCCACTTATCTGATCTACATAGTAATACATTCTGCCGCACTAGAACAGTATGTTGTATGATGGAACGCACTTGCGACGCATATGAAAACAGATTAGGCAAAGATAAGAATCGTTATTTTTGAATACATGCACATACTGAAGAAGTACCCAAAATCGAATGAAGTTCTGACAGAATCAATGCGCTGTGTACATGCAATCACTACGAGCTGCAAAACAGGCGCTAACTGCGTCAATTGTATTAAGATAAGGCTAAATGTAAGGATACCAGAGAATGGATGTAGTCGAGATGGAAGTAAGGCCAGGTTCGAAGTACTGTGCACGAATCACCAGACCTTAGGAGCTATGGGCACTGGCTTGGGAGATTATAGGGTATCACGAGTGCAGTTCAATTGGAGATGACGCTATTTTCGTCATTCCTCTTTCCGCTACTGCACAAGGAAGAGCGTTGTGCGCACTAGGACACGATTAGAAGAAGAGAATCCACGACTTTCAGGATTAGCGGGAAGCTTACGAAGGACTGACTCATCGATTACAACACACCATAGAGGTGAGGCAAGAGGTAAATCCAGAGCAAGTAGGGTCATCGTCATAATCGTCAAAGTTGTCATAATAGATGTTACGACCGAGAGGAGGGGATGTCGCGTCATAAGTTGTATTTCGGTTCCGTAGTATGGATTGGCATTGTCGTGTGGAGGTGAGACCACCTTTTATTGTTTCATGAGATGAGTTGTTGAGGAGCGGTAACCGATCATCGTATACGACTCTGTCGTCACGTTCCCCTTGTCCAGGGGAAGAAAATTCAGGGGAACGGGGGCGAGGAGAACGGTTCGCACGTTTCACGCGTTGTAGGGGACCCCGTAAATTGGCCAAGAATTGATTCGCATCCTTGGAAGCCATGACTGCACTGAGGGAGGTCTTGACGGGCACCGTATATAACTGGGGAGCGGTGGCTGCGGGAGGACGCAATGCAACGGAAAAGGAAGAGGCCGACGATGCTCGTGAACTAGACCGAGAGCACAAGTAGTTGGGTGTGAATGAACTTTGGTCGCGGAGGTCACTGGCATTTGGGTCTGATCGTTCCGCAGGCCCAGGACGATCTTTTCTTCGTATGCCTGAAGTTATGCGCACACGGCTGGCGAAGGTTACGGCTCTGGGACGATTCTCGCGATCGTTCCCATATGGCTCGATGGATTTGTGTCCAGCGGTGTCCAGCGCATTGATATTTCCTTCGGATTGCGAAATAGGCACGGGGGAGGGGAAGGAAGCTGTTGGATCTCCTTCTGCCAAGACGATAAGCATCGAGCATTCTGGCGCTTATACGGAACCGCTATATAGGTACTGACCGGTAACTTGTTGTCTCGCCTCATTCCCGGGCCGACCGAAAGGAACACCGCCCACTGGCAAGCTTTGGATGCTCATGGCCCAAGGGACTGCAGATGTCGCTCTGCGCGGGCTGCGTTAATAACGCTTTCAAAGCAGGAAACAGTTCATTCACAACGCTGCAATAATGAAAGAAATGAAATACCCTGAAGAACATGCATGTTGCTCCACGGATCCAAATTTGGTCAATTGGTTTACACTTCATTCTGCCGCTTGGCGGGCGTCGTGGTGGGGGTGCATGGCAAAATCGTTCTCTCCAGCTATGCCAGCTGAGCGCCGACAACGCAGAAGATCACCAGAGCTCGCGGTCCCGATTGACGTTAACCCGAACCCGTTAAAGCGCAAGCGTGTCGAGGAAGCACCTGGCGCCAATAGAACTAGCGAGCCAGAATATACATCCAAGGCATGGAACACTCGTGGCGTTGATGAAGTATATTGGTGCTAATTGATGGTGATTGCTTTAGGTCAATTTTACCTCAATACCGATTGAGATGCTCAATATCTACACCCACAAGTACGATTTGGTGCCACCAATCTACCCGTCTCCTGCCTCTGCATTCGACCCGCCTCCTCCAGCCCACCTCATTAACCCCCCTGCACACTTGCGCCGCTCTATCTCTCCTTCCCTCTCCATTGGGGGTGTCATGTCGGCTAACAGACCGCGTCGCGACCCCTCGAAAGCAAAAGGGGACCAATCACGCCGTCGGAGCTCTCGACTCCTAGAAGAAGAATTGGGATGGCGAGATAGACGGAGCCCTATTCTAGCTGACATCGACGAAGCTCATGCAGCCATTGCAGCCATCGTACAACGACATTACGACCAACAGGTCATCCGCGAGTCCGATGCCATCACTCAGTTCGTTCATGCTGTGAGGGTGAAAGGTACGCCCGGAGATCCTCATATGGTCCTTGGAAGCACCTTTCTTAATATTGTATTCTCACCACTCAATAGACCGAACGCTGAAGGTGTTGCCAATGCCACCATATTGACGACCGTTGATTGGATTTGCGTGCGATCATCACAGCAATGCAGGACGAACACGCCGCCTTTGATCATATTATTACCGTAACTCTTTCGCACGAGTATGTACGTGCTTAATGCCATGTTAGTATTGAATTTTTATTGCCACTTGTATTGTGACGCGAAGCAGATCGTTTGAAGCAAGGTGGGAAGGGCGATTTGAATTACAATAAGCGCCACGCGGAAGGTGCCGATAGGCTAAAATCGGCGCCCCTGTGACAAGGAATGTGACACCCAGGCGCTGCCCTGATCGTGCAACAGCTTCGCTCCATCTCGACCTCGTCATGGTTATGGTGGCAAAATCACCGTTGTCTTTGTGCTGGCCCATGAGCAACACTAGATAAATTCTCTGAGTAGGTAGGACATGGTCTCCCTCCCCTCTGACCAATTCCTCTCGTTTTAAGTGAGTCCTCTTCTGACTTCCGTGTCTTTGGCTGGACTTACTGTCGTGTCCAGTCCCACAGCTGTGCTGTTGTATGTGAGTTCTGGAGGCGCCTTTAGTGCCTATTAGACTGTCTGACGATGCCCTCAGTTTTCTCCCCTTTTCTTGGTCGCTGGTTGACTTCCCGTTAATCTCACGTTGACCTCTTATACGTTGCCGTCCTCATGAAAGTTTTTGTGTTCCTCCCGCTCCTTTGTCTCTTTGGGTCGGAAGCCCTGGCGGTTGTGGTCCCCTTCAGTACGGATGCTCGGATTGAGCGACGCGACCGTGGGGGAGGAAATGGTGGAAGAGGAAGGGGCAGTAATACTACTGTGAGTTATCTAGCCAAAGCCTTCCTACGACTCCTTTAGACGATCACACCATTTCTAGAGTAGTGCCCCAACGTCAACGTCATCTTCTGTCCTGCCACCAGCCGGAACCAACACAGGCAAAGCTAACAACCCTAACAACCAGGACCCTCAGAAGTCCCTGCGTATGCCTTATGTTATCTCCGTGCCTGATCGACACTTATGAAGTCCTATGCAGAGCTCGATCCCAGTCAGGTCCAGCCCGGTCTCGCCAATGATGGTCAGAACCCGCCAGTGGCTGGCCAAGTCCCATCGTTAACGAGCCCGAATAACTTCATAAATTTCTGTCTGAGCCAGAAGACTACGTTGACTAATGGGCTTCAGACTAAGGCTGGGTCTTGTAACCCAACAATCGTCAGTGACCTCTTCCTATTATTCCTCTGATCTGATGATGGAATGCCAATTAGATGGGCCGTATTTTGGCCACGGACAAACTCGTCAGTTCCAAGTTCGCGTTTCCCGTGAATGGTCAGAACATCGCCGCAAATACTGACTTCACAGTCAAGGTGGGTTTAGTCCCGTGTCATATTAACCAGACTTCACATTACTCTGTCTAGATGAATATCAAAAATATCGTCACAGGAAACTTCGTAAACGCTCAAGCTAATTACTACGCTGCGCCTTGTCAAGTCGATGGCTCTGGCACTGTCCTCGGTCATTCGCACGTCGTTATTGAGAAGATACCATCCCTTACCGATACCAACCCAACCGATCCTCTGACCTTTGCATTCTTCAAGGGTTTGAATGCTAAGGATGTGAATGGTGTTCTCACGGCAGATGTAACAGGAGGATTGGCAGCTGGAACCTATCGTTTGGCTTCGATCAACACTTGTTCCAATCACCAGCCTGTGTAAGTTTCAGCATCTGAGTATATGTCATTTGCAGCAACTGACGTGATTCATAGGCTCGCATCTGTTGCTCAACACGGGAGTATGGACGACATGGTTTATGTATGTTGCTGTCCTTTGATTTTTTATCTCACCGTTCCGATTTGTTTGTGATTCCCTCAGTTCACGGTTGGCGGCACCGTTAATAATGGGTTCGGTGATGCCACCTCCAGTGCTCCTACGCCTACATCTTCGAAACCCTCTCGAGGAGGACGAGGTGGCTGACGGGGCGGCAGCATTAGTGACAAATACTAGTGATCAGGATGCGGTCGATGACCAGCGGTGATGGCATTTCGATTCGTCTCAAACTCTGCTTGGCTCTGCGCTACTTGTATGATTAACTCGAGGCGATGTGTCATATTTCCTTCGTTTCCATGGAACAGTGAATGTGAGGTTCTCGGTTGAAGTTGCTTTGGGTTCGGTTATTGAGCTGAATAATGAGGGGAATTGTTCAGAATATTGATGTGGGGAAGGACCAGGATCTCAGGTCCCGTGACGTGCCTGACTTCTGCTTCAGCAGCCACTAGTACTGCAGCTAGGACGTCTCCCGTGCGATCTAGAGGGCTGCGTTAGATTTTACGACCTTATCAGAGCTTGCCGACAGTGTGCCAAATTGGCCATGTCTTATCAAACGCCGAGTCGCGATCAACGACAAGTGGCAGGCCCCAGTCGTCCTCGTGCGGCCTCAAGGTCCACGATGCGACCATCAACGGAGGATTCTACATCACAACTACCTACACACATGCCAAATATGTTTCAGCCTCGAGTTGTCCGAGGGACGGTACCGCATTCAGGAGCCTCGATTCCACCATCTGCGTCACAGTATGCGTCGCCAATGAATGGCTTGTCTTCTTCGCCATCTCCTGGTGGACGACCGCCTCGCACGAGAAGACCTAGCTCGACGGCTGTGAGCGCTGCTGCCGCTTTAAGCTCTGCATTATCTACTTCTCCGCCTCCTGGGCCTGGCTCCGCTGGGTCATTGACGGCATACGCGCACCCCTCTTCTTCCCCTGCTTCGTCAATGCTACATCCCCACCGGAAATCATCTGCCCCAGCTGCATCTATATCTGGCTCGTTCCCATTAGGATCTCACGCTGGGTCACTTCATGCTTTGGATTCACCTATTTCCTTCACCCGGCCATCTTACTTGGAACACTCGGCATTACGCCGTTACATTCAAATAACACCTTACGCCCCCTACACTCCACTGTACACTCAGTCTCATCATGCTACAGCAGCATCAAATTCTAATGATAGCGCTACACGTCAGCGGAGGTCTAGTTTAGCCCGTCGACTTAACCCGGTTTCTAGCGCTAGAACGAGCAGAATGCTGTTGGATGATACTGATGATGATATGTCTGAGGACGATGATCTGCGTATCCCTCCAACGAATCGACGGCCATCAACAAGTGCCCAAGTTCCCACGTCGAATGGTACCACGGGTCCATCAGGAAGTTCCTATGATGCTGCTCCTGAACAAGTCTTCCAACTCCCAACCCGATGGAATCGTGAGGACCGAAGCCCCTCCGTAAATGTCTCTTCAGATGGTCGGGAAGTTCATTTCAATGGTACGTGCACACGTTTGCTGGACGACATGGAGGAATGAAAACGTTATCTTGATAAAGGGGTTACAGCAACGGCAGACAAGGATGCTGCTGCTATTCGCGCGAATCATCCGATGCCCAGAGCTTGCGGTATTTACTATTACGAAGTTGAGATAATAAGCAAGGGTCATAAAGGGTAAGCAAACCTCTTCTACCTAGTTCTCATGTTCGAGGTTGAAATGTTGTCTTCCCAGGCATATAGGCATTGGGTAGGTCGATTCCATGTTGTGAGAAAGTTTGCAGTGTTTCCTAAGACGATGATCATAAGTTTTGGGACGCGTCGGGTTTCGTTGTCACGTTTACCTGGATGGGCCCAGCCTAACTGGCAGCCTGATCTAGGGCACGAGTCATGGGGTTATCATGGGGATGACGGACGTTCTTTTGCGTCCCAAGACACAGGCTCGCCTTATGGTCAGAAGTTTTCCAGTGAGTGCAATTGTTCACTTCGAAGTGCTTTCAACATACTAACAAAAACCCATCGTGCTTAGCGGGAGATGTAATAGGATGCGGTGTCGATTTTGTGAAGAAACAAGCGTTCTACACGAAAAATGGCGCTTTTCAAGGTAAATGTCCAGAGTCTCAGGAAGAACCTCCAGTTATTGATGTTCTGCGCGGCAGGATACGTATTCAATAATGTTGATGGGGAGCTGTTCCCAATGGTTGGGCTCCGGACACAGGGTGAAGCTGTCAAGGCGAACTTTGGTCATGCACCATTTAAATTTGACATCGAGTCATTCGTTCATCTACGACGCAATGAGGCTTGGGCGGAGATACAATCCACGAATGTAGACTTCCTGCATACGGAGACCGGGATGTCGTTCAAAGTGGTTCCTACGCGTAGAACCAGTTCTTCTGATGCTCCATTACCTCACGCGGATCTGGAGGCTCAACAGCGAGTCAAGTCCCCACGAATCAAATTGTCTTGGATTATCTGAGTCATCATGGTTTCGGTAGCGCTGCACGAGCCCTCAAGAAGTCTATCGAAGCACGAGAAGCTCTTGCTCGGGAGATTCGAGCCTCGGCTGAATTCCCTAGCTCCTCCGCTCTGTCATCTCGGTGCACTGCAGTGCCTTCATTTGCACCTTATGACTCAGATGGCATTGATGCCCGTCAACGAATCATGTCGGCTGTTCTTTCGGGTGATGTGGATTTCGCCATGGAGGAAACGCGAAAGCGGTATCCAACTGCCCTGGAGGTAGATGGGGGATGGATGCTATTTAGGCTAAGATGTCGTAAATTCGTGGAGCTTCTCCTTGAGGCGTCTGCGGCACTCAAGATTGCGAAGAAGATGGAGGCTTATGAAATTGGGTTTGGAGAGGCTGTCAAGGATATCGTACCCGCAAAGGTCACACCGCGGCCGGTGGAGGGAGTGAGAAGCATATCCACATCGATTGCCCCTTCAATTCCTCCCAAAGTGAGCGAGGTGACAGACAGTGAACAAGGCGAGACGGCTGAAATGGAGGTCCATCCGCATGTGGATGCGGACGCAATGGAGGTAGATGAGGTTCCAGGGTTGGATGGGGTTCCATTCTCCATGATAAGGCCTACCGCTACTCCATTGAGTACTGCTAACGGTACCACTGCCGTACTTGCCACCGATGGTACTCATGCTATCCCAATGAGTCAGAAGGCAAGAGAGAAGCAGCCCGAGCGCTTAATGTCTCTACCCATCCTTTCCAATCCTGCTCCATCCTGCTCCACGGAAGCCGTACTTCCCACTGAACAAAAACCCGACCCACCTTCTCTACCCACACCAGCTGAACTTGCTCTCCAAAACGCACTTAAGTATGGCCGTGCATTACACGCGGACTACGTTCACGATGAGCGATCCGACGTCCAGATGTTATTCAAGAGAACGTTTGCATTAGTGGCATATAATGACCCCCTCGAGGCTGGAGGCGAAGAAAGTCGGTTTGCGGGGCAAAGGGCGAGGGAAGAACTGGCAGCCGAATTGAACCGGTACATTCTCGGTATGTCGGTTCTATACCTACGGAGACTGAGATTCTTAATTTCACGTAGCTTCACAAGGACGAAAAACCCAGCCAATTCTCGAACAATTGTATCTTCAGGCGAATAAGACGATCGTGCAGCTGGGCATGAGTGGCACAGGAGCAGCTGCCTTCGGGGATGTTGAGAAAGAGATTATTGGTTCGTTATAGGCTTTTGGAGGTTAAATCCGCATGCATGATGATGGCGGAGTATGGAGAGGCTGGCTAAGGTGACCATTGTATTACCATTGCATGAGGAAATGGGCCCGATGTAAGAGTTTGGGATTCAAGTTAGCGCCAAGTGATGGACGATCTTTCAAGTTAACACATGTATGAGCCACTTGATATTACACACTATTTTGCCTCGTAAAATTGGTGCAAATCCACTCATACTAATTCACTGGCATTAGTCAACAGTGTAAGGCTGGAGATACAAGAGTGGGTGTACTAGTGCGTGAGATACGAAGCGGTACGGGAATGGCGTAGTCCCGACAACGAAGTGAGGGGAAAAGTGATTACATGAGGTATTTATATATGGTAAGGAGACACAGAATATTGCGGTTGAGAGCCAGGAAGAAGCATCTAGAGTGAGAATGCGTTCATAGTCCGTCCAATGACATCAGTGGCGGGTGGGGGTACCACTCTACGATGGTTTGGACAATGACGAGGCAGAGACGTTAAACGACTCGCCGCACCCACAGGCATCTATAATATTTGGGTTCTTGAATACAAACTTGGAACTGGGGAAATGGAGAGTAATCACCCGGTACTTGAGCTAAAAACCAAAAATTGATGAAAATGAAAGATTTACCTCATCCGATCTTCTTGCCAATCCATCTCACTTCCTATGATCGAAAACAGTGCTTTACTATCAATCAACACCTTTACATCATCCTGCTGAACCACCTCGTCGAACTTCCCTGGCTGTTCGACGTATTCGAGGTTGTATTGCATCCCCGCGCAACCTTTGTTGCGGACACCAATACGAATAAGTTGTGGAGTTGGACCCGAGATGAGTGCACGAACTCGTTGGACGGCTGAAGGAGTCTTGAGCACGAAATAATAATGATGTTTTTTTAGCGACCGGATGCAGGTCGAGGGATAAGAACGGAACATACAAGGGACAAAGCAGCCTTTGTCGACCGTATCCGCGACATCTGACGCTGCGGCCTAGGAGGCTTCGGTGGCTCAGGTGCAGCATGCTGGGTTCCCGAGCTCTGAGATGGTGTATGAACAACCTTAGGTGGGGGATTGGGGAGTACAGGTGAGGTTGTTGTTGTCTTGGATGATGACGAATGGAGTGAGGAGGCAGCTCGCGAGGTAACATGATGGGATAACGCTGATGGTGATGACGGAGAGGTGAGTGGAAACCCACGATACAAAGGAAAGGGTCGAGAGAGCGCTGCGCGCAAAGTCCATGTCACAGAGGAGGTCATAACAAACGGTTCCTAAGGGTGTGGTGGAAAAGCACTTGAGGGTCGAAATGAGTGATCTGTGATTGGTTCGCACTGCTAATTCAATTTGATCCGGACCTTGCCTTCTATCCATCACGTGTTTCTTGCGTCGCCTGGAACTTAGGTGTAGATTATGACATCCCCCTCGGGGCTCGCGAGGTTTGCATGGATTCGAGACTACATATCTTGAAGCGGGACTCCTTGCAGGACTCCAGACACATCTCAGGGTTTCGATCATTTGTGCGCTGACTTCGCCAACTCGCTTCTCCAGGCACACACCCTACCTTCATTACTAGATACTAGATTAGAGATTCATTTACGCAGAACCATATTGGGACCTCATACTATTGCTCTTGTGGTGCTACGACATCCTATTGCTTAAGCTGTCCGTAAGCCGGAACTGAGCTAAGAACCGGTTCCTAGATCTACTTTCCGGATTTGTCGCACTATCTCGCCACTCGAGAGAGAATGCAATGGTTATGTGCACAGTGGAAACCATAGCCATGTCCCATCATGTAACTCAACAACGTATTCGTAGTCTTCACGTAGGAATATTTGGAACGGCTTGTGGAGAGGACCAGTCGCTCGTCCAAGATATTGGCTCGCGATTTGCGGCGCTGCCAGCTAAGTCCAATGGTGACACCATAAACCTCGATCGAGTGATGGTGAGTAGTGACCCAAAGGTGCCAAATTTTCAAGAGAATCAATGCGATGGAATGTACTAAGGCGTCAGCAGAAGGGAATACGAAGGCGAGTCCCTCTCGCGGATTGTCATATCCAACGGTAACGCTTATTGTTTAGATGCTTGTTTCTATGTTTCTTGATGCCGATACCACTTGCCTCATTTCTCATAAGTTTGTCAGCGGCCATAGCTTATCAGCTGATAGTAGCATTTGCACTGGATAAACGCCAGAAATGGCTCAGTCAAATGATGGTCTGCCTGTTTTTGGATGGGGCTGCAAAGCACTGACGCACTTGTAGAGGAAGGAGTCAGTCGTGGTAGAGGGAGTCTTCTACCGTTAATGGCTACTACGTATCTGGGGATCTAAAACCTCCTTGCTTGGGGATTCGGGAAGACCCATAGACTTGTAAGCCACCAAGACATAGGGCAGTGGCACTCCAAACTAGTTGGGATAGAGAAGTTACTAGGTGCCAGTCGGATCGGTCTCTGCCTCCGAACGACGCATCAAATCTGACCCGAGAATACGGAGATGATCACTGCTGGAAAGCCAATGCTGTTCCTGTGAACCCATCCATTTCAGTACCCTGGACGCCACATTGACAGTTTTGAGTGGAATTCCGGCCATTTGGGCCACTTCGATTCCATGGCTATCTCGATTCACCCCTGGCCGCAGTCGGTGCGAATACGAAAAGCGCCCGTCCTGAGGGCGTTCAAATAGGGTTAATTAGCAAATGAAAGGCGTACCGGATGCGACAAACTTACCTCGAACTTGTCAATCCCCGTACAGAAGAACTTGATAAAAGGGAAGGCATTCCCCTTCTCATCCACTCCCTCTCCGTCAGCCGGTGCATTCTTGTCTTCTCTGTACCCCAACATATCTGCCACCTCATGAAAATGTGTTGCGAACAGCGTTCGGCACTGATTCACCCTGTACAAATGCCATGCTGTGGCGAATGCAATAGCAACTCCGTCTTTGATCGTAGTGCCCCTCCCCACCTCATCCATGATAACCATACTCTTGTCCGTAGCTCTCTTCAATATCTCTGCAGTCTCGAGCATTTCTACCATGAACGTGCTCCGATCTCGATACAAGTCATCTTTTGCACCCACACGAGTAAACACCGCATCCACTATCCCGATATGTGCGTTATCGGCAGGAACGAACGACCCGACTTGCGCAAGGATTACTATGAGAGCTGATTGGCGAAGAAGGGAAGATTTTCCAGACATGTTTGGGCCGGTGATGATATGGAGGCGGGACAAGGGGGACAAAAGAACGGTATTTGGAGTGAAGGTGCGGCCTTGCCGAAAAAGGCCCATCTCAACAGTCGGATGGCGACCATTGGCGACGTGAAATATTGTACTGGTGAAGGAATGATCAAGCTCTGCTACAATTTGAGTACGAATGTTACTTGCTCATCGGAGAGGGTTGGACGAACAAAGTTCATCTCGTGTGCAAGGTCGGCGAAGCCCATTAGCACATCTAATTCATCAATCAGGCTCGCATTCCTCCGCAAGCTCGCTGCGTGAGCATTGACCTGTGGGGTTGGCTAAATCATCGGACAAATACCAAATGAGGTACCGCACCTCGTTTCTTAGGTCCTCGAGCGCGCTTCGTTCGGCTAGGAACAATTGGTTTTGGGTATCGATAATCTCGGACCCAAGTTGTGACCATTCCTGGAATGAAAGTATGGTTAAATGTAGAGGGAAAAATAATTCAGACGTCGCCAACCTTGAGAAAATATGTGCTCGTGGTCTTGCTCCTTGAAATCGGAATGGCATCTGAAGCTTCAAAGCGAGGGCCGTCCCTCCGTACCTTCGCAATATGAACGTGAGGTCCATGTTGCGGATTCGCTCGAAGGGTCAGGGACGGAACATCTACGTGACGTCAACAATGAGAATATTGGTGGAACGCCTTGCAAGAGACCCACTGAATTGCCCTTGCAACAACTTCTCCAGTTTTTGTTGTGCATCATGAAGCTCGTTCAAGCGCTGGTGCAAACCCTGCAACACTGGGGAGAAACTGAAGACCAGGTCACCTCTGCGCACAACGTGACATTGCTGTGCTCACTTCGGATTAATAGTCCAGGATGACCTGCGAGCGTCATATTGCCCGATAAAGGCCACAGTATCTTCGGGTGGTAGTCTCCCTTCTTCGCCATCGTCAAATTCACTGCTTGTATCATTCGGCAACTTTTCCATATCACTGATGGCGGAACCGATGAGTGTAGCAAGCTGTTCCATATTCACCATTCTGTCCATCAAACCAAGTATGCAAGCCCAGTTCAGCACAGATTCCTCACTTTCAACCTTGGCTTGTTCCACCTCGAGAAAAACCCGTTCTCGGATCGAGATCCAAGCCTGAATCGTTTCCCTCATTGCAACAAGGTCGCTGATATCACCCCTGCGGAACATGAGTTTCTGAACGATGCGAGTAACATCTCCAATGCATCGAAGAATCGCAGTTAAATCAGCTCTAAGATGCGGCCGACGTTTGAAAAGCGCCACAAGCTCTTGACGGGCATGAACCTCAGGTAACGACGTGCTAGGCGAGCCTGGGGCGAGTGATCAGTGCTACATAATTTTAACAGAGACACAAATTACATAGCCACCGCGACAGCAGGCGAGTGCCGCTCCTCGTCACAGTGCGTTTGATTGTGCTGAGTAAGCTGCCCTTAACTCCACCGTCACGAATGACTCGTTTGATCTCAAGCGCAGCGATCGTATGGGAATCAATTTGCATTTTAGTTTCGAAAGTTTGGTGGACCGGGGCTGGGAGATTGGGCATTGTCTCGAGGAGGTGGGTTCGCAGGAACGAGGTAAGCAGACGGACAGCTGCCAGCTCATCCTGGCCATAAGATATGGAAGTCGTAGATGCCGGGACTCCGTCAGTAGGTGAAGGGATAACTTCATTGTCAAAGCTCGTGTAACTCGTGATAGAAGAGAAGTCATCACCCAGTATATGGTGGAGAGGATGGTTCTTATTAGTCCTTAGAGATTCCTCCAAGACAACCTCTGAGGGGAAATCCGAGCAAGATCATTTTGAAGCTCTCCAATAGTGGAAGATTGTGAAAAGAACTCTCCAGTAGAAACATCGATCCACGCCAAGCCAGCCGCTTCCGAGTCTCCCGTACTAATTGCGACCAGATAATTATTCTCGTAGTGATTGAGAAATGACTCGTCAATCAGTGTCCCTGGAGTGACAATGCGAACCACTCTTCGTTCAAAGCCATCAGGAACCTTGAATTCTTCGCAAAGAGCGACAAAGCGCTTGCTCTGGGAGACGAGAACCTTCAAATGGCGGTCTAGATGCACCAATGGGAATCCACACATATGAACGCGTGAGCCACCCCAACGTCGCGAAGTGAGTTTGATATCCAGTAAGCGTGCCACCTCAGGTGCTTGGTCGAAGTAAGACTTCATATCAGGTCCAATATGATTATCAAGTATGAGTCTGAGAGGCTGAACGCACTTCATAGAACTGGCCAACTCGGGTAAGCAATATGCAGTTGGGGAACCTGGCCAAGTTAAATCGAATATCTAGAGCAAGTTGAGTCTGAGGAACATTTGAGTTTCCGCCGTCAAGGATGGCTATGTGGACCATGTCGATGAGCAGAAAAGTGCTGCCATCACACAATGGGCATACGTTCAGCAGATGGATCTTTCCTCGAGCTTTTCTTCTTAGAAGACGCGATTACGCGTTTTGAACCACTTATTGCACCAGCTAAAATGGCGTTGGTAATTTCTTCACCAGTCCTAAGTAATAATCCTCACCAGGGGCCCCAGACGAGTCCTTGGAACCATATGTAAAGGTGCTGTCCGTCCAATCGCTCAACGGCTCTGCCAATGTACCATCCGGACGGACGCGTGAGGTTGGAAGTTCAGAATATTTCTTCTTTGACCGTGACTTTATGGTTGTCTTCGCCTGAGGGGAAAATGACAAGAGTCGTGAGGCAACTAAAGCGCGCTGGAAGATTGTGCGACGCGTGTTAGCACGACAAAGGATATGCATTGGATCAATATCAAGTACATATTGAATGACAAAATTTTGGATGGGCACGGCATTTGCCGAAATCACGGTCAATTGAATCAACTCAACACATAAACGTTCACCTTGACCATGGCTACCAGACGTGGGGGGCGTAAGAATGTCAAGAAGGGTGTACAATTTACTCTTATGGTTGTAGGTGAGCAGCACAAGCAGGTTGTCTCCTATCGATGCTCACTTTCCCTGTTCAGGCGCTTCGGGCACTGGCCGCACAACATTCGTGAACACCCTCTGCGAGTCCCAAGTCTTGTCACATAAAATATCCGATAACCCAGAGACCGCTCATGTGGAAGAGGGCATAAAGATCAAGCCGGTTACCGTTGGTGCGTCCTTTCGCAACTATACTGACTCGCCCCAACTTGACCGCCATTGTTGCGGCAGAACTTGACGAGGATGGAGTTCGGATTGCCCTCACCATTGTAGACACTCCCGGATTTGGTGACAACATCGACAATGAGTCCGCGTGCGTTGTTCTAATGAACCACTGAAAGCACCCCATCTTGATTGCGACAACTCTGCAGTTTCCAGGAAATAGTTGGCCACCTCGAACGCCAATACGACGACATCTTGGCCGAGGAATCCCGTATCAAACGAAATCCTCGCTTCCGTGACAACCGTGTCCATGTGTTGTTGTACTTTATCCCTCCCACAGGGCATGCGTACGTAAAATGCCTTTTGGATAAGCCGCACTTAGTAACTCTTAAGTCAGGCTCCGTGAAATGGACATTGAGCTGATGCGGCGTCTCTCTCCCCGCGTTAATGTAATCCCTGTAATCGGGAAAGCTGATGCACTTATCCCCAGCGAGTTGCGGGCTTTCAAAAAGCGGGCATGTACTGTTTGATGTTTTCCTGTGCGAGAGCTTACACTCTTTTAGATCATGGAAGATATTGAGCACTATCGTATCCCGGTGTACAATTTCCCTTATGATGTAGAGGAGGATGACGAGGATACCATCGCGGAGAACAGCGAGTTACGCGTAAGTCGTAATTCCCCTAATGCTTTCCACAAACCAACCCCGTTTACAGGCCTTGCTGCCGTTTGCCATCGTTGGATCTGAGGATGAAATTGACATCGAGGGTCAACTCGTGCGGGCCCGCATATACCCCTGGGGTATTGTTGAAGTTGACAACCCGAAACATTCCGACTTCAGCCGCCTTCGTAGTGCACTGTTGAAGTACGTTCGAACTTGGACCTGCTGTACCAGATTTTTCTCAAACATCCCATCACTTAGCACACACCTGACTGACCTGAAATCATTGACGCATGATGTTATGTACGAGACGTACCGCACGGAGAAGTTATCGAAGACTGTGCACACGGACCGAACGTAAGACTCAGATTCTCCACCCTCTTCCATCAATTCATTTCTACTACCCGCAGGGATCAATCAATTTTGCCCGAAGAACTCGCTACCCAATCCGTGCGCCTCAAGGAGGAGCAGCTTCGCAAGGAGGAAGAGAAGGTGGGGAGCTTTCAAAGCTCAAGTATGTTTTGTTAAACTAACATTCTGGTGCAGCTCCGCGAAATCGAACTTCGTGTCCAGAGAGAGATCAGCGAGAGGCGTCAAGAGCTCCTTGCGAAGGAGGAATCACTCAGGTTTGATTCTCATGCACATTAGCATGTGAAGGTTTATTCTAATATCCTTTCCATTTTTAGAAATCTCGAGAGTCGGCTTGCTGCTCAGAATTCGCAAGGAGAATACTAGAAAAGCGCTTGCTAGGGTTGTTGGGGAGCAAACCACCCCACATTCCATCCTTTTCTTCCTCCGCCTGTATCTTCGGCTGGCTTCGTCCAGGTGTTCGCCTTGTCATCTCGTTATTTCTTTCGGCTATTATTTCTAACTGTTGACCATTTATGTCTGCTATGTGCTTGATTTCCAATGGAACAGCTTATCCTTATTCCCTCCAAACCGGAACGGTACCAGCAAAGAACAGGGTTCAGGAATCGTAAAGACTGCCACAGATGCTTTCCCCAAGAATCCTCAGCTTCATCGGCATAAGCGAATTACCGTAATGCTCTTGGATATCACTCTTCTCGACAGCGTATTTGATGTTGAACCAATCGTCCTCCTGGGCCATTTTCTCGATCGCTTTTTTATCTACCGCAGAATTCCACCAGCCTGGAAGTGCTCCAGGCTTTCCAGCGGACATCAGCTGTCTGTTGCGACGTTGAGCTTTCGTAACGAATTCTCTGAAATGCCGAATCGGATTTGACACCGTTCCACCGTACAAGCTGAAAGGCGGTGGAGAAAGTCAGCTCGTCGCTGGTTCTCGGGTTGCACCCCCAAACGACACAAACCTGTCCCGTCCATGTCACCTCTAAAAGTATATTCGTCTTCGACTCTCATTCGATAGGCGTCGATGAGGCGGCCGTAAGCAGAGTGCACCGTTTTGCAATCGTCATAATGATCGTCGAGGGAAAACAAACTGGGGCCCGACACGTAATGGATATTTCCTTTTGCTCCAGGGTCGGGTTTTGGAGTGAACGAAGGATCTGGTCCCTGAGGCGGTCGAATCTTTGATGCTTTCTGCTTCTGCGTGCGCATGCAGTCAGCCTTGTGGCCTGGCCAAGCCTTTGGAACAAAAGTAAGAAGAATCTCTTGGTCCACTTCCTGTTTCGAGCAGAACTTGCCTCTTTTTGATGTTGCCTTCCGCAATAATAGATCTCCTGGCATCCAGAGCAACGAGCCGTTGCGCCTCTGTATGTTAGGGTCAGAAGGACCCCATTAGAGCAAGAGTTGTAAATTACGTTGACAGATAGCGCAAGTTGGCATGAGTGGATGAGCTGGTAACGAATTTGCATCCGGCCCGACGTTGACCAGCGTGTGTGTATTTCGATATTTACTTCCAGACAGCTGCCGATTAAGCCAAAAGGCGAACCAAGCAATATCATACATGAATCTAATCAAGTTACATGACCAGCCTGACGCAAAAAACGATGAAACGCCAAGAGAGTCCCGCATAGTCTCATCGCACGAGCACGTTGTATGCATGGTAAAGCGAGTAGTTCATAAATGGGACAGGCATTATTGCTAGGTAATTCAAAACAGATATCGTTCTCAACCAATCTCCATGAAACATGAGTTGGAAAGCGCCAAAGTAGGCCGTGTGTGCAATGTGATCAATTTTAAAAAAAGTGTCCCAAATGTAGGAGATTTAAGAATACAGCAACCAGAAAGCCCATTTGTGCTTCAGAAAACACCAATTACAAGCCGAAATGAGCTTCGATCTTATCAGAATTGTGTCCTCCTGAATTTCCCATGGCCAAACGCAAAAGCCGTGGGAATATCTTCATCTGTGTGTGCCACGACTCTGGATGCCAACAAATGCCGATTAACCGCGAATTTAGGGAGCTGGCCGGACATCGCCTCGAGAAATGGCTTGCAGGCTTATATGTATTTTGAGGAGGGGGCCTCCCACCGGGTTTTGGCATCTATGTCATCCTGGCGGCATTTGTCCAACGCGTAGTAATATCTGACGACCTATGAAGTCTTATCAGCCTCAGGCTGGTGGACGTGTGCTGGCCATCTTGTTGACCACTCACCATAGGTGATCTCCAACACTCCTGCCTGTGCACTAGTGCTCATGACGGTTGGTCGACATGTAGTCAGTCAGTATAAGTGACTTCATCTGCGACTCCGTAGCTTGGCCAACAGCTTGGTTACCGCATTACGTCGCCTGGTGGCTTTCTGGGTAACAGGGATGGTCTGATAGGGGGCCAGATCACTTTTAAAAGGCGGGCTTACCGACTTCTTACGGCCCAGAGAGGAGTCGCATCATCATTCTAGCATTCCGATTGTTGGCAGTAACCTAGAGAAGATGGGATGTTGAGCCGGTAGGTGAGTACTATAATTAATATATTAACACCTTACTCGATACCTGTTTGTGTGTAGTACCCTTGTTCCGTTCCAATACCCGAAGTCATCTGGGAGGGCAGCATTACTAGTAGTACTGGGGATGAGAGGGGATCGGAATGATGTGAAGCCCATCGCTGGTCCCTGTGTGTGTTGGGGTCATGCTGGTGGTCATCGAACGGCTCTTGGTACATCCGGCCAGTATTCATCTAGGACTAGTACTCTAGCTTCTGGTAGACGTAGCGCTATAGGGAGAACGATTGGAGGGAAAGAGGCTCAAACTAGGCATCTGTCTTTTATTGTTTATTATCTTGTATGTACATCAAGCAACGAATGAGTGATATTGATCAGTATATCGCTGTAGTTTCCTCTATCGGAAAGGTGCTTTCCAGATGTGGATTTAATTGGGAATCAATATAATAATTATTAGCCACCACTAACCCGTCATTTCTAGTCCAATCGATAAAGTGCGGCGTGTGAGTTTAATTGGAGATAGGAAAAGGAAAAGGAAAAAAAAAGAGAGAGAGAGAAAAAAAAAAACCACGGCACTCAGGATCCCCATGTAGTCACCTACCATGGTACTAACTGAGCGGTACTCGACTTAACTTCGCAGATCAGACGGGATGCGGTGCTTCCTGAGTCCTATGGCCGTGGATGATTATCTCGAATTTTAATGTGTAATCATTTTCTCAAGACATCTGATCCGGCCATACTGCTATTTGCATCTTGCATTTGTACATCAATTGGCGCCTCAACCAATATGTAGTAACGTTGCCTTCCACAGTGGCACAAACGTGGTAGTAGAATAAATGTAGAATTGGGCGGGGTATGAATGCATGCAAAGAATTATCACCATAAAGATGTACTGTACGTGCAACCATGCGGGATGCGAAAGATCATCACATTTTCTTGAGGGGTTCAATAACTTCGCCGGGCTGCAAAGGAGATGTAAGTAAGAAACAGCACAAGATTCGATATTCGACAAACCTTAGTGTATATTCTCGGCCTCGTGGCCTTTTTGACAAATGTTTGAGTGTTCCATTCCCGTCCAAGTGGAGTGTCGAGTAACTGCTTCAGCTGCCCATCTCCTGTGTAAGGGAAAGGCAACTCCTTGATCTGATACTTGCGTGCTTTGAAATCTCGCTTCTCTGAAATGATGACGAAGTCCTTCCCAGCATCCTTTCGAGATTCAGGATTTACGCCAGGAATCGTCTTGATGAATCTCGGATGCGGGGCCTTTAGCTTCATCCCGGCTCCAGCCCATGCACCCTAAAACTAGATTGTCAGAATATGTTAAGAAAGGACTATTAGGCCTTACCCATCCAGGGAGCGAAGTATCAACCTGTTTCGGTGCATCTTCTTCTATTACACTCTGCTTCACCTCCTTGAATTGCTCGACAACGTTATCTCCCGCAAAGGCCATCGCTACAAGATCCCTCTGTTCAAAAGCTTTGCCTCTCGAGGGTCTTTCTTCGTCTTCTTCACCGTCATCTTGGAACGCCGAATCAACCTTTGCCATCGAGTTCGTTGACGAAGCCTCAGGTTGCGCTTCGTCTTTCTCGCCCTCCCCCACGGAACTTTTGGGTGGTGCTTCGCTCCTGATCATGTCCGATGCATCCAATGAGATTTCGACTATGGCATCCTCCTCTGCTTGAGCACGAGCATCGGCCATTTTAGTCTTGTGTTTCTTCGTAGCCGCAATCGACTTCACTTCCGCGGAACTATCCTTAGAAAGAACCACCTCGTTGCGTTTCCGGGTGATTTTCGAGGAAGAAGGCTCCAGAGACGCGAGCCAAGGATTCTGCACGTTAGGAACGGGTTCTGAATATGAGACCGATGATACCCATGTATCGGGCCGGGAAGGGGGAGGATCCATTATCGAGGCCCCATTGACTAGGCCCGTTGCACCAGTCTCATTCGATGGACCATCTTCATCAGGCGTCTGGAAAACGTGGCCCAGTTGAGTAAGCTGATGCGTGAACAGGTGCTTCAGAACCTACCGAAGGAGCCATAGGGCGGAAAATCATCCGTCCAGCGTTGCCACCAACCTTCTCCATGGCTAAGGCGTCTTGTTCCTGGTGATGTGAAAGCTCACCAGATTCATCTACTCCCACCCCAAGACGAAGCATTTCCTCCCGAAAATCGTCTATTTGTGTGCGCATCGCGGAGCGAACCTCTTCCTCAGCTTTTTGCATGAACTTCATCCCCATCAAACCTTGCTTAGACGACCCGTCAGCGTCGGCGGCTTTCTGGTCGTCCTCGAGGGTCTTCAATTCATCGAACGCCTTCTCTCGAATGGCATCAATATCCTCCTCATCGTCGCCATCGTCGTCGGAATCATCATCGCTCCCTTTCTTCCCTAAAATCCTCTTGCGCAACTTCTCGCCCTTGTCGAGTTGCTCCAGCAATTGATGCCTCTCACTTTGGTCCAGATCTACACCCCGGGAAGCAAGCCTCTTCGCCCACTTGCCCGTATTCCGATGTCGCAACGTTGCCCGTTCCTTTGCCCTTTCTAGTTCCATCCTCATCCGTTCAGCTTCCGCCACTTCCGGATTCAACGCCTCCATCTCCTCTAAAGTCAGAGCTTCCCCTTCTTTCCGTCTCCGTTGAATCTTGCGGTAGATTTTGGACTTAATCTTAGCCATCCGCTTCAATTTGGCCTCGGCACGGAACATGGTTTCACGATCATGTCGAAGTCTCGACCGCCATGCAACAACCTCCTTCATAGTAACCTTCTTGGCCGGTGCGTCTTTAGATTCTTTGCTTTCCAGCAATTCAGCATCCCTAAGGAGTTTATCGACAGCGGATTCCATCCCATTACTCGGCTGTATGATTTCATTGAAGATGAGTCATGAGAAAAGCGGGGAGGCGAGGGAGCTTACCGTAAATGTTGAGTTGATATTCGCAACCGTGCGGCGCGCCGCAGGAGGTTTTTGGAGAGGGAAGGACAAGTGCTCGGCCTAGTAAGTAAAAATGCACGATCAGATGCTCCGTATATTTCTTAATAGGCCTGTAATCACATACTTCTTTAATGCGGTTCATGATTGGCTGCCACTGTTGACTCTTGTTTTCGTCGCCTCATAGGCAGCCTGGCGGTCCACGCGGTTCTGCTGCCGCTTGTGCAACGGTGCAACATAAGCATTGATATTTTGGGATTGAAGAAGCTTGGCAGATTTTCCCAAGGAGGTATTGTGAGAAGGGCCATCGAGGAGGTCGCTGAGGTCGATTTTGTCTGTAGGGTCCTTTTTCAACTTCACGGATGAGATAACAATAAGGACTATGTCAAACCTTTTCCGGTTGCGACGAATGCCCCTCACCCCCGCGTTCGGTACGTTCAGGCAAAATTCGGCGTCTAGCTCTTTTGGAAGGGTCGAAGTCTGCTTTCCTCTTTTTGTCCGAAAGACCATCGATAAAAGCATCGAGCTTAGACACAGCCGCCTCCGAAGACTCCGCATCCTCATCAAGAAGGCGGTCCTCGTCTTCCATCGACCCGTCCTCGCTATCTTCGTCCACATCATCATCGCTGAGGCCTTCTTCAGAGCCCTCCCTATTGGCATCGTCAAGCACTCTGGGTAGAGGGGCAGCTTCAGGCCTCTCTTCCAATTCGTCCTCCTCTTCCTCTTCACCATTGTCAAGCATTTTAGACAGAGGAATTGTGCCAATTCTGTCCTCATCCTCATTCTCTCCGTCCTCATCTTCTGCCACATCTACGTCACCTCCATCTTCATCCAGAGTCACCTCACGACGCTTAAGAAGACGTTTTGATGATTTTGCAGTGCCCTTCTTCTTTGGAGACTATGGGCAAAGTTAGTGCACCATGAAGCAAAATGCACAATGGGAAGACATACGATTTGATCAAAAGTGGGATTCAAATAGTCCTCCTCATCGCTCTGCCCTTCGATGGCTGCATCAGAGTCGATATCCTCGTCATATTCATCCTCAACAACGCCAGCATCGCTCTGGATATTCTTTACAAGACGCTGAAGAATATTGTTCATCTCGTTATCAGAACCATCACCATCGGACAGACCACCAGCAGCCCCTTCTAACTCATCTCTATCAAGAGCTAGTCCAACATTGGCACGTCTGTCCTTCGAAGGCTCATACTCGTAAAGGTTATGGATGTCGGGCTCAGCATCCTTGTTCCTCTTGAAAGGCTTTTTCCGACTACTAGAGATATTTTTGAGTAACGATGGGTGCAATTTGGGCCCCTTTCGGCGCGGCCCTGACGTCGGGCGCTTGGAGGAGAACCTGGGGCCAGTTTTCGCCATGAAGAGTGGGAGCGGGTGAGCCCGAATAAATTGGGTAGGCTGACGTGTTGACCTTTACGTGAACTGAGTCCATAATTACTGCCCACATAATCAGGTGACTTCGCTGATTAAGTCGATGATGAGATCGCTAGCATATAATAATGTCTCGCCTCGAACGACCAAGGTGCCATATTCCTCGCTTCCCTTTCCCCGGCGTGCCCGTCTTGTCTTCGAACATTGGCACAGCTCCCCGAAGCACCAACCATCGTTGCAAACAACATGTCCCTGACGGACACACCAAAAACTCGAGAGCAATGTCGCGCAGCGCTCGAATCGCTACCAGACACGCCAGATCGCATCCCTGCGATTTTCCTTGCTCACGGCCGTAAGATTTCTTCCAACACATTATTCGAGCATCGCATGCTGAACACCACTACGTCTAAGAGCCGATGCTTATTTGGCCCCAAAGCCCCCTATTCCATCGGACCCATTTAAAGGACCCATATTCAACTGGGCTGGACGTGAAGGTCCATTGGCACAGTTTCTTGATGATCTTGGTCCCTTGCTGTTGAAGAAATACAAGCCAAAGGGAATAATCGTGTTTAGTGCGCATTGGGAAACGGCGGGACAAGGCTAGGTGCACACGCTCCAATCACACGACTCATTGATACTGAGAACCGTCTGTTGTTCAGTCACCGACTATGGGAACGAAAACCCCTGCTAATGGACTACTATGGCTTCTCCCCTGAGGTATGTCCTTCGTGTCAATGTAGTCCGTGGTTCTCAGAGCAATTTTCCCTCCAGCTGTACCAAGTTGAATTCATTTCCCGCGGTGATAGCGTACTGACGCAGAAGATCGTCAACGCTTTTATCGCTGTACGTCCTTCCTTCACTTCATCTCCCATCGCTTCATTCCAGAATCCATTCATTAATTGTCTATCCAGGCTGGCATTCCTGCCCGCCCGATTCAAATAACAGAGCCACGGGGCCATGACGGACGAGGGTATGATGGTCCGGGGCTGGATCACGGAGTTTTTGTCCCATTCATACGCATGTTTGGGGAAAGATGCCAGAGGATATCCCCGTTGTGGAAGTGAGCATTGACGAGAGCTTGAGCACGGAAAAACATTGGGAAATTGGTCGCGCCCTCAGGATTAAGGTCTGTCCGACACGATACGAATTTCGGGTCTTGCGGGGCCGGCAATCGAATTTTAACTCTTCTCTTTTAGGACGCAAGGCTATCTCATAATTTCAGGTGGCCTAGTCATCCACAGTTTCAAAAATAATGGGGCATCCTTCAACCCTGAGCGTGCTGGTCCAGTTCTACATGACTTCCACGATGCGATCACTCAGGCGGTCCTGATTAAGGACGTGAGTTCATTGCCTCTTAATTCCCAATATCGATTTATTTGACTCGCGAATAAAGCCTGCTGCTCGTCGGGAAGCACTTCATGCACTCACCAACCACCAAGGTTTTCGAGTGGCGAACCCTCGCGAAGAACACTTCATACCGTTATACGTTGCGGCTGGAGCTGGAGATACATTGACGGGTGAAGACAAAGACGGAGAGACAAGGATACTAGCAGATTTTTACGGGATGAGTTCGTTTGCTTTCGGTTTATAACCCAATGTGTACCTCGCGTGTTGAAATGTACGAAATAATGTAGATGCAATTACATGATATTAGTAGCCTAACGTATATAACAATACCTGCGGTGTCTGTACGATGGTAATTCAGAGCGTTCACTCTGGATATCGTAATAGGCAAGCGAACAGGATCATGCTGCATTCAGCCACGTTTCCGCTTCTTGTTTTCCTTCTCTTTCCTCTTCTTTGCGCGGAGCTGGGAGGAATCAGCGCTCAAGATTTCTATCGTCGGGATGAGACACATCCTACTCACATCTTTTTTGCCTCTGGCATCCACCATAACGTATCTTCCCCTGACACCAGCGGCCGTCCCTTGAGACCTTTTGCTGAACCTTTGGCAAATACCACTCGTACTTCATCCTGCTTTCTTTTCTCCTTGGCCATACTCCTCTTCAACAACTTCGCTACCTCATCAGCCTTCTCCCTCTCAGTGAGGGTCGAGTCTTTCTGTGCCAAAAGGCCTTCCGCCTTCTTCGCGGCTCTCTCATATCGTCTCACAGCACGCATCTTTTTCCGTGCCTTGGCTTCGGCGATTTTTTTAATCGGTCGAGCATCCAACGCACGCATCTTGGCGCGGAGCATTTGAACCGCTTCCTTGGTAACTGGGATATTAGGGATGTAGTGCCTTCGCTCATCCTCGAGGAACCAATCGGGGAGGCCTTCTTTGGAGTTGAGGGAGTAGCGGCTGAAACCGTCGTTAATAAGGTGAGTCTTGGTAGTTTCGCGGTTTACAAGTTTCTGGGCGAGTGTCACAGCCGCAGCCGTTGTCAAACCGTACTCTGAAAAAGGATGTCAATTGCGAAACAGGATTGATAGCATTAACATTCATACTCTTTATATGACGTGCTTTGACGCGGTCCTGATCTTCATCGTTAGCATCCCATTCGAGTTCGTCCTTATCGGGCTCCTGAGGGACAATCTCGAAACCATCTTCGGACTGAGGTTTGTCATCGACCTAAAAATGCGTGAGCTTCAGCGCGTCACATCCGAAGGCACACTCACCACAGAAACGTCTTCATTACTTTCTTCCTCTTCCGTTCATTACCCTCGTCCTCGTCGCCCTCGACATTGTCGATATCCCCTTCAATCCCTTTGAAGACGTCCTGACTGAACCAAACTCGAGATATTTTACTGGCTGACGGCTTCGGAGTTGGATCAAGAGAGCGCACAATGAGGCTGGCTTTCCCGTTTTCGCCCTTTCGTTTCTTGACAGAGACAGAAGGCTCCCCTTCACCTTCGGAGCCTAAGTCACCATCCGATGAATCACGATCCATGCCAGCCTTGGCACGTTGAACGGCGTCCCATCCACCTTCATCATTGGCGGCATCCATATCCTTCCCATTATCTTCCTCGCCACTCGAAGAGGAAACGTCATCGTCATCTTTGCGTATTCCCGCCCAAACGTCATACTTTTTGGACTTTGCACGCGCCTCGCGGCTCTCCACTTCAAGTCTCGTTCCATCCTCTTCTGACGGTAGGACTCGTACATCACGTCCACGTCGCCCTCAAGTCTTGCCAGCCTTTTCTCTTGTTCATCTTCGGTGTTGAGGGCCTCATCCTCAGTCTCCTCGGCCTGCTCCTCGTCCGAGTTTTGATCAGATAGACCGTCGCCGCTCACATCATCATCAAGAGCATTCGCATCCTCTAGATTGAACATCTCAGCATCTTCCCGATTCGGGCGCGCAGCACCAAGGTTCAAATCTTCGAATCCAGAAAGCGCCCGGTCATTAAGTTCCTGTCCAATGTCCATAGGAGCGATCATGTTCAACTGCATGCGTTGTACAGCCTTCGCCTTTCTCTCATTGGTCTTCCGTCTCTCGCGCTTCCGCTTGGTGGCAGCTTCAACGTTGAGGCGCTCAAGCTATGGGAGAGATTAACAGTTTCCCTTGGCGGGAGACTTATTCAAACCTCACCTCCTCATCAATCACCGCATCCTCATCTAAGGGCTCTTCCACTGCAACGGTTTCCTCCATGGTTTCTTCTGGTCTGTTTTGGGACTCGAGACCATGCTGTATTAAGGCCGTCAAGGAAAAGAAAGTCACAGAAAGGCAAATGGAACGTACCTCCTCTCGGAGTTGCAAACGCCACTTCAACAGATTCTTGAAATCTCTTTTCCCTAGGACCTTCAGATCCTCACAGCATTGTCGTAACTCCTCTGTCATGAGTGGTCCATCTCTCCATTTCTTCTCCTCTTCAGAAACGAATTCGATTTTGTTGTAGCTTCCAAGGAGAGTGATTGGATCGACGTTCCGGGAATAAATGTATTCGGAGGCAGTGGCAGACTTGAAAAGAATGTTCTCTCCATCAGCATATCCTTCACGATTCCTCCGCTTCGTTCCTGGCTTGAAAACGCTGATGGCATTAGGTGTCAATTTGTTGGATGAAACTGAGGCATCGGGGGCTGGAGGAAGGGTGTCAACGTCTTTGAAAACATGTCTAGGGTCAAGGAATTTTGGATCTATTTGAGTAGGTGCCAAGAAGTTAGAGCAGACGACGAAGATTTCTGCAGAGACAGATCTTAAAAAGACATGTGAGCAGGGGGGATAGTCTAGCCTTCTAATAGAGCCGCGTTGAGGTCTACAAACCTTGACGATGGTGGTTTTGTAGCTTCCACTTTTGTAAACAGCTGATTGAAAACCCAAACAAGGCTGTTATAATCTTGACTCCGGAACACCTTCGTCACGAACGTGCCCCCCTTGATGAGGAAGTCAACAGCAAGCTTCAAGCTGCTAAGTACAAGTTCGGCCTGGGAGTAGGCGTCCTGGACCCACGCGGTACCAACGTTAGGTGCGCCATCATGCAATATTATATCCGCTTTCCACATTTTGAGATGATCTCGTAGCAGGGATCGGCATTGTGGGGTCGTTATGTCAGCAGTAAAAGTCATGACCCTCGGAATAGGCTTAATAGGAACGAGATCTACCCCTGGAAGTGGAATATTATGAGCTTGGTAGTGGGGAGATGTTGTGGCCCTCACATACCAACAATCAAGCTGTTTGCAGGCATATACTTGCTAGCAACTTGCAGCCAACCGCCAGGGGCCGCGCACAAGTCAATACAACATTTCGAGTTCCCCAGGAACTGAAATTTTTTGTTTAGTTGTATTAATTTGAAGGCAGAACGAGCACGATAGCCTTGCTCTCTAAATTAGATGTGAGCACGCGGGACAATTAAGATGGAGGAATCGAGAAGGAAATACGGACTTGGCAAGCTTGTAGTACTTGTCAAGACGTCCTTTCCCAGTCTTCTTCTGGGTCCCCCCCATAACCGCTAAAATAGGTGGTGTGGAGAAATTTCCCGTTCACGTGCTAGGTGCAGGCAGCTGCATCACGTGCATGAGTTCATTCAAACGCCGAGTGCCTGCATCCACCAGTGGGCAGGATCCCAGCCTACCTAGCGCCACTGATGGTGGCCCGAAGCGATACACGGTTGGGGTTAAACAAGTGTTGGGGTCTTCAGTCTCTCTGATATCTTCCGGTATCCCGTCACTCGATGACGTTTTTGGCGGTGGTCTTGCACTCGGCTCTGTCACTGTTGTGTTAACTCCCGATCTCCACTCTGCATGGGGAAATCTCGCCCAACGACATTTCATCGCCCAGGGACTACATGTTGGCCATGCAGTTTGCGTTGTCTCAGATAGCTCACCTAGTGTCATTGAAAGTTGCATGTGGGTAGCAGGATCGCGTCAGTCCGAGGCCGACAGTGCAATGGAAGACAATGATGAGAAAGAATCAAAAATCAAAATAGCCTGGAGATACGAGAAAATGCAAAAGTTTCAGACGACTGTTGCAGATGCTTCGTCCTTCTGTGAGTCGCACCTTCTGCACACCAAGATATGGCTCAAAGTGCATGCTTTAGCAGAAGGATATTGTTCTTCATTAGATTTATCGACGAAGATACCTGATTCAGTGATATCTGAGGGCCTAGCCTCTGGACAACTTCTGTCGATAAATCTTCTGGAATTTAGTGATTCGTTTCACGAGACCCTCCACAAGTTACAGACGCTGAAAGACGATTTAGTCTGGTGAGCTTATTGCCCTCTTGTACCCAAAGACTTGGCAACGGCCTCACTGGTGCCTTATCCAGCCAGCCCACCATCAAACCTACTCGTTTGTCTATCTTGGATTTGGGCGGTCCGTCATGGGGGACCACTCAATAGAGGTATGCCAGTCATCCGCGATCCCCTCAGCATTCTGACCAAACACAACCCATTTAGGAAATTCTCAGATTCCTGTTTCTTCTACGTACACTTGTTCGTTCCACAAACATTGCTACCCTTGTTACGATCCCCCCTCATTTGTCAGTGCGAAGCGAGATTTCCGATGATTTTCTGGGTCAAATTGCGTTCTTGTCCGACGCTTGTGTATCATTCATGGGTTTTGGAGGCGAGTGATATGTGTTGAGAAGTGTGAACTACCTACTTATCATGCATTTGCACGGACAGCGGACCCCTCCTTATCATCTTTGTTCAAAGCCTACCATGGCGCCGTCCACCTCCTCCGGCTTCCTTCCGTACACACTCTACTCCCACTTTCTCAACGGCATTCGATTCTACGCGGTTCCTCGAGCGGAGGAGATAACAATCTCGCATTCAGGTGTACCCGGAAGCGTTTCATAATCGAGACGCTCCACCTAGACGTTGAAGGTGGCGTTGCAGAACGGCGCACGACCCCAGCACCCACGACATCCACGATGGCCTCCATCGAGTCTGCATCACACGGTGACCATGGGCGTGTTACTGGAACGGTAATATCGTTACCGTCTGACGCAACTGCCTCAATCAAGATCACTCTCGATAGTGACGTCATTGCTGCCTACCCAGCATCCAATAGCGGTGTTACCAGCAGTGACATCTCATTCCCATCTAGAGATGCTTTGCCCAATACTAGTTTTAAAAAGGCAAAACCCCAAAAACGCGTCGCCTTTCACTCTAATCGCCCAGATCTGTACGATTTTTGAAGGAGGCAGCAGTACAATTTATGTACTCATAAATATACCGTTCGGTGCTTGTACAATGCAACCAAAGGAGGGTAGTGCCTTCAAACTACTGGGTTTTTCCAAGTTTCCTGTTCTCCGCCATTCAAGCATGCAGAGACCGCGAAATGCCTTTGTGACAGCCAAGGAAGGTTGATTATCTTCCAAGCTCGTAATTCAGATGTCTAGAAGTCTAGATTTGGGAAAGCCCCTATTCAAAAGTTCCTAAGGTCCAAAGGAAAAAGAAGTGTGTCAAAACACGGTGGATCAATCGGCTGGCAACGACGTTCTGTTGGCCGCATAAAGTCAGAGGCACATGGGGTGAGAAATAATCTCGCCTTTTGCCATGTATCGCGGAAATGATGGGAGGCAGAGGGATCATAAGAGAATGGTAAGTAGATCGTTAAGTCATAAAACAAGTGTACACAGGCAGCGGACAAAACGTTCGAGTCTCGTTTACATGATAACGCACACAGGCTTCTTCCTAGTGGGCTGTTTTGGCGGCGGATTGACTAGTATCAATGAAAATCAATGCTTTACAAAGTAGCATTTGCATAAGATTGTGGTGAGTACTTACGGACCGCCCGTATAGCATCATCAAATACATTCTTCAAGCCCTTCTGTGAAAGTGCAGAGCATTCGAGGTACTTCACAGCACCAATATCCTTTTGCATCACAATACCAGCCTGATAAGAAATGGGAGCCATCCGACTACGATTGGCAAGACATTGGTCAACTCTCGGTAATTGATTATACTTAAACGGCTGAACGTTTACCGTTCTCGGAGTTTATCTATTGTTGCGGGATCATCCCGAAGATCCAACTTGGTGCCTACAAGGACAATCGCCGTTTGAGGTGCGTGATGTGAGATCTCCGGCCACCACTAACGATCTCATTTCAAAAAGTCGTGCAGCCTGAACACGAACAAAGGTTAACCCACCTTTGTTCGAACATTTTCAAAACTGGGAGGGGAAACGAGCGAGAAGCAGATCAGGAAAACGTCCGTTTGGGGGTATGACAATGGGCGCAAACGGTCGTAATCTTCCTGACCAGCAGTGTCCCAGAGGCCGAGAGAAATGGTCTTCCCATCTACCATCACACTTGCCGAATAATTGTCAAAAACTAGTGATCATGTGTCGCCCGCTTCAGCCGTAGGTCCCAAAAGTGACAGAACGCCCAGAGGGGTCGAACGAACCTGTAGGAATGTATTCGCCCTGAAAGCTCAGATTCATGTGAGATAGGAAGCACGAACGGCGATACTGCGGGGCAGATGGCTCACTGGAAACGCATTGGTGGTGTAGGATATCAAAAGGCACGTCTGCAGAGGGTGGTTCCAACGCAGGGAACAGTTTGTCAGTCGAAAAACGCTCCACATTAGCGCGAGGTCTACGAAAGCACCTTGCCAACGGCTCCGTCGCCCACTACTACGCACTTAATGGCCTGCATATTTCGCGCAGTGGTGCTGAGGGTATATCAGGTGTTAAGACGGAAAGAAGTGTTGAAGCGGAAGGGGTTCTATGTAGCGGGGAAATGATCAGTTCGAGGGGTCGAACCTTCATCACAAACCACAACATGAGGCCATCAAACGCGGCTTGATGTGCCCTCAAGTGTAAAGGTATTCACCTCTTGGGCGATGGAATAGGTTTCGTGAACAAATATGTTGTGAGTGATCCGAAGAAAGAGTAGCGAGCGAGGCAGAAGCAAGCGCGAGTTTGTGATTAGCCAGGTCCGCTTGAAGCAACAGAGAAACGGAAGATCACTAGACGCTCGGATGTATCCCATTACCAAACTGGCGCTAATCAGCCGCGGAAGTCCGGCTCGGGCGGTCATTTCTCACCAGCACAAGTGCAGGACATTAAAAATGGATCGAAGGAACCATGTTTGATAGCAACACCACAGTAAATACATCTTAAGATTGCACTAACGAAAATTAAAATTAGGCTAACTTGTACTATGCGTCCGTGAATCAAGACCCTTTTTGAAACTGGAATACACAATGGGAATAACCTTCCCTCTTAGAGTGCAGGACGATCGGACTTGAACCCCTCTATGTTTGCATCACTGGTTCTGGGTGTATGAGAGTCCGATTCCTCAGTTTCTGCATCATCTCATCCCCCTTCAGTCTTCGGTAATCCTTCAACAACACCCGATTCCCGCCCTCCGCTACCGTGGCTAGGGCCTCAGTTCCGTAGACGGAGCGAGGTCGTCCATGCATTTTATCCGCCTTTTCAACCTCCGCCAGAGCGGGCGTCCGCAGCGTGCGCGCGCATGCAGAATCCAGGGAAGATCTTGCTGGCAATAGTATGGGGTTAGGAACGTTCGAGAACGTCCCATTCATAATCCCTTGCAGCTCCCTTGTGTCCCCCGGAACAACCCGATGCCGGTACTCTCTTGCTTTTTCATGTTGTCGCAGAGGCAAACATAAAGGCGGTGTCCTGAGGGATGAGTTCCGGGCAGGTAGCGGTCGGCTGGAGATCCAAGATGGGAAGAGCAATTCTCGTTCTGTTGGTGCCATCAGGGTATCCGAGTGAGTCATGAGTGGTGGGTCAGCTTTGATTTGGCGAAATGGCTCAGTTCGGTCTTGGGGGCATGCTGAGCACTCGCCCCCTTTCTTTCGTGCGCACTTTGTCCAATCGACGCGTTCTACCCATGGTCTGCACTTTTCAAGCCTGAACTCTCCCATCTTTTGGTGAACGCCATCAAAGAGAGCGAGCGGCGAAGTAAGCCCAGGAGATGGAAGGGCGAAATGGAATTCGGCTGGCGTTTCGGGTGGCGTCACTGGGGTCATCATAGCCTCGACCGAAGGCGGAGCTTGGATCTTAGCAAGAAATATCCGTCGACGTTCATCTATGCGAGCGGCTACGGATCAGCACTGGTTGATAGTGGTTTTTCGCGCTTTCATTGCCTACCTTGTTTCGACGTGTGCACTTTCATGTTTACTTCCCTCCGTAAATCTACAGACTTCTTTGAAGTCGCTCTTTGTTTTGCACCTCTTAATAATTCATCAAAGCGACCCCTGTTTATTCCCTCCTTGTCCGCGGGCAATGGCTTGGGAAAAAGTGCCTCCCTGGGTGACATTGAGGGTGGGGGCAACAAGTATCGCGGGCGTACACCGCTATCGGTTTCAATGGAATGTGCAAAGGGAAACGATGGCCATTCAACCAATATATCATCGAGCGTAGGCGCCAGCGTGATAGAGATGGTTGGAATGGGACTTGGAAGGATAGGTGACATGTGTTGGTACCACCCAATGATAAGGATAGAAGGCAGAGACGACGCCCGGACAATGGATGGGCTGAACAATGCTGTCAAGAATAAACGCGACCAGCGCGGAAAGGGAAGGAGGAACGAATGGAGGATGCGTAGCTGCCAAAGGTTGCGTAGAAATACTGGTTGGTGTGCAGAAGGAATGCTGGCCGTGTGATATTGGCATTATATGGTTGCAATTTACAACCGCCAGCCGACTAAGGATTGCTTCTGGAAGTCCCAGACCCTGAATTCGTGAAAAACACTTCTAGTAAGCTGGTAAAAACACTACAAGAAGCAGAAGTGATCCATGAGCACTGTTAGATTCAGCAATGCCTTTGTCGTCATAGGTCAAAGTAGGAAAAGCTGTCCTGGTGACAGTTTCCCCGTCACCCAAGCGAGACAGCAACCGATGCATGGCCAAGTTCACATAATGATACGGTGAATTGTTGACAGGAGCAACCGTTGCCTTGTTCGCGCACTGGTTTGAAATGAGGGCTTTTGTGAGTCAGAATTGAACAAAATGACTCTGCGTCTTGAACCTCTTTTCCATATGGCCACTCATTCAGCTTTTAGATACAAATGTGGCTGCTTGATACACGATCGGGTAGATAGGTTATTCTGAAGGCGCAGCTACCTTTTTTTGCTGCCTCACGCCTCAACTCGCTCGTCGCGAGCATCCTGAAGCTTCTGCTTAAAGAGAGCCTCAGCTTCCGTCCATACTCTCGCGTTATGGCGGTGAGGCAGCTGCAATAGTGAGGGCAGAAGATCGCTGGAGAATTGTTCCGAAGCCTCACGGGGAAGGAGGGTGGGAAGATGATCGATCGAAATGACCGACAATGCGGGATTCCCCTCGCTAAAAATAAAGATGAATGTAAAACAAGACTAAACATCGTACCGAGCTTACTTGACAGCCACAGGAACCGTTGGCGAGCTGAATGTCGTGTTGACTGTGTACACAGGTATGGGGTTGAAAGGATTGGTGGTGTCGCAGCTAACATCAACGATGACCGACAGTCGTCGGCTCGCGCCTGCGTCATTAATTGTATCCAGAGTAATGAAGTGAGGTATTTTGCTAGAAAGGTATATGCAATTAATGAAGATGTCCACTGATATTGAGAGATCAGTGCATTGAAGAATTTCCTAAGGGAAAAACGTGCCGTCTAGAATTTCAGAAAATGGTCCCCCTTTAGCGGTCTCAGCCATGTCCCACTTTAGAATGCTTCCACTATGGAGGGCATTCGAGTGAGCAACCAGAACCGAAGGCTCGAGGACCGACATACTCAGGTATACCAATCTTCCTGAATAAATCCACAGCCCCACGGCCGCATCTTCCAAGAGCACCCATGACAAGAACTGTGAGACCCTTTCCTTCTTTGATGGATGCAAGTTTGGCCTTGACATCAGCGACCATAGCATCTTCATTCAAGTACGGAGTTAGCCCTCCCAAAGTCTTTCCTTCCCTTTGGGCTACAAGCGCCAGTGCTCCAGCTGCAGCGCCCGCAAATCCAGCATGAAATCCAAATGCAGCAACCCTTCGACCATTTTCATCAGTGAGGAATTCCAAATCATAGAGTGAGCCTCCGCCAGCGTCGAATCGAGCAAGAATATCTTTCCAGCCCGCTTGCCGCTTGTAACAATGAGCGAATTGGACATGGGTGTGCTGTAGAGGCTCGTTAGAGACTTGAAGTTCCTTCAGGCCGATGATCGGAACGTCGATCGGCGCTATTGGCCATGAATTATTCTCTACCAGCTTGGCACCGATTCTGCACATCCGCATTACAAGACTTTAAACAGAAGAGGCAGCAGACATTAGCTTACTTCTCGAACTCTTCATCATCAAATATTCTCTGCTTATCTCGCTCAACATAAATGTCGAATCCAGCATCGATGAGCTTCTTGGAAGTCGTCGGAGTCAATGCAGAACGACGCTCGAATTCCTTCGTCTCACAACGGAGCCACAATGGTTGACGTGACATTTTCCACTAAGATAGCGTGTTTGGTTGAAGTATGGACCTGTGCGTAAGTACGTGCGTCCTTGGGCTCAAGCGACTAGATATCAAAAAATGGAATATCCATTTGTTTACTCATTTGGGACGGACTTACCGCTTAACGCCTAACGCCGTTCCGCGCATCACCTTCTACTAACCGCCATCCTCCAGCTCCCACATCACTCACGGATCATCCTCAGCCTCAATTTCGCTTGTATTGGGGTTCTTGATAATTTTTTCTGGCGACCTACACGCGTATTTTTTGCGAGTATGGAGGCTGACACAAGTAGCTGTGATGCGGCAGCCACCTCAGCGCCCCTCAAACCCACAAACGCTAAGCCTATCCTGAACAATCCGTATCTTCGCAATCCTCTTAATGTGAGTTATTACAATCGATTCATGCTGTAATAAATGACACTGCTGTCCCAGCTTGGATATTACACACCATACCCATCCCACGTGGATACAGCGCGCCTTCAGGCTATTGCACGAGGGTCCCAAAATACTTTCCACAACCCATATCTATCGCGTACTATCCTCTCGACTAAGCCATCTGCACTTGTTCGATCCGTCTCTGACACCCAGGCGAAGTTGACTACTAACCGACCAGCTGCCACTGGACCATCAAGTGTTACTAACCACATTCGTGTGCCAACCCCTGCAACTACTGTTTTTTCCGTCAAATCAAATGAAGCAACGCCTCCCGCCCCGAAACTCCGCTCAAAATCCCTGAAGCAGGCAGTATCAGCCTCAGCTCCGCGAGCTTCTACGCCTCAACCGGAAAACGCCCGGGTTGCAGACAATGTCATGATACCTAAGCATGTCGCTCTAAAAATGAATTTTGACGACTTCAAACCAGAGGAGTTCCTGGATCGTGGCGAGTGGAGCGATCTTGCACGATATCCCATCAACCTAGACCCACCAAATGGGCTGATGACTTTACGTTGTTTGTTTTGCGAGAAGAAATATTCAGGCCCAAATGCACGAAGCATGTGGCGTCGCCACGTTGGCGGAAAGCATAACTTCGTGCTCAATGGTGGCAAAGCGATGCCTTCGAAACCTTCCAAGCCGACTGAAACGGTTATTACGTGTGAGTCTAATTAATTCATTTCCTTCTCACTAATGAACTAGCGTGAGCAGTTGCCCAATCCTCGAAGAAGCGAGACCGGAAACGACCGAATAAAAGGGTGGAAATGAAGGCAGCGACCACAAACTCCCAAAGTACCGAAATGATTGTCGATCAAGATTCTAGCGCGAATAATTCGTTTGAGACGATCGATGCGGCTAACAGCGATCAAAGTGATGATGAGCTCGAGGAAGCGATAAACGAGATCAGCGATAACGAGGTGGTTCAGAACGAACTGACTTCACTGGAGCCTCCATTGGCGCTAGGCATGGTGAGCGAAAGCTTAGATGCGTTGAATGAGGACACACTACAGGGGTTGAGAGATATGCCCCAAATTGCACCCGCTACGCCTTTCGGACATCCATCGTGTATGCGACGCTCTATATCGACGCCATCATTTCTTCCATCCAGAGATATTGAACCATTTGATCCCCTGGGGCATCCGTTCCTTTTACCACCGTTTGAGGAAGGCACCCCACAGAAAGGAATAGGCATGGACTCAAATTTCACTTCACCTCTTCGTTTAGAATGGCCATCTGATCCCACCTTCGCTGACAATACCAACATTCCGACAACGGAGTCGGCAGAACCGGAAGATGTAGCAGAAAGGATCGCTCAACGCGGGTTGAAGGCTACTTCTTCATGCAGAGATCTTGGACTTCTCCCCAGCATAACTTTGGCGCCCTCGCTTCGGAGTCCGAAGTGCGCCAAAAGGCTCCGCTCTCCCCCTACTCCTAGTGGATCCGAAAATAGGTGGCTGTCATCTAACAGCCCAAGTACCAATAGTAGCAACCGACCGTCTACACCGAGATCACACCAGAGGAATGCATCGGAGGCATCCCCGACCTCTTTGCTACAGCGCTTGACGTCTGGACGGACTGGGGTCTCAAATGAAGGATCGATCAGTACCCCGGTCCCAGTGCAACCCCACAAATTGTCTGAATCGGATAGAAGACGATGGTTATTGGCGCTCGAAAGCCCGGGCCCTGGACCACCGTTCCCATCATCCTCTCCGGGGGCGCCATCCTCGGCGCAAAGTAATCGACTCCTTCCACTGACCCTCGGCCAATCGCCGCAGCATCCAACCTTAGGCCGATCGTCGGCACGCAAGGCAGCATCCTTCTTACATCCATTCTCTACCGGCGTTGCAAGCGAGAACTCTTACGATGCCATGTCGTCTTTCCAGTACAACGAAGAAACAGCATCAGCAGAGACTGGGAAGATCGGGACACCATTTGTTACACGTTCCACCCCGCGTCGCTACACGCTTCCATCTTCCATATACGGGTCCTCACCTATGGGTCCTCCCTCAACGACGAGATCCAGATTCATGCACAGTCGCACGCCTTCTCTTGCTCATTCCCACACGCGGAGCAGTAGCATTGAGGAGTTGGGTCACGACGACCCATTTGCCTCTGAATTGACCTTCCCTTATGACCCTCATTCCCGACTGCGCGACCGGCTCCGTGACGGCAAGAAGGAAACGCCGACGATGCTTTCAGGCAGTCCATTCCTTAAGCGATCACGAGAGTCGGAGGCGACCGAAGAGCCTTCTGTGGTCACAGCTCCACCGTCATTGGATGTTTCCGGTCTTGAGTGGATGGATCTCCAAGACTCGAGTCCTGTCAAGAAGAAAGCTAGACTTTCTCAGTAAAGCAGGAACAAACTTAAAGCGACATACACTTCACCAAAGCCCTGAGAACTAATCTTGTATTCCCTTTGCCACGTACACTGACTTTTTAAATCCGTTTGATTCGTCACGCCCTGAGCTCTTTTGTTCCCTTGCTATTCACCACCACAAGATCTATCTTCAATTTAGTGGGACTTTCCTTCTGGTTGATTCGTTTTTTATTCACTGCCTGTTTCTTGCGACGCGTCTCGCTCCTATTTTCTATTTCTCGAGCCTTTTCTACTTCTCGCCGCATGCCTCGGTAATGAGTCAGACACGCACCTATCTGTATCTAACGTCTGTTTTTGTTTCAGTCGACTGTAATTGTAGCTTCTCAGACTGATACTCTGTCGCACACTATCTGATCTTTGCCCCATCACGCTTTGTTGCTACATTAGTAGGATGAATTAGGTTACCATGATCTTATAGCTTCGAACTGACGAGGGATTTTGGAATTCTGACAACTGAACAATTGAACTGTGACACCGACGGTGCTTGATGATAGAAAAGTGCTGAGGACAACCGTTTGGGCACTTCAAAAATTGTCATTGGGACGGAGAGCTCCCCCCACCCCGAGGTGCGAGTCGAGCGAGTCGAGCGAGTCGCTCGGCTCTCAGACGAGCTATCTCTTCCTTGATTCCATGAGGGTCCGTTGGGGGCTTCTGTGTAATCCCAACAGAAGATCATAAGATCATGACAGTTATCAAAGCGTGTCGCCTCAGCTTACATTGGTCTGTTCCGAAGGAGGAAACATACGATCCCTCGCCTATGAGGGAGTTAAGCCAGTCTAGTAGAGAAATAGGTTACGTGCTCACTGACGGGGATAACGTGTTTCTCGAACCAATCCGGATTTCCGTAGTGCAACATCATCACGATAGGAAAAAATACATAAAAGCCAAAGCGAAACACTTCCAAGTTGGGCCCGGCCATTATTTGAGTTATCTTCTTCGACTAAAAAATTGAATTTCCGTCCTCCCCTCGAAGGAATCTCGTGCACGTTCAAAGAACGGATGTGGGTAAGCGCTTCAAGTGGGATAGCAGTCACCTGACCATTCTGCCAGAACTTCTAACGTCTGAAGCAAAATGGTGAGCATTTAGAAGCAGTTAACATTTCTGGCTCAAGGGGCACTCAAGCGACGTCGTACGCTCAGTCCTCAGAACTTCGATTCACCGCAACCACTCAAACCGAGCATCGTAAGTCCCTTCAACTGCATGTGCGTGCGTTCAATCTGACGATTGAATCATCCGATTAGTACACGCACGATATACAGGGACTGGTAAGCTGTGAAGCGCTCACCAGCGTTTAACAGTTTAATCTAATGGCCCATGTTTCTTATGACTTCAAGGACATGCTGACATGAGCAAATAGTTGAGCATCACCCCATCTTGCCGAACAACTAACTCGTTAATTCCTTCGCTTCCTTTGACTTATAGTGATTGGTTAACACACCAGCACCGTGACACATCCGCCTCCGTTATCGGGCATCATTCATTATCGCAATATCTTGCTATTGCTGACAATGAAGCCATTGGACGTGTCAAGTTTGAACAAACCGAGGTAATTGGAATGAAGGAAATTTTTTCTTCATTTTTCCAGTGTTTGATTGCAAATTATTCACCCCATTTATTGACGAAATTTAGCGTATGCTTCAACCATGCGGTCCACCACCACAGAAGGACGACGACTAGTCGCCCTTTCTTCGATCCCGATGGTGTATCTATTTCTTTTATTCTTTCCAAGTGTGCATAATGTGTGGTGTGTCGTCCTAAATTTGCAAGAAGAACTCACGGTCCATCGCCAAACAAGCTGCCCCATTTTCGTTTGTCGAGGCTGTGAACCCCTGACATTCACAGGATCCGCATGTCCCTATAAGTCGTGATGTACCGATTCGAGGAGTTGGGTACAGCATGCCGAAACTTTCTTCATGGGGACAACAAAGTCAATGCAAGCAAAGTGTTTTTCGTCATCAACAAAAGAAAGTTGACATCAAATCAAAAGAAGAACGACAGGAATCCTTAGTCATAACCTCAAAAACGCGCATCACCGTTATGTGGTTTCGCCGCAGATAAAGGTTCAGCGTAGAACTTCATGAGATCTTCAACATCGTCCTTGCTGCCAAGGAACACAGCAGTACGCTGGTGAATCTGAGTGGGCACAATGTCCAAAATACGCTTCGTTCCGGTAGTAGCAACTCCTCCGGCCTATCATCAATGAGCTGCAAGATCAGAACAGTTTTCCTTGTCTCCCATCACAAGACAACGCACTTGTTCGGTTAAGAACGCCATGGGGAATGCCTCATACAATAATCTGAGCTTCCCATTCTTGCTCTTTTTATCATCCGGATAACCGAAAATACCCCCATAGAGCAACGTGCGATGTACGTCGGCCACCATGGAACCGATATAACGAGCACTGTAAGGACTCTTCTTCGGATCTGCAGGATATTTGATAGATTCGAGGTATTTGACGACTGGCTCGTGGAAATAACGGGAGTTGCCCTCATTGACTGGACCAATCCATCATGACATGTGTGCACCGAGAGCCGAGAACAAAAAACAAGCGAAGTCAGCGGGACGTCATATAAACGGAAATGATTCCAATCAGGAATCTAGAAAAGCTTACAGGAATAAATCTTGCCGCGTGGAGGAATCTTAATCTGTATATGGAAAGCAACTCGTGAGCAAGGCGAATCACTGGATTAGGGTATGCCAGTGCGCGGAGATTACATGCCACCTAGAATTGGTAAACCGGTGACTTACGTCAGGATGGGTAAGGATGAACTCTCCGAGTGCGTTATCGAGAGTATAACCATTCACGCCATTTCCAGTGGTAATTACCAGGTTGGCGGATGATCCGTACCTAAGTAAAATTATTTATTTCAACATTCATGATCAGCTTGTGAGAATAATGCCATGGGTCGTGAAATCGTAGGAGGTGAAGGTATGCACGGTACTGCAAGGACTCACATCGTGTACCCAGCAGCAACCATTTCATTCCCTGGTCGAAGGACATCTTGGATAGTACCGGGAGACCCTTCAGGCTAGGTTACATAGTCGGCATGACTATCCTCCCACCACAATGAAACGGAAGAAAGCAAACTCACCACCCGATAAATACCGAAAATAGTACCAACGTTCACACCGGCATCGATGTTACTGCTACCATCGAGCGGATCAAAAACGACGCAGTAGTGCCCTTTGTATTTATCCTCGATAATAATAGCCTCCTCATCTTCTTCCGAGACGAGTACAGCCGTTTTGCCAGACGCTCGGAGGGAATTGATCATGATATCATTCGAAAGCACATCAAGCTTCTTCTGCTCTTCTCCCTGGATGTTAGTTTCCCCTGCAAGGCCGACCCTAAGTCATCCGCGAAGGACGGTAACAACGAAATAAAGGCGACATAATGTCATAATACAGCAACAACGTCAGTGAATGTTCCGAGTTGGAGCCGTTAAGGATACAGGACGTTACTTACAAGTTGATGAGTCGGGCCCGGCGCACATTGTGAGCCAGGAACTTGGATGTGAGTGCAATACTGGTGAGCAAGAGCGTCAAGTCTCCGGTTGCTTCAGCGCCAAGTCGGTACTGGTCAGTAAGAATGTGTCTGTTGGTGATTTCGCCGTCAAGTGAGTAGTCGCCGAGAGGAAAATTGCAGGGATATGACAAGTGTTGTCAGATCGGATACCTAAGATACCGCATACAAGTGGGATCGAGGTCCCAGCTGACCTTGTGAGAGTGATAATATTGGTGTTCGGTGCTTCGCTCTCCATTATAACAATCCTAATAGCGAGTCGCAGAGGAGAGTGCCCAGGTTTGTTCCCTACAAGGAGTAAAAGTACGGGAATAACAGCGTGTTAAGCTCGACGAGTTTAAGCGGGGATCGTCAGCCCCTCCATGTGATACTAAAGGTAGCCGGGAATTCCATTTTTGGCACATTCGGCGGAACATGCCGGTCCGGAAAAGGACGAAGCATCTTCAAAAAAACGTCAAAGCTTCGAGACGCCCTAGATATCCCGACAGATGCTCATAGATTGAGCAGTTTCTGCTCTTGACCAAGATGCATTTATGAGCAGCGTTTGGGTGTGGATTATCGTTCCTCGAGAATCTCTATAGATTCGCTATCTGTTTGAACCTTTCTAAGGTGGATCCATGGAATGAGCCGTTTCGACAAGACTACCATGATTCACGGGGACGGCTACACCAACCAGTTATCCTTACCATTTAGAGACGATCTCTCATTACGGTGTAGCCGTACAACCACAGGGATATCAAGACCGAACAATTATCGTCAAAACCGCCATGATAGAAATGTATGTAAAAATTCGAGAGCAAGTGAGTCGACAGCATCAAACAATCAGTACAAAGTAAGAGAAATGGTAGGACTATGGTAGTGGTGTGAACGGGGATCTCGATGCATACGAAAACCAAAAAAAAGGATAGGAAACTGGGAGGAAAATAAAGCAGCGCGAGGGGTATTTGTACAAATACGAAGAGAATCATTACAGCAAAAGATATCGACTTCCCAGTACCTACGAAGGTGAAATGCTACTCTAATCCAGGTATTATGGAAGTTACAAAAAAAAGATCGACTTCGTAAAAATTTCCTACAATAGGTCAGCTAATGCATCATCATCCGTGCCAGAAGAGTCGTCTATATATTTGTCACTGGTCGAGGCCCGGCCGTTCGCGTTCGCACCGCCGCGTTCGTCTTCGCCAAGCCATTCTGTCAGAAACTCGGAATCGTCCTGCGCCGCCGCCACATTGCCCTTGTCCTTCCTGGCATTTCGAGACCGTTCACGTTCGATATCTTCGTCGATTGCATCAAGAAGATCATCCTGATCCTCTTCAGCATCTATCCCCCTACCGGGAGGGGGAGAAGCCTCTTCTTCTAACTCGTCCATAAGTTCATCAACAGCAACAGGTGGTGAAGGTGCAACCCTTCTTGATGTGCTGGGTCCGGAAATGCCTCCGCCCAAGATATGTTCAAGATCCGTGGCGCGAGATGTGGGAGGTCCCCTAGCCCAAGAAGCACCTCGAGCTTCAGCTAGGACTTCTGCCAAACCTCGCTTCTGTTTCGGAACAGGCCGAGGCGGCGACGGCGACGGAGCAGTCCGGGCTGATCCCCGATCATGCTGAGCGTGGGTGCGACTCGCAATGAGCGATGGCGCCTTGGCCCACCCACTTGAGAAATCTTTAACGCCGCTCGCCATTTTTTTCTTTTTCTGATGCGGCAGACTAGATTCATTGTCGTCTCGCTTTCGTTTGGAATTGCTGCTTTCAGCACCACCGCCACTGGGGCCACTAGCAGCAGTATTGACAAAACGGGAATTTCCCGCTTGAGACTGTTGTTCATGGACCTTCATATGGCTCGCTAGCATCGCCTTACGAGTGAATACTTTCCCACAATCTTTGGCCTCGCAGGGAAAAGAGGTCACTCTGCGTTCGTGACTGTGAATGCGGCGGTGGCGGGCCAACGAGGAGGAGTCGCTGAAGGTTTTGTTGCAATCCGGGTACTCGCACGTGTGTGGCTTTTCCCCAGTATGTATGCGCTGGTGGACCGTAAGGGCGGAACGCTACAGTAGAAAAAAGGAATAACGTATCAGAAGCGAATAGAAAACTCATATCAAAAGAAAAGCCGCATAATGTCTTACCTGAATGAACGCCTTCCCACATCCAGGTGCATCACAAGGGAAGGGTCGTTCGCCGGTGTGAGTTCGACGATGTCTCGTCAGGTCGCTCTTGCGTCCAAATGGTTTCCCACAGTGGTCGCAAGCATGCGTTAGGGCTTTCTTGGCACTTCCTCCGACTGACATTGCCAGAGCTGCCAGGGACACCTCATCCAATTCAGGTGTGCCGTCGGAACCGGCGTCGCTCTCACCCGGGTGGGCGGCCTTAGCGGCGATCTTTCCACCACCGCGAGAAGCGCTAAATTTGCTTGCTCCAGGGGCGGGCGGATGCGCCTCGTCCGCTAACTCGTCCAGCTCATCGACTTCGTCTTCGTAACTTTCTGCAGACTTTTTCGATGGCCGCCGAGATGATGCCGGATGTACGGACCGGGCGGATGGAGCTGAACGGGATTGTCGAGAGTTGCTGATCGTTGCACTAGTCGGCGCTCTGATTGCATGTGCATGCGAAAATGAGGATGATGGAGGGGATGTGATATTAGAATCTGTCGTACTGGGTATGTAGTGAGCGAGCTCGTTGAATAAATTATCCAGGCCTTGGTTGGGTGCGTGGGTATTGCTTCTGGAAGCAGAAGGGTTAAGCGTTACTGATTTGGCAGTAACGTCACGTCGAGGAAGCGGGGAAGCAGGATTAGGGGGTTGGGTGAGCTGAGGATGCCGGAAATGGCTAGGACCAGAATTTGATGATTGGTCTCCATGCATGTCCAGTAGAATATCGTCAACATTCTCATTGAAATTACCCTGACCCTGAGGAGCAGCATCTGCGTCACCTTGACTAGGGACACTATTGCTACGCGAGTCGGTTGGAAAAAACGCCTCCTCAAGTTCATCCACAGCTTCGCTGTCAGAACCCCTATCTGATTCATGAGGGTCCTCTCCAAGGGGATTCGCCAAAATTTCTGAATGAGGTGACAAAGGTTCAGAAGCGGGCGTGTTACTCCTCTGCTTGTTGGCGGCCGCAATAGGAGAATGCACAAGATGTATGCGAGTTGTAGCTTCTCGAGCCTCTCGCAGAGATGTAATGAGATCAGGCTTCTTAGGCTTTCTTGGATGTTTGTGGGCAGATTGAGGAATTTGGGGGTGTCGAGTCAACTGTGCTGTGACATGAGCAGTGGACTGCGGAGGGGGTGGCGAAGGGCCAACATCAGTCCGACGAGACGATGAAACAGATGCCAGCGGTGTTGGGGATCGAAGAGGCTTAGGGGCGTTACTTAGCCGTTCTAATTCACCCCACTCGTCATCATTGTAACCTGGGGTCGAACTATTGGCATCCTGACTGTGAACTGAACTTGATGGCGCAGTAGAAGATGGCCGTGCGACCATAGACTATTGCGCTCGACGATGGCTGCTGACCCAGGGGATGAGAATGGTGGGTAGTTCTGAGCAGTCGCAGGGGAAGGGGATGAGTTGGACTTATTTATTCCAACCTGAAGGAAGGAAGTGGGATACCGCTGTTTGCTGAGAGGAGCTCACGATCAGAGTACCGAGCGCTGGGATTAAAAGCGACAAATAAGTGGTAAGAAACGGTGTATGAAGCCAGGAGAGAGGACAGGAAGATGAGAGACAAGCTCAGAAAAGTCAAGTCGATTTTGAGAGGGTCGACATCACGTGCAAGATTAGGGAGCAAAATCTTTATTCAATTTCACAGCTTCTGACGATTTCCCACGATTTTATGCAGCCCTAGTTTTGCCGACAATTCAGGTCTCGGCCACGAAATGGAAATTCAACTGCTGAAAATTTGGTGCAGTGGTAGCAACAGGGTCAGGGGACTGCTTGCTCGCTACCGCGGCGGGTGAGAGCGCGTTTTGGACGAATCCCTGGGAAGCTGTCGAGTTTAAATTTCTTTTTCGGTAAATTGAATTGAATAATCGTCATCAGAGATGTGATCGAATATCAGGCACATGTTCGACTCTTCCCTCTCTCCGATCTTTTGCTCATCACCTCGGAGGCTGGGCTCTGTCCCCCCCCGGCCCCCCCCTCCCCGTCAATCAGTGCCACCATCGTACAACGATCAAGCACCGCCAGATCAACTATGGCGCAACAATGTCGGACACCATGGGCTTCGATCCTCCTTGACATCGTGGGAGTGGTCGATAGGAGAGTCCGCACTGGCCCTAGATTTCCCCAAAGTGGATGGTTCGGACGCAACCGTCAGCGACGGTTTCATTTAGCCCACATCGCTATAGCCCGATTCGACTTATCGACCTTGGAGAAGCGCGTCGGGCACAACGACTCACCCATACGCCCATTCATCAGTTTCTTATTGCGTCTCGAAATACCCGGCCACCAATCACCGTCCGTGGGCTGATGTACTACTGAAGTTTGATCCAATTTATCCAATTCCACACAACGAAGATTTCCATCAGCTAGTCGTGAGAACAAGATGCATATTCAGAACGGACTGAACTGTCTGCACGGACGTTACCCAAGCCGCAAGTGGCTCAGTGAGCTTGTTTTCTCAAGCAGAAGACTAAACCAGCGGGTCGTTTCTTATCCCCTTGACGTCGACGGATTCAGCAGCTTTTATTTGTCATCGGAGGCGATCCGGGGGTACCACCCGATGCGCAGGTACAAGTGTATTGGATCTGAGGAACATTCAAGGCACGGGCTCGTTGAGGGAAAATCACCACTAGTGCATCTCCCACTTGCAATAAGAAGCATGACTGCCAATCAATATGATTCGGCTAGTAACCATTAGGCAAACCGAACCCGACAGATCTTCACATGTGGCGGGAGCGGAGGGATACGTTTCTCGCGGTTTTTCGGAAACAGACAAAAGGCCAGGTTCTTCCACCTGCAGGGTAGAAGGAGCAACAGTGTCAGCCACCATCTAGAGCCGTATGCGCTGTTGGTCGTAACTCAGCGGTGAAGGGGCAGTGTGACTGGTACGACTGGATACTGTTGCATGGTATCTTTCATGAGATGAGGTAAACGTGGCAGTGACCAGGACCCGGAATCTTGTCCCATGGGGAAAAGGTCGTAAGGTGGCGATCCCACAGAGCATCAAGCCACTTGTATCTTGGGACCGTGTCCCACCTACGCATGATGTCACGACGACAGCTGGGAACAACGATCTTGGCTCCCGAAAATATATCGGGTGCTGCATTCTGACAGGGACAAGACGGCTAGACCATTCGAGCCCGCAAACTTATTGTGATGCCACTAAGGGGCCTATTGCGAAAGTAGTCTGGACCCCACGTCATTCTCCTGAATCCTGCTGCTATAGAGCACAACACAGCTGGATAATCATATCGGAGTCCATAGCAGAAGCAGGCGAAGAATTCGTAAGCTGCGTCTCCTGATGTGCTCCGCAAGCACACTTTCAGCCCCCCTTGAGACTTCGAGACGAACCGCCGCCACTAGGATGCTGGGCTACGTCCAAATGCCCCGGTACCAGAAAATGCCTGAACTCTAGCCTTCCCAAGACAAGCCTCATATTCTCCAACCGTTCCTTACGGAGCACCACCATCTCCCTCCCAAGTTCTGAACTTGGAGTTCCCAAAAACGTTATACGTTGTTGAAACTGCCATCAAATTGTTTCCCAACGATCTCCCAAATACCATTTATAAAATTGGGGAAGAAAACATTTCGCGACGTTGGAGTGAAAGTGTTTTGGGAGGGACACGATTACGTTTGCTGGAGGGGAGCCACAAATTGCCAATGAACTTGTTCCATGTCGTGTTTTTTCTGCCAGTACGCGATCCTCTTTCGAAAACATTGATCTACATCTAGTCTGATTGCTCATGAACAAGCAATAATCTACCAGGGGGGCTCGGTATAATCTAATGGGGGATTGGACTTGGCTAGTCCACATGTCCTGGCCGTCTCCAAAGCATATGACAGATAATAGGCCCTTAATGCATCCAAAGAGAGAAGCATTACTGCGGCTCTCGCCACTTTGGAAGTCACTCCAGAGGCAACTTGATATGGTCATTGTCGGATCATTAGTCGTACACAAAGAGAGTGGGGAAGTAGGAAGGTTGAGGATGCTTGGCGGGAGTCGAAGATGATAGGCGATGGGCCCAAACAGTACCAGGTTAGCTTCTTCAATCCATTTCCTTGTTTGAAAATCCCCTTTGTGTGGACGAATGAATAGGTCTGAGATTAACCAGCATGAATGAACCCCTGGTAGCCTACCTATATAAACGCTGCCACGCGCACACAGTCATTCAAGCTGTACAGTTGTAGGAACCCGGGCTCAGGGAAGAGGCATTGTGAGAGGGAAGAATTTAATGTCCCCAAGGGAATCAACTGCGCACAACTTGTTAGCCATATCCCCTCACTGTATGGTCTGTGTACCTCACTGGCGGAGGTTCTCCACTACCGCGCGGCGGAGCCCCTCCTGTCCGGGATTGATCGGATGCCTGAGAGCTTCACATTGCAACAATAACCGATTGCAAATGCGGCGTTGGCTGCGGGCAGGCTATTATAAGTGTTACGCAACAGAGCAGATTTCGCCAATTGACTTGTATAATGCAATAGTGGCCCTGCCAATCATCTAGGCTGACCACCCAACCAATCATCACTAGTGAGTGGGCAGGGATCCACTGGACCATACTATTTGAGATTCTAACGCCAGCTGGCGCTGCCTGGGAAAGGCTGTGCATACTATCCTATAAAAGGAACCAAGGAGAGGGGCGCTTCCAGGTCTCGTAATAGCATCCCAGAGATCCTTGTGGTGGTTGAGCATGAACAGTCACAATTACATATCATTACGTCAGCACTGCTGCGGCATCCACAGGCGCGTGGCCAAGCTGCCTGGTTCAATGGATATTTCACTCCATCAGCCTTCGCAGATGGGAGGGGGAAGGCCTTGCTGTAATCCCCCGCTTTATTGTAGTTGTTCGCACATTTCGAAATCCTCGAACAATCTCCAATAGTACTACCCTGTTGCACATCGTCCCCCCGGCCCCGTTCAACTCGGATAGAGCAACCTGTGGTCGCAAGAATCCGTTGATTGACCTACTTATTCGCCTGGATCTTCAAATCACACTATGTCTATATCTCATCGAAACGCAGAGACGACAGGCTTGACCCATACCTTGCTGGCATTCTCCTCTCGTTCTGTACGAAACACGACTATCTCTCTTTCTTCCTCCACATCCAGCTCCAACTCTCCAACCCCTCTCTACGTTACTGAGACCCCGGGGAAATTCGGTGATCCACCTAACACGATATACAAGGTCAGCAGCGACGGAAAAAAGGAACATGTTGCTACCTTGATTTGGAGAACGTTTCGAAAGGATCAGATTATCATTGGTGGAGAGACAAAGGAGTTGAGGCAAGTTTTGCCTATGAAAGGATTCTTTTGGTGTGTGTTGCTTTGACGTGAAAGTAAGAAGGGGAACGAACTAACGCTTGCACACGACATTCATTTTTTTAGCAGATATACGATGCCTACGCTGACAGGAGATTGGGTGTGGAAAACTACATGCGATAGGCCCGAGGTATGTTACCTTCATCACAGCTAGATACGCTCATGGTTCTAATCTTCCATCTTTGAAACGCACGTATATAACGTCGTTGGATATCCCAGCTCTTCAACGCTTCAGGCAAATCCATGGCAAGTTATTACAAGATTTTCAGAAACGAGAAGAAGAATAAACCCCCTGCAGAGATGGCTGTAGCGCCAGAGGCGATGACCATGCTTGACATGGTGATCATCGGTCTCCTTTGCTCTCGTCAAGCCATAAGAAGATCGAGACGTAGACGAAGTTCGGGGTAATCGTGTGCCTTGAATGGTTTTCATGCCAGAGTCTAACCGAGAACGCATGCCTGCCATCCCACATCGAGACCTTCTGACAGTCCATGATCCTATTTGGTTCTAGTACGTTGTTCGCCCGCTTCTCGTCGCAATGTATGTATTTGTATATGTCAGCCATGTACTGAGTGAGTTTCATAGCAGTCACCATTTCGCGGACTGGTGTCTGTCGAAACTCATCTGGTATGTCTCATTTTCAGCGGGGTCCACCGCCACCGCATACATTCTTGCTGGCCAAAGATACGGGATACGAGTAATAGCGCCTCATGGGCAGAAGTCGATTCCCAAAACACCTGCCAAGCTCCCACAACGCCCTAGATCGGATCTTACCCACGATCGAAGAAAGGCCGGCTATTTTGCTTGTTGCTTGCTTCTCCTCACGGACAAAATAAACCTTTTCTCCCATTTCCTGCTTGCCTAACAAGGATCGTCACAGATCCTCAGACGCCATCGAGTTTCCGACTGAGAAACCGAAGGGCCAACCCGAATCGTGTCTATCTGTGGCTTTTGGTGATTTTATGCCGCATACGATACGCAGGAGCAAAGAAGACTGGCATTTGGGGCACCTTTTAGGTCTTTGGCGCCTATCTATTCGACACATCGGAGCAATCAACAGTGGCAACAGTTGGGATCGGAGAAATCCAAACAAGATAGCGCCAGCGGAGGATGAAGGAGAAGGCCACCAGTGGCGCAGAACACCACTTTTTGCGACACATGTACATTAGGCCGGCAATCCTCAGCGAGAGTCTTGTCACACTCTGACGTTTCGGTTCCGAATGGCGGCTGGTGGTCATCAAGGCTGTGCCTGTCTTGTTATGTTACGGAGAATTACTGTAACGCCCCTCGCTCCTGTAGCAGCCGTGAGGATCTGGCTGGGGGCAAGGGGTGCTTGAAAATTGGCGGCTGCAGCTGCGCACCTCGGTTCAGTGGGTGATGGAATCGTCGATACAAAAGCGTGATCGAATACTCCCAAAAGAGAGAAGGTCACGCTATGAACGCAGCACGAGTGTCTCCGGACTGCGGTACCGCAGCGGCCGCGAATCCTAGATAGAACCCTGATTGTATTGGCATCGCCTCACTGAAATCGGAGACGCAGAAGGGAGATGAGACATTGTGGTGGTTCCCCTCCCAACCCATGGTAGGTGTTCGCACACTGTCCATTTCGGAATTCGCGAGTAATCTCCAATCGTAGCCCCGTCGCACCGCATTCCCTAGTTCACTCGGATAGAGCAATTTGTGATCGCAAGAATTCGTTCATTGGCCCACGTCACTGGAACCTTCAAATCACACAATGTCTATATCTCCTCGAAACACAGAGACGACAGGTTTGATGCATACATTGCTGGCATTCTCCTCTCGCTCTGTACGAAACACAACAATCTCTCTTTCTCCTTCCACATCCGGCCTCGACTCTCCAACCCCTCTCTACGTTGTCGAGACCCCGAAGAAATTCGGTGATCCACCTAACACGATATACAGGATCAGCAGTGACGAAAAGAAGGAACACGTTGCTACCTTGATATGGAGAACGTTTCGAAAAGACCTGATTATCATTGGTGGAGAGACAAAGGAGTTGAGGCAAGTTTTGCCTATGAAAGGATTCTTTTGGTGTGTTACTTTGACATGGAAGCCGACTAGGAAGGGGAATGAACTAACACTTGTTCATTTTTTTAGCAGATATACGATGCCTACGCTGACAGGAGATTGGGTGTGGAAAACCATATGCGATAGCCCCGAGGTATGTTACCTTCATCACAACTAGATACGCTCATGGCTCTAATCTTCCATCTTTGAAACCCACCGAACATAACGTCGTTGGATATCCCAGCTCTTCAACGCTTCAGGGAAATCCATGGCAAACTATTACAAGATTTTCAGAAACGAGAAGAAGAATAAACCCCCTGCAGAGATGGTTGTAGCGCCCGAGGCGATGGCCATGCTTGACATGGTGATCATCGGTCTCCTTTGCTCTCGTCAAGCCATAAGGAGATCGAGACGTAGTCGTTCGGGGTAATCTTGCGCCTTGAATGGTTTAGTCTGATCGAGAACGCACGCCTGCCATCCCACGTCAAGACCTTCTGACAGTCCATGGTCCTATTTGGTTCTATGTTGAAGTTCGCGCTTCTCGTCGCAATGTATGTATTTGTATATGTCAACCATGTAACTGAGTGAGTTTCATAGCAGTCCCTATCTCGCGGACTAGCGTCTGTCGAAGTAATGCAATCCATCTGCCAGTGGTATGTCTCATTTCATCTGATATTGCGAGGTCGGTCATCGCCACCGCCACCACATACATTCTTGCTGGGCAAAGATATATACGGGTGATAGCGCCTCATGGGCAGAAGTCGATTCCCAAGAAACCTGCCAAGCTCCCACAACACCCTAGATCGGGACCTTGCCCACGATCGACGAAAGGCCGGTTGGCTATTTTGCTTGCTTCTTCCCATAGATTAAATCCACCCTACAATAAACCATTTCTGCTTGTCTAACAAGGATCTCACAGATCCTCAGACGCCACCAAGTTTCCGACTGAGAAACCGAAGGGCCAACCCGAATAGAGTCTATCTGTCTTCTCAACACATCCTATTCCGGAAACAAACGTCTCGCTTCGTTCAGCTTCATCGTCAGGGGGAGTTCTAAGTGTATGCTCTCGTGTTGGTTCGCTTATTCCAAGGTATTAGGGTGACACAGTGACGACAGAATTTGTAAAAGATTTGATCATGGTGGGTTGAAAGACATTATGGGTTTTTTCTGGCGAGCGGCAATGTGCTTGTCATGCGATTGATCGTTCTATCCTGGCTTTCGGTGATTTTACGCCGTATACGATACGCAGGAGCAGAGAAGACTGGCATTTGGGTCCTTGGTGCCTAGCTATTTACACCTAACAGTGCAACAGTTGGGATCGGAGGAATCGAGCCAGTGGAGGATGAAGGGGAAGGCCACCAGTTGCGAAGAACACCATTTTGCGATGCATGTACGTGCATTAGGCCAGCAATCCTCAGCGAGAGTTTTGTCACACGTCCCCAGTGATGTTTCGGTTCCGAATGGTGGCTAGCGTCACCAAGGTTGTGCCTGTCTTGACGGAACATTACTGTAAATTGTGTAATGCCCCTTGCTCTTGTAGCAGCGTACAGGCCGACGGTGCTAGTGCTGTCAAAGCGTGATCAAATCCTCCCAACAGAGAGAAAGTCGTGCTGTGAACGCAGCACGAGTGTTGGATGAACAAGTTGTTATATGCACACTATTACCCAGACTCCTACCGGTGTGCCCAAAGATGCAAGACTGAATTATGCATGCTGGGCAGACTATGTTAACTTCTGCTGTTCAAGAGCAGAACTTTCAGCGGGCTGTGTCGAGTGCTACCGTTCAAGGGCTGAACTCCTAGCAGACGATTTTGGATACTGGTCCAAGCTCATCTTACTGTGATGTGGCAGGATCAGCTGGTCCGATGTTGAACCTAGGGCTGGTGTGCACAGCGTCATCGATGTCGACTTTCGTGCCATCTCTCACAATCCCTACAGTACCGTTAGCGCCATTCAATTCGCTGTCTTAGGCATTGTCTCCGCTTACTCCACAGATCCTGGGACTTCAACAGATTTTGCAACTCTAATGTACCTCCAAAATGCCGATGAGCTCCTTGATAGCTTGGGGAACCCTTCACACGATTTTGGGACATGAACACTGCCCGACTTCCGTTCCATTCTTATTTCCCATAGTTTAGCTCCTCATTTTGTTTTTGTCCTGATCCTGACTTCGACGCCTGCTCTACTACCGTAGTACCCCTTTACACTTTGTTTTCATTCTAATTCTTCCGACTTTACACTGTCATTCGTTCATTTGGGGTCCTAGTATAGGTACTTATTCTGCGCTGCTGAGCCCACCCAACAGGGAGTTTCAACAGGGGGGCCTATGCTGTGAAGGCTGTGACTCGAAGCTCTCGCTTGCGAGGAATTTGTATTCACTTGGCCTAAGCACAGCTTGTGTCACGGTGTGGTGGGCCCTTATTGAAAATGCCCTGTTGGGTCGGCTTCACCTGCCTAGCAGCACAGAATGGGTACCCTATAGGGCCCCACTCCTGGCTGAGCAAGGAGAAACGACAGAAAGAGGGGGAGCTCATGTAGTAAATGAGAATACATGGCCAGGACTATCAACTCGAAGCCGCAGAACCTTTGGACCTATGAAGTACTGGGACTTCCACTGTCCGGCCAGAATTGAGACGCATTGCTTATGTAAGCGTCACCAGATCATGACCTACTCTGGTGCAGAGTAATGGTTATGTCAGCACTGCTGTGGCTCCACAGGCGCGCTGCAGGGATAGTTTATTCCCTCAGCCTTCGCAGATGGGAGGGAAGACCTTGCTGTAATCCCCCACCCACTATATTCGCACATCTCGGAATCCTTGAGCAATCTCCAATAGTACCACCCTATTGTACATCGTTCCTCCCCGTTCACTCGGATAGAGCAACCTGTGGTCACAAGAATCCGTTCATTGGCCTACTTATTCGCCAGGGCCTCAAATCACACAATGTCTGGATCTCATCGAAACACAGAGACAATAGGTTTGACACATACCTTGCTGACATTCTCCTCTCGCTCTGTACGAAACACAACTATTTCTCTTTCTTCCTCCGTATCCAGTTTCAACTCTCCAACCCCTCTCTACGTTACTGAGACCCCGAAGAACTTATTCGGTGATCCACCTAACACGATTTACAGGGTCAGCAGTGACGGAAAGAAGGAACATGTTGCTACCTTGATTTGGAGCATGTTTCGAAAAGACCAGATTATCATCGGTGGGGAGACAAAGGAATTGAAGCAAGTTTTGCCCATGAAAGGATTCTTTTGGTGTGTGTCACGTTGACGTGAAAGACGACTATGGGGAATGAACTAACGCTTGTACATGACTATTAGCAGACATACGATGCCTACACTGACAGGAGATTGGGTGTGGAAAACCTTAGGCGATAGGCCCGAGGTATGTTACCTTCATCATAACTAGACACGCCCATGGCTCTAACCTTCCATCTTTGAAACGCACGCATATAACGTCATTGGATATCCCAGCTCTTCAACGCTTCAGGGAAATCCGTGGCAAACTATTACAAGATCTTCAGATACGAGAAGAAGAATAAACCCCCTGCAGAGATGGTTGTAGCGCCCGAGGCGATGGCCATGCTTGACATGGTGATCATTGGTCTCCTTTGCTCTCGTCAAGTCATAAGAAGATCGAGACGTAGTCGTTCCGGGTAATCGTGTGCTTTGAACGGTTTTCATCCCAGAATCTAACCGAGAACGCACGCCTCCCATCCCACGTCGAGACCTTCTGACAGTGCATGGTCCTATTTGGTTCTACGTTGTTCGCCCGCTTCTCGTCGCAACGTATGTATTTGTATGTCAGCCATGTACTGAGTGAGTTTCATAGTAGTCCCCATCTCGCGGACTGGTGTCTGTCGAAGTGATGCAATCCATCTGGTATGTCTAATTTTCATCTGATATATGCGAGCTCGGTCGTCGCCACCGCCACCACATACTTCTTGCTGGACAGAGATACAGGTAATGGGCAGAAGTCGATTCCCAACGTGCTTCCCACGGACAAAATCCACCCTACAATAAACAATTTCTGCTTGCCTAACGAGGATCTCCCTCTCGGATCCTCGGACGCCACCAAGTCTCCGACTGAGAAGCCGAAGGGCCAATAGAGTCTGTCTGTCTTCTAGATGCGAACGTCTCGCTTCGATCAGGAGGAGTTCTAATTCCCCAAGGCATTAGGGTGAGGAGGGAGCACAGAGTGACGGCAGAATTTGTAAAAGATTTGATCACGATGGGTTTCTTCTGGCAAGACTGACCGTTCTACCTTGATTTATGCTGTATACGATACGCAAGGGCAGGGAAGACTGGCTTAGGTCTTTGGCGCCTAGCTATTTGACATATCGGAGAAATAGAGCCAGCGGAGGATGAAGGGGAAGGCCACCAGTGGCGAAGGACACCAATGCTGTGCCTGTGTTGTGTGATGGAGAATAACTGTCATGTCCTTTGCTCTTGCAGCAGCGTGAGGATCTGGCCAGAGGCAGGAGGTGCTAGAAAACCAGCTACAGCTGCGCACCTCGGTTTGGGTGATGGAATTGTCGATGCAAATAAGCACACTGTGCATTACTGTCGAAGCGTGATCGAATACTTCCCACAGAGAGAAAGTCATGCTGTGAACGCAGCACGAGTATTTCCTAACTGCGGTACCGCAGTACCCGCGGACCCTAGATAGCATCTTGATTGTATTGGCATCGCCTCACTGAAATCGGAGAGGCAGAAGGGGAGATAAGACCTTGTGGCAGTTCTCCTTCCCAACGCATGCAGTTGCCCGCACACCCATCTCGGAATCCTCGAGCAATCTCCAAAAGTAGCCCTGTCGCACCTCATTCCCTCCCCCCTGGCCCACCCGGATAGAGCAACTTGTGACCCCAAGAATCCGTTCATCGGCTTACTAATCCGCTAGGACCTTTGAATCATACAATGTCTGTATCTCATCGAAACACAGAGACGACAGGTTTAACACATACCTTGCTGGCATTCTCTTCTCGCTCTGTACGAAACACAACTATCTCTCTTTCTCCTTCCACATCCGGCCTTATCTCTCCAACCCCTCTCTACGTTGTCGAGACCCCGAAGAAATTCGGTGATCCACCTAACACGATATACAGGATCAGCAGTGATGGGAAGAAGGAGCACGTTGCTACCTTGATATGGAGAACGTTTCGAAAAGACCTGATTGTCATTGGTGGAGAGACCAAAGAATTGAGGCAAGTCTTACCAAGGAAAGGATTCTTTTTGTGAGTGTCAGTCACTTCGGGTTGAAAGATAAGCAAGAGGTGTGAACTTACACTGGTACATGACTTTTATCTTTTTTTAGCAGGTATACGATGCCCACGCTAACGGGCGATTGGGCATGGAAAACGCTATTCGATAGGCCCGAGGTAAGTTACCTTCACAACAAGATACACTCATGGCTCTAATCTTTCATCTTTGAAACGTACGCACATAACGTCATTGGATATCCCAGCTTTTCAACTCTTCAGGGAAATCCGTGGCAAAATATGACAAGATTTTCAGAAACAAGAAGAAGAATAAACCCCCTGCGGAGATGGTTGTAGCGCCTGAGGCGATGGGAGTGCTTGACATGGTGATAATCGGTCTCCTTTGCTGTCGTCAAGCTATTAGGAGAGAGAGGAGTTCCGGTGGGGGGTAACTATGTGTCTTGAACGATTTTCATGCCAGATCAGAAAGTCCAACCGTGAACGTGGGAACGCACCGTCGCATGTCAAAACCTTCTGATCTCGTTTGGGTCTGCATTGTTCGTCCGCGTCTTGTCGCGATGTGTGCGTTTGTGCACTTCAGCCATGTACTGGGTTTCATAGCAGTTCTCACCTTGCGAATCAGCGCCTGCTGAAGTGATGCAATCTATGCTGCATATTCCCTGCCATCCGACATGTGGCGGCTCGGCCATCGCTACCGCTACCACGTATATTCTTATCAGGCGATATGAGCACAGGGCCTCGTGGAAGAAATCGCTCACAAAAAAAACACAAGTCCCACAGCTTCCTGGATCAGATCTTGCCAGCAATCGAAGAAAGGCTGGCTGTCTACTTTGGTTCGTTACTTCCTCCAAAGGACAAGATCCACCCCACATAGTTTTAAACCATTCCCTTCGTCTCTTGTTTTTCAAGATGGTTCGCCCCCATAAATCCTCGAATCCGATTGAGGAGCCGACTAACGTACCCGAATAGGTGCCGGGAATTCAAGAGAGGCTTCAGTCACCACGGCCTTAAGGTGAGGTACAACGTTATATTTCTTTCTTCAACCATGGCGCTTTCAGCGCTTCGACTTCGCTTCGAAAGCATAAATATTCATCCTCTGCTCGTTCAATGCCTCCCTCAGTTCACTCTCGTAGAACTGAGCACGCGTCATAGCATCTATCTAAGACTGTCACAATAGGGCCAACTTGTCTTCTCAGCACTTCCCATTCCCAATACGAACGTCTCGCTCCTCTTCATCATCGGGGAGGGGTCTTGAGTTAATGACGAGTGTTGGGGCGTGCACTTGTGGTAGTTCGAAATATAAGACGATAACACTCGCGACAGAAGAGGGGGTACTTATTCCCAAAGGTTTAATCACGGTGGGCTGAGTCCACCTGTGATGGGTTTCTTCCGACGAGTAATAACATGCTTGTCATCCGACCGACCGTCCAACCTTCGCTTTTTTTCTCTGGTATACGATACACAGCAGCAAAGGGGACACAAAGAGTGAAACAGGCAAGGGTAGCTCAAAGTCTACTCCCAGTTCACGTGGACCTAAGATTTACCAGGAACGTCGTCACAACGGGGAACAAAGGTGAAGCTGATTGGATCAGTCCTCAGTGGCGAGCTGAATCCATCGTATCCGCTTAATCAGTCTTTTGGGTCGTCCAGTGTCTCCCGTGTACGCAGCATGGTCACTTCGTATGAACGCAGCCTTGTCTATCTTGGCGCTATTAGACGCATCAGAGAAACCAAGGTCGAGATCGGAGAAATCCACAATAGTGTCACTGGAGGATTAAGGTGGCATAGCATCTCCTGTGGTTACATATTGCAGGTTGAGCAAGCTCTAGCTTGGCGACCTTCTGTCCTGGGGAACAACTTGCTAGCTGGTGCTTCGGCCCCGACCGAGCCTTGGGGCTATGGGAACTTCATCTACGACGTTGACCACCCTAATCCTATCTCCCTTCCTAAGGGATCAAAGTCAATGTCACGTTAATCGGGTATGTGTCAGGAAAATGAAACTCTTATTGATATGTGCTACAGTTGCTGAGTGTCTTGGCCAAACAGAGGCAACTGGGCGAATCCGGATGAATCTTTGCTTGTCAATATTGTCCCTGGCGCCGGAAGGAGAACAAGGGTGCGTTGATACCCAAAAAATATTCCATATGGGTTCGTCATGCTCGGAGTTTTCCTATCCCAATGAACTCAAACAACACGATTCTCCGTATTACATAAATTCGATATGTCACAGTTCGTGAGCGATGGTACGCTTACGTGCAGCCGAAAGGCAACGGAACAGTTGGTGTATCCAACACAGTCATTATGTCGGTCGCAACATCATGGGGTTTCTTCGTAACTCAAATGCAGGACCGTTGAGACGAACTCGACCGCTATCCTTAAATTGTAGTGAGTGTGAATCAGATTTCTGCACTTTGTTCATGGGGATTGTCCTGGGGATGGTCTTAGTAAACCCCTTTCGTCTTTCTTGCCCATACCTGCCGTTTGGCGGCTTTTTCTCTTTGCGTACTTTTTCCAAAGAAACTGCTGTGGTCAACATCCAGGTCAATCCCGCCGCGTAGCAGACTACAATTAATTCCCCCAATAGACACACGATTCAGCTTGTAATGCGCATGGGGCCTGTGGGATTCAGGATTGGGTTATACTCAGAGCCTTGGATCCGACAATTTCGTCGACTCGGCCGGCACATATAGTCGCAATATCTGCGGTATGGTCTCCTTGCGTTGCTGATCTTGCAGAGGGCTTGGGTTCCAATTTAGTGATGAACACGCGGAGTGCGCCTGGCATGAATCGAGGCTGACGCATCAGGTCGATGAGCTTGAAGTGCTCAATTGACGTTGGAGCCATTCGTGTGCAAGCGGTTGAGGCTGGAGGGGGCTTAAGGCGGACTGGGATACTGCGGTTCGATGGTCAAGATCCCACGGATCTCAAGACTAAAGATACATGATCTTGTACATTCGATCTTCGGCCCCTGACACAAAGGGTCAGCAATCGGTGCGATATTGAGCGTCACCAGTTTCTGACATGAAGGGTTCTTAGGATGGCGTTACTAATCGATGTTACTTGGTACGCCTATTTTGGTGGTTTTATGTGTGTCAATGTCCACATTGGTGGGATTACTCCACTGCATAGAATCTTCCCTTCCAGTGTTTGTTAGACGGCAAGCTTCGGAAGTTGATTTACATCACGTGGACTGACTTTGCCGCCGTTCGGACGTTGAACTTGAACCACTGAATCTTTTTACGGCATCATTGCAATACTTGTGACAATCCTTTTTCCGTGGCCATTCTTGACGTGTGGGAATCTGTATGAAGGGGCCATGTGCAATTATATTTGAAGGGATACTTGTCTTGCTGACTTCGGAGGAGAGTCTGCGGGACAAAATCGTCCTGCACATATTTAAGCTAGCATTCTGGAATGCTGGCGACACTCATCAAACATAACCCTCTTTCCCTACTCCTCTGAGCCTTGAGATGTTCTTCGCTAGAATTTTGCAAGCTCTTGCCTGCATCGGTAGTACCTCCTGTACCCCCCCGTTGCAGTTCAAACAAGCTCTAGCTCGGCAACCTTCTGTCTTGGGAGACAACTTACTAACTGGTGGTGCTTTGGCTTCCGGGATTCCCCAGCTTCAACTTTGGGGTTACGCGAGCTTCATCTATGAAGGTGCCCAACCTAATGTTATCTCTATTCCTGCGGGGCGCAGAGTCAATATCAAGTTACTTGGGTACGTACTTGGGAGAGCGAAACTCCTTGTTGATATGTGCTAGATCGAGTTAATGAGTGTCTTGGCTGAACAGAGGCAACTGGACGAATCCGGATGGATCACTGCTTGCCGATGTTGTTCCTGGTATCGGAGGAGAGCAGGGGTACGTTGATATCAATGGAGTATTTCACATAGGTTCGTCATGCTCCAACTCTACTATTAATGAACTCAAAAATGAAAGCATAGATGTTCGATATGTTGTACAGTTCGTGAGCGATGAAAAATACGCTTACGTGCAACTGAAAGGCAATGGAACCGCTGGTCAATCCAATAAAGTCACCATGTCGGTCGCACATCTTCAACTTCCTGGGGGAGTTTCTTCATAGCTCATTTTGCGATATATATATAGGACCGTTGAGACGGACTCGGCCGCTAACCTTAGATTCAACAACCAGATATTGTACTCCCATGGTGTATTCAACGGGAGCTACCAGAACGCTGTAATATGGGCAATTGTGGTGAGTTTGAATCAGATCTTAGTCAATCAGCACTTTGTTCATGGCAACTCGAACTGCATACAAACCCGTTTCTCCGAATAGGACTCATTTGAGTTTTGATCTGTGGAGGATGGTGATGGAACATCTTAGTGAACTCTTTTCGTCTTTCCCGTGCCAATCTGGGAGCATCCTCCCTCCTTGTTGTACTCCTTTCCAAAGCGGCTATCGTTGTCAGTGTCCTGCTGCTCAAGTCAATCAATCCCCCCGTGAGCATATCTGGTAATGCCCACGAGGGGCCTGTGGCTAAAAGGTCAAGGATTTAAGATTGGCCCAATATTCCACCGATTATCAGCCCCATCGCACTGGGGACTGAGATCGAATATAAAAGATTTGCGCAATCGCTGGAGACCGTTGAGATCCATCAATGCCACTCACGTCGAGCTCTTCAAGCTGGCATGTGTCAGGTCATCTTGCAGGGATAGTACATGTTAGTGTGGCGTGAGCACTTGGGAAATGTGTGTCAGTTGGTGAACAAGACTGTAGGATTATCTTCGAGGCAGGTGAACTGAGCTAGGGAGAGAGAGGGAATGTAGCTATTAAGCCTTCAGTGTCGCAGTGAGCAGCAATAGAGACGAAGTCAGTGAACAGTTTCACCGTACAAAGGTAGATCGTTTAGTATTCCAGGTCGGTGTTTAAGCAACGTACACCGGAGGGTCGTTGACTCTTTCAGTGCTCAAGCCTCACGGGAGTGTGGTACCATTCAGAAGAATACTTGCGCGAGGGACATTTCAATCAGTGCCGTAGAGCGCACCCGAGCCTTACTGTGTAAGCCAGTGAGGATGCCTAGTCGTTACTGCACCACTTGATCCTGAGTCGTGGGCACTGCCTTCTCAATCTTTGTTCTGTCCAAGTCATCATTGAGGTGCACACCCGGGTTAAAGTGTAGAATGGGCATTGCTACGCAGTCTCTTTCAAGTGGGAAGGTGAGGCATGGACAGGGCACTATATTCCACCTCTGGAACACCATACATCGGAACGAGGTCAAGAGGTCAAAGTCCGTAGCGCTCGAGATGGGAGTGATTCTTGGCTGTTGTGTACATAGATGCCGCCTGAGTGAGGCGAGTGAAGACAACGTAAGAGTTAACGCCACCAACGATGAGGTGAGCGAAGGCATCGCTGGGCGAGATTTGCGAGGCCAAAAACAAAAAGTGAGAAAAAGCGAGGCGAGCCAATGAGAGCAAGAAAGGCGAGGCGACCAATCGGAGTGGCTCGATCGTAACTCACCCCAAAGCCCAATGAAGAATCGAGCGGCATTGGAGAAAGCGAAGAGTCGGACAAAAGGACTGAGAAAACGTAAAGGATCCATGAGTGTTAAGAACACAAGGGTCATCGTGCGAACTAAAATGAGTCGGTACCGATACCTTAAAGTGCGAACCGATGAGCGAATCAGAGATTGAGAAACGGTCGCTGCCCGACCCGAGCTCTAAGAATAAGGTATGTCGGAAAACACTGCGGAAGCGTTGTAACCCGTTACAAGGCGTTGTAACGCCTTTCAACGGCACGTGCCGTTCTAACGCTCTCAACACTGAACTCGATCGTTCCAACGCTTCGAGGCGTTGTAACGCTTTGCCTCCGTTTCAACGCGTTGCAACGGCAACAAGGTAGGGTCAACAAAAAGAGACAACCCCTTGCAAGCCAGGATTGAAGCATACCTTCACTTCATTACATCCCCACACATTATCCTCGATTTTGGTGACTCACATTTCGGAATAGGATCAGAACTAAATATCATTAAATGGTTGGTACAGGTGGGAATTGAACCGAGGAACACTGTGATCATTATAGTAAGTACATTCATAACCGCTACACTACCATGCACTCTCAGCTCTGCGCTGATATGTTGACATAAAGTTGTATCAATCATAGGCCTTTTGAGTGTATATGGGCTAGTATTCTCAATATGTGTACACCCGCTGTGGGATTGAGGTCTAACTCATTGTGGCTCTCAATGGTGGTGCTATGTGGAGTTAGAATTCGAACGAAGTTGAACGTGATTGTTGTTCATTTCAGCAGTGGTATTGAGGAGAACATGAGTGCAAACACAAATCAGAACTCAGTGAACGAAGTGGCTTAAATAAGAATGTGCGGTGGACATTGAGGGTGGTGGAACATGGAGCGATAAAGGAAGATTCCTATGCTGGACACTGACAGTTGATGGGGGGTGCACTCTGTGTGTGGTCGGAATCGTTGTCCATGCTGTCCCTGAATGACATGTTACGACTCAGCGCCCGGCCTCCCATATGGAACCCCACTGGTTAAAATGACACAGGAAGAGAACGGTGGGGTTGTTGGGGATTTGTCACTTGCTGAAGTGGTCGTTCGCTGTGAGAGTGGCTTGACCGTCAAGTAGGTAGACGTCATCGATGTGAAGCAAGTGAAGGTAATTTGTGGCAATGGATCATGGAACGTGTGTTTGCCTGAGTATGGGGGACTCCCATGTGGCTTGGAAGTACAGGGTATGGAAATGTGAGTGTACAGTTGCTGCAGCCGTGGTTGGCAGTGAAGGGGAAGTGCGTCCATGCGTTTGTGAACAGGGATGTTTACAGCGGGGCTGAGTATTTACAATTTGATTTTTGCATTGAGCGTTGGAACGGACTAGCAAAGTGTTGGAACAAATTAATAAAGCGTTGGAACGGATCAATAAGGCGTTGAAACGCGTTGAGAGCTCTTAACGCGTTAAAACGAAATTCCGTGTTTTCCGACATAGCCAGATATATGGCACGTGTATGACTCAGCGCGCTGGATCTGGTACATGTGTTGATTCAATCGATGCGCAACCGGGTTCGCTCCCATCATGCCCGGCCACCTCCGCATTCTCACTCGGCAGGGGTATTTGTCACAGTGCCTCATGGAAGGAAGCTAGCTGCGGCACAGGACGTGCACCAAAGCTTTCCTGATACCATAGATCAGATCTTAACCACGATTGAAGGCCGCCGACTACGCTCAACTCCTTCCTTCCACTGACACATCCACCCATCTCCTGCGTCTAACATGAGCGCACGCCGCAGAAACCTCAGGTCCCATGACGACTCTGACTCAGAGACGGAAGGCCTGACACAAACAGAGCTCAGGTTCTCATCACGGCATATCCCCAACACAACTGTCTCGCTCCTTCAGCGTGCTTCCTCATCACCGGGAAGGGGTTATCTGCCTCTTTACGTTATTGAGAGTGTTAAGACGCATGCATCCCTTGATGCACCTAGTTCGATACACAAATTTATCCTTGATGATGAAGGGTCGGAGGTTGACGCCAAGCCTGTAGAGGGAGGAAGCGGAGAAGAGGGAAAAGGGGGAGATGACAGAAAATTCAGGAGGGAACACGTGGCAACTATAGAGTGGAGGGTATTTAGTAAAGATTTGATTACGATGGGCAATGGAGAGAAGAAGATGTTGAAAGATGTTTTGCCTATGACGGGGATTTTACGGTGGGTAACGTCCCGAGGCCTATCATCCACCCTTCACACGTACCAGCCAGAGATAACCACTTTATTTATGATTTTCCCAGGCGGTACACGATGCATAGAAGCAAAGGAGATTGGCAATGGAGTGTCTTAGGTGACCGACCGAGAGTACGTATACCTGCGACATTCGCTTCCCTACCTTGACCATCATTTTCTTTGACATCTTGACACCTAGCTGTTGAATGCATCAGGACAAGTGATAGCGCGATGGTCGAGATCGAAGAAATTCAAGATAGAGCCCACTGAGGATGAAGAAGGCGCTGCCAGCGATCAACAACAACAACAACAACATTGGCTGCAGAACCGGGCGCCGAACACCAGCACCCAAGCCCCCGCGCAGACGGGCGGCGGCAGGTTGATTTTAGCACCGGAGGCGATGGAGGAACTCGATATGATCATTATCGGTGTCGTTTGTTGTGACCAGAAGATCAGAAGACAGAAGCGTTAAAAGATCGGGTGCGTATTATTGTATACACGTGGAACTTGGTTTGGAGGCTTGTCGCAAAGATTGCTATGCGCTTTATGTGAAAGTAATGCAGTTTTCGGCTCGTTCCAGTCAACGGAAGGACACCAAAAGCTGCTTGTGCTGTATATATATTCATGGTTCCCAATATGCTCAACAACTCATTGGTTCATGTATCGATCCGCCTTATGGAAGGACTTGCCTTCCTTGGTGTGTTGCTAACACAAAGCGGCGGCAGAGCACTCGCTGTTCTAGTCCACGAGGGCACCTTTGCTAATTCCATGAACATGATCGTCGGCTGAGCTGTTGTTATCCAGCCCAACGCCAAAGCAGCCCATCCAAGCTACAGCTCCTCCATCCTCACCCACTGAATCGACCTGACTCAAAACTTGATGGACTCCTCGTAGCCTCGAGCTCTGAGCGCAACACCCTTCGTGTTTATTGATGCCCCCTCCTGTCATCCGTCCGATAACAATTCACAATATCTACCCGAGGCTCTTTTTTCAACAACAACATTTTCCCTGGCCATCTTTGACTTCGTGTTACTGCAACATATGGCGCGAGAATGCTCAACTCACTCAGCCTCCCATAGTGTCATATATGAAGATAATACGAGCACACTGAAACAGGTAAGGCCCAGGAACACATGAGGGAGCCTAGGAAAACCATGCGTAAAACCCCAAATGACTTCGCAGATGTGAAAATTGCGTTATTCTGGTGCCCAGGCCATCACGACCATACCCGCGCACGACCGGCTAGCAAAGGAAGGAGCCTGGCTAAGACCAGCCCACCCCAACTTCGAATCCCTCTCATACGTAGAAAGCTTGTGCAAGAGAGAGAGATGGCTGAAGCTTGGACACACCACTGGACAAACATCTCGGACTCACCAAAATCGGGATTCTGCGCAGCCATGCAACCAAATCGCGAGTACTACCACCGTTCCGGAAGTCGCAGAAGCTGTCAATGTGCCAGGAAGCTAAGACCCACACCCTAACGGAGTGCCCCCTGCTTCAGATCCTTGGCCGTGGCAACCAAATATCATTATGGGAAAGCCCAAAGGGATACCGGCATTCATCAGAAAGAGGCAACGAATAAATGCCACACATAAGCCAAATTGCATTGTTTTCTATTTCTATGCGCACAACACAGCACTAATGCGTATGAGTTTTTCAAGCCAACGCGCAATTAAGAGCGCTCGAGGGGATTCAGGAAGGCTCGTGCGCGGTAGCGGGGACGTTGGAGTTGCACTAGGCTGGTGTCCAGGTCATTGTGGGAATGCAGGCAACGAGAAGGCCGACAAAGCTGGTGCTTCCCTCAGACTATCCAGGAGAAACCACAAACATCTATCATACGTAGTAGGGCTACACAGGAAAGAGATGGAGAAAGCATGGATATACCGCTGGGTGAACACGCCGAACGCGTCCCCCCACGGTCTGAATTCTACGAAGCGAATCAAATCCCACCATCTCTAAACGCTTCAGAGAGTCGGACCGCAAATCATTCAGCCGAACGATCCAATTCCACACAGGACATGCCCACAGGAGGGAATACTACCACGGGTTCAAGAGAGCGAAGAGTGCCAATGCGGCGCGGCGCTACGAGAAGCTCATAGGATGGCCCATTGGAAGGAGAACTGCCAGACTCGCAAAATAAGCCTCCGGTGCAACGGACAAACGAATGAGCACCCACGACAACCCACGCCAGGGTGAAGCACGGCGAAGGTTGCATGACCAGGAATATGATCAGACAGAGCCGCAACGAAGTACCAAGAAAAATATAGGGATTTATTTCATCACCATTATATGTACATACAGACACTTAGCCCCGACCACACCACCCCGTGGACCATAACCACAACTTCAACACCACCCGCTCACGTATTTGATGATCCGCTCATGTGTGCAGGATCACCGCACTGCCACATGACGCGGTCACCTATGAATCGCGGCGCTCGTAACCCACGCCCCAGAAGGTATTCTGCCTCTGCCTCGTGCACCTTTCATTTCACGATATCCCGAATAGGTTTTCCCTCCTGTTAGCAATATGGCTGCTTGTCCCGCCCTCCCTCAGAATGTGCATCTACAAATCCATGATCAAGATGTTTGGACGTCGAGCGGGGGATGCGTACCGGATCCCTTTTGGTCTATACCTCAAATATGGCAGACTGTGTGAAGCCCTTGCAACGCGCCACGTAGAGGCCAACACCAGCATTCCTGTCCCACGCGTCCTAGACGCGCTAGAAGAAGACGACGACCAGGGGATCATACTGATGACGGCTCTCCCCGGAACTCCTTTGCTTGACTCCTTCCTTGAGATGTCGGAAGCTGACTTGGCGCGCGTTCAAGAAACCCTTCGGAATTGGGTCGATCAACTACGCGCCTTACCTTCGCCCACAGAATCCGTCTGCGCAGTTGACGGCGGCCCCTGCCTTAGCTATCGCGTCTCAACACATCCATTCGGTCCCTTTTCCTCCATCCGCGAATTCCATAATCGATTCTACAAGATTGTTCCTGGCGAACATCAAGATCGTCTGCGTGCTCTAGCGGAAGCCTCACACTCCCGGCCGCATAGGCTCTGTTTTACACATGGCGATATCTCCCCGGCCAATGTTCTCGTCTCAGGAAATCAGTTGACTGGGCTTGTTGACTGGGAATGCTCAGGATGGTACCCAGAATACTACGAGTATACCATGGCAGTGTATAGGCGTCAGCGCGCACAAAAATGGTGGGATCTATGGGCTAAAATTTTTCCTCAGTACAAGACAGAAGTGGAGGTCGAATTGGCTTTCTGGGCGGTCGATTTCCCGTGGTAGTTGGTAGTTTGTTTTCCGTGCTTTAAGTTTATGCGTATATTTCGGGGTCGCATAGATCTAGATTGAGTCTGAATCACAGAGGCACAGCACGTGTTGAACCAGTGCCCAAAAGGCCTCCCAAATGGTGTGGCCAGAGTTTCTACTTGTTCCTAACGCTGGCGAAGATGATTTTCATGGGGCTTACTCTCCTCTCTTCCCTGTTGACTCAGATTTGACTTCGTACCTGGCTTACCCTGTTCACCTGCGTGCTGGGGCTCAAGGAACCCAATCATGTGAAGTACATTTCGACTCGTGAGAAGGCCGACGGGAGCGTTTTGCGTGATTTACACGATATGTCATAGCTTCCATTACGGATTTAGTGGATCTCTTGACAATTAGTGATCGCTAAATCACTAGACAGTTGTCCTTTACCCACATTGCGTGCTGTTATTGCCGTTGGAACGTGGCTCTGCTTTTGTAGAATGGACAACCACAGGCCAAAAACGCATGTATTTATGCCACGCGCCATCCCTCGGATGCCGAAACGGTGATGTTCTTGGGGGGAAGGCAAGACTGCGGGCAGTCGTTGATGAGATTCTGCAAACCTCACCGTCTAAGCCTTGTTAATTGTTCTTGTGCATTTGTTGCCTCGGTTCCTGGGTACATGCACACTACTTCTCAGTGTGCATGTATATATATATGTGTGTGTGTGTGTCACGATGCACTTGCTGTTTTGCATGTACCAAACATGGTTTTGTGGTCCCTTCGCCATCGCCCAGCGGATATATTCTCATCTTGGGCCAGCCGGAGAATGAACCTAGCGTTAGCTAAATATGCCAATACCAACTCTCTCTGTGGCGCGTCCCGGATCGAAAGTCCCTTCCCAGGGGCCAGGGGTTCAACCACAAGTCGACAATTATCACAAACAGAGCCGCCAAGTATTTGATTTCAATGTACATTAGAATGATCGATCAACGCGGTTGCGGGTGCACGCGGGGGTTTTAAAACAACCTCTTCTTAGACGATGGGTTCATCGAGGGAAGGAGTTTTTGAGGCCCGAGGTAGAGTTCACGCGACCCATGCCTGTTCCCTCGTCCTATTGCACCCAACCCTTGGGCGCCTACTTCTAAACTTCGTTCTTTCCCAGTTCGACCTTTTTTGTTTTTGTGGGGTACAACTGATCAACGAATTAATAAGCCCAAAAGAAAGGACGAACCATGCGCAAAGCTCATATCATGCTCCAGCCCGGAAACGATGTGTCAATTGGATATGGTGATCGTTAGTCTTTGTGGTTGGTTGAGAGAGGCCCTCGGGCCGGCAGTTTAGGCTAGGGTTGCAACATGACTAGTCACGGATGACTCGTTGATGTTTGTCAATGATTGGGTACCCTATGCTTACGCATATTGGCGTGTGTGAATTGGCGTGTGTGCGTGTGCGGGCGCAACGGGACATCCTGGCTGAGGCGGTATTCACTCACCCGTTGTTGTTGTGTAAGCCCGGCGCCGCGTCGGCCATCAACCTCCAGTTCCTCCACACACACACTAGGCTGAAATAATCACTTCTTAGAAGCAATAAGTTGTTGCAGTCGGCCATTCTTACCGGCTGTATTCTACTCCTCGTACAACTACGTCCCGTCGCATAAGGTTTCTTACCTCCGTTGTTAGTTGTTAAAGTCGGAGGTACGGAGAACTGGGGAAACGCCGGTTGAATACACGGACCGGAATGGGCCATCGCTATATTTGTAACTTTTGAATGGTGAACGTTTTCCTCTTGGCTTCGGCCGTGAGAATTCCCGGACCCGAAAAAAACTTGCAAATTTACAATACATACATACATACATACAACAACGTGCACAAACAAAGAAAACGTGTGCAACTTCAAAACCAGTTCCTTTCCTGCTATGTAACATATGAGCGGTCATACCCTGATTGTCTCCTTGATTCCTGGGCTTTAGGTCCGTCGGCGTTAAAGAATGTCGGATCCCCTTTATTATTATTATTATTATTATTGTTATTACAAATCGCAGGATCATTCACGTTGATTAGTGTTGCACTGAATTGGTGTGTGTGATTGTCTTGGATCTTCTCCTTTTTCTCAGGCTCATATCCGGCGCAAAGAGAAGTGTTTCCTCAACTCCAGGCCAGGCGCCGGACGCAACCCCACGGCATTCCCCCTTCCACCTCCAAACACACACCCTCAACAACGTGAGTCTGGAGACGGAGAAGGAAGTTGTTGGATTTAAGTAACGAGCATTCCGAGAAAGTGAGTTTTCGGCATCTGGAACAGACCCCCCCGCTTACGGTGCTTTTTTGTGTGTGTGCGTGTGTGTGTCATTTCGGCAGTTGTCAGTTCCAGTTTTAGGCGATTCCTTGGTGACGATTCTGCCCGTGCCAGTCGCCCTTTGGTCATACATAAAGTTCTGGAGTTGGGTACATAGCTCAAAGTAAACGTATCACTCACTTGTGAGTGTTTACTGAGGAAGTTGTCGTCACCACCCCGGCATCACGGCGGCCGTTCATTACGCCTGTCAAGGTGTATAAGTAACCCGCGGCTCCCCCCCCCTCCTCCCAGTCCCCCCTCCCCCTAACACTTCCGTCTCATTCGCGGAAGAAGTTCAAAACGGAAGAGTCGACGTGAAAAGGGCGCCAAAAATCAAAATCCATCGTGCGCCTATATCTTTCTTTCATAGCCCTCCAGCGTCACATCGGTGCAACCTTAAATTGTGCACTTGTGCTAATACTGCTACCATCAAATTCATCACCATCATCTAATTCTTCCTGTGCCATCAGGAGGACAGCAAGCCCTTCCAACACAGCCTTAATTTTTTTATCGAGGCGCTCGATAAAGTATACATACATATACGGTTGACTGTGTCCGCTTCTCTCTTCAACCCCCCCCCTCCTCCTCTGCGCCAGGTATCAAATAGCACGATACAGAAGGATCCGATCAACACCCGAGGATTTTGACACACATTATTGTAAGCCTTAGCATCGAACATTGATACATAGATTTATATATGAACACCCTAATCATATATAAATCGGCCATATATCACTTGTACTGAGACTCGCAGACATTCCTTTAGATAGGGCGTGAATATTCCGCAGTGACCCACTTGAGGATAAGTCATCCCGTTCTCGATTCGGGCGAGCCAGTTTGCTCCCCCTCCCCCCTCCCACCCTCCTCTCTTATCTCCTTGGTGCCCCTTGTTCTTCATCTCCTTTCCCAAGTCCACCATCCCGTACTCTTCAGGAAGGGAAGAGTCAGAAATGTCACTCAATAAATCATCTTCTACACGTCGAGCATCACGATCGCAGCAAGAACAAAGACGTCTATCCCACCCCGAACGCTTATCCCAACCATCCGCGGACTCCTTCGATGCAACGTTATGGAATCTCAATCTTGCCTCATCCGCCTCACGCTCCGCGCAACCGCCGAACAGTACTACGCCATTAACGACTCCTGGTACTAGCTTGTCAGCTATAACGTCGATTACTCACCTCACTTCCATAGAAGAACCCGTCGTTGGCGGTACCAATACTACATCTACCACATCCCAACCATCCATCACCATTCAATACACCCTCTCGAGTACATCCCTCCTCAACACAACCGTCGCCAATCCTGCAGGCAGGATATTGTATATTATCGATACGAAACCACGCAATCGGTATGATAAGATATTAACGTGTGGATGGAGTAAGACGTCCAGAACGACCATCTCGAGGGTTGCACTGGCAGGTGTGACGGAAGAGATTGCGAGTGTTGAATGGAAAGTTGTGAGGAGGGATGTGGTCAAGTTTTTCGGGAAGAGGGAGATGGATGTGGACGAATTTTTGCCGAGGGAGCCTAGGTCGAGGAGGTGAGTTTCGTGTTTGGGTTGTCCACACGCTCCCCTGGTTGTGTTATCGTGTGGCGTCAGTGTGAGAATTCTGACTGGTGTATATATTAGGCGGTTCCTGGATACGACAGAGGGGAGATGGACGTGGACTAACGGGAAGGATGGACAATTTGAGGTGAGTTTGAGAGCTCTCTTAATTCACACGTTTCCACGCTACTGCGCCTTCTCGCGACCCGACTGCGGTCCCGCAGGTGGTGGAGCAACTATGTGGTCCGGAAATGGGAATAACGTTACTCATGTTTATTTTTTCTTCCTTTCTCGGTTTTTCTCCGCCGTTACCTGCGTTTGCGCTCGCCATATTTTTGTTGTCTAACAGTTACTCGATTCATCTGGAACGGTCGTCGCACGGTGGATCAAGGCTCGTCGGAAGAGACTGCTGTCGAGAAGTTCGCGGCCCATATATTCGTCGCTTTCAAATGATTCAGAGGGGGAAGACATTGAGGGCGTTGAGGGCGCGGGGACCCGCAGCAGCAACATGGGGCTACGCTAGGGTTAGAACCAAACGGAGGAGTTGGTGAGATTCAACGGAGAAGAAATTCACAACGACAACAACAACGACAGCGACACTCGCTGACGCTGACGCCTTCTCCCGCTTCGTTGCTGATTTCGCCGGAAGGCGTAAGGATATTGGATGTGATAATTATTGGGTTTATGGTTATGCAGAGGGATGAGTCGGGATTCATACCGAGACCTAGATGGCGTGGAAAGAGTGGCAAGAGCAGTAATAAGAAGGGCGTTGGGGGAGGGGGAGGGGATCGAGGGGATCGAGCGTCAGATCAGTTCACGGGTGAACCGAGTACTAGTGAACATTCGAGAATTGTGGCTATTGAGGTTTGAGGTGATCGAGTCGTTCGTTTTCCGTTTTCTTTGGTTGGGTTTTGAGATCAAGAGTCACATCAAAGAAAGCGAGAATACCGCAAGGTTTTTGATATGTAGCAATAAGTCACTTATCTGCCAGAACAACAACAAATGTACGTGGGGTTACGATACTTGCACGAATGCGGGGGATCTGCTGGCCCGACGATCTCGATTGCGAGATCTGTAGCGTAAGCCGAAAAGGGGAAGGCGGGGGGGAGGGAGCAGTTGATGGTTCTCTCCTGGGATAGTTATGCGATATGCATGTATCGAGAATGTAAGAGTTGCGCAGACTTGCTGCCATTTGATCCAGTACCCACCCATTCGTGAGCAGCGCGGCTCATTCCCTTCCAAGTAGAACGTCGATGTGAAAAAAAGTATCTTTCTCTTATTTGTGAAACAGGAACTGCATCATGCCTGCCATCGTTGGTCAAAGCGAATGCCAACAACTTGCATCCGGGCCGGGGAAGTCGTACCACCCCTTGAAAAGTTAACTATATTCCTCTCCCTTCAACTTCAAGTGCGTGTGGGTGAATTCCCCAAAGAACAAAGGGAATATCGACAGTCCCGATAAAATCTGCCTTTTGAAAAGGAGGGGAGAGAGAGAAGCAGAACTCAATCCTCAGTATGTCTACAGTAAATGGGAACGGTGGGGTGAAACGTGAGGAAGAGGAGTCGTTGGATTCGAAATATTCGTTTGAGAATCGGATTTCGAATGGTAGCGTTGCAGTTCAGACGATTCAAGTGACGAACGCTGGACGCGAAGCTGACACGAAATTAGATCAACATCATTCGTACGTTCGTTTTTTTTTTTCCCTTCCCTTCCGTTGGTGTTGACGATGTTTTTCTTCTCTTCCCCTTTCCGCTGCTGGAACTACTGCTGCTCTTTCCTCCAAGGTACGAATTTGGTGGGCCGTGGGGTGTCGCTACGATGATGGCATTCTTTCCAACACTCATGTACTACCTTTGGATATGCCTTGAGTTTTATGACGGTCAAATTATCGCTCCAAAGTCATTAGGTGATATCGTGCCTTTCTTCGGTCGAATGTGGGGCCATATTCGAGACGTGCGTATTTCTTTTCTTTTTCGGAACAATTCTGGAACGCGCCACTTAACTTATATGCGTCGAATTTTTCTCTCTCACAACACACTCTCCCGAACCGTAGCATGCAACACCTACTCCCTATACATTCAGTCTTTACACGAGTCTGATGGTCTACCAACTCACCCTTGCGTTCATCATGCCAGGTTACATCCAAGAAGGTCTCCCCGTCCCTTCGCTCAACTACAAAACCCTCAAGTACAACTGTAACGCTCTAGGATGTTGGTACACAACCCTCATCACCATCTACGTTCTCCACGTTACCCACATCTTCCGTATCACCGAGATCATCGATCACTTTGGTTCTCTCATGACCGTCGCAATGTTCTACGGGTTCGCCGTCAGCTTCGTAACGTATTATTGGGCCGTTTGGACCAAGGATGCAGTGAGGATGTCTGGAAATTTCGTTTACGATGTTTGGATGGGTGCGGCGCTGAATCCGAGATTGGGAAGCGTGGATTTGAAGATGTGGGCTGAAGTTCGCATCCCTTGGGTTTTGTTGTTTTTGATCGCTCTCTCGGGAGGGGTGAAGCAGTATGAGACTTATGGGTATTGTACTCCTGTGAGTTGTTTTGTTATTAGCTAGCGCGAACGGTATGGGTATCGTGATTGACTTTTCTTTTCCCTTTTTTTCATTCCTTTTGCTCTTAATCAGAACATGGCATTCATGATCCTTGCGACTGGTTTATACATCAATGCATGGTATGGTCCTCCTTTCGGGTGTTTTTTTCCCTCTGGCTTATGATCCACAAATCTAGCGCCAAAGGCGAAGAGTGCATTCCACAGACTTGGGACATGTTCCATGAGAAGTAAGCATTTTTTCACATTTAAAAAAAAATCGCCGCTGCCTTTATTTAACCTTTTCATGCACAGATGGGGTTTCATGGTCATTTTCTGGAACTTTGCTGGTGTTCCTTTCGTGAGTTATTACCTATGTTAGGGGGGGTAGGTCCATCCTTTCTTGGAACTCATCAAGTTTTTTTTCTAGACCTATTGTTATTCGATAATCTACATGGCCACTCATGAACCAGAGAAGTACCGCTTCTCGACACCTGGGTATATTGCTTTATATGCTACACTCCTTACTGCCTACTACATGTGAGTGGTTTATCAGCCGTATCCTTGCTGAAATGTATTTTTACCCTGTTATCTAGCTTCGACTCATCCATGTCACAAAAGAGTCGCTTCCGCATGCAAATGCAAGGTAACTATAAATACCGCTGGACGTTCCCTCAATTACCATGGGGAACGCTTAAGAACCCGACCTACATTCAGACTGCTCATGTGAGTCCGCTTGTGAAGTTTTCTTTCTGGTACTTGACTTCTGATGGCCGTTCACGCCCCCCCCCTCGCATTCCTTCGACTGTTGGATTGTGGGTTTCATTAGGGGTAAGTTTGATCAGCTGGCCTGTCTCTTGTACGAGCATACGACTTTGCCTAATTTTTCATATTCAACAGGAACCGCCTTCTGACGTCCGGATGGTGGGCATACGCTCGCAAACCCGTACGTCCCTCATTTCATTCCCCTATCCCCACACGCCTTCTTTATTAACCAATTCCCCTAACTTTTTTATTGTGCATAGAACTATACCGCTGACTGGGTTCAATCTTTGACATGGGGGCTCGTCGTAGGGACTGCCTCACCAATACCTTATTTCTATTCGATCTTCTTCATTTGCGTCCTCATTCACAGGTGTGGACGCGATTTTGAACGGTACGTCCTTCGCTCATTCTCCCTACCCTGGTCCGGGCTGGAAGCACACTAAATGGCGGGTCTAATGCGAACAATAGGTGTGCTGCCAAGTATGGAGATGATTGGAAGGAGTATTGCAGAATCGTGAAGTGGAAATTCATTCCTGGAGTGTATTGATCTATTTAAGCTCCTGCTCGAGAGGCGGGTTAAGTTCATTCGGATTTGATTTTGCTGTGGCAATGATATTAATATGGTAAGGGTGGTACTGAGCTGCCTGTTGAGGGCGATGGGAATAAAGTAAACCGGTCAAGGATGGAGCACTTGTAGGAATGGACCCAAACAACTGTGCAAAAGCCAGACAACTCTATCGGTAGCTTCTTCTAAACGGTGAATCTACAAATTCTGCCTCATGTGTCATAACACACTTGTCATGCATGACTCGGTGCAGCCGCGGCGTCACAAACTTGTGGTTGCAAATCCGTGAGTCCCAATATGAACGATGCGACCAGAGTATGCTCACTTTACTGTCATATTCGTGTAAGACTTCAGCGGACAAAATTTCCTTGTCCTTGATAAGTGCCTTGTAAGCAGAAATAAGTGCATACACCTAGATTATACAGGTAAGAGGCATTTTTATCTTCAGGGTGTTGGAAATGCACCTGTAAAGACAATAATCCCATGAGGGCCAGCGACCAAAACCAATTCGCTGTGGAGAATATCTTCCACGCAAACCAGTGCGCTGGTGAGTATATGCTTGGATTGATCGAGTCACTACCAGCCATTGAAGTGGGGGGATGAGGATCACTCACATGAAAAGTGCCAGTTCAAAATCACCCGGAAACCAGACATCTAACTGCTGAACTTTGTTTGAGTTAGGCTGTAGGTCGAGTGGAATTAAGTCTTCGGGTGCCGGCGATGTGCCGACAGCGAGGCGCCTGGAAGAATAATAAACGGAAGGGACAATCGGACAATCAAAGAGCTTCATACCATGCTATTGTGAGAGATTGCACAATTAGCCTCATTATTTTTTGTGGAACGGAAGTTGGAGTTGGCGGGGATAAGAAGTCTTTCGAGACAAGTGAAGCGTGCGTGCTGGGTGCAAGCTCCTATTGCTCCTGCGATTTCAGATGGCATTCCAAGCGAATGGAAAGGTTGAAGACGTACTGGACGGAGATGAAGATGGTACGTGCGGAATCGCGTGAACAAGTACAACACATTGGCGAATGAGATTAGAAATAATAACAAAGAGAAGGGAGTGACCTTTGGAAAAGGTGGTTATTGAGCCGCACGATGATAGGTTTTGGATAGGCTTACCCAGCTCCACCCTTTCGGCACTTTCTCTTCGTCGAAGTTCCAATCAACCTCGCTTTTCCAAAGATCAAGCGGATCTTCCTCTCTTACAACAGCACGGGACCGACCGTACCACTTGACTAGAATATGGATAAAGTGGAGAAGCCCGCCGATAGCACTTCCCGAGGTAGTTGGACGTGGTAGAGGCACATTGTATGGAAACATGGATATTTCGAATGCAATCCGGGCGGGAAATGCGGACACGCTACATAATAACAGTGAAGGTCAAGACCCGATGATTATGAACCACCTACCGTTCGAAAAACCCAGCTTTCCTAACAATTCGGTCCTTCTTTTGAGAGGATGAGGATGGAGAGGGCTCGTTACCAGCTACGCTTAGCCTGCTGGACCGGGTCGTTCGCCCTGGCATGCCATACGGAGGTGGCGCGTAACTCCTAGCTGCCTCCCAATCAAATGGCGCCGTTTCGGTAATAGATGGTGGAGTTTGTATCTCTGAATGGCGAAAACGCGATCCAGTGGGAGTCCCATTCGCGACACTCAAGCGCGACGGACGAGGCGTGGCGATTCTTGAGCTTTGGGGGGTCGAAGAATCAGTCCTAGAAGATTCCGTCGGTGCGGCAAACAATGGCTTTTTTCGAGAGCGTCTAGCTGGGGCTGAGCCTGGATCCATTCCAAACGCCTCTCCTGTGGTTGAAACGCGAACCGCTCGTGAGTCGATAGGTCAGGTGATTGTGTTTTGAATTACGGCAGGATCCGGTGTATCCGACATCCTTATTATGCACGAGGGGGCGGGGGATAATCTTGGGAAACTATAGGATATCACAGACCTTTATCAATGAGAAAATTTATGGATGGTATTATGCAGAATTCCTCGTAAATACAATGTCCTTGAGCTTTCCCAGCGATTGATCAACAGGTGGCCACATCCGCGCCTTCCAGCTTTGGAACATCAGAAAATTCACCCGATGTACCGATAGTCAGCCCATCCCTCTGAAGCATCCAGGCTCCAATCACTGTGAGCACTAGCAAAAAGGTGGGCGCAACTACGCCCTTCAGTAACTATTGAATTGGAGGTATGTCGCTAGTTTGAAGCAAGTATGTACCCTTTTATTGGTTCAACCTGGAAGCCATCCCCAGTGTCATACATACCTCAGATGCGCGGGGCCGTGCACCAAAATAGCCATCATCACACAGCCAACCGTTCCCGAATGCCTTATTCCTCCTGGGCCGGCTCTCAGCCAAGGGTCCGCAGAAATTCAGAGCCACATGCCACCATTGCGTAAGGAATACATCTCCGCCATGAGCAAGCCTGAGTTGCAACCGTTGGCAGAGACCATAACTAATGCTTGACTGGAGGTGCTGAAGAACAGCGAACCGCTCATCAGCCTGGAAACCCCTGATATCGCCACCGCCACCGGAGAAAAGAAGAAATGGTCAAGTAAGAATCAACGTCGATCGTAGCATCGTAGCATCATGCTTGAAGTCAAGAACCCAAATAGAAAGAAAATCATGAGAAAACCTTTCCAGGCACGATCGAATGCAATGTTCAACGAGTCCAGATGCAAGTAAGATAATAGTATTTGATCCCCCAAGACCCAAGGATAGGCATATCCAGGTAACTATAGAATCTTCAGCAGGAAACTTGAAGCCAGAGCCCAGCAGGAGACTGATCCCAGCATGAGACGCCCAGAAGAATTAATAGTCAACACCGACGGCCCATGCAAGAGGAATGGAGAAGCAGCAACCAAATCCGGATATGGAGCCTGGCCCGGAGCCAACAACCCTAGGAATACAGGCCGCCCTGCAGACACCAACCTAACCCAATCCAACAACATGGTCGAACTCCTCGCCATCATCAGCTGATATACCACCAAACACGAGGCTGCACACAAAAACCGACGCTTCCCAGTGCGGAAATACGCTATGCCCAAACTTCTAAGAACTGGAGGACAGTGACTTCGCCCTCACCTGCAATGTGGAAACTATCAATGCAACCAGCGACTCCCTGAGAGCAACAGGTATCACATCCATGGAATGAATCAAATGGCATGCTGGCATCGTAGGCAACGAGGATGCGGACAAGCTAGCAGCGGAAGGCGCAAATGCCCCATGAATAATCCGCAAATCAACTAAAACCTTAAATCAAAGACCCTTGAGAACTTGGACAAAGCAAGATCGAACCTAAAGGTGATGTGCGGGGAGAAGTCCACCGATAGTAGAATATGGACATCACTACACAAAAACAAACCCGGGAAAGCCCAAGAACACACACAAGCATTCAGGAAGAGTGTGTGCAAATTTCCCGATAACAGAGGCGGCCTCAAATTCGCGTTAAGCTGCATTACCACTCGCTATACTACGTGGAAAGCCTGCACAAGCATGACATGGAAGAAGAATGGAAGGAACGATGGGCAAACACACCCCCCCAACCAGCTCTGGCTTCCACGCAGCGAATCAGATCCCACCATTGACCAAGCCCACCGTGAGGTTCAAAACATTGGATCGGGAAACGCTCAATTCCACACCAGCATGCACATGCGGAGCAGCCAACCAGACAAGGGAGCCCATTCTCCAGGTATCCCCAGTTTGAGAAGTTCAGACACATACTGGCCGCGGCCGCCAGAACAGGTTCGCGACTCTTATGGGGAAGTCCAAAGGTATCCTCAGACTAACAGACTTCATCAAGAAAACGCGGGCCCTTGACAAAAGGAGCAACCGGAGAGCGATGCAGCGTGAAGAAACACAGAACAAACCGGGAGAACAACGCGGACAGCGCGGAGTAACTTGGGCGCCAGGCCTTCACATACACCCCAGACATGACTAGAACCTGACAACCCAGAGGACTCCGTATACCGGAAAGCCGCACTGCTACCGATGCCCACTCATATACCATGTGGGAATGAGCCTGTTGTCGTATCCAACATCGGATTTATAGGGGAAGAGGCCTGACTCAGTTCAATGCATTCAAGTCGCCTGCGATGGAGGTCAGTAGGGCTATTACAGGAATACACAGGGAGTACAATCTCCAACGTTATTCCCGTAGTTTCATTCGTACCCACAGACCACCCTAACGGGGTTGTGGGTCACTGCTGATACTGTTGATACTTCTAAAATCCTCACCTTGGCATAGAGTGTAATTGAAGAGGTGGGCCAGCATTGTTCAAAGCTTTGTCTCCCACCCCGGACTCTCCAAGCCGAGGGTGGTTGTGAATCTTTGGGTTGCACATCCTCCGCGAATGAGAAGCATTCGATATTCTGCAAGAGCCTGACCAGAACGAAAGAGCACTCCTGATATGCAAACGTCTTTCCTAAGCTGTGAAATGGATAAACACGATGTGTAAGATCGCGGGGAAAAACGAGGCAAACCAAAGGCGTTGTCCTGCATTGAACGGCACGAAAATCGAACGCAACGAGCTTTCCATGGATGTCGGAGAACCCTCAGCGAGCCATCGTTCAGGGCGAAACTCCTCAGCATCCTCGCCCCATAGATCCCTGCGTCGCTGCATGAGAAATGGCGAGTACGTGACACTCGTCCCTTTGTTCACATGAAGGTCCCCCATCTTTGACAGTGGGGAGGATAAGGTTGTAGATACCGCTAGGCACTGCAGTGAGCACGACAGAGCTGGGGTGCATGAACGGTCACATACCGGCCCGTCTGATATTCATAGGGAGTGGAGGAAACAGACGAAGTGTCTCATTGAGCACTGCGCGAACTGGGTTGAATAATTATTTCAACCGGCACTGAGGAGTCATTGTGGACGGGCTCACGGTACAACATTGATTGTATCTTTGCCGATGTTGGGTAGCCGTGGCGCCCGACGCAGGCGTCAACTTCAGCCCTTAATTTTGACATGACTTGGGGGTACATCGTTAGGACATAGAGCGTGAATGTAAGCAGGGAGGCAGTCTAGGCGGGAGACTTTGGATCAACCAACTTTTAATGTTTGGCGGATAAGACTTACCGTGTCCTTTCCCGCCAGGAAAAATGAAAGCAATGTGTCCCGTACGATCTTCAAATCTTTACGTGTCGCGTTTAGGGCTGCATTGTTGGAGTACTCGGGGAGAAGCATACCATCGCATTCTTGCACTAGGAACTCGAGAAGATTCGAAGGATCTCCAATTCTCCCGTTTGCCTCCACCTTTTTCTGGGCTTCCGAGATGACCGGCTTCAAGAAATCATCTACAATACGCGCGGGAAGAACTGTCTGATCGCCAAATAGCCTCACAGCCTCGATGATTCTCCAGTTTGATCCTCTGAGTAGGTAGCTGACGATATGTATAGCTATAGAGACAAGAGGACGTACATCCGAATGCGACGGCCACAAATATCTTGAAGCTTGCCGAAGGCCTGGACGAAGGAGCGATATCGGGTCTCAACATGGGAATGATGTTCTAATGCTCGCATCGGGAAGCCAAACAACAAGTCACTAATTGAGTCCAGGGTGAAGCGATTGAAAAGATCCTGTAACCCCTCCTTCCATAAGCGACAGATACATTCCTGGCGAAGTTTACCTACTTGAACGTCAACAGGCAAAGATTTATCCGCTGCTACACCGAGATGTCCAAGCAGACTGGCACAATGCCCATCCAATGCGTTCATATCGGAAATTCGCTCCCGGAGAAGAATGGTCGGGATATACCACGATGCTAATGGCACTTCATTGAACAGATGGTACCATGTGGAAGGCAGCCCTTCTCAGAACTCACCCATTTCCAATCAGTTCCGTCTGTAGTAAATATTGAGTTCCCAAGGAACATCTCCATCATTTCATAGAACTTTCGGCCTTTTTCGAATTCAGGAAACTTGGTAACCAAAATTTCTTGGATGTTTGTTGGATCGGATGTGACTATCTAGTATTTCTTACATTACGCCGATATGAAGGTGCAAAGCATCCTCGTACCTGATGAGCCCACAGAATGTTCATATCATACGTAGGCCCGTATTCCGCCTCCCACTGTCGTAAGGTCTCGGCGCAATATTCTCGTGAATCCATTCGAATGAGTCTGCTCCGATCCACCGTGACTCAGCCAGGAACCGATAGCATTGTTAGTCAATCTCACCTCCATAGCACATCCAAATTTCCGGGGAGTTTACCACGTACACGGGGCATAGAATCGAGCCTCCCTGGCGCTATCCCGTCAACATTCGCTAGCACTATGAATATTGTGATCGAAGAAACTCCGGCAAAAAATAGCGATCTTGCAACGAGATATACCAAGATACAAGCCCCGAAAGGGATCAACACCACGGATGAAAATTTTAATGTCCTGTGCGAATCAAAGGGCATCTTTGTGCCAGGCAACTCTTCTTCGCTGTCCCGACGTTGTCAACAAACAGACTACAACAGCCGAACCCCGTTACCGAATTGGAATACCCACAAGTAGGCGCCATGAATCTTCGTGCGCGTTCTGCGTCGCCGTGGACGCGGCCTTTATGCCATAGCAGATTTTATTCATCTCAAGGTCATGCGCGACCGTATACGTTCCACATTGGCGCGAGCTTCATCGGGAAGCCTGACTGGGGGGATGACCCAAGGGGAATACCTCCCGCCATGACGAGTCCTTTCCCCCCGAACATCCTGTAGTTCCGTTTCGAGACAAGATGCTTTCCTGGAAGCGTGAAATACCATCCGTATCCGCTGGACACGACTTTTTCTATGTACAAGAGGTTAGTAAGCCGACGAATAGTCCAAGAGAATTGTACCACAACCATTCTATGTCTCCAGATGAAAAAGGATTCTGTACGTCCAATCCACCTTTGTGTCTTCATTCTCTCAGTCGTATTCGCATGCCGCCATTCAGGGATTGTCAATTGGTGTAGCCGATGGGGTTGGAGGTACACGGGCCACATACTTATTCATCTAAATACTGACTATTCTCGTTAGGATGGGGCGATATATTAGACCCAAGCCTATTTTCTCAAGCTCTTATGTACTACGCGGCGCGATGTGCAAGCTCTGGCTGGCCCGGCGAACCTGAACGAGATCCCACCTTAGATGAGCATCTGGACGAGGCTTTGGGCACTGAGACTCCCCCAGTGACATGCATGGAACGAGCGTACAAATCCGTAATGGAGGACGATGGGTTATTGGGGTGAGCGTGAATTCGTGTATGCCTTCACATCGCTGAGTGTGGCTGCAGGTGCCAGTACGCCTGTTTAATCCACTTGGATGCTACCACTGGCCGGCTAAGAGCAGCAAAGTGAGGGTACGGCCCACACAATTGGCGCAGCGATGCACCAACTCTCTTTTGTTTGGTCGCCAGTTTAGGTGATTCGGGCTTTTACATTATAAGAGGGCAAACGGTACTGTACAAAACGCCGGTTCAGACGCACTATTTCAACTGCCCCCGGTCAGTTTCTTGATATAAGCACGTACTACCAATTTACCCTAAATTTCGGCCGAATCTGCAGGCAATTGTCAAAACTCCCGAAAGGCTACCCGCTCCATTCACGACTACAAGATACCCCCCAAGATGCGGTCCAGTATGCCACCCGGCTGCACCACGGTGATATCATCATTGCATACGTGCGTCATCAATCCATCCATCGAGGCGCGAAAACCATTTTTCCACTCACACAGACCGATGGGTTGTCGGACAACGTGTTTGATGGCGAGACGTTAGGGTATACGCTGAGCATTATGCGGCGACCCAATACCGATACCGAAAAGGCGCAATACTTAGCTGACTTCCTCGTGCTCCACGCTCGGTATGGCCCCGGGATTTTGCTCATTACAATATTAACGAATCTTTTAGACGGTGCATGTATGACTTCGGTCGTGTTTCGCCATTCGAGATTGAGTGGGCTGAACATCGCAAGGAGAAGAGAGTGAATAGAGGCGGGGTAAGTTGGGTCGACTGTCACATACATCCTTAACTCACTCCTGAATTTGCAGAAGATTGATGAGTGTGTCATTAATTGGTTGAAGGTTTCATAGCATATTGATTTGTTTGCCGTACTGCAGTGTCACGGTCGTAGTCGTAGTCGTTCAAGGTAAATGCTGTTGTTGTCCCTGAACCGTGAACCCATCTAATCTCAACTTCTCCAGAAGGAGCAGATCTCAGCATGCATGCATAGACCCGTTTGGTTGTCCGAGGATACTCGTACACTTTCAGTATACCACTTCACAAACACTAATATTTCAACATTTCAACATACAAGATCTGTTATCTGTAAGACGAGAACAGTAATGGACAAGCAGAGACTAAGCACTTGCATCAGAGTACTTGTTATGTCTAAGTAGCTAGAATGAATTACGAAACTCGAATGTCCGAACGTCGTAAACGTAATTATGAAGGGTCAGTTTTGGACCCAAGTGACAGGGTAGATGGAACCAAGATTGGGGTCAGCAAGCGCGGCGAACCTAGTGTAGCGGAGGAAGGTAAAAGGACTGAAGTGAATTGTCTCAAGACTACTCACGCAGCATTAGACAAGTTCAGATCGTACTTGCCCTGACCAGTGCGATCCGTGACCTTGACGTGGACCGTCTTGCCATTATCTGCATGTGCAACCAAATAATCAGTGAATGCCTACGATAGTATTCCATTCGGATATAATACTCACAAGTGGCCTTGATATAGCGTCCGCAGAGCGGATTCTAAAGTTCCATTCGTTACACCCACGAATGAATGGTACGCAGAAGACCCATGTGCTTACATTATTCGGATTCCCGCCCTTGTATCCCCTAACGGCACGGTCAATACCGGGATGGTAATATGGTGCTCGGTACATACGGGTAACTGTCAAAGTACTGGGCACTGACTCCAGTTACAAGGTCTGTGTCTTTCGTGACAATTCCGCAGGCACCTAGGCCTTGGTAGGCCCAAGTAGCCCTTCCAGTAAAATCGCGCTTCTCGACACCAACATCACGGGCTTCGGGATCGATGGGGCTAGCGCGGTGGAAGCTGCAGCAAAGGCGAAGAGAGCAAGAATCGAAAAGAAGCGAGTCATTATCAGAGTCGATGTGAAGAGTACCGAAAGGCGTTGTCACTGGGTTACTTCGCTTGACTTGCTGATGGAGATGAACGAAGGGGCACCTCTTATATACGCGAATCCGAGAAGAACTGTTGTGTATGACTTTACGTCCCTGCTGGAGCCACAGAGTATATGGGCAACTTGAAACGTGCTCAGAACAAAGCCGTGGGCAGAAGCTCCCGGATCCCAAAATGCAAGTGGGCGCTCCGAACGGTTGCCGGGAATTAGACGCACGTCTTATTTACGTACGAAATTGAACGCAGACTATTCACCATGGAGAAAGTAGCCCGGCTGCCGCATGATCATGGCCATGCTGGTCAGCCTTGACCTTCAATCATAAAGGGGTCGAACCTCATGATTCCCAAGAGTCGAATGCATTGTCAGACACCCATGTGCCAAAATGCAATTGCAGCCGTGCAGTTATTCATCATGCGCATGGTGGATTCTTTCAACTGGTCCCGGATGCCCGAGTAGCTGACCACCGTAGTGACCCTCAGCTTTGAGGTGCCAAGCGGATTGTGGTGTTGTGGCAGTGTATCATAGATGCCCAGATGGCAGACATCCATGGTCATCAAAAAAGGTGGTCGCCATTATTGCTGCACCGATATACCAAATACGATTCCGGACAAGTCGGACAGATGACGCACCATGTGATGATCAGGTGGTCCTATTTCCATGCAGTCGAAGTTCCACAGGAGATGCGACACCACCTTGTTTAAGATAAGCTTACAACATGCAATATCTTCGGTGAACTGACCAAATAGGGGCCCCATGCTGAGATGCCGTACAATTGATGTTTAACTGATTAAGTTGAAAGCGGGACATGAATGTCGCGAATCACTGATTTCACAGAGCCTATTCGCCCGCGAGTGGTCATTTCTGTGACGTACTCTGGAGTTATTACCTTGAAATTTCAAAGAATTACGCCGTTATTGTGTAAAGTGATGTGTGCCGGCCGTGGATTACGTATGTGTTGAGCCTGCTCGCCGCCCACCACTTTGTCATGATGAATCTCCTTGGGTGTTCCTCTCACCCTCTCCGTTCCATCCTAGGACCTAGTTGTAGAGGTATGGACATGGTGCCGAGGCTCATTCATATGAGTGTTGCGTTCGCCTGCGAAATGCACATCCAGAAGGGTCGCGAGTTTCTCATCCATCATCTCGGTAAGGCCAGGGGCATCGTGCGCGACACCAAATATGGCCCAACCTATGTCCTGCTTCACCCAAGATTCATCGTAGACGAAGAAATATGCATCGCAGGGGGGGGTCAAATTACGACATCGGTCAACAGGGGGACCGGGACTACATACCATGAAACTATTTGGCCACATTGGTAAGTCTCCGTGTGTCCAGGAGATCAGCAGCAGCAGCCACAGCGTAGTCATCGAGGAAAGTCCGTCCGTCCAGTCTCCGTTCTCACATTTATCCCGCGTGGACTCCAATTTGGTTCGTGGTCATGGTATTGGAGAAGAGTACTGCCGACCAGCCTGGGGAGAGCAAGGGATAATCATAAGATCCCGCGCTAGAAGCAACCTGACTTGTAGGGCACGAAACCGTTGCGCGCCTCTGCACCATCTCGTAAGTTAGTCCCCAATCAGCTCATGCGAAACGTTTGCCCTGATCTTGGGAAAAACTCGCTCCGACAAAATTCTGCCACTCCAATAAGTTGAGGTCGATGTGAACGATTGGTACGAACCATAGTGAGCAAATAATCTCCTTGCTCGTATACCTGTAGCATACGAAACATCATTCCGCCCAGCCTTTCGGGTGTTATAAAAATATAAAAATAAGGAAGGCAGTTTCGATGTTAGCGTGCTCCCCAACTTGAACATGCCCGAGTCAATGCAGCTAGTCAGCTAAGTTTAAGGGGCGGTGTTTGCGGTTCAGATAGGGCCTAAATGGCCTATTTCACTGTAGACGTCCTGGGACGTCCGAAGCGGCTTGCCGGGCTCGTGGGAACATTTGGGACGTCCTAAGTTACCTGTTACCTGCACAACAGTCATTGTGTTTCGAGATGTGGTTTCTCCTGATATTTCTAGAATCTATTGCCTCCAAATGCTGACACGGATGTATGCCCTAGACAAGCGCCGCGGGGTTTGGATGGAAAGCAAAGGAAAGACCGTCAATGGAAAGGAACGCAAAAGGTAATACACACTAGCCCAAATGGGCCGCAAGTCCAGCACGACTCCCAAAGTCCCAGTTCCACGGAATATGATTTCAAATGCATTTGACATCGAGAATCCCCCACACGTTACCATGTTAACGTGCATCCCTTCTGTTTGGCCATATTAATTCACTTGGGGATCTACTCACCATAACCCGTTTCCAACTCCTTCAGCACCTCCAGGTCTTCACTGTCAATCATCTCATCCGGCACCCCCAAGGTTAAGGATTCACGTGTGGGGAGATTCCCGATGTCCAACATATTTGAAACCATCTTTCGTAGAACTGGGACTTTGGGAATTATGCTGGACTTGCGTTCCAGCACATGTTTGTTGGGCTGGCGTGTGCTACCTTTATGCATCTTGCGTTCCTTTCTATTAACCATCTTTCCTTTGCCTTCCATCCAAACCCTGCGGCGCTTGTCTAGAGCATACATCCCTCAAGCATACTAGACTTAGGCGTCAGCTTTTGGAGGCGATATATTCTGGATCTAGAAATATCAGGAGGAACCACTAATAGAGGCTGGTAACCTGCCTAAGAAATCACTGCAGCTCGAAACGCAGTGCTGCTGTGCATCCCAGATGTTCCCGTGGGACCGTTGTTAGCAGCAAGCCACTTCAGGAACCCAGCTCCACAGTGCAGACAGGTGGAGGCATGAAGCGCGGTGCCGAGGTTCATTCGTATGATTGTTGCGAAATGTGCATCCAGAAGAGCCGCAAGTTTCTCGTCCCATTCATCAGTGAGGCCAGGGACATCGTGCACGGCATCAAACATAAACCTAATGACCCCTTTGGTTCCTCCTATGTCCTGCTCCGCCAAGATCCAGAAAGAGTATTCTGAGAAACATACATCGCAGTGCGTCATCAGTCAACGAGGGAACAGGACTGCCATCCAAACCACACTTGAGCTTGGTGAAAAAGTCCATCACCCCGCCCGCAGCCCGGCGGTGCGTCCACTGGTTGTCCGGCTCCTTATATCACGCCTATCCCGTGTGAGCTTCAAGGGGATGTGTGATTCGGGGTCATAGTATTGGAGCGTGGACCCCAGGACTCGTAGCTCATGGAACCCTTGTGCCCCTCCGTACCACCTCGTAAGCCAATTCCCAATCAGTTCCGGTGAAACCGTTACCCCTAATCTCCTGGATTCTCCCACTTCAAATCTAAATTGAAGTCGATGCGAACGATCGGAACAAACCATAAGCAATAGGCAGGTTACCAGCCTCTATTAGTATAGACACAAGGAGCCTCATTGCTCTCCATACCTGTACGTAGCCTGCTGGACATCATAAAAATAAGGAAGACAGTTTCGATACAGGCGTGCCCCCCAACATGTGCTGAGTCGATGTAGCTGCTGTAACATTTTACATATCCCAAAAATTCGCTGGAACACTCTAGGCTATCTGGGAAGAACCCTCAATAAATGGGGGAAACGTGAATCTCGGACACTCACATTGCAGAAGTTAAGGAGCTACGAGCCCGTCTTATCTCACATCCACAGAGCCAAGCTTTCCAACTACGCGTCCTCACAAAGGATTTTAAGTCAGGTGCCTCTTTCTCCAGTGTAACCCTTCCGCCCGAATGAAAGGAACGCCGAGGCTGAGAAACCTACAAACGCTGCCAGCTCTGCGCCGGACCGACGTAACTCCTTGTATGGAATTGGTCCAGTGGCGGTTCCGCAAAGAAATATACGCAGAATCTTGGACATTTGTATGGACCAAGAGCTATCGTTCAGGATTGAGCCAGAAGGTTTCACAAACCTCCGGACTGATTGCTATGCCCCAGTATGCCCTTTGCGTGTAGCCTGTATCATGGCATGGAGAGAAGTTGTATTCGATTTGAACCTGAACTTCAGCAACGCCGTCCTTGAAAGAGCTACGAGTCCATCTGTGATAGGGATCACATTGCCGCATCACCCATCCGCATAGCGGGCTGATGGGCTAGGATGGGGAGTGCGATGGACTCTTTGAAAGCACCTACGTGAGGGGGGGGATAGGTGCAACAGAAGCGGGACTCGACATGCACCAGATACAACAACAAAAGAGAGGAGGGATAGATGCGCGGGACGGAGAGAGGGAAGTTCCCTCAAAAGGTCACAGAGCATTCGTTACAATTATCTCCACACAAGGCTGTTTCCCCAGGTGATATAGGGGCTGAGCGCGCTCACGCGAAACTTATTGTCGAACAAGAGTGGACAAAAATCCAAGGCGTCACAAAATGGAACTGAATGGGTTACCGGAAAAGGAAGATTGTTGCCACAAACCCACACTCAACTCCCGTGTGAAGTCCTAGAGGCTGGAGTCCTGCCTACCCCGTGTAGGGAGTCATGGCCTCAAGAATAATTTCTCGGGCTCAACTGGCATCCCCGATGAGTCTTCCACTACGGATATCATACATTGTGCCGCCATTGCGACACTTATCTGCAAGAAGTCCCATCCTCCATGTGGGACGTCTTTCGACTTCGAGAGCAGTTAAGGGGCCCATTAGGATAATACCGGCAAAAGGCGATCCTTTATGGAAACAGAGTGTTAAATACTGTGGTCTCCTCACTGGCTCAGTCGTCCTCGGGGTGTTTACTGTTGTCTCGATCCTGTTTGTTCATGACGCATTCACCTATAAGTCCAAACATGTCGAACGCGTTCCAGTTTCCCCTCTAGCACTTCATCCAGAGACGGAGGACCAAAGAATCTTCCGATTGCCAAAGTATTCATGAGTGACGAGGAGGTTCGATGACACTTTCGTCATCTCGTGCTCTTTATCGCTGATGTCCTCCCGGACTATCAAGGACGAAGAGAACAGAAAACTGATGCATAAACCCAAACTAGTTATTCTTGGGGGTGGTTGGGGGGTGAGCTCTGAGATTTTGTTGTTTCCTCTGCAACTGTCGACTATTTTGACCCAGGCAATGGGAGTCTTGAAGACCATCCGCCCTGGGGATTACCATGTCACGGTCATTTCACCTGATACGTTTACCCATTTTACTCCATTACTTCCCTCCGCTGCTGTAGGAACCGTCCAAGTCCGATCGCTTGTTGAATCTCTACGGAAAGTCATCGCTCGTGTGCACGGACACTTTATCGAGGCTAAAGCCGTTGACTTAGAGATGGGAGAAAGGCTTGTTGAAGTCGAGACAAAGGTTTTCGGTGAAAAAAGAAATGTTTATATACCGTATGGACACCTCGTGCGTCATAGCTTGTCATTTTATTCACATGATTATGCAGGTATGACAAACTCATTATCGCGGTCGGCTCTGTCAGCGCAGACCATGGTATTTGCGGGTTGGAACACTGCTTTCAGCTCAAGACGGTAAAAGATGCTCGGAAAATTAGACGTCGGATTTTGGGTTCGTTCATGCCTTGGATTCTCCGAGGGACGTAGCCTTTATCAATCAAGACAGAAAACTTTGAATCCGCTTCCGCCCCCAATGTGACCCCGAAGAACGAAAACGCCTTTTGAGCTTTGTTGTTTGTGGTGGCGGTCCCACTGGTGTTCGTTTCTTGCTATATCAATGAACATTACTAACTCGATTGTGAACGTAGGTTGAAACTGCGGCTGTGCGTAATATGAATGCTGCGGTTGCCAACTCTGCCGCTCACATTTCGTGATAGGAAATCTATGATTTATGCCAAGAGGAAATTATGGATTACGTATGGAGTCTTTCGTCGAACAGCTTGGTTTCACTATTGACATCTCTTTACAGTTCCCTAAGGTTGTTCGAGAGCAAGTGTCGATCCACATCATTCAGTCTAGAGATCATATTTTGAACGCTTATTCCGACGCTATCTCTAAATATGCGGAGGTGAGGTGCTCTGACAACAATTTGGTATAAATCAGGGCTCAATTGCAACCCACAGGCGAAATTCAAACGCGATGGAGTCAACGTCATTGTCAACTCTCGGTTCGTAAAATTCTTGTCTCGTGGACCTTTCTCGCCGTAATTTATGTCTCTTGTAGCGTGAAGGAGGTGACCAACGATCGTGTCACATACTCATACGAGGATGCGAACACCGGAAAGGTTGTCGAGAAGTCTATCCCAAGCAATTTTGTCCTGTGGTCCACTGGTATCGCCATGAACCCGTTTACTCAACGTGTCAGTGACCTGCTTCCGAACCAGGTTCACAAAAAGGTCTGCGCGTCCGCATTGCTCAATATTTTCGAGCGACGATATAAATTTCTGGTCAAAGGCAATTGAGGTCGATTCCCATTTAAGAGTGAAGGGTGCGCCACTAGGTATGATTCCATCCCTTTGGGAGAATGCCAAACGTCATGAAACCGATTATCAAGGAACCGTTTACGCACTTGGGGATGCAGCAACTGTATGTGCAACCGCACGCGCAACCAAACTTCACTAAAGGGAGCCTCTAGATTGAGACGTCCGTGAATGATTACCTCCTTGAACTCGTCGACGAGTCGGACAAGAATAAGGACGGGAAGATAGACTTTGACGAATGGCAGAACATGGGTAAGTCTGGTCGCCCCCTCGCCCCTCATCCTACGTCGTTGCCAACTGATGCCACCATTCAGTAACTGCCATCAAGAAGAAGGTAGTTCTTTCACGCATTGGCGCCCGAGCGATATAAACTGATCGGATGTCCAAAGGTGCCCATGACCTCAGCCCACTTGACCCAAATTCGTGCTTTGTTCGAACAATACGACGCTCATCATGACAATTCCTTGAGTTTGACTGCGCTCCAGGAACTGTTGGCCGATGTTGCCAGGAAAGTTACCGCATTACCTGCGGTAAGTAAAATGCGTCCCTTCAGTGCTCTTTTTGGAAGGTGACCTGGTTCGGAAACTCTCAGACAGCGCAAGTCGCTTCTCAGCAAGGAAAATACCTTGGACGCAAGCTGTCTGTTCTCGCGAGACAGCATGAAACCCTCGCTGCTAATGAAATTATGGATGAGAATGGCGACGCAGTGTACAAGCCTTTCAAATATCACCATCTGGGAATGCTTGCCTATATTGGCAATGCCGTCAGTAGCGCTGAACTCTCTAGTGGGAAATATGTTTAAACCTTTTCGTCCAAATCAGGCGGTATTTGATTTTGACGGCTTGTCCTTGATGGGAGGATTGGTACGATTTTTTCCCTGCTCCACCGAATGCTTCCCCTGACGGCAGGTCCCTCATAGGCGGCCATGTATGCATGGCGCTCTATCTACTGGAGTGAGCAGGTATCCATGAGAACAAGGGCCCTCCTGATGTTCGACTGGATTCTTCGGTGCGTATTTGCCCATTATGCGATCAACGCTAAGCGAAATGATCGTTGTTATCATAGCGGTGTGTGGGGAAGGGACCTCTCAAAACTGTGATATAATTTCCACTTCAACTCTTGTCCTAGCTCGGATTTGCACTAGACCTGCTACGATGAATGGAAAAGCCCTTGACTTCTTCGCGACCCTTTGATTGTGCCTTCGGATAACCGACATCCCATTTACTATCTGCTGACAATTCCACGACTGGATCTCCATGTTGTTTTACTATTGAATTGGAAGTTGTCCATTTGCCAAAACCCATTTACGTCTAGTTGAAAAACACTGCACGGGTGTTAGCTTTATCAATGAATAACCATTGATGAGACTTGGTAGCATCTGATTCGCTAGTATCTTAGGGTGTTCCAGTTATATGATCAAGGAACAAACGCCTTTCCCCCCAGTGGTGTAAGTGCGTCGGCCTTCCCTGGCACAATCAAATACGGCACGCTTCACCTATTGGAAAGGAGGTGAACTGCAAGGCTCGACTCCCCTCCAAAGAGTTACGATAGGTTGTTTGTCCCAGCCCATATTGCGAGGCCAGGACCATGCCCGGCCCGGGGAGCAGCACGTTACCCCCTGGATACCTCTGCGGCTCATTTTCCCCATTTAGGCGGAAAACAAACAGACGGAACGGCATTAATCCAAGCCTTGACATGGCTGCTGATTATAGTATTCAACCCACTAGATCAAACACAATACATCAGCCCTTCATTTTCAGCGTTGATGTCCAATGTTTCGGACAATGCTAGCTATAGTAGGATCTAAACGGAATTCGACTGAGGATATGTCAGACAATGAGGCGATCATCCATGATCTTAAAGAAAACCGAAACCCACAACTTGCAAGCATTCGTGCCTCAACGACAGTTAAAATGACATAGGGCAACATCTACATAAGATCCCCGGCAGGTGCATGCCGAAGGACGCGCCATAGGACATTGCGGATTGAGTGAACACCATAATTCGTTTATTCAGAACAAACCGCGAACAGTTCTAATCAAAAAACGGCACATTAATATGCATAGCACGCTAGATCGATCTTTTCTTAGCTACTGATGTTGAAGAAACATGTCCCAAGTTCATGGGACCATATTTTTGTTGATGGAGAAAAAATTTAATGCTAGGGCTTCTCGCTGCGCGTTTTCAGTTGGAATTTATTAGTAAAGGCAATGGTTAGGGCAAGTAAAGTGGTGCGTCGAAGAAATTTGGGGTCCGTAACCACAAAGAGCTGCGCACGGACACCCCTGACGAACCATGACCGCGACCGACACTTGATTGGTCAAAGCACGAAATAGGGGTTGCGGCACAAAGTGCGCAATTGAGCGCTTTTCATCCAAGTCGGAATGGGCGACATCATCCGGCGCGACATTGATGTGACCTCAGTGATCACAAAGGAGAAGCCGAACATCCGACAGGATTCTATAAACCAAGAAATGGGACAGTTCGATTGACCTAGGTCAACTCTACCTCCCCTAGTCCACACTACCCACAAAGGCGCCCGAAGGATGAGTCTTAACTTCGACGAGCGCTGACGAGAACAAATTTTCCTCCCCCCTTATGCCAAATCGTGATGATATTCGCGAATAGCACCCACATGATGCCGCGAGTGCGAAGGAATGCGGTAAACCCTGAATAAACGCTCGACGAAATGTCCTCGATGACTATCTCATCAAAACCAATCTTCTCCAATGATTCTCGATAAGCTCGTCTTCCAATAAGATTGGCGGAGGGAACGCGCAGGATGAAGGCGATGATTTTCGACAGGTATGTCAAGGGTGTGGAGGATGTTGGCTCGAAGCACATGTCAGCAAGGGCGAGTCGACCAGATCCCGGCGTCAAGCGATCGTAGCATTGGCGTAGGAAGAGATTTCGTGTCTTGAAGTGATATGCACAGTCTACCCCAAGAATAGAGTCGAAGTATAGGGTCTCATTGCCTGGATACCTCAGGGGATGACTTTCCATAATCGAAACGGTCGCTTCTTGTTCGGCTGTAAGCGATGATGGGTTCGTCCCTTCGCGAAATACGGCATCACCCAGAAACAACCGAGTGGGAATTTTCTCTTTAAGGTCAGCTTGCTCGATCCGCTGTTTGGCTCGATGGAAGTGACTGGGGAGGCTCGTGATCCCTGTGATTGTCACTGGCCTGGGAATTGAAGGGTGTCGTAATTGGAGCAACAGAGAATCGCCACATCCAAACCCGACCTCTTGGGTTTAGAGATCAGTTTGACAAAGAATGTCACATAGTTGGTAGAGATTACCGAGAACATGACCAGAATGCACACAAGCCATAGACGCCACTCGCAGTGCTAGCGCTGAGTTCGGTAACGACTCCATTTCTAGATTTTGGGAGGGGATTGATCTTAATACTTGCCTTCGCATGCTTCAGGGAATATGGTTGTGTTCTGTGCGAGAGCGATTTCGTTCTCGTCAGACAATTATTTGAAATAAGTGAGTGGGCATACCTCCCAATAACCCATATTGAGCCACTCCGTCTCAGGGGGGCCATACTCACGACCAGGAAGCATATTCAAGGGCAGATGAAAGCCCCCATACAGTTCCCCTTCAGGCGTTCGCCTCAGATGGGGAATTCTTCCATGAATGACGGCCATCAAAAAAGGAGCCAGAAGCAGTAAAATAAAAACCCATTTGGGAAGACGGATCAAAGCACCACTCCAGACCGATGAAGTCGCAAAGATTGTATACCACGCGCCAACAAGAACCAAAGATGAACTGCTCAGTCGCAGTGAAATTGGTCCTAGTGAGAAACAATACATTGGAGAATCTATGCTAAGAAAGGAGATTAAGGGTATATGATGAATCGCTGAAGCACCGGGCTTTGATGGGACGGCGCGAGGCTCACCTCAATGAGTCTGTGTGTTTACCCTTCAAGTTCACATCGAGTGAGCTGGTGCACAGCCACTCAACGGCCACTTGCCTGATTGTCACTGGCCTCGCGTTGAAAACCGCGACGAACGCGCCTTCTGTATCTCTTAATGAGCGAGCTCGCCCAACTGAAGTCTGAACTGAAGGCTTGGGAGCGAAATTTTCGCGAAGAACACGGTGGCCGTGATCCGACGAAAGAGGAGAGCAAGCAAGATGCAACAATTGGTATGTTGATACATTGGCACATTGGGAACGGGCGTTGTGCCAAGTTCTTATGTATCATACTCCTTTTTTTTTGCTACGGATACACTACATAGCTGCAAAGTACAAACGGTATCGCGCTCTAGTTCGAGAGAGTAAAAAGCCTGCTTCGTCCGATTCAAATGCCAACCTGATGATTTCTGCTGTACCGGCGGGGTCTTCGCACAATCCTTCTGCGAGTCCTTCAATTACATCCATCAAACGTTCTCTTCCCAGGAATCTCCTACCAAGTCTTCGGCCAATAATCCATTTTCGCCCGTGAAGCCGAAAAACGCATCTAACAGCACCAAGGGGCTTCGCAACTCCGTACGCCCAAGCTCTATGAGGGCCATGACACCATCCAGCGGGGAAGAGGATTCTCCCACTGTCCGACGTATCGATGGCCTATCACGGAACACAAGGAAAAATAATCGATCTGATGAAGACAATCCTTTCCTCGTCGACTCTCCAACACAATTGAGCCAACCGGCCTCCGAAGGGTTATTCAGTTCATCATATTCTTCTCTACGTGGACAAAGCAGTTCCGTCAAGGTCCCACCAATCGGTCCGATACAGAGCTCCAAACGTTCCAGAATATCTGAATCCACCCTATCTTCCAATCGGAGACTTTCTACCACATCTAATTCATCATTCCCAGACACCACCCACTCGGTCGGCACAACGGTATCATTCAGCTCCCCGTCCATCTCATCAAAATATGATTTCGCACCATCTCCATCCAAACTCCGATCACTTGTGGACCAAACCTCCTCTTCCCTGACGCCCCGTACTAAAGCGCGCAAACGAATGCGCGGCGAAGATATCCCTGTCACACCGGGCGAAGAGATCAAGCGTAAAAAGAAACGAAGCTCACTTTTCGTCCTTAGTGCAGCAGCTGAAGTAGATGGCGCAGGCAAGAGTGGCGTATCTAGAGATCTGTGGGACGTTCGAGGCGAAGGGGTCAGAAAGGTTCAGCCTCAGTCTGGCGATATTTCTGCTGGGGAAGACGGGATCCTTCGGTCCGAGCCTGGGGATCAGGAAGACAATCACGTCGATGAGAATGATGAAGTGTTCCCCGAGTCACCTGTAAAGTTGGCGACAGTTGGAGCGGTAAAACGTTCATCCGTATTCCGTGACAATGGGGAAGAGATCGAAGAGCGAGGCCGAGAGGTTTTCAGACCACTGTTCGGAGAGTCATCTCCCCATCAAACCTCTGGGAGAAGCATCCCGACGAAGATCAAACGAAGCCTCCCACCCACACCAATAGCTAATGGATCACCATCAACTCGTCATGTGGATTTCGTTCTTCCCAGTCGGAAGCAGAAGCCGAATGATTCGTCAATCGTCGGTTCTTCGTTGCGCCCCCGACGCAAGTCCCTGATTACCAACTACATCACGAACACCTATGAGCGCAGTCCCCTATCAGAGGATGTTGATATGGATCCTCTAAGGGATGATGAAGACTTGGACCAGGATCCATCACTGCGGCCTTCGCTGACTCCCAGGCCGGTTAAGCTACGAGCACCATCGCCACCTGACACTACACTTGATCCACCCAGTCATGGGATGGGCAATAAAGCCAGATCAAAGATTCCGAGAGCAACTGGTGAGCGAGGAAGAGAGAAACCGATGAAAAGCGTTGGTGATACCGGAGCCGCTTTGGTACCCCGAGAAGCGTCGGGCACTAAGCTCGGGGCTGATGTGAGAGTCACCAACACTCCAGACGATGAGGACTATGGAGACAGTCTGGTACTCTCTCCAGTCAACCTACCTTGGAATTACGTCGGAATTGTAGAAGTACCATTGCCGAGGTCAGTTCATTCGTTCTAGTTTCTTGGATCTTGCGCAGCAGCGCATACTCGCATTGATTTAAGCTATGACATGACCCAAAGCTTTCCCATTTCAATATCTATCTCATTAATATCTCCGATATGAGACTGACTGGTGTACGGCGATTTTATCCTTGATGTAGAGCTGCTCAATCCCGCGGAGAAATGCCGGAGGAAAGGAACGCCACCGCTGAAAACACCCAACAGTCATTGTTAATGCCAGGTGGGAATGATGATGCCGGAAACAGCGGCGACAAGCGGATGGATATGCTTGACGACCCCGAGCTTATTGTCCACTTGGGCCCACGACCGAATGAGATATTGCCTTTGTCTGTGGAGGAAGAAGATATAGGCGAAGGTGAAGGCACCTCAGATTCGGGATCGCTAATGATTGGGGGCCGCGTTGAGGCTGTACTGAATGACGAGCTGTGGCGGATATTGGATTTATCCAATGGTGCGGCGGGAACAGATTATCATTCCGAGGATGAACTCGGGACGTTGCGGGACGTACTTAGCGGTGAGGGTGGTCGGCATTTATGCCGGCGTCGGCTAGTGGGGGATATTTGGCTGGCGGGAGAGGGAGCTTATGGCGCCGATGCACACGATCTCCAGGAAGACTGGGAAAGCGAGCCGGACATATTTGCCGAGTTGTGAAGAGATTGCGTTGAAGAGTAGTGTAGTGATCTGCAAATGTGGCTATGGCTTGTTCCCCAGGGCACGATCTGTGGCTGAATTAACACATCATTGGGAGGGTAGAGCCAGACATTCGCACGGAGCTCAACAGCGCTAGATTGAATTGGGGCACCGGAAGCAAAAGAAAAATTGTTTGGGGCGTCAAAAAAGTAAAACAAAAAAAGAAACAAAAAGAAAAAGAGAGAAATGATTACATATTTTTAAACTCAATTATTTTATTCCATTGATGGAATCGGTCGTTGACGTTATCCGGCTGATTGTTTCCCTTTCAAGAGTTCAAACCACGTGCTGATGGCGGCCACTGGGTTGCAATGGATCGCCCAGATTTTGTTTTTCTCTCCTTTGATGGCGGTCCTTCCGACTCAACTTTACAAACCCCTCCCTCATTCCATCATTCCTGGCCTCATTGCTTATCATATTATTTCGCTTTTTGCAATGACTAAGCTAAATACTATAAAAACCGGCCACTCCAAAGGGCCCAATTTGCCTCTTCACAACGGCTTTCGCTCACTCGCTCTAGCGTGTTCTCTGTTTGCAAATTCGTTTCTCTTCCGTCTCTGCTTCATTTCACAATGCCATCAGACTCTTCCTCCAGCGGCTCAGGCCTGTCCGCCCTCGCTGTCCGTAACAGCGTAGCTATAAACACGGACGTTTGCCGGCAGCTCGCTCAGGCGCCCTTCGATCTCAAGAACATCTTCCGGACAGAGGGTTTCGATGGAGTGTCTCGCTGGGTCGTTAGGTGAGACGATCATTGTTGATCACTTCTAAGCGTTGCTCACTGACAGCTTGGGGGGCGCTATTGCAGATGGGCTGACTTGTGCGACACTGTTGTACGTTCACGCAATGGTTTTGTTATTCAGGTTTTGGTTCTTACCCCGAATCGCCTCTCTTAACAGCTCCGCGTCCATGCCTTTGGTCTTATGGCGGAGACAACGCGTCAACAAGCTCTCATTGCATGCAACCGATGCCTAGCGATAGGGATCCCCGGTGTTGACGCACTCGATGCTGAAGTGGCTCGCATTCGTGAGGTTCTTGACCCCTACAATGCATTCCCGACAAACACTCTATCAATACCGTGATGTTCATGACTGATCAAGTCTGTGCGGGTGTGCGAAATCCGCTTTTGGAGTTCTGCGGTTTCCTTTCCCCCTTCCAAATCTATTCTCGTAATTCCCTGTGTCCCTGAATCCACTGATTCACCAAGCAGACACTATCCTCGTGCCCCAAACCCTCACCCCCCAATTACGGCGTTTCCCATGACAGTGTATTTCCCATCCTTACCAATCCCTTCTTCCCTAAGTATTCGCCCTTCGACGAACACACTCTCATTCGTCTCAAACTAGTCTACGCTATGTCCCTCGCCCCATCAAGTTTCATAATCATGGAGAGAAGGATTTTCCGCTCGCATCTACATACCATTCCCTCCCCCCCCTCCCCACCCCATCACAATCACAATTTCCATCATGTTTATCAAACGCCCAAGCTCCATAATTGTCTTCGGTAGACGAATGATCGAGTATCAGTTCTCAAGCAGCAGACTTCATAGGATATGGGATTGGACGGTAAAGGAAAGGGAAAAGGTTGAGTCAGAACTATGATGTCGGATTTCTGGTGTATTTCCCCCCTTTTCATGCTTCACTAGATTTCCATACACCTACCTCTATCTACCCATGCTCTCATGACTCGCCTAGCATAGCTCGCTCAATTTGATCTTCCTCTCCTTCCCTTCATATTGTCAGTTCAACATAGGAGATCGCATCCATCCATATCACGGTGTCGAACGACCTCGCCAACGAACGCGGTTGTGGATATGAAAGGTGCTGGACCATCCCTCCCACTGCCGACCCCTCCCCCTTTCTTCTGTCTACTTCCAGCAATTTTGGTGCCTATCCATCTCCCATCTTTTCCTTTTTTCCATGTTCCAGTCTCCAATGTCCTTGTGACTATTCAACTCCTACATGTTCTCGCCCGCCCGAACTACTCAGTTTTTCGAGTCTGTATTTGTCTCCAGCCATCTGTCAACTAGCTGTTACAATATATTCGAGACTTCCACTTATTGAAGCATTCAAATCGCTAGCTGTTCTCCGACGTTGTATTGCATCGCTCAATTCAAAATCTGCACATGTAATGAACCCCCCATGCACACTATCACTAAATTAAATAACATACTCATGGTGAGAATTCAACCATATGCATGGTTTGGTTGTGCGAATTGCGTAGAACTAGTTCCTAGTGTTGCTCGTTGAGAATCATATTTCTGAAACGCCCCTTATCATTCGGGGGTACACGTCAAGACAATGCAACCCAATGAATGGCACCAACGTGTGGTTGCAACGTTTGGTTGTAATTTACCCCAGTGAATGAGACATGACAGAATACGCACACGCCCCTTATGATTCCTTACTTAACCCTTTCCACTTCTGCAAAGTCGTGGCTTTGCTGCAGTTGCACAACTCATTCACTTGTCCCGAGGGATTGGTTTGATCCCCGTTGGACCCCCCCTTTTACTCAATATATGTATATATATATATACATAATTGCAAGCGGGACTTTGCAAAGTCATCATCATGAACCTCTTTTTGGGGGCGGGAGCAATCGGACAGGGTGACGCAATAAATACTCTTCTCAGTACTTACGACCTGTTCTCGTTGTCATCACATCCGATCAGCGCGCGGGCGCTCACGTAGCTAGGCGAATCACAAACTGCCGTTCCCGAGAACAAAGGGAGGGGGGGAGAGGGGATTTTGCACTTGTACGATGCCACGATCTTTGACGTTTTTAGCCTTCAGGATCAACAGTCGAAGGGAATTGCGTACATAGACGCCCGCGGCGTGTGGTTTGATTTGTGTGTGTGTTCAGCTACATATTACAATTTGGAATAGGATAGTTTCAAAGCGATATTGCCAGCTACGCGAGTTGGATTGATGCCGGGTCCGATTGGTAATTAATGGTTATAGTAATGCTGTACTGGCAGGAGCATGGTGGAATTTCCGAGGCGCTGGTAACAAAGGTCCGGTGGCATGGGTTTTGCGGGTGGCTATGCTTGGGACCAACTTAGTACAAGTTGGGACTATCGCTAGTCCGTCCGCCTGACCAACTGGTCCCAGGCAACCCCCGGCAAAGGTTTCAGGCAATGTGGTCGATCTTCACCTGCTAAGTGATACGTATCACTCCCTCCCACCCTCTCCCGCGCAATACAAGGGGCGGGGGGGCGGGAGCGTTGATTCACCTTGTTCCCAAGACTCTTCCTCCAATGTATCAGAAACGTGGCTGATCATGAGGAGCGCAATAGAAAAAAGCCATTTTCCAAGCCAACCAATCAGCTTGACCCATCCCGCGCTTGTTTGATGGGTAATGGAAACAGCAGATTGCTAGGGAACGACTAGCTCTGTGAGACCATGCAATATGCCAAGTTACTGCAGGGCTTCATGTCCTTTGATGCTTACGAGTGTGACATTGCCAGCCGAAGTTGCCTCATTCGGGGGGGTAACGGATGGCCATTTTTATCCGTATTCATCGAGTGAGCACAATTAACTAGGAAGCAGGGTCGGAAGCTGCAGACTTCGACAATTCGTGATGGAGACTGTTTGTTTGTTTGAAAAAGTTCAAATTAGCGAATCCATTTCCTTTCGAAGAGAATACTAGCACGAGTGGTGAAAAATCGTGAAGCTAGAGACGAAGGCATGCCTCCGAGAAGTAACTCTCGTTCTGTGCCTTAGCACAGATACACTAGTGAGGTACTAGTATTTTGCGGCTCGTAAGCCTGTCCATGCGGTTTACGTGAAGGCTCTTATGATGGAAGCAGCCTGAGTTTAGTCAGCTATCATAGCATGCGGCACTCATATATAAGGCGGTTAGCGAGGGTCATTGGCGGAACAGGATATCTGGTGGCTTGATCAACTCCATCAATCCGTTCAGCCACGCGAATCGATCCTTGAGACGAGCAGATGTACCAGTCTCTTGCGAATGAAAAAACGTTGTTGGTGCGAAAAATGTGTTGAGCAGAATCACGTGCATATATTGCTCTGATGCTTTGCGGTTGCACAGCCGCTAGCTTCAATCTTGCCTCCTTAACGATTAGGCTAAATTTTTCGGGGGGGGGGGGGGGAATACTCTGTAATTTGGAATTGCTCAGCCAATGGGGGGCGGACTTGCTTCTCTGGCAGCCCGGGCTCCGCATGATGACTGATTCGGCTAAAGGCAACCGATCGACGAAACGTACGCAGCTTGATCTGCGGTTTATCCTCTCAAATTTGTGATCCTCAATCCCATCTCAAATCCTCGAAGGAAAAGAGCTCGGGAGAAAGAAAAAGCGCCGTTTCCAGAATCGGAATTTATTTTGGAGCTCGCGTCCTGTCACCGCGGCTCTTGGATCTTGTAGCTTTTGCTTCCCGATGCGGATGGCTTTACCACTCCGCTCCGTATACCACATCAGCGCTTCTGCATCTCCAATTCCAATAGGGTTGCAACCGGCAGACGCCGTTCAGAGTTCAGGGGCCTGTCAGCCCCCACCCCACCACACCACACGCGGTTTTGCTGCGGTGCCCGCTCGTCAATTAGATAACTGTACGGGCTCCCCTCTTTTCATGTCCGCCGTGAAAATTGAGGAAGGCAGCAAGCTCCACACAGTAAAGAAGGAAAACATTTGACGGCAAGCAATTTGTTGTGCATGGTTTTTTTTTGCTCTGAACAGCCTGTTCCTCCCTCGGAGGTTCGAATAGATGCCTTCTGTCTCGTGTTGTCGCCCATGTATGGGAAGGATTCAATGCGTACGTTGCTGGGGTATCATCGTCAAATTGGAATGATTATAGCCCTTTAATGGCACGGCGATGGATACCACACTTCGCAATGAAGCCCCTTTTTCGAGCCCAGCCCTTGTCCCTTCAGATCAGCTGACATGACCTCCCTCTTGTGAAATCCCAAAGTTGTCGATGATATCAATTTACTTGGGCCATATACATACCTATTAAGGTGTTTTTGTTCCAAGTTCTCGTGGCATCATTTCCTGCCCTGTTCTCAGTCGCAATCCACACGTGTCCTTGCATTCATGCGTAACCCATCAACACCACTTTTCACCCACAGAGGACGGCAATAGTAAGTCACTTGTATGGGACCAGCCACTAGTGCAAATACATTATTGGTGCGTGCCCTAATGTACACGTTGGGGGCCATGGAATTGGGTTTGATGACGGCTGGGCCGGTTCCGCGCTCCGTAGGATTGCGCCGCTTTTTGATGCACCGGACAGGTGCCCCTGCACGGTAATTCGGCTCAGGCATATTAAGATACAATGCTTTGCACTTTTTTTTTTTTTTTTTTCGTGCCAATGCATCTCGTTCAATTCCGTATATTACAATGAGCTCATTCCCGCGTGTGATTAATTTTACTCTCACAATACACTCCCTATAATATAAAGCACCTAGGCACGGCAGGCAGGATGAAAACCCATGCCCGCGTCAAAATTAAGGTCACATATGCATGCCGCAAAAAGGCTGGGAAGCGGATCAATGCGAAATCTTCTATACTCGCGCGCTCAAGTCATCAGGGCTCTCAATTCATTCGACTTGAATTTTGGCTGGTTCGAAAATTTCCAACCATGTTCCTTGTCATTGTTGTGCATGCATGTACCACCTTGCAACAGAGGATACTCCGAGGCCATACTACTAGTCATCGTGGCACGTCTTCACACCGATGGAGACAACCCTTTTACTCGAGCTCAGTCCTCAGATCTTGGAAATAGTAAAAGGCAAACGTGTACCCGTTCGAGCCCGATAAGAGTGGCTAATCATGCATGACCGCGGAGAACTGCATTTCGTGATCCTTCTGCAAGCGGCCTGGCTTCATGATGGGCATAACAATAATGAAGGAAAGTCACAAGGGGCCCGAATCAATCGTCATCGTGTCAAGTATTCAGATCAGATACTGATTCTAATCCTGAGCTTGGAGCAGCGAAATGCAATGGGGGGCAGCTTCTTTTTCTCAGGGGAGGTTAGTCACTGCTGAGTTCACACAGAATACGTACCACTTTCCACGATGGTTAACCCCGAAGCGAAATTGAACCAGCTCTGGATCAATGCGTGCCAGGATCTTTGAATAAGTGGTATCTTCTTCGCATGCCAAGGGGAGGGGGGGTGGATTCGTAATTTTCCTTCCGAATTACACGAAAAACGATCCGGATAACAGTCGGGATATGTTCGGGGAAGGGCGTGTTACAAATGTTCTCTTTTAGCAATGATTGGCATGTGAGTTTATTTAGAATGTTCAACGGGACGTCCCTTTGTACTACTACCAGACACGGGCAGCATGCAAGTAATGATTTCCCGCGCCAATATAGAGAACAACTGCATGAAGAAGGTTTCGGCCTCGTGGTCTGTCAGCAAGGCAACCATCCCGGCCAATTCATGGCGTGCGTTCCATGCAAAATGCCTGTCAGAATAGCGGGAACACCCGAATCGGCTGCAAAGGCCATCACATCCACATCTGAGTGGCGGAGTTCCATCCTGAATGTTTAGCCCGGGGTATCTTATTGCAATGAACGCGGCCCGTTTCCTGCATCCATTTTCCACACGAATACGCGAGGAAATCCGCGGGCACAGCAGTCTCCACTCCTGGGTGCAAGAAGTGTGCACAAGGCACATCATGCGAATCACCACCTGGTTGAGCGTGCGCCTTGGCCATAGCACAGTAAAGCTGGCAAACTCTGGAATGATTTTTTTATCTATCCAGCCGCAATAGTGATTCTTGTGAGGAAGTGCGGATATTCGAACGCTGGGCCAGAGCAGCGACGGGGGTTGTAGGCAGACCGGAAAAATGCATTTGTTTCCACCTAAAATCCGGGAATTCGAGTCCACGAGAAATTTGAATAAAGAATAAAAAAAGGAGAAAATCCTTGCGGCTAACAGCACAGATTGAACGACAGCGTCTGATTGGAGGAACAACAAATGAACGGGAGTCATGAATGCATGTAAAAAGTGGATGAGCAGGGTGGGAGATATCGACTGGAAAGGTAGTCGCAAACTAGCCGGAACGGCATTGCAGGGAGAATGATAGGACAAATCGAAATGATTGAAAAAAGAGTGGGTCCGGATGCAGATAGAATGGGGTCTGACCATCCTATGTGAGGAATGGTAAAGTGTAAAATGGCTAAGTCCGAGAATGCATCACGAAACATGAATACTTTGGTCGGGTGGTTGGTAACTAGGTATAACTGTTGCGTACAATTAGTTGCAGTGTCGATTAGGGACGCCCGCGTGCCTTAACCTTGCTCGAATTGAGTTAGAACTACATGTCGAATCCGCAAAACGAAGCGTACCTAATGTCTAGGGTTGATGCGCGGATGATTGGTTGCTCCATTGCGGGGAGGACGCAGGGTAAGGGGGTTGTGGGAACTGTGCAATGGGGTATGACGCTCGGGATGAAAATTGTACGTATGTGCCAGGTCTCGCAGGGACATTTGCTCTGGTGCCGTGATGAGATGGATATGAATGTAAATTGGGGGGATGTTGTTGTGACGTAGACGGTAGATGGGTTGCACTTGAGGAAGGTGTATAGGCGAGCATATGGGCATACTGGTAAGGAGAGGATGCAGGATGAGACGTCGGACTTGTTTGATACGCTTGCAAGGCGGAAGGGTGGGGGCACGGTGATGCAGATGGGGAGGGTGTATACTGTAAATGGGTATAATAGGTGGCCGAGCCCTGAGCCTGAGAGAGGGCATGAGAATAGTAAGGAGAGTGTGTGTAGTATCCATGGGTACTGGCGACGGGCATTGTATTAGAACGTTCGGGAGGATGTGGGGGAGCCGTAGCATAGTGTTTTGCCGCAGGTATAGGGGCTAATGGAGCCTGGAGCCTGAATGAAGTATGCGAGCTGCCCACCCTATCCACAGAGGTCCCTTTGGCGAGCCCAGTCGCAGAGTTATCCGTCGCTTTCTGGCCATTCGTGGGGATAACAGCCAAGTGCAACTGCAGGCGCCTATCTTCCTCATTCGCCACATCTGTCACAGACCAGCTCTGGCCTTTCTTGGCACGCTGCTGATCCCAGTCATTGCTCGCCTTAATTTCAATACCCCGGAGAGGCCGCGTGACGTCCTCAGAAGATGCTGACGCATGATGGTATCCTCGCCGTGACGTTCGTGATCTTATGGGCTCGGAAGACGATGGCTTTGACAAAGGAGTGGAAGGTGGTCTAGAGGAGGGTGATACAAGGGAAAGCGATGCTTTGGGCTGAGATTCATGCGAGATCCGCTGTATAGACGTAGGACTGATCGAAAACTTGTCCAAAGTAGGAGAGGGGCTGGAGCCCCGAGACGAGGGCGTGTTCGCACGTCGAGCCACAGAAGGTCGTCTGGCTGTAGGCGGGCGAGTGTCGCGGGGCGCGGAAAGCTTTGGAGGCGGCGTGGGAGGTACAGTGGGAGGCACGCGCGATGAGGAAGTGACGAGAGAATCAGCGCTTAAGCTACGACGGATTTTGATGATTTGACGCGTGATAGACTTCTTGTGCGTTGGACTACCACTTGATGAACTTTCCATCATTGCCCTGACAGCGTCTCGTAGCTTTTCCTGATCTGAGGTCGCACGGCTTCGGCTCCGGCTGCTTGATCGGTGGCGCTTAGACGGTTCGGGCACCACTTCCCATTCCTTACCCAATGCAGATATAGTCTCAATCGATGGCTGCTTCCTCCTTGTAGGTCTTGACCTTGTCACGCCCGAAATAGGCGGCGTTGACTGATCGGAGCTCCATCCCGAAGACTGCACTGCTGGGAACGCCCTGGTTGGATGCTTCCCCTGGGGAGTGGAAGACGATTCCGCGGCACTGGACTCGCCCTGGTCGCGAGATGGCCGCTCATGGATAGCGAGAGGCGAAGTCTGTGCTTCCGAACCAGCATTGACATTACCTCTGTCATCAGGATTTTTCCGTTCCTTGTCCGAACTACGTGACGGTCGCGTTTTAGTGGGCGACTGAGCCACTGCCCGTTCACGAGCACGTTGCCTCTCTTCACGTTCCTTCTCCCTCTCCTCTCTACGTCGACGGCGAGCTTCCTTTTTATCATCTTCGGCTCTATCATGGGATGATGGCAATGGGACTGGGTCGTCGGACTGTCCATTATTTCCCCCGCGGGAATGACTCTGGCCCGCCGAACTACTTGCGTCTCCACGTTTTCGCTCCCGTTTGGAAGGTGATGGGGCCGTGCTCCCAGAGATTTCATCGTCGGTAGCAAGGGATTGGTGCTTCGTGGTTGTCTTCTCACTGTCCCCTTTGAGTTTGCCCTCGCCATCGTGTTTGAACAATGATGCAGAAATGCCTTTTGACGATTCGAGCTCCAGGCCCCGAGAACGACGTTCCGTGTAGCTCCGTCCGTCTGAATCTTTGTCACGACGATTGTCCTGTTCGTGGTCAATGGAACGTTTGTGGTGTGAGCCCTCGGACTCATAACGACTATCACGACTCCTGGAATGCCTTCTTCTGTCGTTTCGTCTGTAATCGCCCTCAGCACGCTCCCTGTCAGGTTCCCCATCAGATTTTAATGGGACCGTGGTTCTAGATACAAATTGGCGATAATGGTGAGGTGTCGGCTCGTGGTGTGGGGCGCTATCTGATGAGCCCCTTGAGGCACGCCAAGTATCTGTCTCCTCATCGCGGATGCGCTCTAAGCGGCCCTTACTGTCGCGGGTGTAGCGAGGGCGTGACACTGCAGGCACGACACCCGAATCTTGTTCGTGGCCGAAGATAGACAAATGGGAGAGCGATGGCTCCGCTTGCGTTGAGTTCAAGTCCTTGGCCTTAGGCACGTCAGGGTTATCGAGGAGCTCGGCAGGTCTTGGCGGAGTTGGCGTCCTTGGAACTAGGATATCTGGATTTGCAACAGTCAGTGCCATCAATGGTAGTGGGGAGCTTGGAGGGGATGGAGGGTCTTCAAGTAAGGTCGAAACGACCTTTGGTGTAGAGAGATGATATGGAAGTTCAGATGATGGCGAAGGAGGTGGAGAAGGGAGCGTCGATCCAACGTTTTGGTTCATATTTGAAGAGTCCTCTGGTATTGGGGCCACGGGTTGCTTAACCAGAGATGACTGAGATGGTCGGGGGAATTCGAACGATGCACCGCGAGAATCAGTCGATATTCGCTGCATGCCAGGTATCTCTCTACTCTCGGTCAGTGGAGTTGGGGAAGATCTACCCATCATGCTAAATTTCTTCACAAGCCGCCCAAGAAAACTTCCACGTTTTTCCGACTTTTCGCTTGATTGAGGATTTAGCGAATTTTTTGCTACGGGCGGTTTCAGAGGGGTGGGGCCAGATATTGCCGCGGGTGCCTTCGTAGGCGATGTCTCTCGAGGGGGGCCCGATGTTGACGCTCTTCGTGATCGGTGTGAGTTGGGTCTTGCTCGGCTGCTTTGGGACCCGTAAGCGGTCGCCGATACGGATCTCCGCCTGTTAGGTTTCCCAGGCTGTAGTTCCGACCCACCTTGGGCTTTGGAAGACCACTGAGGCGATGTACCAAACATTGCAAACAGCCTGTTTTCGGGACGTTTGACTGAGCCCTTCTTCGACAACTTGGCCGAGTTGGTATTAGGCTCATTCCGCAGCGTCGAAGGTGAAGATCGAGCAGGAGATAAGGTGGGCTCGATCGAATGCTTTAGAGGAGATGATGAACGAGACTTAAAGCCCTGATCAGGAGGTTCTAGCGGCAAGTCAGGATCATCATCATGAAGGCTCGTTGTCGAGGTGCCGATGAGTACAGGGGGATGGTGGGCAGAACTGCTGGGCGGTAGAGTCGAAGGAAGAGAGGATGACGTCCCTCGCTCCATAGATGACCTGCCGAAATTGTCTACCGAAGTGGATTGTGACAACGGGGAAGGTGCAAAGCGAGTGTGTGAAGAGCTCCGGGATCTTGGGTGGACACGGTTGGGAGACAAGGAACTCGAAGAGGATGAAGAGGGTGCATAGAGTGGGTTCTTGGAAATGTAAGGTTAACACCAATCAATCATGGCATGTATCTCGAAGAGCGGCAACGCACAAATTCAACAATCTCACTCCCCTCAATCGCGCCGGCATAAGTGCCAACGCCTGGTCCAATTGCCATGCTTTTTGGCCGCGGAGCAGCCCTACGACCGATGTCATAGGGACTGGTATGGTGCCATCGGGTACCATTGGGATCCGAAACGTCCAGAGAATCCACGTCATCCATATAACCTCTCAGCAGGCTCTGCTGGGACTCAAACCTATGAGATGAAACTTGGCTAGTGGTTTGTGCGGAAGAGGTTCCTAAGGTGGGAGGAAAGGATGTTCGCGGCGCTGCATTGGGAGGAGGTTTGAGGTGGTAATTGATATAATAAGGTGGACCAGTGGGCTCATGTATGTGATATCGTGGATGGGAAATGGCAGCGGAGGCATTCCAATCTCCAACTACAGGCCTCGGAGACGCCCAAGATGGAACGCGTTGCATGGTGCGGGCTGATTGTGAATCTGAAGATGGCTCCTCAATCCACATCTGAGGGGTCGCTGAAACAGGCGATGATGGCGTCGATGTCGAAAGTTGTGGCGCATGAGGTTCTGTGCGAGGCTCCCTAGGCTCAGCAAGAGCGTCTGCCGAGACAGAAGTTGGGATTCCCATCTTGCGAGGCCCGTTAACGGGCATCGGTCTGGGCCCGCCCTTAGCGAGCTTCCCAGCCGTCGGATGTGATTTGTCCTTCCCTCTGAACCAGCCTAACGGACCTTTGGACACTCGCCGTTGAACATCGGCGCTCATTATATGCCGTAAATTCACAACGTGATGTTGTGTTGATACAGCCTTTGGCAGATTAAATAGAGGGTCAGGTCTTGTTCCTCTCTCTGAGATAGAGCGTGTTACCTATGTGATGATCAAGAAACGAACGTGTTTGTTGGTCGGAAATGCAGAGCAGTGGGGGCGCGAAAAGTGAACGACCACTGTGGTTAATTCAAAGGGGTTTGCCGTGCACTGCCACCCACCAAATCCACAAGCGCCAAAGAAACATCCACCGAAAGGGTAGCTTTATATGAGGTCCCCAATACGTATAGGCGTTAGATGTGAGCACAAGCCCGAGAGCAAGCGTAAACGCAAATGCACCCTGGAGCCGAAGTTTTGGTGGCAGCCCGATGCCCCCAATGCTAGTGGTCAGCGAGCCACTTGGTGCCCCATTGTCGACGTGGTGGGATCAAGGCACACAGGTTTTGGGCTTTGCCAAATATTCTGCGTGGCGCATGTCGCGGATTACCTGTTTGCTAAGATGTGTATGGACGCGGCGCCCTCACTTGCCAAGGGACACGATATCCAATGAACTATTGTGTCCAGTCCTTGTTGTACCGCTGATAGCAAGAGCTTGATGCAATGAATGCGATTCATTCTCTTCGCCACAATTGGTGTTACATAAACAGTGGGATCGCGAGGACACTACTCTGGCGAATCAACATTCAACGAATCATGGAGGCGTCCGTGATTACGAGATCTGAATCGAGGTGTGAATTGGATCATCTTGATATGAGCCGGGTAGACTTCGAAGAAAAACGCGCCACAGTGTGACATTGGAGGAACACTCAGCACTGCTGAGTGCTTCTACGAACAAGGAGAGGGCTAATTGTAGGAACAGGCAATCTCGGGGGTACGATACGAGTGGAAACCTAATACTAACAAGAGCAACGTGGGGAGAAAGCCAAATTCTTGCCAGACTGGCGCAAATATCTCATGCCATGGTTATTTTCCATAGTGGCGCATTTGTATAATAATTTTAGTAAGAACAGCCCTATCATTGTGTTGTACTAAAGAGGGTTTGGTTGGGATTATGGTTGTTTGTCAGGTATAGTGTAAGGCTGGACGCAAACATGAATGACAGCTACAGAATAGCGCAATTGTGGGCGTACTTATAGGGTGGCTGGTCGTCGAACTGTGCTGAATTATGGATATTCTCCCGATGGTGACGGAAGGGGGAACTTCGGCACAGGGTAATCTTCGTTTCCAGTTTCATTGAGGAACTGGACGCAACTAGATTAGTAAGAAGGAAGCGAACCTAGGCTGGACTCACCTCGCGTAGTCGAGAAATCTGACCCGACTTATAAATGTTCAGTGCTGTATTGTCGGATGAGCAAGAAGTCGACTTACTAGATATATGATTATAAGCTGCATTTTTACATCCAAGTTCATCTTGAGAATTTCTCGGCAAGTTTCCAGGGCACAGTCTCGTGTAGCTGAAGCCATCCCTCCAGTGCGGCCAAGAGCTTTAACTTCATCAACGAGCTCGCTGAACTCCGCGCACCAACCCAAAACCCCAAGCTGCAAAGATTGAGTATCCATTCTTGAAGTGTGCTTAGAACAGCTATATTTACCTGCCCAAACTGACAGAACCTCTCATAAAGGACATCGGGAGCTGCTGTCAACGCCTTGATGAGTTCGTCGTTCCTCGCAATGGCGGCAGGACCACCACTGAACGGAATCTTTGGAGATGGTGGCGTCGGCGGAGCAACCTGCGCAGGACCAAGTCACTAATATGGAATTTTTTGTTGTGCAACATCAGGTACCTCTCGTGGTGGGGGACGATTCTGGAGCCTGGAGGGGATCATCAGATTGGGTGACCCTAGATGCAGATGATGGCCGTGTTAACGCACCACTGGAATCCCGAGTATTCTAACGCCATTCCTCTCCCACCATCAAGGGTGCTATACTGGGCAACCTCGTTAAGCTCTTCCGACATAATGGCTTCTTCGTCAACTTCAATTATTGTTTCAACCTGCCGACGGTATCTTCGTTTTCTGACAGTCCGATGCGCCGCAGGCCGAGATGGAGTGCTCGCGACGGAATAAACTGGAGGTCGATCTACGCGACGTAGAGCCGCAGAAGTGTACGAGGGCTTGTAATGAGATGATTTCTTCCTGGCTGAAAGATAGATTGGTGGCGCTTGTGGTAAGGGTTCGGGCTCCTTCGCGTGGCTACAAAACAATATCTTGATCCACTTGGTCAAGGCCGTGATCACGTTTTCCCTCTATCCGTCGGTGCAAGAAGAGTAAGCGATGATGGGCGACAACGACGTGACGACATCACTCGGCTAGCATCTCAGCATGTGCAAAGGAAACGTAATTTACCTTCTCAAACGGACTCGCACCAGTTCACGATCCCAAAAGTGAAGAGATATCAGCTTGTCAATCGTTAAATCAGTTGGCGCCCGCCAGCGTTGATTTATGATGGACTAGCTGCGCTTGAGTCAAGGGCCAAATTCCAGGGAAAAGGATGCAAATTAGACTCTGAGTCCTGAATCTCGTTCTGGAAGAACACGTTCCTTCGGCGCCGTATGCATGTGCGGATTGACGACCGTTCGCGAATTTCCGATCCCACATGAATCTGAATGGACATTAATTATTTAGGTACTTTATGCAGAACGAAATCTTTCGGCTTGCTCTTACCATTTGGACTCAAAAATGTGCGTGAAGCACTCAGGGTAATGAGAAAGATCGTTAAGCATTCGAATTGCCCTAGGCAACCCGTCAGTTTCGACCCCTTCAACTGCACGTCCCCGAATCGGGACTTGTTGTGTTTTGTTTGTGCTTTCACGTTGTAAACAGAAGACCTCTCGATGCTTGGGGGGCTGGACGAGGAATCGTGCTCCTCCAATGGCTCGGGCTTCAAACCCCCAATTTCTCCTCAGACTTTTTGTGAGGACGATACAATGTATGGCGTTTTTATCGGCCCTTTTACAGAAAACGAGGAGGCTCCACGAAGGTCACTCCATCATGCCCTATCGAGAGACGATGATACCCATGACAGTCAAGAAATGCCACCAAACGCATTAGGACTATCTCCAAACCCAGTCGAAGCAACTGGTGCCAGTGATACTCTTACGGATGAAGATGGCGCGGCTTCCGACGCATCCTCACGCGACCTCGATGGACCCGAACCGGGGGAGGACAGCGACAGCGCGATGTACATTATACCTGTCAGATCTCTTAGGCCCCGTAAGCGGGTGACGCTTTCACCCATGAAGAGTCGTAGGATTAGAGTCAAGCTCCCAGCCAGGAGTTCCTTGCCGCACTTCACTGCATGCTCATCGATTCATTCCACGCCTTCGACTCCAGCACGAAGCAATTATACCCACCCCCCAGAAGTCCTCCCTAATTCTGATACCACTTATCCTCAACCCTTGGGGATTGTTTCGAGTGGTCCCATCGTTTCTACTGATGATCCCTTTGGAGAACACGACAGGCGTAGTATCCCACCCTTGATAGAGAAATGCACAATCGAGATTCCCTTAAGTTCCACCCTATTGGATAGTGGCACCGGTGCCGGACTATCGTCAACTTCTGGAGTATCAGGTTCACTGAACCATCAAGGGCAGGGCGGCAGGGTCGTCAGCGAGTCAGCCTCCGCAATGCATCCAATGATGTGCAACAACGGATTGCTAGTGCAGGAGCAATGCGGTGAGGGGATCTTTATTTCGTGGCGACCCAGGGCTAACTGTTGACGCAAGTCACATCCTCATTCCCGGATTGTGAGAATAAGCATACTATTGATTTAGAAGCCACATTAGAGGGCGTTCCTCCGAACAGTGCTCTTTGTGAGGGACTACCCCCAAACGAGGAGGTTGATGGAAATGATTTGTCCAATGTAGATGAGGGGACCCTGGATGCCAGTACGTTATCCTACACCCCTTCAGTGGCCGCCATTTCATTTGTTTCCCCCTTCGCTAGGACCCTGCCCATGTAGCTGTTCAGCAATGCGACCAGAAGGACAGCCATTGCAGGAGAAGCCGGACGAAGCGCTGGAACTACCCGCCAGTAAGAAGGCTTGCAAGCCCCAACAAACGTCACCTGCGACAGGATGGTTGTCAACTCCGATACCCCTTGAAGATGTCTCGATGCCACCTCGCAAGCCTCTTTTCAACCCATTTCTTGTCTCAGTGTCGCCCGTCCGATCGCCTCGTAAACCAAACGTCCCCACCCCCTCTCACCCTCGCCCGGTCCAGATCTCCAATCCATTCCTTCCAGCTACCCCCGTTTCCCATGGGCCGACGTCGACACGTGGGTCTTCGCTTACGCTGTCTATGGTTCCGCAGCCATCGCCACACATATCTGGAAATTCCATCCCATCGAGGTCGAAAAGGAGGCTAGAAAGCGAGCCCGAGTCGTGCAGTTACAACGGATCTCATGTGTGCAAAAAGTTGAAACCGAATCAAAGTTACGCGTCGTCACAGGCTCCAGACCCATCCCTGGAGCCAACAGTCCATGGTTCCCCTCCCGACACCCTTACACTAGCCCTCATGCAGTTTGATGCCAAGCGGCGTGCGGAAGGAAGCAAAACGCACCGTGCCTCATTATCAGACTCTCCGGTGCGAAGTATGCCGGCTACATCCAATGTACGGGCAGTTTTGAGCAGTCCACGACGTAACTCGGACAAAGCTTCAAGCATCCCAACGCTGGAATCTACCAAGGCCGGACGTAGATTCAAGGGGATTTCCCCTTCTAGATTGGTACGAACTGGAGTGCGGCCCAACCCACTCTACTTTGCTTCACCTGAGATATCAAGGGCCACTGCACCGCCAACCGCAACATCCTCCACACAATCCACTCTTCAATGCGTCAAATCGTCATCGAAAAACCCAACCGCTTGCTTTCCTCCATCTTCTCCCGATCGTGGTTTATCAATTCCGAGCAGCCCGTCACCGAACCGTCGTGCGAAACCCCAGCTCCCGATCATATCCCCTTCCAAACCACTCCGATTCAGTGGGTTGCAAAGCTCATTAACTCGATCAAAGGACACGATGCTACTTTCGAGTGACCCTCGCACGAATGAGAATCATCATGAAGATAGAATGCTCATTAGCATGCCGGAAAATCCACGAAAACCTGTGATAACAAGGCTGGCCAGCCCCCGACGTCAAATTCGTCCTACTGCGCGTCCTTCTGGCATCCCAATGCCGAGATATACCTTCGAGTCTAGGTTGCCCCGGGTCAGGAGCACTTCAAAACTGCATTCTTCTAAGGGCTTCCCCCGCAACACTTCCGAAAGTCGTTCCACCCCAACACCGACCATGAATGTTTTCACGGCACATGCAGTGTCTGCCGCTGAGCATCCCAAGGTTCCCGCTACAGATCTTGATTACGAGGAATATATTTAATGACTTTTCTTAGGACAATAATGCTGATTCTGAGAAATGGGTATCCGATGAGCCTCGCAGTCCTTTGCGTAGCAAATCCCAGCAAGATCCTTCAATTGGGGAAGCCTCACACTCTATTTATGCAGGGATGGAACAAATGGATGTTGATCCATCCCCAGAACCTATCACCGACCGGTCAAGCTCCGTGGACCCACTCAATATGTCACCAGTTTCAAACAGTCCGCGAAGATTCTCAAGGAGACTATCTGGACAGTCTGCGATGTCCGCTAGTGACGCTGAGGCTGTCAAGCCTTTGCGCAAGTGCAAACCTGGACCCAGCTCTCAAGGAAGAGATCGTCGAAACATCCATACAATCTCGCCAGCTGCACTGAGGGATTTGACGACGAGGAACACGCGAAAAAACGATGGTTATAACTTTAGTGTTCTCAACACTAGAGTTTTATTCAAGGAAGGGCCTCGCCCACCCAGCCCTGCCTCTAAAATTAGGACGGTGCAAACAGAGGCAGCAGAACAAGCACGTAATGCTCGAGCGAGAAAACGTGAACTCATTCGTGGCGGAACTATAAACGGAAGCGATTGTTTATCGTCCAACTCGGCTATCACGCCAGAAACTCCTCGACCGGCGAAACATCCCCGAGCACCTGGTGATGATGATGATTATCACACACCGAAGAAATTTAAACTTGCGGTTGGGAATGACGCCATCATGTCCGAGCCTGATGATGGGGATGGACGGAGAGGGACCCCCTGTGAACGGGATGAATCATCTGAGGGTACTGTTCCTGATCATCAAAAGAGGAAGTTCGTTCGCTGGGACACATTGCTTGCGAATGACGCAGAAACCCCACGACCACTCTCGATGGAAAGTAGACGGCCCGAAGGTCAATACCGAGGCGCGTTGAAAACTTCTAGGGTGGGTAGCTGCGACTCTATATTCTGTGATTTTGCGCTGACTGTCACGTAGATTCCCGAACTGGACGGTTTCGGGAACAAACTGGATACTGCACAACCTTTGCAGAGTGTGCTCAAGAAAGAGCGGATAACAGTTCTCAAAGTTGTATACGAAAATGATGATGAGCTCCTTGCTCAACCAATCGTTAAGAAGGCCCTGAAGGCGGTTAAGGGCGGTCCCTCCCCTTAACACTCTTCTATCTATATATTGTTTAATCATTGGTTTTGTGTGATCTGAGAATACATGTTCGGCCGGGACGGTTTCGCTCTCGGAAACAATTCGTGGGGCTTATGAGATTAAAACATGATTTATTTATGACGCTGCCTGAAGCAGCAGATCCCGCTACCCTCTCGCCTTGCATGCTTGTTCACCATCAGCGTTGCCATTGGCCGAGACCCCGCCTGAGTTTCTTCATTCCATAAGTAGTTGTGATTTTTTTTCACATTCCTTGCTCCACAATCGCACCGCGAACTGTGGACGGGAGGTTTGGAAACTGGTGTATGGTGCGATAATGCCCATGTAATTTTGGAATAGCAAACAGCATTACCTGCACCATCCACACGCTCCGTTATAACTCAATCTGCAGTTGAGGGGATTCGGCTGTGCATTAACGGTTCGTGAACAGTGTGCAATGGATCACGCTGGTGCCTGAGGCGTCGTTCTGATGGGCTGTAAAGGATGAGACACTCAAGTATAGGGGGCAGGTGCATGGGAAGATGACTTTGCATACCACAAAGAGGCACCGTATGCACTCGCCGGCGAGCGAAATAGACTCAACTGTTTCGTAGGCTAGTGACCATAAGGACGTGAGGGGTTTTTCGTTGCAAACATCACACTAAACTTGTGCTTGTGTAGAACACTGTTCATGTTTGGCTTCCGCGCGGTTGAGAATTGTAGCATGCTCGCGCCCTAACCCACTCTGCCCCTCTCGGAACTGTAAGTGGGAGGGGTATTGGTGAAGACAATAATATGAAGAAAAGAGGAAAGAGGAAAAGAGAAAAAGAGATAAAGAGATAAAGAGAACTACGGTACTCGGAATTCCCATGTAGTCCCCTACCATGGTACTAACCAAGCGGCACCCCACTTAACCTCGCAGATCGAACGGGATACGGTGCTTTCAGAGCCCTATGACCGTAGATGCGCTAATCTGCGGCGCAAGCACTCAAAAGCAAATAGACTAAATGCGTCACAGTTGCACACTCTATCTCGCCCACACCAACCCTGTCGAAAGCGTGTTAAACACTGGCGAAATATTGCTGACGCTCGCTGCAACCAATCAGCGTTCATGGTTGATGGAGCGTGCCCGGGCTCTCTATATATATATAGTCTTGTTTGTCTTCCTTCGGCCCCGAACATCTCCTTCGATGCAGCACGAGAGTGACAATATCAAGTATGGCATGAGCTATCGTGGTGAGCTCGGAGAAAGGCTCGAAGACACCCGTGCATAACTGAACCCATCCTAATATCAGAAACCGCCAAGGCGATAACTACATTCGGTGTGGTTCTGCCCAACCACACCACATCACTTGGGACTTACGTTGTGTGCCAATGGTTCGGGTACAGTTGAAGTAGCTATACACACGATACTACGTGTGCGCCAAGTATACCCTCCAGATCTGTTTGTTCGAAGACGCAAATATGATGCACCTGTGTACCAGTCACGTCATCCGGCTCTGAACGAGTACATCGCTGGAGCAGTTAAGGCCATTGGTGAAGAAATACTCCTAGTAAGCCAATTGTCCGGGCATTAGTTTTTATTTTGTCCACACCCATTTCAATCAAAGGGCGTGGTGGACAGAATTGTAATCGTGATCAAGGATAAGCAGGAAAGGCCTCTCGAGCGTCTCATCTTTTCGGTGCACAATGTTATCTATGTGGACAACACGGACGTTGATAGGCCGTGCGTCTCTCTTATTCGTTTATTTCCTACGCTGTTGACACTCAAGGACCTCGGGACAGTGTGGTGAACGCTCTCAACTCGGACTCTCTGAACCTTTACTTCCGCTCGTTCCTCATCAAATTGGGCATGCTCGAGTCCCAACTTGGCCCTCTAGATCACCATGGTGAGTCACACGAATATATCGGTCGCTCTGTCAGATAGATCGGATCATGTTCTCAACTTGATGCAGGAGAAATTACCTTTGCTATCGTGATCGAGTGCAAACCAGGAACAATACCAACCAGTAGCACGGATAATGTATGTGAGGCTCTTTTACGCGATGATATTGAGATCTTATGAGTTCAATGTCCGGTAGGAGCCGGTCCCTTGGATGCCAGCACTCAAGCAACAAGTATCAAAAGGCATGTCGCCCGAATCAGAACTGATCCCCATGCGAGCTGTCGAAACTGGCGTCATCAATGTGCGTTACCATTGACCCAATTTCACTACCAGGATTAATCTATCCCTCAGCTCTCCCTGGCAGTTCAGGAATCAGGCGAAAAGCTTAGGCACAATCTGCTGCAGCAACGTAGTCAAGGGAGCGAACACAGCACAGAAGCGGATGATGACTCGTTCTACTTCAAAGAGAAGAAGGATGGTCGAGACATTTGACCATTCCTCGACCTTACCCTCAGACGTCATGCCTGACCCATCCTCAAATTAAATAGGACGTTCATTACTTTGGGGATGTTTACCATGCTAAACCTGTATAGAACGCTTGTGACTAGCATGTATATGATGACTTATGACACTCGCTAATGGGAATCGTCTTTGCGCCAATCAAGCCTTGTAGAAGTAGCAGCAATGGTTGATGATGTGTGGGAGTAACTCGACCCGTTCGCTAAGTTAATAACACGCGGCGGAGTTTCCGTCCCAATGGGGTTAGTTCTGGCGCCGCGAATCTTGAGGGATTCATCTCCTCGCATGATCCGCCACGGACTAGCGCCATCATTACGGGTTCGATATCTATATTGTGGAGTTGACAGGATCGTCAGTTCACAAGACTCACGCTCATTCCATCCCAAATGGAAGCTCATTAGTCCTACTTACCTTATGTGTTAGCACGGAGAAATGGACTTGTCAGCGACACTATATTGCCGGTGAGGCCGATCGGACAGACATGACAGCACATTCATCTCAAAATCCCGCAATGCAAGGGGTTTTCGTTGGTGACAGCTGCGCACCCTCCCAATAACGCCAGGGTCGCTCTGGAGAGGCCAGGGTTTTGTTATCTGTCAGCCAGGCATATCTTACTCACAAGAGCCTGCGCCTGCTGAACCCGTTCATTCATCCTTTGAGGATTCAGAGTCACCAGTATCACACCCTTCCTCGCCAGAGAATGTCGGTATTGCTCCTACAGTTTCCAGAGACAGATCACCTATGATCTGAGTGAAAGCCACTAAAACATGAAGGGATGGACATCGACATGCATCCATTGTCATCGTCTTCGGTTGGCCTAGGCACTTCTCACAAGTCTATACCTGTGACCTGCTCGTCCATCCCCCGAAGCCTCAGAGCAATCACTATCCCGTCCCTCACTAGGGGGTGCTGGTATTAGAATGCCCACCACCATGATGGAAGCGAGGCCTCCGCTCACAACTGAAACATGCAGGCATCGACATGGGCATGCGTCTTTCGTCATTGTCTTCAGTTGGCCCAGTGGAAATGGGAAGCAGGCAATCCTCAGCAACACAAGTCTTCTCCTTCAATATGCATCCTCTGCTCTCCAGTTTTCCCCTGTCTCATATCTCTCCATCATTCCACATCTTAAATTTACGAGGCTAGCGTAGCGTTTTAGTTTGCGGATGTCGCCCATGTACTTTCATCGTGCAGACTGTTGACAAATGAAAGTATTAAGGGCATAGATAGTGAGGTCCAGAATGCATGCACCATCATCTTGCGGCCACTTCAACGTTTACAGGCCAGATCTCTCCCGAAATGATTTCTTTATTTGAGGAATTCCACTCGTACGTTACGTACTCCCTTAGTAACTCGTCCAATTTCAAGGTCCCTTGACAGCCAGTACCCCGGAAAAGTAGATCAAAGATATCGAACTTGCCAACCAAGCGCATATTCAGAGATGTTCTACTGGGGAATGGGTGATGTGGAAACACGTATCAGAAATAAAACCACAGTTTCATTCTCGGTTTGTTATTTGCCCCCAAATCCTTTGATCGAACAACGCGACAGACGGAAGCGACGATTTTCTACCCCCCTCATTCCGGCCGTATCCCCGAGTCTGTACTCGAACCCGTAGCGTCTTTGGTGCTGGACAGGAAAAACGCGCAAGGTTCTGAGCCAGATTCAGGCCACAACTCGGATGAACCCTGGCTGAACGATCCTTTCCAGGGTCTTTCCCCCAGTATCGGCGAGCGGGTTCCTGCGAATGTCTATTCCTCCATAGCAAGGAGAGTCAAAACCTCTTTCGGCGGACGCGAAGTGGATGAAAACTGTATGCATAGCTCGTGGTATGTCTATGTCAATGGAGATTCAGGATTTGTCATCCCTCCTCGGTACCGCCCTTCCCACCGTCTCCCCGCCAGAGTCTGGCACTTATGGTGATCGGGTGGTTAGAGGACGCAATGACATCGAGTGTTTTCCTCACACCAGCAAGGATGGAACTCGACTGATCATCCAAGGACGGATGACAGCCCTTATCGTTGTTGATATTGATATTAGCCGGGCTGTTTATTCTATCTTGTTTTCTGCTTAATAATGGTTTTGGTCTTGGGGATCCGGTTGGGAGTATGAACCCTCCAACAATAAACGAGCTACCTGTATTTTATGTACTCATAAAGTAAAGGGCGCTGTAAAAAAATACTTACCCCTTGTCAAGTCCGGCGTTGTAGTAGAGGCACCGTAATCTTGGAATCGCCCAAATGGCAATGCGGCGACCCCCCGCATCAAAGTCCACAATAACCATCGGTATCCTGACCAATGAGTATACCACCCATTTCTTCATTTTGTCCACATCGGAAGACTGCCCAGTATTGTAACAAGTTCCCATGACAGCCTTGAGGTTTTCACAAAACCACAGGAGAGCCTTTAGGGAAGCGACGGAACGGGAAGCGATACAGACACGCTCTCGCAAGTGACATGAGCGCATTTAAGGTGCCCGTCAAAGAATAATAAGTAGTCAGTCAACGGGGAGGTGGTCAGGATTTCGAAAGTTTCAAGGAAGGAGCCACTCAAGCCAAGGAAATCAACCATACAAGTAAACTGTGAAAGCACTTAGCGAGAGCTCAAGCCCCGAACTTGGGAGAAGAAGGGAAATGGCCATTTCTTTCTATGCTGTTGCCTCGTAAAAAATCGAAGGCCACTGGAACTCCAAGACGGCTGCGAAGAAGTTGAATGAGGTAGAATCATCTTCGAAGGGATATCGTGGATTGCCATCTTAAATGCATTGATGTGAACGATTTGAAGCAATTTTACGGAGCCGGTGTCTAGCACTGCCCAATGCCTCGGCGGAGATTGAAGTGTGGAGGTGGAGCCCGGAGATGAGGCTGAAGGCTTGCCATAGGATCTTACGGCAATGCAACAATCGATCGAGAATTTCCGGAGTAAGCACAGTGGTGGTAGCTCTGCGGATCATCCAAATATGACCACTATTTTGTTGAGCAGGTTCAGGCAAGGACTGCGCTGAATGTAACAGGGGGACTTAGATCCATTAGTTCAAAAATATCAATATCAGTGCGCAGCACTGTGAGCGCTTGTCTGAGAACGGGCGTTCAAGGCACGAAAGACCGATGCGAACTGTGGACGCGAAGCGAGGAAAAGGCACAGGGGCCAGTGCGTGCAGCTGACGCAAGAAAAGGGAGGCACGGAGGCCGAAGCGTCTAGCGTAATGCGAGAGAGAGAAAAATAAGACAGCGTGCCGAAACAAGTAGAAGACGATTAGCTAGAAAATAACAACTTGTAAGAACATAAGTAAGAGCTGCAGACTGACATACGCAGATGATCAGCATACGAAGAACCTTCAGCAGGTATGGCGTACGCGAGGTCAGACAGATTTGCAGGCGTGCGTGGGGGAAAGGATTTGATTGATATGGGACGATTTCGTGCCCGGAAACGGGCGATTGTCTCGGGACCGAATATATTTCGTGTGACTTCTTGCAGCACCGTCATGAAGTTCTTCATCGACGACTTGCCAGTACGCTGAACACGCTCCTAGAAGATAATTGATTGTATCAACCGTAACAACAGGTCGTTTTCCCCTACGAGTATCTTTATCCTGGTATCGTGCGAATTCATAAACTTGACTGGCGCTTCGGCTCATCGTCGTATCATGTATGTCAGAGCAATATGCTTATATGTGTGATCTCAAGCGCACCCTGGATGCTCAAGGTCACGGAGTGCTGGAGATGCCTTCCGGAACTGGGAAGACCGTCTCTGTACTCTCCTTGATTGTGTCGTACATCAGGGTTTGTGGCTGGTTCTTGTTTGTTGTCGCGGGATACGTATCTTACTGTGAACGGTTCTGTAGTTTTACCCAACCAAAAGAAAACTCATATATTGTTCCCGTACTGTTCCAGAGATTGAGAAGGCTCTCTCGGAGTTGAAACGGCTGATGGCATACAGGGCTGAACATGCAGAGACGTTAGAAGAGAAAGCTAAGGAACTGGCCTTCATGGGCTTAGGACTCACCTCGAGAAAAAACCTTTGTTTGAACCCGGAAGTAAGCCCCTGTTCTCTAGCCAGGAGCGCTGAGTTGAATGCACGTCTCGGTTAGGTCGCGAGGGAAAAAAAGGGGACGGTTGTTGACGCACGTTGTAGAGATCTTACGTCCGCTACAGCGTGTGAGAAAGGCAGAGCCAATCCTGGATCCGTTCCTCTATGCTCATTTCACGAGGTTGGTCATACGTGAAGTTGATTCCAGGGGCCCGTCTACACTGACAAATACCTGTAAAAGGGTCTCAACAACCTTGAGCCTGGGAATCTCATCCCTCCTGGAATATGGACTCTTGCAGACGTACAACAACATGGTGTCAAAAATGGGACTTGTCCATATTTTACTATTCGAAGGATGGAAAGTAGTTCAGGGTTCTTCGGATGGTAGGCGATTATTGAACTTTTCCATACATAGATGCCCTTTGTAGACGTCATTATCTACTCGTTTCATTACCTCCTTGACCCCAAAGTGGCGGAACAAGTATCCAAAGAACTATCGAAGGATGCGATCGTCGTTTTCGATGAGGCTCACAACATTGGTAACACAGTCCATTTACGTCTTCCGAGCCACTCACATCACCGAATTCTTGCAGATAACGTATGTATTGAATCGTTGAGTATTGACCTAACCAGGCCAATGCTGGACTCAGCCGCTCGAAGCGTTGGCAAACTTGGCGACAAAATAGAAGAGTTGGGTTCAATTTTTTGTTTTTGCTCATGTTCATGTAATTTCGAACTAGTTTCTTCGCCTCAGGATTAAGCAAACCGATGCGTCCAAATTGCAGGAAGAATATGCAAAACTTGTTGAGGGATTACAGGACAGTGAGGGGTTGTCCCCAGAGGATGATATTACGGGAAATCCAGGTACGCAGATTTTCTACCGATACGACTAGTGCAGCTCACGATATGTAGTATTGCCCGAGGATCTGTTGAAGGAGGCCATTCCAGGGAATATTAGGAAAGCTGAACACTTTGTGGCATTCCTCAAGCGTCTCGTAGAATACTTGAAGGTATGACATGTACCCTAAGTTGGCTGTTTCATATCGTCAAGTTTTTCTGCCCAAGACGCGGATGCGAGTGCTGCACGTTGTTGCAGAGACACCGCTTTCATTCCTCCAGCACCTCAAAGATATCACCTTTATCGAGAGAAGGCCCTTACGGTAGACTTGTTTTTTTTTGTCCACCGTTGTTGCAATTATGACCAAAAGCACAACAGGTTTTGTGCCGAGCGATTACAATCACTCGTGCGCACACTGGAGCTGACGCACCTCGATGAATATTCAGCATTGCAGAAGATCGCAAACTTTGCGACGTTAGTTGCGACGTACGAAAAAGGTAACCCAATGAGATTCCGCGGCCGAGTCTTGAAGCATGCTCACGATAGTATTTGATAGGCTTTATCCTCATTCTGGAACCCTTCGAAACAGATAATGCAACAATACCAAACCCGGTATTCCATCTCACGTAATGTATCTCCTACTTAGCAAGCAAATCTCGTAATCAAACTATATCTCCAACCTCGTAGGTGCCTTGACCCAGCGCTAGCCATTCAACCGGTGTTCGAGAGGTTCAGCAGCGTGGTTATCACCTCTGGGACCATCTCGCCATTGGACATGTATCCAAAGATGCTGCGGTTTACGCCGGTGGTCCAGGAAAGCTATTCCATGTCGCTAGATCGGAACTCGTTCGTACCACTTGTGTGTATGTTTTTCTTCCTCGTCCGCACGTACTAAATCAAGTTGACAGGTGATCACTCGTGGAAGCGATCAAGTTGCAATCAGCAGCCGATTCGAAGTTCGAAACGATCCAGCGGTCGTTCGAAACTTTGGCAATATTCTCGTCGAATACAGCAAGATTGTGCCTGATGGGATAGTTTGCTTCTTTCCGAGTTATCTTTATATGGAATCCATCGTTGCAGCATGGAACGAGATGGTAAGTCAAGAGTGTTTTACAATCTCACGAGTTATCTTGTTCAAGTGCACCCATAGGATATCCTCACTGAAGTGTGGAAACACAAATTAATTTTTGTTGAAACACCGGACGCAAACGAGACTAGTATCGCACTGGAAAATTATCGACGAGCCTGCGATAATGGGCGAGGCGCTGTTCTACTTTCTGTCGCACGGGGAAAAGTTTCGGAAGGTATCGATTTTGATCATAATTACGGACGGGCTGTCATCATGTTTGGGTGAGGTAGTTTCCATTGTAACCCAAACACTGAGGGCAGTATTGTGCTAACGAAAAATGCACGGGCGCGTTTTGCATTCAAGGATCCCGTACCAGTATACTGAAAGTCGAATACTTCGGGTGAGTCACTATTGAATGTATCAGATCGGGGAAAGAGACCCTTCATCCCTGACAATGCTCATTCACTAGGCACGACTCGAATATCTTCGGGATACATACCGGATACGGGAGTCAGAGTTCTTAGGGTTCGACGCGATGCGAACTGCAGCGCAGTGTGTCGGACGCGTGCTGAGAGGTAAAACGGACTGGGGAATGATGATATTTGCCGACAAAGTAAGTGATGCCAAAGATAAACCCCCCAAACCCAAGTTAATTTTTGTGGCATGATTCACTTCCCCCCCCAGCGATTTGCTCGAATGGACAAGCGTTCTAAGCTTCCACGGTGGATCAACCAGTATATTACTGAGCAGGCTTCGAATCTCTCAACGGACATGGGTCTCGTTCTTTCAAAGCACTTCTTACGTACAATCTCACAAGCGCAGAACGAGGGAGCGACCAACCTGTCGTTGTGGTCATTGGAAGATGTCGAAAAGGCGCAGGCGAAGGCGAGAGAGCAGGCAGCAGCTGAGGCCGAGGCCGAGAGGGAGGCTGCTGCTGCACTGGAGTTACAAAAGAACGGGGCTCCGGCTGGTATGGAGGTGGTGGATGAGTCGGATGATGAATTTGGGGATTTTGGCGTCAGCGACGAGATGCTCGTGGGGATGGATTTGGATTTATAGTACATATATGTGTATGTACAAGCTCTTCTTTTTTCCCACCGATTATTGGTGTTTAAGGAGCCGGCACGCTCGCGGTGTTGTCGCTGATCCGTAACTTGAGCTACGTGCATGACAAGTATCTATCTGCTCACCCCTTGGCTACTTTCAACTTTAATTGACTACGGCCAATGCCCTAAGCGCATTCCCATGTAGCCAAGAATCATCATGAGGCAGGTCACTCGCTGTGAGAAGTAATCGACCAGAATAACCAATATATAGTTGAGCATTTACTGGATTTTTCGAGTCTCGTATTTTACCGAACGCCTGTGGATGCTATTCCATAGTGAGCGAGATGAGCCAAACATCGCTTGCATCGGATTTGCTTTAGGCGATGAAAAGAAGGTGGGACGATCGATTCGAGCATTTGCAACTCCCAGTCAACGTCTCCACCTTCCCCTGTCTCCCACCAGTGCTTCTCAGAGTTATCGCAAAAACAACCCTAGTCCACAACGCTTTCTTATTTGTTTTTATCTGGAGCAACAAAGTCAAAGATAGATTTGACATACGTAATATACATTGGGGTGTCATGAGGGACGGTCATATGGGAGCTGTCAAGAATGCCGGGAAAACGCGGTAGAGAAACCATTGCATTGGGGGAGTTGAAGGGTGGAATAGCGGTAATTGGAGCTAAAGCATGATTAGACGCGAGGGGGCGACTGAGGAGGTGAATGAATGCCGAGTTCTGGGCGTACGCACAAGTCGGTATTGGGAACAATGGGATTCTTCACTGTTTTGAATGACACTCGAATGATGTTGGCAACGCTATTGAACAAGTAGTCCTAAAACTCTAAAACTGATCGAACATCGCTTCATACTTTGCAAGCTCGTCGGGAATGCTACGCGGCCTGGCTCTTGGCACCGCAATCACACTATAACCGAGTGAGCTGAAGCATCAGGGGGGGAGCAAAATTTTTAACACTCAACCTTGCTTCTAGCATTCGCATACCACTCTCCGCTTTCGAACTGCATGATTCCCATTCACTCGCTGCGCGATGTTGATCTGCTCTTCGACACATGTCAAGAGCCACCTTTGCATTATTGATAGCTGCTTCCCAACCGCCCAAGTTGGCCCGATTCGGTCCCGATTTTGAGCGCTCCTTTGAAATATTGTAGTGCTGTGTCAAACATTCGATATATGACTTGAGGAAGAGATCAAAGATGACTTCGCAAATGGGGCGGAGGACCCTCATGAAGCCTATGGAGCTAAACATTCCATCAAATCTCGGCAATGACATTCGGAATTCCCGCCCAGTCGGGGTGTTGAGTGAGCCATAGAAGAATGAAGGTCGATCGGAAGATTCGGTGTTGGGAGAGAACATGAAGAATTCGAATGTTTCCCCATCACACAAGATGCCATAGATAGGGTCCTGTAAATCGTTACGCTGATTAGCAAAATCGCCAGCTGCGAGCAAGCAAGAAAGACGATCAGATGGGGCTTTTCCGTCGGAGTTCGGAGAATGATTCACCGTCACATTCGGCAATCAACTGCGCGATCGCGTTGAAGCGCTCAACGGCACTTCCCGTGTCTGGCTTGAACTGGACGAAAAGGATGGAAACGATGCCAAGGACAATAAATTGGTATTCGGCTCTCCCTTTGGTCGTCCATCTTCCTCCTAGCAGCGTTCCCGGTGTGTTACGTATGTGTGATCCAAAACATGGCACAAGGCAATTGAAGATCTATAGTATCGTGAGCACCCGTTCAGGTACGGGGACTACTGTTCATCGCACCGGTGAAAGAAACCGTGATCTCGCCTCCAGGGTGTCATGAAAATCCATAGGGCCATATTCAAGCAACATTTTGTAAATGTCGGGAATAATGTCCCGAAAGAGAGTTGTAGGGATCCGCGATCGGTAAAGTTCGAAGTGCGGTGCGTCGAGCAGCCCCTGGGAAGGGTCCAGATTGACGAGAGGTGCCATCTGACGGTAATTCATATTCGAGAAGCTAAGATTGACCGTTCGTTCTGAGAGTTTATTGTGAGCACTTGAGTCTATATCTTACAACAAAGCAGCCAGGTCGAGATCGAATTTTTTCGCCAAACCAAGGATGACTGCTTCGGCGGACTGTTTGTTGGAAATGGCATGGAGGGCTTGTTCCATCAAAGCATCCTCTGATGCGCCATCATCGAGTCCAGGTCGTTTTGGCATCGGGGAACGATAGAACGATAGATTCGGTGGTGGTGGTGGTGGTAGTAGTTCTGTCTTGTTTAAGTGCGTTCGGAGTCAGATTTCAAGTTCTCATTGGGAATGCTGAGCCTGTTCTTAACCTTAGCGACCGGCGATGACGAAAGCAGCTGGAGGGAGTGAGGAGACAGGGGATTAAGTACGGGAAGGCGGTAAAAGCTCGTGAACGCGCGCGCGCGCGCGCAACTTACAACTTGGAATTTAAGGAATTGAAGTCTGGATGTAAGTAAATTGCCACACTCATTCTATTCCGGGTACTCCTTTCACCCATCTCTTCGAATCGAATTGATTTATGTATTGTGTTACATAAGGAGTTTGTCGTCGTTCCGTAATTCATAACTTCAAATTGACGCCACTTGTCCCTGGCCTGGAGGCTTACCGGAAGATCAAGGGGCTCCGCGCCGTCGGCAACCACGCGCTCAGTGAGGTCTGGGAAGACAACTTTGGCTTTCCAAGCTCCACGGCTTTCTGGACACAATGAAGGTGAAGTACTGGACCAGTATCAATGTTGTTCGCATTGGCAATGCCGAAGAGTTCTTCCATCCCCGTCGTCCCGTGGATTGGCATAATACCTGCATCTCTCTCTAGTGACGACGGTGTCCTCGTGGCCTCTCAGTGCCAAAACGATATTATGTCGAGATCCGAGAGTCGGTCGTTACCCGCTCAACTGGTTCCTCACCTTCTTTTCCGCCCCCACCATCGAGCCTCTTACCGCTACGCTTGGTCTCTCCATAAGAGCAATAACAAGCTGTTCGAACATAAGAACGATAAATTGCCAGCCTCATCATAATGTGACCCTGTTCGGCGATGCAGCGTTCAAAAGCTACCTTGAGTCCATCCAGGGATGAGATCGGAGATGACCGCCAGCGCTGCATTATCGAACTTTCTGAGGGAAGGACGGTTGAGTCCCGCAGCAAACATGGGGGCGCAAAGACCGCGCAAGCCGAGTGACATGCATAAGGCAAACAACGACAAAAGAAACGCTCAACACGCTCTTAAGTTAACCCAGGACGTTTCGACTCACTGGGCCCGCGCTCCGGAGAGGCTGCATTCTTAGGCCACCGTCATTCCTCCTATCGATTTTCGGCGCATCGGCAGCGAGGACTAAGCATACTGGGGATTGGGCTGTCATCCAGATCGATCGACCCCTCCAAGATCGACAGCGCAAGTCCGATGGCAATGCTATCGACCTCGGTGCTCGAGTGGAATCCGAACAGTTCACTCGTTGGACGTTCCCCAATCTCCAGTACTACGTTCTTTTTCTTTTCAATGTATCCGAGCAACTGTCTTCTCAAGTTGCAGGGGCACCGAGGAGATGCATGTGCATTTGAACCACAACAGTTGAAACCGCGTCTTCTGGTTACCAAGCGCGGTAACACCAACTGGCCTGATGCCAACAACATCCGCTCCTTTATGTCCGCATCTGTAACTACTAAATTGGACGGTGGCAATGGCAAGGCCTCAAAAGAGTGGGCCATCCTCGTCCCGCGAGACCTCAAACCTCGAAATGTCTCGGCCGACGGTGACTCAGGTTCTGTCATCGTCGATCGACGACCTCGAACGCCTTGGACGCCTCGCGGTGTTGGCACCACTCTCCTTGGACATTGTGCCCATCACCTTCCTCCTCAAGTGCATAGCAGAAAAAGAACTCCACAAGTCGCGCGTCAACCCGGTCCTTACCGCCTGGACGCATCCTTTATCATGGGCTGGTGGTCATCAGCTGGACTGTCGAACACTTCCTTCATGCAGCCTTCGGTCGACTTTGCTCATCCGATCTCGACTTGTTGTTCCGTGACTTCGTTCCAAGGACATATCGTTCTTAAATCTTCACCCTTGTGACTTAACCAATACTTATGAGCCCCGCCCCTACCGCTTCGTTCATACAGTTTCGCCACTCTAAGCAAGAGTCGCAAAACAAAGAATACTACCTGGTAGATTATGAGCTCAGGTTTACTTCCACTTGCGGAGGATTTCTTGCATCACCCGAAATAACAGAAGGTGCCAGCACCAAATGCCAAAACCGATCGCTATGAATGGTGGCCTGTCGTCCGACAATGATCATGCGGCAGCCAAGCTACTTTTCTCCCAAGGTGATTAATTTGCGTACTCAAATAGGGGGGCGAGGTCCCCTGGCCACCGGACAACCATTCTGAGCGCTTACCTGCGCTTCGGGATCCGTGAGCTTCCGCTTCCGCCCAGTACGTTTCAAGTCACCTACATCCATATGGCTTCGGCATGGACATAAAGTTTAGTATGAACCGCAAAGGTGACAGGGTAAGATGAAGATGGAGCCAAGATCAGGGGGCCAGCAATCAAACCTGGGATAGCTGAAGAAGGGAAAAGGACTGGAGTAAATCGTCTCGAGAGTGCATATACTCACGCAGCGTTGGACAAGTTCAGATCTCACTTGCCCTGACCAGTGAAATCCATAATCTTGACCTTGGACCTGTCTTGCCTTTATTTTGCGTGTGGAACCAAATGATCGATCGGTGGATGGTTCCCTCCTTCGTAAGCAGAGCAGTGCTTCACTCGGAAGTAATATTCGCACAAGGGGCCGTGGCAGGGGCAGTTCCATCTGTTCCACTGTTCACGAACGAATGTGCATGTGGTTGAGCAGAGAATCAGTGTACTACTTACATCCATTTCCCCCCCACCCTCGTATTCCCTAAGGCGCGGTCAGCGCCGGAGCGACGAGGTACTCAGCGGTAAAGGTCTGCGTCTTTCGTGACATTTCCGCAGGCACCTAGGCTTCTTTGGTAAGCCCAGCAGTGAAATCGTGCTTCTCGACACCAACACCGCACGCCTCCGGATTGAGGGGGGGCTGGCGATGGCGACAGAGGCTATAGTAAGGGCGAAGGGAGCAAGAATCGAAATCAAGTGGATCATCATCAAAGTCGATACGAAGAGTACTGAGACGCAGTGGTACTGAGTGAAGGGGGGTTAGCATTTATATACTCGAATCCGAATTGAAAGGGGTGCAGGGTTCAAAACTGACCCGTTCATAATTACGTTTACGACGTTCGAACATTCGAGCTTGAATTCGTAATTCATTATTTTAGCTACTCAGACATAAACGAACACCGTGATGCGAATGCTTAGCCCCCTTCCTGTCCCATTATTGTATTGTTACCAGTCTTACAGATAACGTTGCATGGATCTTGGCAGAATGTAATATGAGTCTAGACATCCTCCATCGGACTGAAGGTGAGCATGGACGCAACCCAAACACGTGGATATTTGGATTCTAGTGGGGCTGTTGCGCTTGAAACCCTTCCAGCCGTAAATATTCTCGATCTGTTCACCTGGGGGGCTTCAAATCGCTTCCTTGGATGAATCTCATTTCTCGTCCTGAATTCTTCACAAGTGGCGTCAATTTAAAGCTGTCGGCCTTCGATGAAATCCCTCAATACAGTAAACAAATTCGTAATCGATGAGGTGACAAAGCAAATTAATTGCGTAATTTATGTTCCCTTTATCCAATGAACGCATTTCGGATTATATGGCCATCTCTCAGATCATTAAGCGCAGTCCCCTACGAGCTGCTTGACTCCTCTCAAGGCGAGATGCACATACAGCCCGAAAACGATCATGGACGCAAACCTGAGTGAATGGTGTTGGCGAAAGTCAAGTTTGCCAGCCCCCGTTGACGTTCTTGACGGCATTGTGACATATGTGGCTCTCTTTCTAAAGAGAGGGGACATTCTGTCATATTCTCGGCTTTAAGCAACAATATTGATTGTCCGGTGCAACCTTCCGTGGGACCATGACCGGCCTGGCATCTTGGACGAAAGCACGTAAATGTGTGTAAAACACACACACCATACCGAGGGTTTTGCGTGAGACCTTAATTACAGGAGACGATCAGTTTTGATGGTGTTTATTTGGATCTTAGGGAAATAGTAGTAGGCATAGTGGGCGGCCAGACTCGCAAAGTGAGCATACCAGGATTTTCGAGTACGCTGAGAAAGCCTAACGTCAACTCGCCAGAGGGGATTCAGGAACGTGCTGTAACCAAAAAACAACTCATCCACGATGTTCTACTGAACCTTGATCAATCAAAAAACGGAGTGAGCACAGCAGCAGCAGCAGGAGGTCAGTGGTTCTTCTGGATAAGTGGCAGGGATGCAAGTGAGCACGAGGACATCCACAAGAAGGATACGGGGACCCTTCATCAGAACACTTTAGGAACAGTGAACCAAGCTGCCTATGGAGAGGGGTCGACCCGAAGTCGAAACGATCAAAGCCGTTGTTCGGGATCGGAGGAATAACTATAAACGGGTTGGTTCCGTGCCCGATGGGGATAATTTTTGCTTTTCCAGGATTTGGTGTGTGTGTGGAATTGATCATGGGTTGCGGCGTGGAAGGGCGTGGAAGGGCGTGGAAGGACGTGGAAGGACGTGGTAAATAAGAGTAATTCGTATATTCTCCCTATAACCTATTGCAAGAGTCCGTATTTAGTAGGGTATTCTCACGGAAGCGCGGAAAGACAAAAAAAATACCATATAGTTTTTTCGTTGACGCAAACTCGAGAAGGACCATATAATCAAGCTGGAGAAAATTATCGACGAGCTTGCGTGATGCCCGCTCTAATCTTCTGTCCAGGGGAAGGTTTGAGAGGGTCTGGGTTGGACCATAGATTGTAATAGACAATGGGTCATTAATATTCCGCAATTGGGTGGGAAAGCTCTCCCATGATGTGACCTATTTGTTGGGGTGGGGGTATGTGACAATCACGCGCTACCAAAATACGCCACATACCAAAGTTGTCGAAGCAGTAGTGGGTCGGTCAATGGCATGACTCGAACGAGGACGTATACGGAGCACGAGAGTTAATGCAGAATTACAATTCAATGGGTGGAGGCGCGGAATTTTTTTTTTTGGCTCGATGGGGTAAAAACTGAGTGTGGAACGATGAATAGTTAGTTGCCGATGGAAGTCGACGTACGCTAAGATATACCGCTCGAGTTCAAAGCGAGTGCATTCATTTTTTATACTGTCAATTTCGTGATCCCGGCCAGCGATTCTGTACCGAGCGTCTACGCCTCGATCGAATCAGTACGTCCAGTATATTCGGCCGATAGAAAACTTTTGAAAATCCCGGGCCCTCACTAAGAGGGCGGCGAGTCGATTCTTGTTCTTTTTGCAGCCATTTAATGTGAGATGCTGAAATGGCGCAGGTGCAAAAAATGGCAGCAAGCAGCCTAGCGCTTGCGGCGACGTTCAAGAACGTTCAAGAAAGAGAAAAACAGGGGGGGGAGGGGGGGGGAGGATTTCATCTGGCATGGAGATGATGAATAGGTCAGATCGGGGGTCCTAGCGTACGACGAGATGCAGTGCAGCAATGGACCTGGCTTTGCACCGATTGCTTTGAAGGGCAGGTTACCGTTGACACCAGATGGCTACGTGCCACTAAATGGTAATTGGCCTCGCCTTCTGGCCGTACCAAGGCTTCCAGAATTGCGGTAATTAATGCGAGACTAGGTACTTGCTGGCTCGCCGGGTATGCCCGATCGGATGATCTGCGCAAGATCCAGGAGCCAATCGGGCTGCAACCTTTGAACCCACATTCCCTAGCTCGGAGGCCACGTTGCATGTGTGGGCGATGATGCTGCAAGGGTGTTTTCCCGGAGGGCTTTACCGATACAACGAACTGGCCCCATTAGGCTGCGGTGACGACCACGCACAGCCACCAATCTACTCCTAATGTCCTAACCACCAAAACGGCGTTTCTGCAATAACTCATGTTAGCAAAAATTAAGGGTCGTATGTGGAAATGAAAGAAAAAGGGTGTACCTGCAGCCCTTACTGTACCCACGCCTCGGGCAAATTCTGACGCAATCGTATGACCGTTTTCGCCATTCTCGGTGTGGGTGAGCCATTTTGTGGACAATTAATGGTGCCCCCATGATCCCTTTGGGTGAGGGGCTATATAAAGGCCCCGGGTGATTTGTAAGGTCTCTGTAAGGACAATATCCCCCCCTGTGAGCTCTTCGTTCTGCTTAGAGATGGCGACACTCTCCGGTGAGCCTCCTTTTTTTTTTTTTACTTTGATTTTCTTGAATGCCAACTGAGGTAACCGGCCATCGTGTTGCGCAAGTTCCATCCATTCATTGCGAGTCATGCGAAAATCGTATCAAAACGCTCTTATCCTCTCTTCCACTCGGATCGCTCGACGTGAATCACATCAAACGAACGTTATCCTTTTCCGTTGCTGAGGGCATCGACGCCACTTGCCTCGATTCGCTTCTGCTCACTGTTTGCCGCAGGCTTTATGAAGCTGGGTATGAGGCCACTGGTATTCATAATTTCCTGGCTGCTCGTAACCTGAGCCAGCGTGTGTATGATTTCTTTCTTGGTGGACGCCGGACGAGGCGAAGACGTCACCTGCGTCATTGTTACGCATGCCAGCAGGAGAGCCCTCACGGCGGTGCGGCTCTATCTGCACCTCAATTATTAGACGTAAAGGTCGATGATCCCTCCAAGGCTCAAGTGCAGGAGACTCGCCTTTCAATCGAGGGCATGACCTGCTCGTGAGTTTCTTTTTCTCGACAGTTGCGAAATGAACCGTGTATCCTGATGACTACTGGTTGGCAGCTCATGTGCGGCCACGGTATCTCGGATTCTCAATGATCTCCCTGGAGTATCAAAAGCTGTCGTGGACTTGGTCACTAATTCCGCCATTGTGATTCATCACCCCTCAGGTATTCCCACGAGGTCTCTGATAAGTGAAATCGAAAGCGCTGGGTATGGTGCCACCATTATCGAGACTCGCCTGTTAAATGTGCCTACAACACGTCGGACCCGATTCAGTATTGAAGGCATGACTTGCAGGTAGGTAACGCATTCTTGTAGTGGTCTGCGCTGACCCTGTTCTTGTATCTGATAAACCATTTTTTAGCTCGTGCACAGGGGCCATCCAAAACCTCGTGTCTCAGCTGCCCGGTGTTAAGAATCTAACGATCTCGTTGCTTACGAACTCGATGGACATCACATATGACCCTTCTACACTCACCCCTCTAATAATTTCAAATACGATCGGCGAAATAGGATATGAAGTAATAAAGTGGGATCATATTGAAACGGAACAGTCTTCTCAGGCCACTAAAGATGGGCGAAGTGTCGAGCTGAAAGTACAGGGTATGATGTGTGGGTGAGCAATATTTTCATCTCTCCCTTCCCCCCTCCCCCAGTTCACATCATTAATAATTAATTTTCCATAGCGACTGTCCGGCTCGCGCTAATGCATATCTCGAATCCCTGAACCTCATTTCGTTCACACCCTTATCTATCGACTTTGACAAAACCAAGATTCACTACAAACCTTCTCCAACCCTCACGATCCGAGAAATCCTCGCGTTTCCCGAGCCATTCAGAGCCGCTCTATACATCCCTCCTTCTCTCATGGCCCGTTCCCGCAAGATACAGCAAAAGGAGGCCGAACACCTGGCGCGTTTGTTCCTGATGAGCTTCGCTTTTTCGATACCCGTGTTCGTCGTTGGCGTGTTGGCCATGATCCTTCTGCCAGAACGTAACTCGTTCAGGATGTGGTGGGAGACGCCCCTTTGGGGAGGAGCGACAAGGGCAACCATTTCACTTTGGATCATGGCTACATTGGTACAGTTTGGAGTCGGCTGGTACGGATCATCATGTTCATCATCCCCCCCCTCTCCTACCCCCTCCACTAAATCAGATTCTGATTATTCTTCAAATACAGGGTTTTCTATAAGCGTGCGTACAAAGGCACCTTTATGCGGAGAAAAGGTCCGTGGACATGGTCTCGGTTGGTCCACTTTGGAAATATGGACCTATTAGTTGCGCTATCGACCAGTGTAGCCTATTTGGCCAGCGTTGGCATCATGGCTCGGGACATTGGTCAGGGTGCAGAGATGACGAAGAGAGTGGGGTCGGAAAATACGTACTTTGACTCTAGCGTCTTCATCATCTTCTTTATCCTGATGGGCAGAGTGTTGGAAGGACGTGCTAAAGTCAGAGTAAGCATTTCCAATCAAGACTTGTGTCCTCTGATCAATGCCTGTCCCCCCCCCCCCCCCCTCACAGACTGGTGACGCGATCGCACTTCTCGGAAGTATGCGTCCGCAACATGCTTTACTCGTGTCCGGTATGATGGAGGATGACGTGCGTGGGATAGAAGTGGAAGAAGAATCGCTTCGTCATCGATCCACGACTTCCATCCCAGTCGAGGGTCTCGAAATAGGAGATTATATCTTGATTCAACCTGGAGATGTTCCACCAGCGGATGGCATTATCGTGTCGGGAGCGACTTCTGTCGATGAATCCTCCTTAACTGGCGAATCGCTCCCAGTGTTCAAAGGCAAAGGGGATCCACTCATGACCGGGACCACGAACCTCACATCCCCGGTCATCATTCGCGTGAACGAGGTCGGTGATCAGACGATGCTTCAGAAGATCGTACAATTGGTCGCTGAGGGACAGAGTCGTAAAGCGCCCATCGAACGTTTAGCGGATTCCATAACAGCTATTTTCGTCCCTCTAGTCGTTTGGTTCTCCGCTCTCATCCTTATCATCTGGTTATCACTCTCCCTTTCGAAGGTCATCCCTGATTCATATCTCCCCCACGGTCGTACCAGCATCGGTGATCGCATCTTCTTCGCTTTCGGGTTTGCCATTAGTTGCCTTGTGATTGCCTGTCCTTGCGGGATTGGCTTGGCTGCACCGACGGCTCAAGCTGTGGGGTCGGGACTCGCGGCCAAGGCCGGAATTCTCGCGCAAGGGGGAGGTGAAGCGTTCCAGATGGCGGCGAAAGCTGACACGGTCGTCTTCGATAAGACCGGGACGCTCACTACGGGAAATACAACAGTCACTCATCTCAACAGAGTGGCGGACGTCCCAGTTTGGTTCTTCCATGCTGTCCGTCTTATGGAAGCTGGGTCGAGTCATCCGCTAGCTTTGGCCATCACCAAGTTCTGTTCCCAAAATTTTGGAGAAGAAGAAAGCGATGTCCGTATCGAATTGATGGAAGAAGTCCCCGGTAAGGGACTCAAAGCAACCATCGTTTTGGCTGACGATACCAGGTACTCTGTCCTTATCGGCAACGAGAGATTCGTTATCATGGAGAACAATGTCAGGCTCGAGTACGGTGGGCATCTCGATGCTGTGCGCTCTCAGCAGGCTTCGGGACAGACAGTCGTGTTCGTTGCCTCCATGAAACAAGGCAACGAGAAAGATGAAGCAGCAGAAGACACCACCCTTCCCACCCTTATGGCTTCCTTTTCCATCTCTGATACGATTAGACCCCACGCGCGCACCACAGTAGAGCAACTTCGCGCTTCAGGTCGCGAAGTCTTCATGCTCACCGGAGACAACGAAATCACGGCCCGAGCTGTTGCCGTGGAAGTAGGAATCGAACCAGGTAACGTCGTGGCCGGGGTGCTGCCGCAGGGGAAGGCGGAATTCATTAACAAACTGAAAGAACGAAAGCGGTTAGTGAAACCTTGGCATTCGTTGCGGGCGAAGGAGAAGCGGTCTATTGTCGCCTTTTGTGGTGATGGTCTCAACGATACTGCTGCACTCACCGCTGCTGACGTAGGGCAAGTCAACAGAACTTTCCCCTTGTAACTAATTTGAAACTTATTCTCGTTTTCCAGAGTGGCCCTCGCGCAAGGATCTCAAATCACGATTTCAGCAGCCTCTTTCGTTCTCTTGTCTCAAAAGTCCATCCTGACTTCCGTGTACACCCTGTTAAAGCTCTCCCGCAGGGTTTACAACAGGCAAAAGTTAAATTTTGGATGGGCGATGGTGTATAACGTGATTTTGCTGCCCGTTGCGGCTGGCGCCTTGTTTGCACATAAGCACACCCGACTTCCGCCTGTTTGGGCAGCATTGGCGATGGCTCTCAGCTCTGTGAGTGTCGTCATGAGTAGTCTGGCTTTGCAATGGGGGTGGTAAATGGTTCTATTCGTCGTTTGTGCCCGTCGAGCCGAAGTTCCATACGATGGCAATTGGAAATATTTCGGGCCAAAGGGGGTGGCAAGAGAATAATCAGATGGGTATCACGCACCGGGATTAGGATAATAATCCTCACCATTTGGCACTGACTCCGACCTATCTCATTCCCAAAAAACTACATGAAATTTAAATCTCAGTTGATGCTCCTTTGGTGACTTGACCAATCTTGACAGTGTCCGGCCGGTACCCTAGAAGAGGAGATGAAGGATATCGAGCTAGCTTGCCAACTCCCAAGGGCATATTTAGAGATGTTCTGTCCAAGATGTGAAAAGATCAATTTCATTCTCGGCCCGTTATTTACCCCCAGCCTAAATCGTTTGATTTTTGCGATCGACAGTTGGAAACAACGATTTTCTACCTCTCCCTGAACCCGTAGCGCCTTTGGTCCTGGACAGGAACAACGCGCAAGGTTCTGAGCCACAATCCTGGCTGAACGATCCTTTCTATGGTCCTTTTCCCCAGTATCGGCGAGCGGGTTTCCAGTGGGAATGTCTATTCCTCCGTAGCAAGAATAGTCAAAATCATCTCTTTCGATGGACGCGAAATGGAATGAAAACTGCCCTTTCCACCGCCTCTCCGGCAGATTTCTGGTACGGTGATCGGGTGGTTAAAGGACGCAATGACATCGAGGATTTTCTAAGGATGGAACTTGACTGATCATCCCCAAGGGGACGCTCTTATCGTTGTTGGTATTAGCGGGTTGTTTAGTGCCCGAGGGGACTTCTATCCTTTTTTCTGCTCAGTGATGGTTTTGGTGTTGGCCCATAGGGAGGATCCGGTTGGGAGTACATATGAATCCCTCAATAATAAATGAGCCAACTGTATTCCTATGTACACCTAAAGAGGATGAAAGTAAAGAATGCTGGAAAAGAATACTCACCCCTTGCCATGTCCGGCGTTGTGGTAGGGGCACCGTAATCTATGCACTCATAGAATGACCCAAATGGTAATGTGGAGACTGCGCGCATCAAAGTCGACAATACCCGGGTGATCAAAACGTTTGGCATTATGAACAAATTTACATGAGAGCCTTGGGACTTCCACAAAACTACAGGAGCACCTGCGGGGAAGCAACAGAACGGGATGTAATACACCCGAGTTTCACAAGATCCGGTGTAGGAGAGGGATGGACTCAGGCGCCCCCTCGCGAGTGGTATGGAGGCATTTTAAGTGCACCTCACTTATGTCAAAGAGGAACAAGTAGTCAGTCAACGAGGAAGTGGTTAAAACGAAGCGACGATACCAGGATTTCGGAAGTTTCAAGTCAAGGGAGGAGCCACTCAAGCCAAGGAAATCAACTATATAAGTAAACTGTGAAGCATTTAGTGAGAGCTCAAGCCCCGAACTCTTTTCACCTAGCGTCATCTCAAGAGGGTCACGTCTGAGAAGGGGCGCGGAACATTCCTCAAACCTCCGGAGAAGAAGGGAAATGTGGGGTCACTTCCTTCTACGTTGTTGCCTCGTAAATTCCGAAGGCCACTCGAATTCGAATACGACTGTGGAGAAGTTGAATGAAGTGGAATCATCCTCGAAGGGACATCGTGGTTTAAATCAATGCATTGATGTAGACGATTTGAAGCGAATTATTTACGGAGCCAGTGTCTAGCACTGCCCAATACCTCGGCTCTATTTACGGGTAGATACTTCTTCGATACCCTAGGTAATAATGACGTGAGATGGAAATATGGTAACATCACCAACGACACGTACTATGCCGGAGAACCATCTTTTGGGGCCTAGTCGGATAGTGAGCTACAATGTGAACACTAATTGGTATTTGGAACTTACTTGAGTCCTTAGCGGCAAGCGGACCCTTGAGCAGCTCCAAACGTTTGGCGGATGCATCCATAGTAGGTTCGGGCGCTCTGACCCCATGATCCGTCGGGAGAGCCATCGAGAAAGACGCCCCAAATGCAGCCAAAAAGAATAGGAGGATGGGAAGTTTGGTCAGCAATGTGAACATCCTGTTAAGTTTCTTCCTGGGGGTGTTCGGTAAGGATTGCTACTAGGTGGCTCTCAAGGATGGTCTTAAATAGGAACGGGAAGGGCACAACCTGCCCAAAGGGCATTGATCTGCCTAAGCAGAAGATATTGATAAAAAACGGTGATATGTCCACTACATTGATGGGACTTGTTATATGAGTGCTATATTGTATGAGATATTGCTGCCATTCACCCTAGGCCACATTCATTGTAATATTATCCCTCATGCCTCATTGTAATTCAGATAGGGGACCTTTGGTAGGTCTGTAGTAAGCGTGAAATACATCATTTAACCAATGTGTGCTAAAATTGATATGATCCCTAGGATATCACCTGAAGAGGTTGACAATATTGAAACTATCCCTCTTTCCAAATGGATCATCAATGTGGCATACTTCAAATGCTTGTTATTTAATGGAGGTACGAGATTAAATTAGACTTGTGTGCGGTTGGACTAAGCGCTCTTTTTTCGCGCTTGGCACATTACCCGGTGATGCCTTCATCTTATGCGCCATACCTGCTGTCGGCCTTACGCATACTGTGTCTTCCGAGGCTACAGTCATGCCGATTCAGGTTTTATTGCCGCTGCATACCTGGGTCGATTTCTTCGGATGAATTCTGTACATGTTTATTTGTCCGCTCATGCTTCTGGGCTCTGGCCCTCTTATTCCTCATCCTCTGCTGAAGGCGTTTTCTTTGTTTCTTTTTTAGTCTCATTTCTTTTTGCCTGAAAAGCCATTTTTGACGTGGTTTTCTCTTGGAGTCCCTTACTTCCGGTAAGCGTTTTGGTCTCACTGAGCAGGGGGGGTGTTGTGACCTCCGGTTACTCTCGGTGGGTTGGATCCCGAGTGCTTACTCTAGTTTTTCTAGGTTTCTTTATTTTCGGTTGTTCCCTTGTTTTTGTAACCTCTGTTCTTCTCCTCCTTGTTCTTCCTCGTCCTTGTTTTTTCGTGTTGCCCTCCTCCTTCCCCAATCTCCATCCTTGTAAATTACCCGGCTCGTCTTCAATTCCAGAGGTTCTGGCATTTGCCGGGACTGTCGCCACGCTATTCTATTGCATCTCCTCCGGCGTGCACACATGTAGGGAATGGATGTGTGGTGATGTGTGCTGTGCACGCTTTCTTTATTCATTGTTTATTACTCTTTATTTCTCGATGTAAACAATGTATATAAATTGCGGGGAAGGGTGAAACAGGTTTTCACTCTTCTCCTCCCCTGTCGAAATAAAGCTCTATACTGCCTAACTTCTGACAGCTTGAGGATAGCAAGAGTCAACACCAAGGTCAGAACCTCAACCGACCTTACACTTTTTTAGGCATAATAGGCTTAAATTCCCACGTTTAAATCACCTGCGCGCGCTTCGAGGACGCGCGCTGTAGGCGGGATAATCGCCCACGCGCAGCGCCGGCTCGGATACCCGTTTCCACGATTAGAAAACCACCTTTCATTCATGCAACGACTCGACACAGATTTGGTATCTAAAAATAGTACTAATTCCTACGATCCCATCGATACCAAGAATGTCCTAATCGGTGGAGAATTGACGGAGTTCTGTGTTGGACAAGTTAGGCACGGCAGGTCACGAGTATGTGCGGGCGTGGGAATCTCAAGCAGCAACCCAGAATTCCAGCCTCACTCGTTCCCACAGCGTCTAATAAATTGGTAAAAATGCTCATTGGCTGCGTAATAGTTCCATTCAGTCACATTTCCAATTTCGGCTCTTAATTCCGTAAATCCGTTGAGAAATCGCTTATTTCCTTATATTTTCATATTTTGCCATCATTTCAGATATTGATTGATATTCTTTTATTGATACTGTTACCCTTTTTTTATTGTTTCGCCTAATAAGGTACCCAGGTGCCATATGGTACCAATATTCCCCATCTATTCATTCTAAAAATAATTGTTCCTTATATCCTGTACATACCGGATTTTGGAATAGAAGTTCTCCCCTCCCCCATTTTCTCTAAGGTGCTAGGACGCGCTAGAGTTGGAGTGAGTGTGTGGAATCCAACAGTAGGAATAAGGGCAACTGTCTAGCCCACAACGAGTGGGTAGTAGATTAGTTGAGCCCGGACCTTGCGGAATCCCGGAGAACCCACCACGGAGTTTTAGGATCGAGCATAGCGAAGTCAAGAGAGAAAGTAGAGGTTTTGGAGAGTTTGGCCCCACGAGCTTAGTCGGCATAGAGAGCCGCTAGCCCTCTTTCAGCGCATCTCTCCAGACACGTCTATACGCTCTAGGAACCTTTCCCACGTGCAATCCACACGTGCACGACTCTCAGACGTGCGCCTGTGTTGATTTGGCCGTTCTCACTCGAAGTTCACACGCCCATGTGCACCTAGAAAACGCGCGCTTGCATCGACTTCGCTTACTTCTTTTGTGTCCACGGCTCCCTAGGCTCACACTCAGGATTTCTGGGTCTTCCTCGCACGCTTCCCATGTCCACACACGCTTTCTTTCTTTCTGTCTTTTTTTTTTGGTGGCACCCCAGTAGCTTTCGCAATACATGGTCATGTATTTGGGGTTTGTGTAGGGAGATAAGATCCCATAGAGTGGTCTGCCGGTCTGCCACTGTGGGGAAATGCGTTGTGCACTGGCCGGTTATTGGCGCAGTGTGGGACTCCCAGCCCCAGTCATGGGGGGTCCGGTATACCCACTAAAACCCCAGGGCTGTTAAGCCAGTTGTCTGGCAGTTTCCTTTCATCATGGAGGTTCCCGCTCCAGGTGAGCAGGACTAGCTTGGCTGGCAGGGCCTTTCGGCCATATTTCTTACGATTTGTCAGGGCGATATCTTGTTGGAGTTTGTTGTTGAGGCCAGCTCGGAGGGCATTTCTGATTTCGCTCAGAGTGGTTCGCGGGTGGTCGGGGTCAATGACTCTCCGGCATCTGGCCTTCCAGATTTGCCACACACACTTGGGGTTTACTATTTGGTACAGTCTGGTTTCTCCTTTACTTAGGTTACTGTCACGACCAACAAATCCCGGGGCTCCGTCAGCGGCGAATCAATGCTGATAGGTGTCATATCCATACAATCCCGACCTCCGCTCCGGGCTCCCGGAACTCCGAACCTGACTTCTGGAGCCCTACTTCCCTTCCGTCACCTTCTCCTTGCCGACTCCCAAAAGGTTATCCCACCTCCGGCTCGGACACCACCTTCGGTCTGACTCCGGAACATTCCGGGTCCGACCCCAACCTCGACACCTTCCAGACGAGTACACAACACCTATGTCCCCGACTCCGGACCTCCGCTCCGGAATCCCGTTGGCATCTCTGTCTCCGGAACCTCCGGTCTTAGCTCCGACCTCGGACTTTGACCCCACCTCCGCTTATACCCATTGTATTGGTTAGCTCATTCCATTTAATTACCTTTGCCAATATTCCGGAGTTTAACCTCCGAGTTCGGACTTTCCGGACTTACTCCGGACCTTGCAACTATTGCATTGTCCATTTCAATTCCGCTATTCTCCCTCATTCCTATTTGGGCTGCTGCTTCCTTTCTATTCAGTCAGCTAGCCATTCCCGACTCCCATCCTCCTTCCTTCCTTCTTGGGCCTTGGCCCTTCATTCCTCCTTTGGGAAACACCATTGAGTCAAACACTTGACCCTCGGTGTTGCTCCTCTTTCCATCTCCCTTTGTCTCCTTTTGTCCTACCCTTGTCCCTTTTGATTCCGGACCCCTCCTTATATACAATGTACCTAGTAACTTGTAACCTCAGTCCGAAATCAACTTGAATTCCCCCCAAGAGACTTTCCCTCTGCTAGATCCGAAATTAGGGACCCCTAGGACAACCAGCAATGGCACAGCGCTCCGCATGAGTCGCTGAGGCCAAGGTCCTTCCATGATAAGTCTCCGATTCCATTCCGGAGTCGTCCGAATCCGCACGTTCTAACAATAGGCGAATCCGCCGACCTGAAACCCATCCTAACCAGCCCCCAACCCCATGTCTGGCCCCCTGCCTTACTGTGTGAGACTTGGCCAATAATCAGAACCTAGACCCTGCCGGTATTCCGACCTTACCTCCAGTTCCTGAGCCCTTGGTGCTCCCGGCATTCAGTCATGCCTGCCTTGTCTCCACCTGAACCACACTCATCGCTTCCCACTATGTGGTCACAGCCATGCCCCGCTTCCATGCATTCCGCACCCTCTGCCCATCTCTGCACCTTCTGGCCACTTCTGGTTGCCCTTGACACCTCTGGTCAGGCCAACACTCCCACTCCCCTCTGTACCTCTGTTGGCCTTCATGCTGTCCTTGTGTGACAGTGCTGGCAGATCAACCTCTGTTCGCGGACTTGTGTCGGCACCGCACCGACCCCGCTTATTTGCGGATTTGTATCGGCGCCACGCGCTGACCTCCGCTTTTCCTCTGGCCATTTGTCACTTGGCAGCTTATCATTCATTCCTTGCCGAGTGCCATTTATTGTTTGCTTCCCTGCCAATATCGGCATTTGATCCCCTCTTTATTGGCACTAGGTTATTGATCTCATTCAGTTATTCATCAATAACCCTTGCCACTTATTGTTTATTGATCTGTTCCTCGTTTCCGGTTCCCGGGCTCTTGTCCTTATTTAGTTTGACAATCCCCGCTTATCTCCGCACCGGACCGCGCTGGACTGACCGGCCTTTCTATATTCCCTCTTGCCTATTTATATACCTTGTAAATACTTTTGGGGACCTCAGTCTGAAATCAACTAGAGTACCCCCCTGTCTGGTCTGAGTCTCTCCTTCTGCAAAGGGGGCTTCCCCCCCCCCTCTGAGTCCGTGCTCGTGGAGTCTGCGCTCCTCCTACAGGTCCGCTCCACCCACAAGTCTTGTTTGAAGTCCACTGTGAGTGTCAATCCGTAAATATGGGATCTCCCCCAAACGTCAAGCTCAGGGCACAGCGCTCCACCTGAGTCGCTGAGGCCGCGATCCCACTCTGCTAACCTTGAACAGTGCTTCCGGACGTGCCGCATATTTCCGCCCACACATCCGCACGCGTGCTCCAACAGACCTCTGCATCACCTCCGACTCCGACAATAATCCAGTCTTTGACAATAAATCCCATCTCTGACAGTTACCTTTACTGTTCATTATCTTAGTGATCGGGGCGGCCATCACGTGTGAAGTGTCTAACG